AAGGGGGGTGGTCACCATACTACCACCCCCAGGACGTGGCAAGGGGGGTGAGCATCATACCACCACCCCCGTGACGTGGCAAGGGGGGTGGATATCATACCACCACCCCCAGGAGGTACCAAGGGGGGTGGCCACCATACTACCACCCCCAGGACGTGGCAAGGGGGGTGGGCGTCATACCACCACCCGACGTGGCAAGGGAGGTGGACATCATACCTCCACCCCCATGACATGGAAGATGACGAGGGTGGTTTGGGGACCACCAACATAGCACCCCCCATGGTATGATCAGGGGGTGAGGGGTCACCAACGTACACTCCCATGGTATGGCCAAGGCAAGGGGGTCATGTGAGCAGGTGGTCTCTTTACTCTACTAATGGTGAAGTACTTTTTGCCATTTTTAACTCATGTTATTCAAATACCCACCCATATGTGGTAAGTGGTATTTCTTTATGCCTTAGCCATTTTTACTCTATGGATAAGCAAAACTACGAAGGAGATGCCAAGAGCAGAGGTTGAGGTCTCAAGAGGAGGAAGTCAAGACTGAAGAGGATCCCACATCCAACATCAGGGTAACCGTCATAGCAGTTGAGTGGGTAACCGTCACTCCACGTCAGCAGAGCACTTTCTTGGGGCAGTTACTTCTGGTGGCTATAAATAAGAGGTGAAGATGACAGAGAAAGGGTTCCCCAAGATCACACCACACAATACAATGTTAACTTTTATCCTTTTATCTTTTCCTTTGCAAATTTAGCCATAGTTGTAGTTTCGGAGTTCTCACTAAACCTCCATAGGAGTAGGGCTAATTTAATGTAGATTTGCCTCGTAGTTCATCAAAACATTGAACACCCTTGTTTGAACTTTGTTCAAAAAGGTGTGGACCGTATTTGTTAATCGTTTGTTTGGAAATCAAAGATACAAAATTCAATTATGTTCATCTAGTTTTTCTCGCCGGGAAAACACCACCTAAATCAATCTTCAATCTTTCAAATCTACCCGAATAACCAGATAATTTGTACGTTTTCGCTTGACACTTTCTAAAGGAGCTGAGTTAGAAACAATGAAGCTGTATATGATTGATGAATCATGAATATATGTACAGCATCTGTCGAATTTGATTGCAAAATCCAGCTCATAAGTTCATTCTTAAAAACACCTCACATGGTTTGCGACACAGACAAAAAGATTTCGGCTTCAAGTTTCCCTCTCTCGGATTTCGCTTTCAGGACTCGGAATGTCCGATCCCTAAATATACATTCCTGTTTCATCTTCATCTTTTATTATTCTTTTGTATACATAATTATTGGTAATTTGTAATGTTCGAATCTCCAAACAGGGTCTTGAATAAAAAAATTATATGGAATCAGAGGTCCACATCACGATCATGGCTTCGTCCAATCCAATGAGCCGCCGGTCTACCTCTCCGGCGAGCGAGTTACCAATATACCATCCGAGTTTCCAAGAATTACGGTTCAGATTTGATTAATTGAATTAATTAGGTCGTCGTTTTCATTGTTTGGTTTAGTTTTAACTGTTCAAACAAGAAAATATCAAAGAAGAGTTGGTCCAGTTTGAAACACAACAAAGTTTATTGTTTCATGAATTTCCACCAAGAAGAATTCTTACTCTGTTGGAATAGGTACCTAGCTACTTCATTGCATCTTTTATTCACAGTTTTACACGTACTTTTCCCTGTCTTTTACTAAGCACAAATCTTCTTGTTCGCGGTGCCCAAGTTGAACCGTGGACTTGTAGGTCGTTTGCTTGTTGAGTTTAAAAAATGAGGGTTTTGGCCAATAAAAACCTTGGGATTTATGTTGGATTTATTAGATTATGGATTTGAAGAGTCTAATGTTTGCATGATAGATTTGATGATGGATTTGTTAAATAAATAACTAACCGTCAAGGATTTGCAAATCCCAAATCAATATGTAGGATTTACAAGTCCGTGTGGTCCACGGATTTGGTTCCAAAATAAAGACCAAATCCGTGGACCCCACGGATTTAGCACCATTCAACAAACAATGGACTTATGTTAAATCCATCAAGCTTGGGATTTGGGTACCAAATCCATGACCCAAATCCAACAAGCAAACGACCCCTTGGGGTGGAGACCGACACCGTAGGAAGAGTAGATCACAGTAAATTTTGACGGTTTGTTCATTTCGTCTTCTCGGTAAGTAGCAATTGGAAGAGTTGTGCGAGATTCTCAGAATCGCTTGTTAGGAGCTTATGTCATGAACCTGTGAAGTTGTTTCATTATCAGAACCGAGGAATGGGTTAGGGTGATTACTTGTTTTTTAGTAATCACGGTGGCAACCTCTTTATATACCATTTGATTAATTATTTTTCCTTCTTTTTTAATCTTACGGTCAAGATTCTTTTAGGGTAATTTTGGAAATTAAAAAGTGACCACACCTGATTATACTATATAATCTACCTAAACCCTAGTTCTATCCTCCCTCCAGCCAAACCCGTCGCAGCCGCCTCCACGTATCACTCCCGTCGCACCGCCGGCAGCAGCCCCGACCACTCTCTCTCTCTCTCTCTCTCTCTGCTCTCCCTCTCTCCCGCTGTTTACATACCAAATAGACATAAAAACCTAGATCTAGTAATTTTTGTTTATTGATTCAATGTGCAGTGGTATTGGTTACTATATGCAATGGTATAGATTGTTTATATTAGTAGTTTTCGTGTAATGGTATAGATTTATTTCTGCAATGGTATTGAGTGTTTATGGTATAGATTGTTTATATTGGTAGTTTTCGTGTAATGGTATAGATTTATTTCTACAATGGTATTGATTGTTTATGGTATAGATTGTTTATATTGGTAGTTTTCGTGTAATTGTATAGATTTATTTATGCAATGGTAGTTTTCGTGTAATGGTATTGATGTTTTTCAAAGTGGTAGTGTTTGTCTAATGGATTGGTACTGATTTCGTTTTTTTTTTTTTTGCAGAAAGATTGAGAAAAATATGGAAAGGAAATCTGGCTGGAGATTACGGAAGTGAGAGAAAGAGAGAATTTTAATTAATAGATTTTTGTAACTACCTAAAATATAATTTATTAAAAAATTAATTAATATAATTTATTTTTCATACCCAATCTACCCTTAGTAACCACGGCGAGATTCTCAGAATCGCTTGTTAGGTGCTTATGTCATGAACCTATGAAGTTGTTTCATTATCAGAACCGAGCTTAGAGGCGCCGTTTAGGTGCTTGAGAGGGCTTGGCGCCTCAGTCGTCTAAAGATGGAAGCGCAACTCGACTCGTTTGTTATGGTTGTCATACTTCAAAGTCAAAAGAACCCTAATCACTAGCAATGCCTCCCTTGCTCTTTATTTTCGAGCCGTTTTAGAGCATACTTAGACGATTCGGTCATCCACATATATGGCGAAGCAAATTAGTTAAGAGATTGCCTAGCTAGAAAGAGTCATTCACTGCCCTTTGATACCCATATATTTTCATTCTTAATTATGACATTAGATACTTGAGTATGTATGATCGAATTGATGTGTCAAAGTCCGTACATATTTTATGTTAATCTGTATTGAAGTTACTGCCTCTAGCAAAAGGAAAGCTCTTACTTAATGATTGACTTGTTCAGTTTGAGCCATATTAATCTACCATATGATCGATTTATAATTTGGAAAGAAAGGAAAGATTCCTATAAGGAAGAAATAGGAAAGTAGGCAAAATAAGTAAATGTACACATCGGGACAGAAATAGCCCACCTTGTAGTTTGTTTGGTGCATTGGTTATAATCGAATTAGTGAACTCCTTCCACACTCTCTCCACTAAGAAAAGCAAAAAGGGAAATAATGAGATTTCGGTGCAAACAAGGGCATAAGGTAAGTTAAGTATGTGCTCTATATGGCTAAGTAAATATTCAATTAGGTTTAACCGTTTAAGATGGATTTTTCTTCTGAATTTTCGATCAAATATGTGCAAAGGGATAGAAGAATGAGGAAGGAAAGCTATTTAAATGGAAAACGTATGGTTACCAAGAGGTTTCAAAGCACTTATGGATCATCTGCCAAATCATGAGTAAAATAACTTTTGAAATATACGTGACTTCAATCTCTTACTAATTTCTGGATATGAATCGTGGCATCTCCTAATGCCTGTCAATATACTATGGTACAAAGTGTTTGAGTTGTTTTGAAGTAAGATATGGTGATTTGGTGATTTTTGTCGATGGTGCTACGGCGGGTAGTCCCAACAGGTTCGTGGTTGGGTTTTGCATGACCAGTCGAGCATGGTGGTGGCTGCTTCTGCTACTCAGTATGAGGGGATCTGGGAGGTGTTCCTTGTTAAGCCGTTAGCCCTCCAGGATGCGACTCGTTGGTGTTTGTCTCGGGGTCTTACGTTCGATGATTTTTGCTAGTAACGTTTGGGTGGTTCTTAGGATGGTTGAGGAGAGGCTCCTTGTTGATGCCTGTGGTGGGACGGTTCTGGAAGAGATTGGTATGCTTCATGATGGACTTGAGTGGTTTGAGGCGTGATTTGTTGGATGTATGTGTAACAGGGTTGCCCATTTGGTGAAAAAAAAACCCATTTTGTTGTTCCCTTTGTTTGAAGGGTTTGATTTTGTTTCTTGGTAGTTTTCAGCAATGTAACTACTCTATATCTTGTTGTTTTCTCGTTAATACGAGTGATCTTGTGATAAAAAAAACAACTTGGATTCGAATTTGATAAGTAATCAATTTTCTCTCTTTCAATTTAATAATTCACTTCAAAGTCACATACATTTAATTTAATTTTCTCTCTTTCAATTTAATTGTTCACTTCAAAGTCACATACATTTGATATATTTTGGGACAAAAAAATTTGACAATATATTAATATCTTTTTTCTAAAAAAATTAATATCTAAATTACAAGGAACTTGTTCCATAGATGTAACAACTTCAAATTCAAATAAAAAAATACCTTATGATTAAGAAAAATAAATAATAAAAAAACTCCTTTAATCTCATCTCTTAAATTTAACTCTACTCAAAATCAAGTGGTATGCATGCTACCCAAACACCCTCTTAACATAACTCTAGGCATTAACTATGTGCGAGTCGAGATTGGAGTCTTGCGTCTCTGACGCTCCACCGCCTCCGAAACCAATAAGGCGTAAGACCCTGTTTGGATGCAAGGGATATAAATAAAAAAAAACAAAATAAAAAGAAAAGAATAAAACCATCCCCAACCAAAAGTCAGTACTACTAGCGCCCAGTAGTTTCCACGTACAACCCCTCTGTGATTTTTAATCCCCTCACCTCCACCGTCCGCCCGCCACGTGGACCAAGGCATGTCCATCTCCGCCACGTGTACGATCCACCTCCCTCCTTCTGATTCTCCCTCATGGCCTCATGTGATCCCAAATACTCCCCTCACAAATTAAATTAGCATTTTAACCGCCGCGGGAAAATTACAAACTAGCTCCCCCTCGAAATTCTAACCTAACCATGGTTGATCTCCCTCAACCTTACCCCGGTTAACCCGCCACTCCGGTCAGCAGTTTATATACGACCAAACCTTGCCGGTATTTCTGTGTACAAAAAATCAACCAACACAAAAGCCAACAAAAGAAAGGGAGGAAAAAAATTTTCACTCTGAATCCGATTTTCTCTCCAATCTTCTTCTACTAGATTCGAGATCTTTCCTGGAAACGATGATGCTCGGCGAGCAACGCCGTCCGAATCCTTCCGTCCACATCCCGCCGTGGACCGCTATCGACGACCAGACCACGGATCCGTACAGCCCGTACTCCGGCGGCGGCGGGGGCAATGTCGTCTCCTCCCCTGCCTCCGATCACTACAGCCCCTTCTACATCCAGGAAGCTCTGTCCGCGCTGCAGCGATTCCTCCCCTCCAACGACACCGACATGGACCTCGATTTCGACATCCCCGGACTGGACCACGACTCCCCAATCGACGCCTACTCCTGCGACCACTTCCGGATGTACGAGTTCAAGGTCCGGCGCTGCGCGCGCGGCCGCTCCCACGACTGGACGGAGTGCCCGTACGCCCACCCGGGGGAGAAGGCGCGGAGGAGGGATCCGAGGAAGTACCATTACTCCGGCACCGCGTGCCCCGAGTTTCGAAAGGGGAACTGCAAGAAGGGCGACGGCTGCGAGTTCGCTCACGGGGTGTTCGAGTGCTGGCTCCATCCGGCCCGCTACCGCACGCAGCCGTGCAAGGACGGGACCAATTGCAGGAGGCGTGTCTGCTTCTTCGCTCACACGCCGGAGCAGCTCCGGGTCCTGCCTCAGAGCCCGAGGAGCGTCAATTCGACCGAGTCGTACGATGGGTCGCCGTTTCGGCAGGCGATTGAGGCTTCCTGTGCTCGGACTCTGCCGTTCGTGACCTCGCCGGGATCTGTTTCGCCGCCAGAGACCGACTCCCCGCCGATGTCTCCGATGACGACTCAGCAGCACGTGCTGAGCCGCTCGCTGGGTTCGAGCTCGATCAACGAGATGGTGGCTTCTCTCAGGAACTTGCAGCTTGGTAAGGTGAAATCCCCGACTTCTACTTGGATGGGTGGCGGCGGAGGAGGCGGATCTGGGTACGGGTCTCCGCGAGCCGGGTCGATCCTCCGACCCGGGTTCTGCAGCGTGCCGACGACTCCGACCCCCACAACGCCGAGCGGGCTCGGCTACTCTGCTGATTTCTGGGACAAAGTGTGCGAGGAGGAGCCGGCGATGGAGAGGGTGGAGTCCGGGAGGGATATCAGGGCGAGGATGTTCGAGAAGCTGAGCAAGGAGAACATGCTGGAGCGGGGCGACCCGAGTCCGGGACCGGCAGTCGGAGGTCCGGACGTGGATTGGATTTCGGAGCTGGTTCAGTGAAGAATCGGGCCGGGGGCCCGGATCCGTTTGTGGGGTTTGTCGTTTTCCTGGGGGAGGTTTGGGTTTTTCCTTTTTCAGTATATGGAGGCGTCGTTCTGGTTTCTTCTCAGTTTGTAAATATGGCGGTGGCCCCCGGAGGAGATACGACAAGACGGTGGCCTTTTGGGGTGAAGCGGCGGTTCAAAAAAAAAAAAAAAAAAGCGGAAAAGAAAATCCGTTGTACATACGTTTTTCTATTTCAAGATTTGAAGAACCCATTAGCAGGAAACGGCGGCGGCGGCTGATGAAGACTGGCGATCTCTGTTTTGGGTGGAAAGGTTTCTGATTTCTGAGCAATTTTCAGAAAGAAGCGGTGGTGGCCGATGGAAATAGCCAGAGCTCAGAAGCTGGAAATGGATGGGAAAAAACAAAAAGCGGAAGGAGAGATTTTTGTACAGGTCGTAGGGTGTGGCGGCGACGACGGCGGCGGCCGGAGGTTACGAATCGGTCGGTTTACTTTTTAAAAAAATTTAACTAAAAGAAAGCTGTGGTGGAAGAATTCGTCTATCTCTAAATATATTTTTCCAGTTTGTTAATTGCTTAATTAATGTGCGGTTCAGTGGCAGAGCCAGTAAGTAAGTAGTATTATGATGATGATTATCCAGACTTTGAATTTAACGCTATTATTGTTATTGTAAGGTTATTATTATTTTGTAAAGAGCCTGCTTATGGTGGGCTCGTCTTTTCCCCCTCCCTAAATGCAGAAAGATCAATGTATATTTTTATTATTAATTAACTGGGTGCCCCCGGATTTGTGGTGTGGTTTGGATGGATAATGTTGCGCATTAATACATTATTAATTACGTGGTTAGTACTTAATAGACCAGTACTAATCAAATCCGGTTATGGTGGGGGGGGGGGGGGGGGATTAAGGTTTAGTTGTGGAAGATTTTGAGGGGAAGATCTGGAAGAAATCCGTGATGTTTGATTTCTGATTTTCTGTACCAACGAGTCAAAAGGGCAAAATGGGAAGGTGGGCCAGGTGGGCCTGGGCTGGGCCTGGGACTGGCAGATGTGGGTTGAATGTTTGAAGAGAAGCAAGACCGCAAGGTGAGGTTTTTTTTTTTTTTTTTTTTTTTTTTTTTCATTTGGATCTCTGATTACATGGGGAGGTTAGGTTGGGACCGGGGGACGAATGCTCTAACTTGTACAAATTTTTCAATTTTTCAAATTGATTCGATACCTTCGTTCGTAGAGATAGTTATTCGATCGCAGATATTACTGGAACACTTTTAAGAGGGACAAATAGTCAGGTGGGGGTGGAGCGCTTACTTCTATACAATGAACATCGTTCTTTTTAATTAATTGTGAAAGAACTTGTTTAGGTTGTAATGATCATCTCTTATATCTTAACATATATCCCTCATTTTTTTTTAAGTAATTGGGAATAGTACTGAAACATATCGATGAAAGAATCTACTGAGATAAATATGAATTGTCAAGAACGTAAATAGACAATTGATCAGATCCAGCACGAATCGTACATAAACCCATGAGGGTAACTATGATCCCTTCCTCCTTGGGTCTTTAGTCGCTATCCATATACCAATGTGGAAGGGAGGGAGATGTACAGTTTGTAGTTTGTGTGAGAGTGGGGTCTGTCTGTATATGTAGTAATCATGTTGAATTGTTATTATTATTGTTGTTAGGGTTATTAATGATGCTGAATTATTGACTAGGCACTACCCAAATCTAACGTTTTGGTTCCTTTTCCCACTATGGTAAAGGAATGGAAGGGAAGGTGTACGAGTAATGATGCGTTTGGAGAGTTCTGGTAGATATTGGGATATGTTGTTGTAATGTAGGGTATGGTGTACCAAAAGAAGGTGCTTTACTGCCCTCGTTAGGACTTTGGTGGTAGCGTAGGGTATGCTTTGTTATAGGGGTGGGCATTCGGTCGGTTCGGTTTCGACCAAACCGAAATTATGAATACGAGGTCCCCGAAATAACCCATAATGACCGAGGAGTTGAGGTGTACTACAATTATCATCTGGCAGTTAGAAGGAATGTATTGATAATGCACCATACATTCTTAATACATAATAAATTATGCATTATTAAGCTCAACTTTTTGATTACCTCCATATTTCGAATTTTGCTAAATACACGCTATTTTTATATCTATCAGATGTACTTTAGAAAGCACAACATCACATAATCTGAATGCATGCGGTTGATCTGACTTGAATCGGACTATCAGCCGCAACGCCCCCGGCCTGCGGTGTATGGGCACAATGTTATTTGAGTTCGGGTTCTGGGCCTGGTCTGTAACCGTTTCCTTACCAAATTAGATTAGGTTTAGAGTTTAGACGCACATGGAGAAGTACTATAAATATTTCTCATACTCTTCTGTAATCTGTAATCTCCTCGATATAATGAAACTGGCTCTTTCTCGCCCGTGGACTAGCTAACACACATCGTGTTAGTGAACCACGTAAATCGTGTGTCATGTTTTCGATTTATCGCTTTCGTATTCTTGCTTTCTCGATTCCGGCGATTTCTCGATCCGTAGTCGCGTGTTTATAACACATGCATTATTTATTCATTATTGGAATATTATACTATTTCTAGAACTGAAAGTTTTAAAACAACCATGAAAGCAGTCGATCTCATCGTCGTTGACAAAAAACCAGTGGCAAGGAATGATGGAGAAGGAGGTCACGGAAACAGAGACCAGAACAGGGGAAATGGAAAAATGGAGCAAGATGCAAAGAATTAGAGAAAAAGAAAGAAAGGGATATATGGAGATCTCTCATAAAACTTCTCCACTTTAGGTAGTTCTCTCCTTTTCATTAAATTAACCTCTCCGGACACGCAACGCCATTGAATTGAATTGAATTGAACACAAGAAAGAAAAGAAAAGTCCTTTCCTTGGACTGCCTCCCCTGTTTCTCCCACTGTTCTTCCCCTTTAAGATCACCGTGGAACTGGTTGATCCCAATAACGTGAGTTATTGAGAGAAATTCAATTGTGGATCACATACCACACACTAAAACGTCCGCCCTCTCAAACGAAAGGCACTCACAAGTTCCTGAAGTTTGCACATGGCTGAACACAAGAATGCAATGTGCTTCACAAATGGGGGTCATCGGGATTCGAACACAAGACCTCTCGATCATATAAAGTTCTGATACCATGTCAAGAACCAGTTGATCCCAATAACTCAGAGAAAGATTCATTCGTGAATCATATATACCACACTAAGACTGTATGGCGGGGGCTATTTCCCCTGATCACCGATCGCGAAAACGCGAAAACTGAGATCATTATCATACGAACACGATGAGTCCAACATCTTAACCACTAGTGCCATAACATCGTCGGCAAGCAGAGACATGTACATGTTATCCCCCCAACTACGAACCATAAACACACCTTTCCTGCAGGTGCAAGCGAGCAGATTACAGCAGTACACAAAGAAGACAGTGTCAAGGACATTGGATCGGGAAAAAGGGTGGATGAAATGAGATGAGGGTTTGAGGTTGCTGTTTCAACTAACCGGACAGGTCCCTTCATTGAATCACATAATCCATCCATATTTGCCTAAATGAAGAAGTCACTTAACAGTAACTATACACACATGTGGTTTTGTCTGATGACCCTTTTTCTGGGGTCCAAGCCCTTAGAAAGCCAAAGCAGAATTCTCATCATTTGCCCATATCTTCGACAATCCGGTGTGCTGCTGTTTCTATACCCACTTTGTTATCATTATAGCTAGCTTTCTCATCCCTCATGGCCCAATTGGCCAGGTTTGGTATGATGGTTTCTTTCCTTCCTATCAAGTTAATCGAGTCATTGAGTGTTGCTGCAATCTTTAGGGAACAAAGCAAGATTCATTTTTGCTATCTTTTAAATACTGTTATTGTGTACTTAAGTTTGCAAAGATCTATCGTATATATACGTTATGCTTAGATGTAATCGACTGATTTGTTCCAATAGCTCGAGTTTCATGAAGAATCTGACGAATGAATATAGTCATTCTCTTGCATATCCTGTAAAACGAAGGATCAATAGGTCTCGAATTTGCACCTATGCCTTATACTTAAAGCACCGAGAAAATTGTTGATTTGGAGACACAACCTTTCGAGCAACAAAACCTCTAATAGGCATCTTACTATTCAACATCAAATTCTCTCCCTACATAGAGGATTGTGATTGTAGAGTTATTTTTAATGTATTTCTAACGTCTTCTATAAACTTCTTTCAATAGAATAAAATGAAATTTTATTCGATTAAATATTGAAAACTAAAATCACTGTTATTATATCAAGAATCACTTACATTCTTTTGAATGTGGAAAAATAGCTATGAAAACTGGTGGGCGGTGGACCTCACAAATCGATAAAAGTTACATCATTAAAAGAAATTCGTTTAGACCTTTTTCCTTTAAAATAAGGAAGTATATTCTCAAAATTATATATATATATATATATATATATATATATATATATTATCCATTTCCCAAAATTCAATTTGTAATTTTTTTGGTTAAATAGTTCTCATAAAAATAAAATTCACTTTGCTATTAATAAGAAAACATGCCATATATCACATAAATTCAAATTCATCTAATTAGGACAACGCATTTTTTATTATCCTGTCCTCAATCATAGTTTTAGGGAATAACATTTTAGAAAACCACCAAACAAAACAGACTAAGATACTTGATTGTTCAAAACTGGATAGGTACGGAATTAGCTTGATTTACAAGAAAGAGGTGCTCATTATTTTCTTCCTACTGCAAAATGACTAATTAACTAGCTTACTAATATTCTAATTATACTTTGATATCGTACGTACTACCAAATCCATTTGACCATCATCACCATTCAACACTGCAATTAGCTGCCTTTGTTATTAGAATTGGGCTGGAGTTTCCACAAGTCCGCAATATAAGATGTTTTAAGATATTGCTTAAATTGACAAAAGACAAACCATCTCTAATACCATGCATGTCACAAAACAAATTATCACAATAACTCGGGTTGCTGAAAGAATGTTAATTATAAATTTCATATCATTCTCTATGATACGATAAATCATTAAGTTATCAACAACCGGCGTTTTCGGTCCGACCCGTTGATCCATCTCTGGGAAACCGAGATTAAGTATGGTTAGTTAAGCGGTTATTTAGGGCCTCCAAAACAAGAAGATCGAATCAAAATGATTACAATTTGTCAAAATGGAAAAATCTTAATCCCAAGATTACGTGCGACCTTCTGTGAGATTAGATTATCACCTTCACCACCTGGCTTTCATGATGAATCACACTAATTAAACTATTAACATATTGAAGAACACGTAATCATCCATGCTTCAAGCAAAAAAAAAAAAAAGAACAGTCTTGAAACCAAAGTTTTCCATGAAATGGCAACAGGCATATATAATAGAGGGGTCAAGTCAAACTCGCTAGATACGAGTACGACTTACGGCGGGGGGCGGCGATTACCAAAGAAAAATGAGGGTTTGTGTCGTGTGATTAGGCGGCAAACTCTGCTTAACTTCACCTAATTACAGCTCCACTTAAGTTATTAACTACTAGCTAGGCCTAGGGGCTCAAAACTCAAAAAAGTAAAAAAAGGTTGTTTAGGCCAATTAGTAGTGGGATTGAGTTGCGTGAGTTGGGTCATGGGTGTCCTTTTTCTTTTGGCCTATGTGGGAAATTAGTATTGTATCGATATTTCACTATCGAATATCAATATCTTGAGTACAAAATAATGCATTGAATTCAATCTCAAAGTAAATTCGATGTAATATCATTATATACCAAATATCAAATTAATTTTCTTGAAACTTATCAATTAAATATAAAACTTTTCATCTTTTATTAATTCTCTTGAAAATTATCAATTAAATATAAAACTTTTCATCTTGCAGGTTGCAGCAACTTCACAAATCATTCTCAAACTATATAAAAGAATAAATAATAATATCAACACTCGTGCAATATAAATAGGAAAAAAAATCTCAAATACAATAACGACAATCTAGGAAAAAATGGTGTTCTAAGAAACACAATAACAAACTAAAGCAACAGACTAAAATAGAAGACGACTGAGCAGCCCATAAACATAATATATGTAACGAATGACAGTGAGAGAACAAGCTATATATAATTAAGTGTCCATTTAAACGGTTGAGGGTCTGTTAGCATTGAGGGAGCATATATAGTTGAAATGGAGAAAATACACACTAACTTATATTTCAACAGTGAACCGTATTATAAAATAATAGGTGTGTTCGATAATACCAAATATTGAAAAATTATTATGGTATTCAGTATCCATACCAAACTTCCCGTGCCACTTTCTTGCATTTTGGAATATTAGATTGTGTCCGAAAACACGCTGGGCTTGCGATGGAGGCCCAGCATACCACAACCGCACTATAGTTGCTGGGTCATGGAGCAGATATGCAGCCCAACGATGTCCTGGGCTACGAGGTAGTTAGGCCCATATCTCACTAGACCCAAACGTTAAACGCATCCCAAATGATAAATACCAAAAAGGCACTCTTTTTGTTATTATTTCACAAATAACATTCCTTGCCCCCCTTCAAAAACCAGCTACGGCGGCAAAGTACTAGTAACGCACGGCACGGTGCCGTTTCTTCAAACGAGGAATCCAAAAGAAACTCCCCTCTGAACAACATCTCATGCACGCACCCAGGCTTGAAAAGAAAACCGCCAAACAAACAAACAAAGCAAATCAAACACACGCCCACTCCCTAAAATGAAAGCTGGCGCGCTTATTTATTACAACCGGCCCGGCCACTACGACGACGGGCAAGAAGTCACTTCGATCGATCTCTCTAGTAATTAGTCTCCTTACGCGTAGTGGTGGTAGTGCGCTGCTGCCCGCCGGTGCCGCCGATACCACCACCAAGACCATGCTCCTCCCGCTCATGAGTCACCCGATGCTCGCCGGCGGCGGTCTGGTTGTCGCCGCCCATCCCGAGCGTCTGCTTCACCGTGTCAGCGGCGCTGGCTGCCATGTTCTTCACCTTGTCCCCCGTCTCCGCCAGCATCCCTTTCGTCTTCTCCTTCCCTTCGTACGTCTTCTCCTTCGTCGCCTCCGCCGCCTCCCCGGCCCTGTCCTTCGCCTCCTGCGTCTTCGCTCCGGCCGTCTCCTTGGCCGACCGAGCCTTCTCCTTCACCGTGTCCGCCATCCTCCCCGTCTTCTCCTGAAACAAAAAAAACTCACCAAATTTACCCCGTAGTAAATAAAACAGAGTATAAAAGAGAGAACAACGAACGTTGCAGATTATATACCTCAGCGCGGCCCTCGGCTTTGCCAGCGTTGTAGTAATGCTCCTGGTTAGACGACATTTTCAGTATGTGCGTGCTTTTTCCTCTTCTTTCTTCCAAGTTGCTTATATAGTAGTAGAATGAAGTTGTTGTTGTTTTTGCTTTGTGGGTTTTGGATGGCCGGGGTGGAAGGAAGGGAGGGTTATATATAGCGGCCAAGCAGGTCACGTGAATCCAACACGTGTCTTCGCCACGGGGACGCTTGTGTTCCACGTGTCGTTTTCATGGCGAATATTATCTTTCGGGAAAGATGGATAATTCTGTAATTATTTAATTATTGTGGGAGCAGTGATGGGCCATTCTGGGGGCGACACGTGGTGTTGCGAGTGTCCTGTTTTGACGCGTGTCATTGATACGGTTAATTCATGTCGACAGCTGCCTGCTCGTTACTGTTATGCAATGCGATTCATTCACGTAAATAAAATTTAAAATATAATGTGAAATGGATCAGGCCGGCCCAATCCGAAGCCCAAATACAAACAGGGTAGGGATCAGTGGAATAACGGAGAGAGATTTTCTCTGGAGGGAGTGGGCAAGTTTTTCCCGCCAAATTCTGAGAAGATTTTCAAAATCAGTAGGAAGGAGGCTTCTTCCTCCCGGTACATCTTTCTTCCATTTTAATTTCACAGAGGCTACGAAGAAGGCGACGGCTCCGAAGTCCAAACTCACGATCCTCCGCTTTATTTTGGTTTCAATTGTAGCAGACCAAGAGCTACAGCACTCGCCAGCGACAGCAAGCCCTGTTTCTCCATGGTAACCACGCAATCTCCGACTCCCTTCTCTTATCCCGCTTACTCTGTATCGCAGATCAATTTCCGCCATCGGAAGGAATTACGAATCGGAATGATCGCACACTAAGTTTCTTGTGCTTCCACGATATGCTTCCCGGACGTTCTTTTTTCTTATAATTTTGGATTCGGTTGTTGGCTCGTTTTCTCGATATGGACGGAAGCTGTTCGATGAAATGCCCCACCTGCAGTTCGTTTTTACTGGCAATGATTTTTCGTGGATAGTAGTAGCTTTCCTTCTACTTCCAAGCTTAAACTGCCGTAGCATCCTCCACCTGTTTGATAAATTGACGATTAGGTTGTAAGGACTAATTTCCCCTTTGTTTCAACTGTGGTGGATGCAGTCTAAGAAACGGGGGCTCTCTTTGGAGGAGAAGCGCGAGAAGATGCTTCAGATATTTTACGAGTCCCAGGACTTCTTTCTTGTGAGTACAATTTTTGTACTACTCTCGCAATGTTGAATGCGTTTTCACTGCCTTTCCCTGTGTTGACGAAATTCTTGGGGGATGGAACTCGTCGGATAGAATGAAATGGTGTTGGTTAATGTATGCCGGAGGATGTATTTTTGTTATCGGTGGATCGATTGGTTTTGCTTGGCTTCTTGGGTTTTCTCGAAGTCAATTTGGCCATATGAATATGGAGAAGTTGTCTGTAGCATTGTAGATTCAACTACACCCTTTGGTTCTGTTGCATTGTAAAATTTTGTACTACTCTCACAATGTTGAATGCCTTTTCGCTACCTTTACCTAGATGGGTTTACGCCAGATTCTTAGGGGTGGAAATCGTCAGATGGAATGAAATAGTTAGTTATGCATGCTGGTTTTGGTTTGACTGCTTCATTCATGTCAACCTTCTGATATGAAAGTGGAGAAGTGGTCCTTCACTTTGTAGATTCAACTAAATTCTGATTTTCAAGCAGCTTTTTTGTCTTGCTTCCCAAATGAGTTGCTGTAAGTGCCCATAGTACGATAGAGCAATATGCAAAATAGATGCCTAAGTATCATTTTTACTTCTTCTAAATGATCTCTTTAACTCCAGCTTTTACATCAAGAGCTTATATATGGCTAGAATAGATGAACTTTTCACTGCTGAGACGTTTTTCACTTGTTCGTTTGCTTGGATGGAGGTGATTACTCAATGTGTAACCTTTGTTCTTCAAGTTCTCTAGTCGAAACTTTTAGTTTCCTACATTGCTTCCCTTAAATTATGCTAGTTCAAATGGATACTGGCGATCTGCTTGTCTGAAGGTTGTATATACTGCTAACTGATATTTGCTGCTTGCGCTTTTAGCTCAAGGAACTCGAGAAGCTCGGTCCTAAGAAAGGTGTAATCACTCAGTCCGTGAAAGATGTCATCCAGAGTCTTGTGGACGACGACCTGGTTTTAAAAGACAAAATAGGAACATCGGTGTGTAACTGCTCTTGCCCTGCTTTATTTAACAAATGAAATTCTATTTCTAGATCAGGACTGAACAATTTCTTCATCCCAGGTATACTTTTGGAGCCTTCCTAGCAGTGCGGGAAATCAGGTGTAGCATCAATGTTTTGATTCCTCTACCGGCCTGAAACTCATCATATCTTTTAACTTCTCTTTCCCATGAACTGACACCTTGGAGTGAAAAACAGCTGAAGAATGTATCCGACAAACTTAAATCTGATTTGGAAAGCAGTAATAAGCGGTACAAGGAGCTTGTTGAACAGTCTGCAGCCCTGAAGAAGGGGCGTGAAGAATCAGTACGCATATTTAAGTCCCATTTCGCATTCCCTTATTAAAAATGCTCAAACAAGGTCACTGACTATCCGAGTTTGACCTTGAACCAGGATGAACGAGAGGTAGCCTTGACTGAGCTGAAAGGTCTACAAGCAAAGCACAACGAGCTGAAGGTAAAACCTAATTCCTCAAACCCACATCAAGCTATGGAGATCATACAGTGAACCCCTCTAACTAAGTCTGATGTATAACAGGAGGAGTTGGCGAAATATGCAGATAATGATCCAGCTGCCTTCGAAGCAATGAGTTCAGCACCTGCTCTAGTTTGAATGCTTAAATTATCTACTGCAAAACAACCCCCTAAGTAATAATGTCTCCTGTTTTGACTTCACAGAGGAAGCTATCGACGTCGCCCATGCAGCAGCAAACAGATGGACAGGTACTTTTACCTCCCTTGTAAAAGAGACCTGAATCTTGTTTGCTCTGATCATGATATTCTTAATGTTTCTTCGTACTTGAAAATGGCAGACAATATCTTCACCTTGAGGCAATGGTGTTCAAAGAACTTCCCCCAAGCGGCAGAGCAACTCGATAACCTGTTCAAGGAGGTAAAAGGGAAACCATTCGAATTCGAAGCCAGTGTGCCAACTTCAAACACAGAGTGCTATCTTGCTTTATTAGAACTGATATAGACCATCTTTTCCATTCTAAATTGCAGGTGGGGGTAACGGATGAATTCGACTACTTGGAGCTTGCACCTGCTCTCCCTCTCAATTCAGTAAGCGTCCCCAAGGCTGAAGGCACTCCCTAGACTATCTGGTTCACTGGCTCATCATTGCAAACTTGTGTAGAGTTGGCATTAAGTAAACACATATAAGATTATATAAAGCCATAAAACATAATTTGATATTATATTGATCATTGGGTTAATATTCTAATTTGAAAGGTGAGTTAATTATAGATTTTGACTATATAAATAGGGTTTGTCTTAGCTCACCTGTACATACATTTATCTTGTGTATATGTGACCTTAACAAAATAAGGAAAAACTAGAATACGAGAGAGACCATCATCCGCAACTAACGTCATACTGACGTTATGATGTTGAAAACCTCCATGTTCTTTACTGGTTCTTCTGGATCGAGTGACACCTCCCGAGTCTCCCTATGCTCGCCGGCACCGGCGGTGGTTGCCTGATCGTCGTGTTCACCCATCCCAATTGTCTGCTTCACGGTGTCCGCAGCGTCAGCCAGCACACCTTTCGTCTTCTCTTTCCCTTCGTAAGTCTCCTCCTTCGCTGCCTCCGCCGCGTCCCCAGCCCGTTCCTTCACCTCTTCCGTTTTCGCTGCCACCGTCTCCTTGGCGGGCATCGCCTTTTCCTTCACCGTGTCTGCCATCGTCCCCGCCTTCTCCTGCGCTCGCCGAAACGCCATTAGACCGGAATTGGAAGTAGAAACAGAAAACGAACGTTGTTAGGGGGAAAGATGGAAGTATGTACCTCAGCGCGGCCTTCGGCTTTGCCAGCTTCGTAGTAATGCTCCTTGTTAGACGACATTTTGGCGTATATCCTCGAGTGATGTACGCAGGCTGATATATATGTATGTTTTTCCTTCGACATTTTTGTAGCTACGGTACTTGCCACGTCAGGTGAACTCAACACGTGTATTTGCCAAGGGGACGCTTGTATTCCACGTGTCGTTTCCATGGTGAAGGACGAATTCGACTACTTGGAGCTTGCACGGTGCTGTTCTCCAACTCGATTGCAGTAGGTGTCCTAAAGGCTGAAGGCACTCCCAAGATTATCTGGAGCTCTGGAGTTATACCCCTATGTCTATGTATAACTTCACTCTTCTTACTCTGGAGCTCTGTTTGTTCCCGGATCCAGAAATTTTACAGTGTCCTTTTTTAAAAATTAAATTAAATAATTATTAAATAAAAAATACCTTATTTTTCTGAAATACAACAAAGCAGATGAAGTGTTTGTATTTTGGAAAGATTGTAAAATACAATCGTTGTATAACAACTCTCGATAGATCCTACTGGAACAAGGGGACTAGAGGAGTCTTTGATTGGATTTACTCGTTAGCTATTGAAAATTATCTCTACTTATAGTAGCAACGACCCAAGTTCAAATCACTTAGACTAACATGTAAATATTTTTATGTACTCATACGCAAACTATTACTTGGAGTTGGATAATCATTTTTGCAAATTTTATTGGTGTCCAGCTACAATTTGAATATTTTTTTATCGATATGTAAACTACTATCGTGAGTTGAATATTTTTTTATCGATATGTAAACTACAATCGTATTCCCAAATTTTAGGGGTCTCCCGAGACACCCCAAAGCTCCATGAATCCGCCATTGGTTGTTGCCCATATTCCGAACTAGCCTTCGGGCAACACGTTGGAGTCGGATAGTGCACATCTATTACACTAAAAATAGTTTGGATTTTATCTATATTCACACAAAAATTGGATAGAATATCAAAATCGTACTCATATCCTATTGAGTTTGAGTATCCACGGTTAATCATGAATAATAATTTGTGCTGTCAACAGTTACAAATATACTGACATTACTTAAGTGAAAAGTGACAATAAATTAGTAAATTAGTAAAATGAAGGGTAAATACAATTTAATATCCAAACCTTTTATTTTAAATAATATAATAGCCAAACCTTTTCGAAAACAATTTAATATCCAAATCGTCAACTTTCTGACTGTTTGACCGTTAGTTGACACTTCAAAAAAGTTCGAAGTACGACACTTCATCAATATCCATCGATATCTTCTCTGAAAAACTACCAACATATCGTAGTTCCAAACCCGAGAAGTCCATGACTCCACCATGATGGTATAGAATATCTAAATATTCAGTCATCTGCAATGCCAAAACAAGAAACAAAGTTGTATTGTGACAATTTCCTCTAAACAAAGCTTTTTTGAAGTGTCAACTAATGGTAAAACGAACGGAAAGTTGACGATTTGGATATTAGATTGTTTTTTAAAAGATTTGGCTATTATATTGTTTAAAATGAAAGGTTTGGATATTAAATTGTATTTACCCTAAAATGAATAAGTGAAGTCACATTGGTCATTGAGGTTGCAAACATCTTGTTGCAAATCGCTGAGATCTCAAGCAGTCTATTTGCATCTTGTCACAGATCGCTGAGATCTCAAGCAATCTGTCACTAATCACTTTAACATAAAGCGATTTGCCCCAAAACATATACTCCTGGGAGAAATCCCGTCCATCACGCATCATCATTTTAACCATTTATGTCCAATGAATCAAAGCACACATCTCACTTCCAAGCCCCACAACCTCTTCAGAAATTAGCAACAATTTCGGGTCGAATAGACCACAAATAAAACTATAAAACAGAAATTGATATATATTCATTATTCACTTTTCAAGTATTGTCCTAAAAGACAGTGCAAGGCTACCAAGTTGGTACAAATGTTATCGATGACACACATCCTATGATCACAGGACAGAACCGAGAAGAGAAGTAGAAAAATATGGGGACGCATGACCAAAAGCTCATAAAAGAGAGAAAGAGAGAGCATTACAAATTATCAAGAACTTTGTTGGTAAGTTTCCAAGATCCTTATATACAAAGGGTCCACCGTTCAATGCCACACCACAAAGATGCGTGAAAGGAGAGTTTGAAGGAGAATCCATGATACAAAATGACCAATCTTCCAAAGATACTTCTCTACCGTGTTTCACAGGCAGCTGGCTCCCTGCACACAAGAAACAGAACCAAAATCACATCAGCTACAAAAGCATCCCTGTCCATCACTGATCGATGTTATTTGTCTCAATTGCACACTACTTATTTTGCAACTTGCTATGTGAGGTGTATTTGCAAGAATAGTATCTCCTTCAGTAGAGTAGAGTGCATTCTCAGAATACTTTCCAACCCCAAGTATATGATAAGAAGGCTAGATCATTCTGAAGCATTGGAGAGCACAGGTAGAATTCAAAATATGCTAAATGCATCATCAAAAGTGGAGAAGAAACTAATATGTTTGTTCAATTACATGATGCTATTGTAAAATACACTGAACCAAACACCTGCAATTGTAAATGCAATCCGACTGATGAGGAAATCCAAACCAAAGTAACCAAAAGGGAGAGAGTGTAGGGGACTTGAACCTTCTTTAGAGCGCCATTTCAGCCTGCAAGGCAGCAAGTTCGTCTTCCTCCTCAGTATTCTTCCTTTGCTGAACGGGGCGAGCAGGCTGTTTGCCTGCAGGCACGTGGACTGGAGCTGCGGGAGCTGTGGTTGCAGGTTGTAGAAGTTGCTCTTCCAACTCAGCACCTTCTAATTCTTCAAGTTCTGCCTCCAATTCATCCTGCACAATGACCAGTGTTTTGATTGTCATTCGGAAACAGTGACGGTAAGCAAGAACCCCCAAAAATATCCATCCATGTGATCTTACTTCATCGAAATCGGCTGCAGAACCAATTGGAGTTGACAATGCTTCTTGGATCTGTTTCATGTTCTCGGTTTGTTCATTGATTTCATCCATAGTCTTGTCGACATCATCAATATTCCTGTAATCAAGATGAACATTAAACAGATCACAGATGTTCTTGAACTTATAAGGAAACAATCTCTCCGCAAATACATAAAGTTATGGTAAATAATTTCTGCATACGTTGCTTTTTGCATAGCCTTCATTGCAGCTGCTCCAGTTCTCAATGCATCAACAGTTTCAGTAGTGGCTTTTGCGCCCTCTAACATTATCATCTGTAACATAAAATTTACCAGAACAACAATTAGAGCTTGCCCATACAGATAAAGTGACATATACTGGAAAAATAGGTCACCTGGTCGTGAATCCTCAATTGGTAATTTCCAAGTTGTTCTACTTGTTGTTCATACAGTCTCTTCCTTTTCAAGGATTGAAGAGCAGCTGCAGAAAACAGTACTCATCAGCAAGCATACACATCCCTCAAGTCTACACACAGAATAAGTATCTATTCAGGTAACAATACATATCAATATAGTGAGTGCATCCACGACAAAAAGACTCTTCCTTTCATATCCAAACTCACTGGTGTGAACACCCTAAGAAATTCGCAATGGGCAACTGAATGCTGATAAATTGCATAACATGCATAGTTAACAAGACAAATGCAATTCCATCACCAATCCATCACCATTCACCAGTATCCAAAAGCAGTACAAGCACATGATGCTACCATACCCCGTTTGTTTCCTCCTCGTGCATATTCTCTAGCCTTCTCAACTTCTTGAGCAGCTTTTTTGACAAGAACTTTCTCCTTTTTCTCGAGCATTTCAAGTGTCTACACAATTAAAAAGTAAAAGTAAGACCAAACCGTCAGAAACCCCATAAAAACCATCAACAAACACAACAACAATCCAATTTTCCGATAAAAGAGTAGAGATTGTAAAACACAAAGGAACCAAGTTTTGAGACTAATTAAGCATAACACAAACAGAAGGCAATCAGAATCAAGCATACATCATGTCATGGAGCTCTCATCAGTCATCACATCGTTAAGCTACATAATCTAAGCCAACAACAATGAAAAGCACACTCCTCCCAATAGAATGCATCATGCTTCACACATCCTATCGCTTATGCCAACAATCGCAAGCTCAATTAGCCAGAGTCCCGCAATAACCCAAAGAATAGTAGTACGACAGTATTCACAGCAATAAAGAAGTAGCTCTTCAAGGCACCGAATAAATCCCGCCACCCGATCCTTATCCCAAAGCGCGCGCACCCGAGAAAAACTCTGCAACAAAAGTAGCTGAAAGAGAAAGATAAGAAAGAAAGCATGAATCTTTACCTCGTTCAGTTTATCCAAGGTGGTCAGGGCATTGCCTTCCTGCTTAGGCTTGCCAAATATCCTGGTAAACATTTTTCAACTATATCGGAAGTGACTCCCTCCTGCCCCCGATCTGCCAAATCAAACCCAAAAATCAAAGACCCGCGATTGATCAAAACCCTAATTCTTCAAATCCGCACTCGTCCCAAGCATAGAACGAATTCCGATCGCTGTAACATAAAAAACCCACAACACGAAGGAAAAGAACGAGCAGAAAAGACGGGCGAATATCGTAATCGCAGACCTGTTGAATAGGATAGTGAGAAGCGCGAAATTGATAGATCGGCTAGAGTTGATTGGTGGGGTGGAAAGAATTAGGGCTTTCGATTGAGCAGAGATTGATAGTGGAGAAAGAGGGAATGGATGGATTCCTTAGGCGCGTCTCTCTGTTGGGGATGATGGACCGCAAAGAGAAAGGAGAAGGAAGCTGCTTTTCGTTTCCTTCCCCAATTCCACAAGGCGTTGAAGTTGGTTCATTGGGTTACGCGTGGCTGATACTCATTGGCCGATTTATGTTGAGTTACATTTTTATCCCCCTGACAACTTGCTGAACTGCCGATTGACTTAAAGCGGCGCCGTTTAGGATCTGTTAACCACGGCAGTCGGCATGCCTTCCCTTTGACCTTCCCTTTCTTCATCTTGATGTAGGGGTTTGTTTAGGGCAAAATATAGTTTCTAGTTGCACAATTTTAGACACTTTGCTCCACTTCTACACTTCAACTTTACGTTCTTAGTCTAGGTAAAGTCCATCTTGCAAGAAATACTTGGTACTACAATCATTGGAGGAACAATACCGAAGCCTGAGGATGTTCCAGAATCGTTTCGGTTGCTCGTTCGAGAACTACGATCTTTTCGCTCACGGATGTCTTTCTTTACTATTCTCCACTTAAATTGCTCTAAAGTAGACCAGGCAATCAGGTCGATTGGATAATTTTGGGTTAGAAATTTCGGATTACGAATCATCATGAATTGGTTAATTTAGGGTCAACTATTGATCCAACCAAAAACTTTGGGGTCAGCTTTCAGGTCATTTTGGTTTACGAGCATTCTCGGAAATAAGAATACACATGCTTCATGTTGTTTTGAATCACACAAATTTTCATATATGCATGCCAAATTTCCAATAGTTTGCTTAACACATGTCAATTACATATTCTCAAATCTTCACATGCTAATGAAAGAAAATATAAATTATACAAATGGTTAAGGAACGTTATGAGAGTACATCCTTCTGAATTTTGTTAAACATCTTACCAAATTATGAGTCATTTTATCATTTCGAGAGTGAAATATGATAAGGAATGGGTTAAACGGGTCGACTCACTGACCCTCCAATCTAACCCAAAAAATTATTGATCGTTCGGATTTTGGGTTATAAAAACTTCTACCTGATTTTAATTTTTCAAACAGGTTCGGATCGGATCAAGGGTTGGACCATAATTTGCTAGTTCTACTCTAAAGTCTAAACACCATGGTTGTCATGCCGGTGGCATGCCACCCGGTTGAACCTGGTTCAACCTGTGTCGGTCATGAAACCGGCATAACATCACCTCCTCTTTTCAACCTAAGATACGTACATACATATATCCCCATACAATCAAGATCAAAATCTTTTTCTTTAGTCGAACAATTTCAAGTTGGTTCTTCATTTGCATTGGCATCAAACGTGTAGCTCAAATGAACCGAAGCAGACAACAATTGCTATTAGTCCATGGCTATTCACCAATTGCTCTCGACCAGTCCACGTTAATACCAGGCTATAAAGATAATAGAATGCTTAACCTTCCAAGTACAACTGTTGTATTTGAAGTAAGTGCTCATTAAAGATGCTGTGTAAGCCGAAAACTCTCTACAATTTGTCACCTTAGACAAGGTTGTAAATTTGATGCTTAATAAAGTACAAGTTTAGGAGCTAAATCACGCTTTAGCCTTTGAAAATCAAATTAAAACCTCTCGAAGGAAATAGACAAACAGTCCTTTTCCCCCACAGCTCTCAAGGTAATGTCGTAACCAGCCTCCTCTCTTTTGGATCTTTCTACTACGAAAGAAGTCGCCAATCGTCACTGCCTATGTATTCCACTTCCAGCCGATGCCCGCCATCTCTGCTCACTTCTCTTTCACCCCAACCATCATCGCCCATGGCTGCTACTCTCCAGTGGCGCTGCTTCCTCCTCCTAACCCTCTTCATCTCCATTTCATCAACACCAACCGATCAACAGACCCTTGCTCAAATCCCAATCAATTTCCTCAGCTCGGCCAAAACCCCAGAGCTCGTCGATTACATGGTAAGCATCAGGAGGCGAATCCACGAGAACCCAGAACTCGGTTATGAAGAATTCGAAACCAGTAAGCTGGTCCGTGAAGAGCTTGATCGGCTGGGGATTCGTTACGAGCACCCTTTCGCCGTTACTGGGATTGTTGCCTCTATTGGCACCGGCGGACCTCCTTTCGTCGCTCTTAGAGCTGATATGGATGCTTTAGCTCTTCAGGTTTTTGGGTTTTCATTCCCTCTCTTGTTTTTTTCTCTGTTTGCTACTTAATTCACAAAGTGGGCATTTCTCGTAGAAGCTAAAATTGAATCAAAGGAGATTTTTTTTTCTTCCTTCTTTTCTGTTTATCCTTGCTATTGACCCAGGAAGCTGTAGAATGGGAGCACAAGAGTAAAGTTGCAGGCAAAATGCACGCTTGTGGCCACGATGCTCATGTTGCTATGCTTCTTGGTGCTGCCAAGTTGCTCCAGGAACACCATAGTCATGATCTGCAGGTTTGAAACATCAATCAATTCAATTTCTTAACCGTTCATATGGACCAGTCCATTGTTTTGTTTTGCGTATTTTAAGCAAGAGAAAAAGTAAGTGTCATGGAATCCACATTTCATGCGTTAGTCAGTGTATGGAATGGAACACACTTTCTTGACTTTTTCTTAAGTGTATATGCGCAGTTTCTGGAAGCAGTCCTTTTAAGTTGGTTATATGATGTGTTGGATTTGGGTTAGGGGACAGTTCTGTTTGTTTTCCAACCAGCTGAAGAAGGAGGTGGAGGAGCAAAGCAAATGGTGGAAGCTGGAGTGGTTGACAGTGTAGACGCCATCTTTGGGATTCATGTGAGTACCAGCTTCCCAATTGGCACAGTGGCCTCAAGAGCTGGCCCAGTTCTTGCTGGGAGTGGGTTCTTCGAAGCTGTGATAACTGGGAAAGGAGGCCATGCTGCCATTCCCCACCACACCATTGACCCCATTCTTGCAGCTTCAAGTATAGTCGTCAGCTTGCAGCACCTTGTTTCCCGTGAAGCTGATCCCTTAGACTCACAGGTGACTATATTACCACATTTGCGTGTTGCTTGCTTTGTTGCTTTCATGATCATCTTAAAGCGTATACAATTCTGCTTCAGGTGGTGACCGTTGGTAAATTTGAAGGAGGTGGTGCGTTCAATGTCATTCCAGATTCTGCCACCATTGGAGGAACATTTAGGGCCTTCTCCAAAGATAGCTTTGCCCAGATCAAGCAACGCATCGAACAGGTTCTCGCAATAGTCGTAGTATCATGAATGGATCATTCTTGATTGTTAGTTCAGTGCCCTGCTATTGATGTTCATGGCTCAATAATCTCGGTTCCCAACAGGTTGTGACGGGGCAGGCTAAAGTCCAGAGGTGCAATGCAACCATCAACTTCAATCCGAACAACAAGCAGACATATCCTGCTACGGTGAACGATGCAAGTCTACACGAGTATTTTGTTGGTATTGCGAGAGACATGTTGGGAACCCAGAACCTTAAAGTTATGGAACCGTTGATGGGTGCGGAGGACTTCTCTTTCTATGCAGAGAAAGTTCCTGGCTGCTTTTTCTTCGTGGGAATGCAGAACGAAACTCAAGAACCACTTGTGGCGAGTCATTCACCACAATACCAAGTCAACGAAGATGTGCTTCCATATGGAGCAGCTCTGCACGCCTCGCTGGCCGTCAGGTACTTGCTGGAGCATCAGCCGGAATCTGCAACGCCTCCTGAAGAAGTAATAAGGCCTAACGATGAGCTGTGAAGAGCCACATGAATGTTGGATTGCTTTCTTGTTTCTTGGAGCAACGCCATATTTGTGCACTTCTTAGTAGATTCACTTCACATTTAAGTTGTATTTTCCCTTCTCCCATCGTGTAATCCTATTATCATGGTGAAACCGAAAGTTACGTTTTAGGAAAAGTATTGAACATTTGAACGCAAGATTTGGGAAGTTGCATTGTGGACTTGCAATGGAATTCCTCACAGAATTGCTTCCAAATGAGCAGATCAGGAAATTGTATTGTATATGAATGATTCCACTGCTGGATGAGAAACAAACAAAAAATCATATCCCCAAAACCAGTAAAAATAGTAAATGATGGACATTAATGGTGTAGTGGATACTACCGTGTTCCATTTTATCTTTCGGATCAAACCCATACCAGACACAAACAAGCAGGCTGGAAAAGCAGAGAAAGAAGGAAGAAGTGGGATTATACCAAAGGTGGAGGTTACCTTCTTTTTCCTCGACGACAACCATGGCTGGGTTGAAGCAAGGACCCAGAAGTTCAAGCATCCGGAAGAACAAAGGGCATTCTGGCACGGGAAGCTGCAACGACTATACTGGGGCTTGGAAAAGCATTAGACGTTACTTGCTGTGTTTCAGTCCATGGAGTTCTATGACAGGGAAGAAGAGTTGCAGGGGTTCCTTAGCGAGAAACAGTAGCTGCAGAGTGTACTCCATGAATGATCAGCACAGGGAGGAAAACATCAAGGCTGTTATTTTATACTGCAAGAACAATTCGATCCCTCTTGTATCTCTCTCTCTCTCTCCTCCTCTCTTTCTGTGCTCACTTTTGTAGATCATGTTCAGTATCTGATTTGAAGATGTGATTTTCGAAGGGGGATTTTGATTTTGGGGTTGTCTTGATTGCAGGTCGCGAGGAACTGAACAATGGATTCGCCCACAGGTCCAACGAGACATGCTATCATCAATAACAGAGACTGATCAAATGTAAGCCATTCAATAAAGAGATGCCAGTCCGATGGGAGTTGGGACTTTAAATTTGCAGTAGAAACTTATTCTGATGCAAACAACAGGACAATATCCTCATCCATCTTTCGTTCTTCCCTTGATCCATCGTTGTAGCAATAAGATTCCTTTGCTGTTACGAAGTGTTTAGCCCGAGGCGCACTCTAAAAGAACCAAATGACCAACAATTTTTGGTTCGAATTTAGAAGTGTTATCAAATTACTAAGATGGTAGACCAACAATCTTGACAGGATCAGGGATGGTAAGAGTGAAGACCATAATCTCTAGTGTACCAGATTGCAGCAACAAATGTCTTGGTCTCCACAACAACCGCGACTGGAAACAAAAGCTGACAACTCTGGTCTGGTGATCCAATCCTGTCATCTAGATCATCAGGTTGTCCACCCGAACTTGGTACCGTGAAAGATACACAAGATATCCACTCCACTTCCCTGCTGAACCATGGCTCAAAACTTTGACCTTGTACCAACTCGACTATATCTGAACCTACACTCACCTAGCAATTCATTCTACTGATGAATCCATGAAATACAACTAGATAATTACGACGATTCAGTAGACATACGGAGAAGATAGCAGCCAGACGATGTCAGTAGTGATTAGCTTGTGCTATGGGAGAAACGAAAGCTACTAAAGCCAAAGAAACTCCAAACTACTCTTTGAATGGAAAATCTCATTACATACCGAATCGACAATAGCTGTTCAATGCTCGATAGCAAGTAAAATCAATCCACGTCCATGACAAAATTTTGAGTTCTTCCAACACACACCTAAAGTAGCAGTGTTCACCCCCTACATAGCCAGAACTACCACCGCTTAAGACTTCTCGGAAGAGTTGGGTCCTCGCTTCTTGCCGAATCCAACAACTGCAACCAAATAAGCAGAAAGGAACAGCATACTCAGAAACTGATAACCAATCCTAAATATATCCCGTTTCACAAATGGGATTGAAACAGAGCTCCGAAATGTGGAATAGTTCCTAATGAACATTGCGAAACTAATTAGGCAACAAATAATGCACACACATAGATGGAAAGCACATGACAGGCCTGAGTTCAAAATCAGATGGGATCAACTTGTATAGTAGGTCGAAAGTGATTTCCTTTTCCTATATAGGAACTAACTTGTCCTCATTACCCTATAATTCCAAGGAGCAACACTGACCACAGCGTTTCCAAAACCCTAATTGAGAAAGGAAAACAACCCCACAAGTGCATTTCCTTCCAACTGACGATAACAGAAGCACTGACACACCTTACTACGCGAACCAAGCGAAAGAGAGCTGACTACCAGTTCCCTCCAATTGAAACAGACGCCCACGCGAATTTTCAATACCAATAAGAAAATCTAAAGGGGAAGAAATGGACAATTCATACTGGGAGCAGTGGAGCTAGATCAAGAGAGAAGAGAATGGGAGATAACATACCAGCAGTGACGAATCTGCGGGTGTATTGCATCCTCTTGTGGGCACGACCGCGTGGCTTCTTCTTCTTCTCCTGCTTCGCGACCTTGGGAGTCTGCCCTCTGACCTTACCGGCACGAGCCAATGAACCGTGAACCTTACCTGCAAATCAAAGAACGAAATCCCCTCTCCGGAAATCAGTTCCCCGCTGATTAGTTTAACTAAGGGAAGCAGAAGATCTCCGCAAGCTCCTCTTACCCATGGTTGTGATATATCTTCTGCCGCTTCGTCGCCGATATGCAGTTATTGCCCCCTGAATGTGCCGCCTGAAGCTGCGATGTGAATGTGCTACAATGGTGATTTTTAGGGTTAGGGTTTTCGTGATTATATATTATATTGGGCGATATGAGTGCTGCTGGGACTGTGTGGGCTGGGTCGGTGGACTTGTGGCCGGGCTAAATTTAGGCCTTTATTGGGGTGGTTTTCAAGCTGCGGGTCCGCAGCGATATGGGCTTTTAGCCTATTATTGTTGAGTCAAAATTAGGCGGCAAATGAGCCAAATTTCAACTATGTTTTGTTGAGCTTGCTAATTAGCTTGACTTAATGGCTTGTTGAACTCAAATTGTGAGCTAACTTATTTTTTTGCTATAAACTATAATGTTACTTGGCAATGTGGCTAGCGGTTTATGAGTAAATCAATTTAGTTTTTTTAATTGGTTTGTTGACAATTCATAAGTTTGGTAGAATATATACCTCGCTAAATATGATGTTTATAATTTTGAGTACATGAGTAAATATGTCTCACTTATAATTTGATTATTTAGATACTAATTACTATTTAATAACAGTATATGAACAAAATTATATTACACTTGAGTTCAACTTGCTCTCGTGAGTTTATATATATGATGAGCCGAATTCTTTAATCTTTAATTATTCGTGGATTATTAATTTATTATTGTTGTTTTGGGTTATTCGTGTTAGTTCTTGCTTAGGAATATTATTTATCATTAGGTATCCTCTCTAGGAAGTTATTGTTTACTTGTTTGGTTAGGATGAGTTTACCTTATTTGAGAGGGAAAGGCTCGAGATCTACTGCGCGTGGATCCGCACACTCGTCACATACTCACACGTGTTACTTGAAAAGGAAGAAACGCATCGTCCTCGGTCCCGCGAGGAATTCCCGCGCAGAGAAATAAACCACTCTTCTTTTAAGTCTCAGCACAACAATACCCAGTCCTTAGGGTTTATTCTGTTCTCTTCTTCTTCTCCCTTCTCTTCCCCGTTCTGATTGCTGCTTTGGAAGAGACCAAGTGGCAGCTATGCAAAACGCCGGCGGTGATCACCACGACCGTGGTTCGATTCCGTCATCTGCGGGTACGGATACGTCGGTGGCGGCGGAGCTGGCTACTACGAACTTGAAAGACGACGCCGCCGCCGCCATACCGTCCTCCGCATCAGACCTCAAGCATCCCTTGCGCGATCGGGTCCTAATCCGATCCATCCTCTCCCGCCCCGACGGCGGAGCTGCGCTGGCCGGGCAGCGCATCCGCGTCCTCGGATGGGTCAAGACAGGGAGGGAGCAAGGGAAGGGCAAATTCGCCTTCCTGGAAGTCAACGACGGGTCTTGCCCGGCGAATCTACAAGTAATTGTGGATTCCGGCAAGGCCAAACTCGGTTCGCTGGTGGCGACGGGCACCTCCGTCAAGGTCGAGGGTTTGCTGGTGGCGCCGCCCGTAGGTACGAAGCAGAGGATTGAGCTCCTGGTCGAGGAGGTTCTCCACGTTGGTCCGGTTGATCTAGCTCAGTATCCAATTCCCAAAACCATGCTCAGCCTGAAGTTCTTGAGGGATTTCATCCACCTCCGCCCCAGAACCAACCGGGTAAAAAAATCCAATCGATGTTCCCTTTTTTCTGAATTTTGTTTTCCTTTCGTATAGAATTGACTCTTGAATGGCAAATGCTGTTGTTTTTGGCTTCCAGATTTCTGCAATTATCCGAATTCGCGATGCCCTAGCTTTCGCTACGCACTCCTTTTTTCACGAGAACGAGTTTCGGCTGATTCATACCCCGATTATCACCACCAGCGACTGCGAGGGCGCTGGTGAGATGTTCCAAGTGACGACGATGGTTGGCGAGGCGGAGAAGCTGCAGAAAGGGGAGGTGGGAGTGGCTGCTAAACCTGGTATCCCTCAGAAAGATGGGAAGATTGACTATGCTGCTGATTTCTTTGGACGTCAGGCTTTCTTGACCGTCTCTGGTCAGTTGCAACTTGAGACTTGTGCCTGTGCGGTTTGCGATGTGTACACATTCGGGCCGAGTTTCAGAGCCGAACACTCTCATACTTCGAGGCATCTGGCTGAGTTTTGGATGGTGGAACCCGAGATAGTTGATGCAGATATTCAGGTATGTATATGCAGTTCATTCTCTGTTTCTGAAAGTTCAATTCGGTGTCTTACAGTAAGCAAGCGAGAACATTGTGGAGTTGTTAAAGATGCGGTGATTCTGTGAGGCTTGATGTTCTGCTGTTGATGAGATAAAGAATGATTTGTATACCAAATTATTTGCAGGATGCCATGAACTGGGCAGAGGCATATGTAAAGTACATGTCCCAGTGGCTAATTGATAAATGCCATGATGACATGGAGCTCATGGATGACAAAGGCTGCATTGACCGCCTAAGAATGGTGGCATCGACTCCTTTTGAGCGAATTTCATATACAGAAGCAGTGAAAATCCTTGAGGAGGCTGTGAAGGGTGGTAAGAAGTTTGATAACAAAGTTGAATGGGGGATTGATCTGGCATCCGAACATGAGAGGTATTGTTTCATGCAAAAACTTCACATCTTCGGTTCTGTTCATTAAAAAAAAAATCGACTTTGTTTTGGGTAGTGCTTATTTGATTTTGTTCATCATTTACTCAGGTTCTTGACAGAAAATAAGTTCCAGAAACCGGTGATTGTTTACAATTACCCTAAAGGAACCAAAGCTTTCTACATGAGGCTCAATGACGATTCAAAGACAGTGGCTGCAATGGATGTCCTTGTACCCAAGGTAAAATAATATTTCATCCTTCTGTTGACACCTCTGAAATCCCATTACCAAGTTTCAGCCGCATTTCGATCAGTTTACTCGGAGCTTACTTTTACTGTCAATTTCAGGTAGGAGAGTTGATTGGTGGAAGTCAGAGGGAGGAGAGATACGAAGTTATCAAAGAAAGGTATAACTATTGCATGTTGGCTGGTTAGGGTTTTGTATAATCGACTTGGAAGTTAAAGGTTACTATCACTTTTGTTCTAATGAGTGCCATTTGATGACAGGATTATGGAGATGGGGCTGCCTCTGAAGCCATATGAGTGGTACCTTGACCTTCGCCGGTTTGGGACCGTAAAACACAGTGGGTTTGGGTTAGGATTTGAACGAATGTTGTTGTTTGCGACCGGCATTGACAACATCAGAGACGTTATTCCCTTCCCAAGATTCCCAGGAAAAGCAGATCTGTAACTAGCTTGTTAGTTTAGAAAGAACCAGCATGTCCATGTATAAGATATGTGTTTTCATGTTTACATTTGCTCATCTTCTCTTTTCATGAAGCTCAACCCACGATTCCTTCCAATGTATGATTTCACTTTTATTATAGTATCCGCATTAGTTTTGTTGTGGGGGCAGGAATGAGGATGAGTTTAGCTATCTCACTGAATTTCACACTAATACTATGTGCTATCAAGTATCAACAACCCATCTTCCTTTAAACAATATATTTAACTTCAATTATCAAATTATAATAAGATTAATCCGGCTTATACGTCTTTCTTGAGAACTCACTCAATTTCGGTATATTTGACACTCATTGTTACATATTATTTGAAGAAAAATTCTATTTTCTTACGATTAAACAAAGAAAAAACCGTTCAGAAACCAAATAGAGATGCTAGGTAGGTTAATTTAGTCCAATTCGTAGTTGAAGTCTTTCACTTATTCGAAGTGTCATTGGGTGAAAATATGAATAAAGATAAGTCAAAGTAAGAGAAATAAAATAGATGTTGAGATAAATTAAGGCAGAATGGAGGTCATAGGTAAAGACGGAGCAAGCTAGTGCGCAAGTAGTCAGTGGCAGAGCCAGAAAATTGGTCAAGGGGGTGTTTTTTCCATACCACAAAAAAATCAAATGCATAATAGAAAATATATTCTAAATGAAATAAAACGTCATCAAAATAATACTATAGATTCACAATAATAGTCCAAACGCATGTCACTTACATACGAACCGAAGGATTTCATATGATTAAAAGCATTATAAAATACATTTAAGGTACAAAGTAGCACAAAGTTCTTGTTCAATATGTCATTAATGCATCTTTCATTTAGTTATTGTGACGGTAGGATTTAGTGAATATCGTAGGCGTCCATTTGAGAAGGCGGAGGCTATCTAAGGAGTGGTTATCCCCACTTGTGAATCCATTCATAAATCATCCAAGTGTTGGATAATACAACTCTAACGAGAGTTCTCTCCATTATTATGAGTCGAGCGAGTGTGAGTGAAAACTGACTGAGTTCTCTAACGCGACTTGAGTGCTAAAACTACTTGAAAAGAATTTAGTCTCTGACAAACTCACAGGGTAGTAGATAACTCCATCAGTTTCTCCTTTTGCAATTGAGTTTTGTGGATTTAAACAAGTCATAGATGACAATAAGTGGCAATTGAGTTTTGAGGATTTTAATAATAGTTTAAATAAAAGTGTATGCGTGGTGATTAGTACAACACAAAACGTCTCCAGTTTAGATGGTCAGATGGGTGGCATGAGATTAACATGTAATGCTCAATTATCTTGCAATTGTTTTCTCCAAGGGGGTTGCACGCCCCGTCCACTTATAAACCGCCTCTAGAGCAAATCGGATAATATCTAGTAAGACGAGAACTAATTGCCATCAGTCACTATTTATTTTAATATATCTAAAGTCATTAACAATAAGTATGACGACGAACACTAAGAAATTTAATATGTAACAACATTTGTAAAAGAGAATAGATATATAGAACTTAAACATTGACAAAAGCACAAAACTACAACCTTTCTGTTTCTGATATGGGAGAATAATTTCACATTACAATTCGAGTATAGATTCAGAAGGTCAATGAACTTATTTTTTTCATTTCACATTCAAAACCCATCGGGAGTCAACTGTCAAGTTAACTATTTTTAGGTGGCGAAGATCGAACAAACACACAACTTCAGGGACCTTTTGTGAAATCTACCCGTAAACCTAATCAAAATCAAAACTGAGAAGAAAACTCAGCCCGGTGGCGCCTCCTTCCTTAACCGAACCAGAGCTCTGCCATCGTAAATTTCCCGGCGAAGCGGAAGACGACGATTAGGAGCGGGGACGTACGTGAAAATGAAGAAGCTGGCAAGAAGTTTGAGGAAATCTCGAGACGACGGTTTATCACTTCCAACTCAGGATGATCCCGACGACTCTCGTCCCATGGATCCCCAAGGTAAAATTTTTACCAAACCTATGGCGACCCGTCTCTCTCTGTCTTCCTCTCATTCTCTTGCTGCTGCTCAATCGCTCTTTGTCTCTGTTTCCGCGCAGAGCAAGAGGAGCTGGTTCGATCCCTCGAACACGCGCAAGCTCAGCAAGCTCAGTTATGGACGGTAACATTTCATAGCACATCTCCTCCCCTTTTTAAGATTTCGCTTCCTATTTCTGAACATTATGGTAAATGAGTTGTTCGATGATTTGGTTTCCTCTTTCCTTTTGACGATTCTTTCACCCGATTGAAGAGAGTGTTCTCTGCGATCCTCCTTTGTTACGCTGCCTTCCTAGTTTACTCAATCTACCAGCAAGCAACTTCCCCCTGGGAATTGGTGCGTTATCCCTAATTGATTAGCTAGCAGCTTCACTGAAATTCAAATGGAATCGTGTTAAGATACCATTTCCATCTTCTTCTTAGATTGATCCAGTCTTGTCTTTTTTTTTATCAGCGGTATCACGCATACTTCATGGAAGATATCCCTTCATGGATGGTGATTTCAGCAGGTATGGTACTATGGTTCACTTCATTTCTTTTATCCTCCATTGTTTTTACAAATATGGTAATGGAATGACTTCTCTAGCTATTGCTTTGCAGCATTTTGCTGCTTTCTGGGTTCTTCTTACTGTGCATGATAATGTAGGAGTGATTGACCTCTGCAAGCAAGCATATATGTCATACCTGTTGGATTAACTATGGCAGTTCGTAAAGTAGGGAACTTTGATATTCATAACGTTCGCCTTCAGATTTGCTATTTGTTGTGAGTTGTAATCAGTGGAAATCGCGCATTTGTTGTGTTTTGCTAACCTTTTAAGCAATTCAACGCAGACTGGTTAGCTGTTCTGGTATGCTCCCTGGCCATCGTTGGGATACTGAACCGTAGAAGAAAATGGATTTGGTACTCCTGCTTTGCTGGGTTTGCAGTCGCTATATTTTGGTTCTATTTTATGTTAAGGTAACGAGGAGTTTGCGTATAATCACCTTTGTTTGATGGTTTACTGGTTTATTACTCCCTGAAAGATTCAGTGGAAGGAAGTTAAGGACTGGTGTTTTTGACTTTGAATTATAGGCTGCCGAGATTCAGGATGGATGTGATATGGCTTCCTCTAGGACCTCTTTGGTGAGTAATACTCTACTCGTATGATTAGATTTTGGTCTGAATTTTCATTTAGATTACATGTAGATGATGTAGGTTTAATCTTAATGAGACTTGTACTTTGTCTGACAAAAATTGCAGCGGATCTTCTGTTTGCCTTTACGTTGATAATCTACTCGCCGAATCATCAGAAGAGGTGAAGAAACTCAGAAGCTACATGTATTCCTATAAAGCGACTTAGTTTGAAAGCTCTGCTAAGCTTCCTCACCAGCACTACCACTTCGTGGCCAACTAGCTCCACTGGAGTCAGTTCCTATCAGTCGAGGGAGTTGCAATAGTGCTCTGCCAGTTGCAATGAGGAAGAAGCAATAGTGCTCAGAATGAATCATGGAATCATCTCGCCATGAACACCTTAAGAGCTCATCGAGTTTATGTTCACAGGAATGGCTCTTCGTTTGCTATTGTAGCAGTGAATTAACAAGATTACTGAATTGTGATGCATCTTATATCATTAACAACTTTTTTTCGATGGATAGTAATTGAAGTGGAAACGAAGCTGAGGAAAGTGAGTAGTGAATTGAAGTAAAAAAAAAAAACTAACAAGGCTAACTATGCCATTAACACGATGATATATTCTGAGTAATTAAACGAGCATTTCAACTAGATAATTAGCTTGCACGACCTTATCTAGGCAGACTGCATCCCAACGGCCATCATGTAGATGAGAGGCAATAGAAAATATCATTAAGTTCAAAGCTTTCAAATGGTAAATATGAGGTGACAATATCCAACAACTTGTACCAACAAAAGCCTAGACTTGTTCTCCAAATCCGTAAACATTGACAAAACTTCTTCAAAAACCTAACACAACAGCCCGATAGAAATACGGAGTGACGCAGATTACTCATCCTCCTCTATAACCTTTGTTCCCAGCCCCTTGAGTCCTTCTGCTGGGATCTCTGCAACAGTGACAAGGGAATAGAGCTCCTCCTTGGCATCTTCATCATCATTCCTCTTCCGAGCAATGCGAACCCTGATTCTTCTTGGAACGCTCCTAATTCCCTTGCTCCAGATTTGCTTGTTCAGCTTCACGTCCACCCTCACGTCTTTAGTTCCCATGGCTTTCTCAGCAAACTTCCTGATCTCCTTGATGGCCTTGGGAGCCTTCTTCTTGAAGGTACTGGTACATATAAATTGTTCAGCATCCGAAATAGGGTAGATGACACAGACAATGATCTTGAATTGATAAGGTTAAACTGTATAAGAAAACCTCGAGTACAATGTAAACAGGTCACAAAAAAGCAAGCTCATAGGTCAACCATAGGCATAGCAGATTAGACTGCAACTAACATAGTTACCGCAAGACACAGGCGAACAAGATGCTACATCATAAAGGGATCATCTAGGGACGGACCGTTATCAAGCTACTATGTATTGTACAAATTAATCTCTGATGTTCACGGACGAAGGGACCAAAAGTCTGAACTATTGCCCAAGATATTAATCTTGTCAAAGACATATTGAGCGAATCATCAGTTCAAGCTTACTCTGATACTCTAATTTAGACATAGACCACAACAAGCAGACAGACACTCCTAATACTTTCTAGGAAATTTGACGAGCATTAACCAGTGACAATCAAGGTTTAAGAATGCCATTATCCGGGTCTTCGCCACTATCAGTCCCATGCTCACACTGAATCACCAGCTCTTAAAGCTAACATTTCATCATCCCAGAAAAGTACATCTATGACCATAACATAAGCCCACAACTCTCACCATCGTCACCAATGGAACCAGGACAATAGGATTTCAAAAATACAAAAACCACCAGGTCACCATTGGAGCACGAACACTATGATTCGGATTAAAGTTAAACCTAAACCCAATCATTAGGGTCCTGCTTCATATCCTGGAGTTGAAAAAGCCCATAGAGATTCTAACAAGATCCCGCTGAAGAAGGCCGCAGATACGAAAACTTTCAGAGACCCACGAAAATGAAAGCTGCAGGGAAATAAGAGAACGGAACTGACCAGCCATGCAAGCGCTTGTGCAAATTGATGGTGAACTCACGAGTCACCACCTCCTCTTTCCTGATCCTCGTCTTCTCAACCATCTTGGATCTCTCTCTCGGTCTGCAACTATATCCATCCAGCCGTTACGTCAAAAAGGGTGGAAAACAAACAACAAAAAGCCAATGAAAAGCTATGCTAGAACCTATAGCTGCGCAGACATGCGAGAGAAAGGGGAAATCGAGAAGCAAGACGGAATGCGAGAATTTACCAGTCGAAGGATGCAGAGAGATTGGAAGAAGGCAGCGCGGAAGGAAGCGAAACTGCGGTCAGACTGTCGAGTTAGGTTTATAACAACCTAAATGGAACTCAAAACCCTAGTGGCCTGTGGTGCTGAAAAGACGTGCTTGCCCCCCTCCCGTTGCGGATCTCGATTGGCCCAATGGACTCTCAAGTTATGAACATTTGAACGGGCCTAGGTTGATATTCGGGCCCATTTCGAGCGCCCTCCCGAAGGATATAGGCAAAGCAAAGGGTTGGCCTGCTAACGAATCCGACAACTATGGTGAACATGAATCAAATAGGGTATTCTCAATCTCTCCCGTCTTTAGGTGTCTCCAATTCGACCAGAGTTCAGATAGGAGATCTCTATTCACTATGGCACCATTAGTTTGCAGGACTATCTCTATTCAAATCTTATGATAATCTAATCAATGTGACATTGTGACTAGTTAAAACCGCGATAATAGTCTGCCATTGCATTATCGGAAGTCTGTATAAAGATAATTTTCTTATCGAGAATATAAAAGAAGTCGTTCAGCTACAACGATTGGAGGCGAGGTCTAGCGAACATTGATTGTTTCACTCAAGAGTAGGGGTGTGCAACGGTTCGGTTCGGTCCGGACCGGACCAAACTCATGAGAACCGCGGTCCATTAGTGAAAGACATGTTAGGACCAAGGACCGGACCATTCTTGCATTCGGTCCATTTGGTCCGGTTCGGTCCGGTCCAAATATGAGCTCGGTCCACCATTTCTTCAGTAATTATAAAATTCATTAGGACCAAGGACCGGACCGTATTTTACTCGGTCTGGTCCGGTCCGGTATTAACAACGGTTTGGTCCGGTGTGGTCCGGTACGGACCGGACCATTGCACACCCCTACTCAAGAGTGCGAAGCCGAAGGTGATTAACAACATAGATGCACCAACTCAGACGGCCTAATGAAAACAATAACTAGGTTTGTTATAGAGCAGTAATACAAGGGAAGGTAAGATGGAGAATCGAAGAGTTGAACCAGGTAATTATGCTACGGCGGTACACAACCAAAATGTATATACAAAATGATGAATACCGCCAGCTGCTTCTCTTCCTACTTCCCTCACCAGTTGACGATTTGAGTATTATATCCGCTTGGTCTTACTAGCCTCTTCCAGAGTTATAATTCCCTTAGCAAGATTAGCTACTACTAATCTGTATTTATCAATCATCTGAAGTGTAGAAAGAAAAACAGATGTGTTTTAAGATCTCAAGGTGCTCCTCGAATATCTCCAGAAACTCACACCTAATACAGTCAGACCAGCAATGGTGGCTATGATCTGCAACAAAAAAAAGAGAGGAAGACAACCTTGATGTATGAGATAAGAACGCCTTATGTGCCTCGGAAAGAAATGGTTGGGGAGACAACTAATGAGTGTTCTTAATTGCGGAGCGATTGCAGATGACAGTAACAGAGTCCGTTATTTTTACCTTGGCGTCTCTGGAATAACTGGGACGAGTGGTAGACCGGAATAACGACCTCAACAACTGAAACCGAGATGTCTGGGGCATAAGAATCACTGCCGTATACTGCTTCTTGCAAGGGTAGGGCAAAATCCTCTGCAGTGTTGATCGTGCTGATGAAGGCGCGAGTAGTTCTCGGACTTTACAACGACCTTCATCTTGAATCTGGAACAGGTTAAATTAACATTTCCGTCACCAAACTAGAAGAGCCTGACCGAGAGAGAAATGAGTGTGTTTTTCAAAGAAATGGAATCCATTGGAAGGTGAAATGTGTGGTAACCATAGATGCATGAAGTTAAACCATAATAACCCACCTCAAAGGAAGCACCAATGTCACCTGTATATATCCTTGACTGGTAGCTGCGTAAAATTCGTTCCAGCCAATAGTAGTTCTCCTGAAAAAATGAATTCAAAATATCAGATGATAAAACTTAGTTTTCCGCAGTTGTGAGGTTCAATCTGCAAGCCTCTAATATTCATGTACTACTACTTGAAACAAAGGATAGGGAACTTGAAATGTTTTTGCTACTTCTGGTTTAACGAATTGTAGGAATACTGCAATCACCTCCCAACTTTCGTCCCTAAGCAATTTTCAAAAATATAAATTAGTCATTACTATACTTGACCTGCAATCCATTTTCATGTGCCCTCTGCTCAAGCTCAAGTACTGTTGAAACATCTTCATCCAAGGGCCCTTCTTCTTGAAGGCGCAGTATTTCATCCAAAGCAAGATCCACCTGATAAGAAAGAAAAGCACGGAAACACTCGACAGCAATTCAACTGGAAAACTAGAAAAAAGCAAAATGAGAGCCACGGCATGCAACCTACCAACTTTGAGGAGCTTCCCGGATCACAAGAAAAATTGATGCTGATGTCACCACGTATATCGCTAGTTCTTGAAGGTCTATTACCACCAAGGAACACCGAGACACCAGCAGAATATATCTGCGTTACAGAGTTCATAAAACATAAGACCGCTGCTCAACAAACAAAAAATTTAAAGACATAACAAGAAACCCACCTGGCCATGCTTGAAACGAAGAACCTGCAAAATTTTTGTTTCGAGAAGCTTACTCAAGAAGCCAACAGAGTGTACCTCTTCTACCTAACAGACAGTTTCCCAAATAGGTTAGTAATAGAAAAACCATCAATGTCAAGGCAATGGATCTTCTGGGCTCTAGAGGATTTAGAATGATGGAGCGTTGCTAACCAAGGATCCATTCTTCAGCACCACAGGAAAGCTCAACTGAACAGAGCATTGTGCTTCCACCATGGGGCTCCGAACCACTTCCCTGCAACAATATCAAATATATTAGAATCACATTTAAATCCCAAATAACATTTAAAGGCTGCGCAGAATAAATGTCCTTGGAATTAAATACCAAAGAAGATGTTAAAAGGTCAGTATGAAAAGCAAAATGTGTGAAGTCAATAAAAAAACACACGGTGAAAAGAATGTGCCTAGCAATCAGATATGCTGATCAAGTGGAGGACTAATAACTTCACTATTTGCCCTAAAAATACAGAATTACTTTCAAGTTACAATATTGGTAATGTTTCACTTACAGCGGATTTACATACTGCATTTACATTTTACAATACTGCTACTATTCATAGAGAAAGGGTAAAAGGGCAGAACCTACCTGATTATGCTAGTTGGAAATGTGAAAGGCAAGCCTTGGAGGTCATCCCTGCTATAGTGGAGCATTGGTTGTGGAGGCATTGGTATACCACCCTAGATTAAGGAAATGAAGAAAACTTAATCATGACTACTCAAGAGGGAAAGATTTTCCTCATCCGTATGATATAACCATTGAAATAAATTGTAGTGGGACGTTAGAACTTCAAAATTCAGACATTTGATTATAAAAAAAAAAAAAATCAGACATGTCAGAGATATTAAAGTCTGTCAACTAGGGCAAGATCTTTCCCCAAGCTACGCAACCAAGAGCTTTTATGCATGTGTCGAAAGCTTGAGAAACAGAGACAGTGAAATCTATCTTTTCTCGTTTATAAGCACTTACTCAGTCATGCAGTGTTAGATACTCACCAGATACTGCAAAATCAGAGGAACTGCAACAGCAGGGTCAAGATTCCCAACAATTGCAACAGTGAAAGACGAGGGATCCTTGAAACACTTGTTAAAATATTCACAAGCTTTCAGTGGATCAACTTTTTGTAGTTCACCTAACTTTATGGGCTGCAGAACCACAAACAAAGCAACTCTTGTAAGTAAGAGCGACATGTCTTCCACTGGACTGAAAAATATGTTAAGAGAATGAAATCAGGCATACTCTGAAAAAGTAGGAGTTTCCATAGTTAATCTCTTTCACTCGATCTGAAAATGCGGTATATGGATCCCTCTCCTGAGCACGAACAGCTTCCTCTGCCATTTGCATGACAATTTTAACATCTTCTTCTCCCGGTGTTAACGTTGTCGTAAATAGTTGATAGACAAGCTGTTATAGTACAGATAACGTAACTACGTAAGAACATTAGAAATGAAAAAAAAAAAAAAAAAAAAAACTTGAAGTGCAATTCCATATTACAAAATAGGAATAGGTGTCAACAACCCTTAAAATGAACTAATAATAAAATAAGATGATCCTATTGAAACAAAAGAATCACCCACTTCCTCATCATTCTGTAGGAAGGTAATGTAGCATTGCTTCTAGGGCCACAAACACAAGCAAAAGTAGAAAATGAAGAAAAGATGAAAGCCTGTATAGAACAAGTAAAATCTAAGAAACAAACCTGCAGAGCAGTTTCCAAATCTGCAGGAGAACAATCACCCGAGAAACTTCTCATGTATGCTCCAAGCTTTGTACTCACTTCAACTCTCTTACCAGCAAGCATATCCATTAACATTGGAGGTCTGTAACCAAATACGCCGATTTCACCAGCAATGGTTGATCCCATTGAACATGAAAAGTAATCACTTTCGGGAATTTCAGAGAGGCCTCCATATGAGAACCCTGTAAAAAGAATCTGTTGAAAAAAACACAGATACGAATTATTTTACCATATCAGATGTGTACTATTGTTGATAAGGATATACTCAAATCATTGTCAAGTTTCGTATCTACAACAATGGCAACTAAAAAAAGGTACTCGCTGAAGAGACCTAAAATTACAGTTCATCTTGATGAGATAAAATGGCTTCCAACAGATAAGTTCATTCTGCCAGTTACATCCACTGTGTCAAGGAAGCATGCTCAAGGTAGGTATTAGTTGCATAAACCTTCGTTATTCTAATAATATTAAAGGATAATCTGATAAGAGATTCCCAAATTAACTAGCTCACTATTTATAATGTAGCCAGTTACAACTACCAAGACTTGTAAGCTTTGTGGCTCATGTTTTGATTTTATTTTGGGCAACCAGAGTTTTGATGTTCTTGCTAGTCAGTACTTTTTATTCCTAAACCCAGCCAAAATTGTACACGTGTTGTCTTTGAATCACCTGTGAATCATTATGAAACACAGGGCAGTTTTGTTGTTGAAGATAACACAAGGTGTTCACCAACTAATCTAAAACTACTAGTACACTAATTTGGAAAGACGTAACTGTATCAATGGTTGTGGACAAGTTGAACATCTGATGTCAATGAGCTATGTGTAGTGCTATGTATATGTAGCAGCAACCAGTAAAAAATTATAATCCTAATCGACAATAACTGCATTCTCACAATAACTAAAATTATAATCCTAATCGACGATACACATCATACTGGATAGAGAATAGCATAGCTCCATTCTTACAATAAACAAAACTATAATCCTAATTGACAATAACCAGAATTATAATCCGGATCGATATGACTTCTACCTGGTCATCAAGGAAATCTGTACACTTGTAGCAAACTCGCATCCCATTGGACAGTACGAGCTCCGTAGCTCCAATATTTGAGTACTCAAACTGATTAATGACTTGCCTGTTTATAAGGATTGACACACAAGAAAACATGTATTCAAATGAGTAACTTTTTAGATATCGTTCAAATGAATAGCATGGAAATAGTAGTATCATAATTCACATAGGAGTAATCGATTGCAAGAAAAATCATTTCATGGATCATGGATACATATAAGAATGAAATAAAATCGACCTACCCAGGAGTTGGCTTCACATTGACAATTTCTTCAGGAATATTCTCTTCATTCCAAGGAGTTATGTGCTGTTCTTGCTCAAGCATATTGATTTTTCGTACGACACTTTTCAGGTCATCAACTGTTGCAGAAGCCCAGGGTTCTACTGTCTTTATGACACAACTGCAAGATGTCTGTAACTTCTCTGCATAATTTGACACTTCAACTGCTGATATCTCTGCAGAAATTCCGACCAAGATAAGAAATGACAGAATATGCCACAATCCTTTTTCTATGGGTAAGTGTAAGAGTTCATTTTCTTGAACAAGAAGATTCAGGATGCAGTGAGGGACTCACGAGGAAGGATGGTTTTCTGAAGTTGAGCTTCATATTCAATCCCAACAACTGGCTCACCTCGAAGAAAATGCTGCAAATGTTGTAAAAGAAGATGTTTATCTCAGAAAAGCCAGGAAATGCACACTCAGGATAAGTCGAAGAAAAAGTTTGGTTCATACTTGCAAATACTCGTCTCTCAAGTTGGTTGACTGCATCTGATCACGCTCCAGATAGGCAGATTCGATCTCTGCCATCATTAAAGCTCTAACAATACAAATTTCACGTTCTGAAAATCCATGTAAACGGACCCTGGCAACCTAAAACATAATATGTGTTGGTCAAGTGAAAAAGAAAAGCGTTACTAGCCAAACAAGTCATAGAACAACAGATTGCACCTCAAGTAGCATTGATTCTAGGGCATCCAATGTGCCTTTCTCCTTGCAAGCAGAAGTCATTATACAAGTCTTCAATGGACAAACTAGTGCATCTGCGGCGGCTGAGCATGAGAAATAGGGTGGATCGTTTCTACGAGACAATTTAAAGAATCTCTGGTTTAGAGCATAGAGAAACATGTACTCTGTGAGCATATCCCTGTAGTCCTTCACCGTCTTCAGTTCATCAACAGGCATCTTATAGCTAATCATCACTGCAGACTATTGAGAGTGAAAACTGAAAAGTCACTGATGTTGCAATAACAAATTGTTCCATCTAGGTCTGTTTATAATTCAAGAATAAATTATACTAACCCCAGCTGACTCTGATTCAACAAAACATGAGAATCGTGGCTCCTCGTGGGATGGGACTTCAAATATTGGTAACTCTGGAGGCTCAGACCGTGAAAACTTTGGGCCAAAATGTGTCTTTATCAACTCCACAACACTCTACAGAGATAAAAAGAGAGCTTTATCAAAGAAATTGTGCAAAATATATGATATGATGACCTCAATGAATCTATCCGTTCAAACCTTGGTATCAGAAAAGTCCCCGACAGCAACAACAGCCATATTGTGCAGATGGTACCACTTTGTGTAAAATTCACGTACGGTATCAGGGGAAGCTGATCGAATCACCTTCTCTAACCCAATTGGTAATCTCTCAGCATACTGCGAGTTAATCAAAGGTTAACACACCAAACAACTAAAGTAAGACACAAGCTTCCTCCAACTATTCAACACGCACAGACAGTATTCCTTCCTCCAACTATTATGCAGAATCCAGAAAACAATAGAGCCTCCATCACTGTATCAACCAAGCTTTCTAGAATAATTCCACAACTTAGTTCAGAAACCACAGTTGTAAAAATTGGCAAACACCACGACTACAAATCAAAAGCACTTGAAACCTAACAGCAATAGCACCTTTGAGCCTTCCATCATCAGCATCCAATGTGCATCCTGCATTCTTCCACTAGCATTCCTGCTCCCTCTGTACTCCTCCATCACCGCTCCTCTCTCTTTCTCCAAGTCCTCCTTCGAAACCCTAATCTGTAGAACACTCACTTTAATTTCACGTGAACAGAAACTGAACATAAAAACAACGGCGAAAATTCCATTCACGCCTACCTCAGTGCTGAACTCGGCCAATACCGAGATAGCTCGCGACAACAACTCAGGCTTATCCACGGGCACAAGCAGCTCGTAGACAGTCTCGTCCGCCGACGTGACCGCATTTTGACAAGCACCGAACTCAGCTCCAATGCTTTCCAGAAACTTCACGATATCGTGATTCGTGTAGTTCTTGGTAGCGCTGAAAGCCAGGTGTTCCACTATGTGAGCCACTCCCCTCTCCTCTTCCTCTTCCAAAACTGAGCTGCCAATGGAGACAACCAATCAGCTCCACCGAAGCAGTGAAATAGAAAACTGCTCGGCATGCGAGGGAAAGAAAAAGGAGGAAGGCAGGTCAGTTGATTGCTTACCCGGCCTTCACGGCGAGCGCGAGTGCAGCGCGCATTTTCGGCTTGGAGTTGCGGCGAACGTAGTAGAAGAGGCCATTGTCGAGGCGTCCGTAGTCGGCACCGTAGGGGTTTTCCTCCAGGATTTGGTCCATGTCGACGTTGACGAGCTTCAGCGAACGGAATCTGTGCTTCTTCGGCAACTGCGACGTCTCCGCCGGAAACAAATCCATCTGTCTATTTCGCGTTTCTCCGCTTGATTGGAAGCGGCGAGAGGGGGAAAAGTTCGTTGGTTCGTTTAGATCCTCGCTCAAGAAAAACAAAATCAGAAGTTCCCGATTATGGAAATGGCGTCGGTCAACCTTTTTCTAATCCCCCTTCGCTCGGTCAACCTTTTTCACCAATCTTGCTAAAAAAATGGATATGCGAATAATGGCCGGACCGGTTCAGAACGCCGTCGTTTCGCGGAAGTTGGGAGTTCAAAGCCAATCTCCTCTTTTCTATTCACGACTCCTTCCCACCAGCACCATAGCCGGACTGCTGAAATGGATACCCTACTCCAATCTTCTTCTTCTTCTTCCTTGCTCCCCCAATTCTCCACTCCAACCACTTCCTTCACGCCATTCCACACTGTAACGCTTACCACGCGGAACCATGCTCGACCCACCACCGCGACTAAACTCTTCGTCGCTAAACAGACGTGGAAAATGAGCGAAGATACGCCGCTGACAGATGTGGAGGTGGAGGTGGAGGTTGACGGTTATGGCGGCGGCGATGAATTCCCTGATGCAGACTTATTTAGTAGCGGGAGGGGAGACGACGACAAGGGTTATGACAGAGACCCTGAACTTGCTGAGATTATGGGGAGCTGTCTCGTTGATCCTGAAAAGGCTCAGTCACGAGTAAAATAATCTTTGACGAAATGATTCCTGATTATGATGGAGTTTTGTTGTTTGTTGCTAATGTGATGATGATTTTCTGGGTTTATGTCAGATGGAAGAGAGGCTGAGGAGGAAAAGGAACAAGATTCTGCACCCTAAGACTGGTTCTTCAACTCCCATGAAAGTCACCTTCAACAGGTTAAGTTCCATTACTAGCTCTCAGCTGGAATGGTTGGCATGAAAATTTTGGCTTGCTGTTCTTGTATCTAACTTGGTCTAGGGTTGGCATTCACCAGATTTGAATTCTCAAACTCGTACATATGGTTTGAGTTCTATAATGCTCCCTTGGAGAAAGATGTATCCTTAATTTGTGATGTAAGTTGCTAGCTTCCTCCTCTCTAATGCTTGAAAAAGCAGTGACAGAACGAGGGGCACAATAGTTGAGTCTGATTACTTGATTCGAACTCCTGGCAGACGATTCGGTCATGGCACATCATCGGACGTCTTGGTGGTTGCAACTCCATGAATATGCAGGTGTGCTTGTTGTTCCTGCACTGCTGTAGGAAATTATTTATAAGACCATTGGTTCGGTTTGATGGCAACATAGACTCAGAGCGGTTTCTGATTTTCGCAGTTGTCACAATCGACCTCTGATAAGAGGCCAACCTATGACTACATTCAGGGAGCAAATGTGACTCCGACCACCTTTTATAACATAGGGGATTTCGAGATGCAAGATAACTTGGGACGGATATGGTAAGATTGGAAACTTGGAATTGAAAAACTGAATTCTGTGATTGTTTGAATGAATGATGAATGATGATTGTTGCTCATTGTTGTAAAACAGGGTGGATATTGGGACTAGCGAGCCATTACTGCTGGACGTGTTGATAAATGGATTGACCCAGATCAGCTCCGAGTAAGCTAATTGCTGTTGCTTCTTTCCATTTTCAGTCCAACACATGGATATCTTAAGCATACTGGGTTTTCTCGTTTGACAGTTACGTTGGAATCAAGCAACTAGTTTTTGGGGGGTCAGAATTCGAGAACTGGAAGGAGAATTTGAACTCAGAGGATGCCGGTTGCAGCGTTCACAAGATTTAAGCTTTTTCATCACAAAGATGATTTTATAACAGACATTTGGCAATGAGTTAGAACTGTTGTAATTGCTCAAACCTTCTGCCTACAACAATAACAGAATCAAATAGCAAGTTTTATGCTCAATATCTGAATGACCAAAAGCCTCAGTTCATCCTCACAACTTGATCTAATTCCTAAATCCATATGGTGTTGTTTGTTTCGATGAGTTGGATCAGACCTGCAGTTGAACCTTCTGGGCAACAGATTTGATCACATTGAGCCTTTCATCGACCAGTTGCTTCAATTGCTCCTCCTGTTGCTTGGTTTGATCTTCATCCAACTCAACCGAACTTGGTTTCCCATCCTTGGTCTTGAACATCACAAATGACATGTCTTCCTTGTACTCACTAGGGACCTCAAGCACTTGCTTCCCGCCACTCCCACCATCTTTGCCTAAGATCTCTTCCTTCACCCGGTTCGAAACAATCATCTCAAAATCATCCACATACTTGTCAATTGCATCAAGGCTAAGATAAATCAGTATCTCCCAACACTGTGTTAGCTGCGTCTTGTTGATTTTCAGCACCCTTCTGACATCCTCAGCTGCACTTGAAGGAGGGACAAATCTAGGAACGTGAGTTTTCTTCGACAGCCTTCCTTGTTTCAGATATAAAACAGTAGAGTTGAGAGCTTCCTTTATTGGTTCAAAACCAAGCAGCCTTTGAACATCGAGGCATGTGCGGACGTGCTGGAAAGCATCTAGTGGCTCTTCCACAGTGAAGTCATAGACATCTTCAGATATAGCGACATTGTGAATCACCTCAAGTAAATGTCGACCATGGCCTTTGCTTTGGTAAGGAGGCAGCACCAAGATCTGCAACAACCAAATATCTAGTCAAGTTCCATGGTCAAAGCAAACACCCCTTTGTCCAAGTCAAAGAACTTAGAAGCAGAGGTTGCAAATGGGTTAGTATTGAAGGAGCTGGCGGGTTTTTGCAGATATGAAAGTTTACCCAATGATTTCGGATCAAATGGGTTTGGTCGAATGAATTTCAAGTGGGTTGATTGATAAATGAAAAGATAGGCAGAATGATGACACTATGAAACCCCTTCATATGTTCTCCACCAAACAAATCAAATTTCAAAATGGTAAAAAAAAGTTCACCTGACCCAGGCGGAGGCGAGTGCTGTCAGGGTAATGATAGAAGCGATAAATGGCAGAAAACCCCAGAAGTCTAGACTGAACATCTTCATGTTCAAGATCCTTCTTTTGTGTTAGCACATACAACTCCCATCCTGGGTCAGTAACGTCAATTGGATTACTACCTGCACACGAGACATAATAACCAGTTCAACATCTTTGATCTCCACGGATAGCCAAGAGATAAATACTGCTTAACAAACAACAGTAAAGATAAATTACCATCGACAAGTAGAAGAACAAGAGGAACCAAACGACTGTAGAGATTGCCAGCATCTGGATTGTCCATTACCATCCGAACAACCTGACACGGTAACAATTCCATTTAGGAGGAAAATCACATTTAGTTCATCAATTAACTCTACCTTGAGACATACACCATTCACTTCCGAGCAGGAGCCAGAAAAGGAAAACTGCTGCTAACTTTCAAAATAGACAAATTAAGCAAAGGGTTCTGAGTGCAAATTACTAAGCTTTAACTTGATTCCTAAAATCCTTAAGAGGCCTTCATTTAAATGCAGTGATAACTTTTACATAACACTTCGAAGAGCTTAATCATCAGAGCATTGGTCTAGTTACATGTAAGATATATAGCTAGAATGATGAGACATTAAAATCTGGGTGACAAGTATCAGTGCACATCAATGCTATGATAACCAAGCTCATCCAAGAGTCAGACAACTAAGAGTCATATTGGCAATTAGTTATAAAAATACATTCCATGTCATGAATGCCGATTAAATTATGATATAGACGTCTGTTTTGACAGAAAGCACTGTATTGCATAGTTGGGACTATAGTTAAGATAGAGGTGACTATCCGATAGTGAACTCAAGCTGCCAGGTGAAGACCCCCAGCGTTGACTAAACTTGAGGTTGACACTTCATCCCAAACACAAGCAACAGAAATTTGGGAAATCAGGCCTGACAAGTTTCGGTGTCCCGCAATGGATCTCCCAGGAAACATTTGGCTAGAAACCTAATGGAAGAAATGATTTCGAACTAAGATTGAAAACAAAGGGCTGCTACCACAGAGCACCGAATCTAGTAGTTCTGATCAGATCAAGACAACTAAGAGTCAAATAGTTTTCCAATCACATATCGTTAAAATTTTAATCACCATAAACTCCATGCTGTTTGTTTTCAATTAATGTATGGGCTACCGATTTGATTTGGTGTTCTTGAAGCCAACCTATCATCATAGGGATTGGCAAAATCCAGGAAAGCACTATCTTGCAATACTTACACCATGTGGTGAATGTCAAGGCATGTAACTCAATTGTTGTTGATCTTAACACTAGACTAACAAAGACTGCAGAAGCAACTTATGATTTGCATGAGCTACGCCATTAAATATATGCAGAATACCTCTAGATCTGAAGTAGCTTTTCCAGAAAGAGTAGAAGCACCATCATGCCCGTTGGTCAGAGGATGTGGCAACACTTCTCCACTTGAGATAATGGATCTGAATATATAAAACTGACATAAGAGACCTGATAGTGGGAACATAAACGCAAACAATTACACCCCAACCACACTCCAGACTACCTGATAATCACAAAGAATATACCTGATGTAATTTCCATCTGATGAAAAAGTCTGAAGGAAGTCGTCTTTACTGTCAAGTAGGGTCTCGCCAAAAATGTTCTGTTCAACAAATTGTCAATCAGAGACCCAATAGAATAGGGTTAAACAAAAGGTGAAAATATTCTAGGTAACAAACCTGAAGAGCAGATTTAAGATCGGTGACACCTTTCCCTCCCTAAACAGTAAGCAAAATGGAATCATCAAAACGAATCAAAAGCCACAGTGGTAGAGACACGGACAATGGGAAGGTGGGGGGGAGGAGTGAACTGGATAAATCAGGTATTTAGAACAACACACTCACATCAGATGTGCTCTTGTAGGAAATATCAGCATATGCTTGAAATGATATCCTGCTAACCCAGATAGTAATCTGCATAATACATAATGCAAAAGAAACGTCTTACAGTCTAAGCAATCAGAGCATCAATAGTGATACATTGAGAATGTGAACTCTTTGTTAACATAAAGAAGAAGAGGATCCATTAGTTTTGCAAGAAAAGCATTACCGACAATCCTTGGTATCCATATATCTTCCCGTCCTCCTCAAAAAAACTGTTCAAGTCAATTGGTGTAATGCGAGCAGCATCAGAAGCACCCACCTCGTCCTTGCTGGAGACTGTAATAACACAAACATGCCAGGCATAACTATCTGAAACTTCAAGAATTCGGCATTAAGGATAGGATATCAGCAGGTGCAAAGCACAATAAACTTAGAACCCAAAGCGCACATAGTTAAGCTCAACCAAGACACTAATTGTCCTCAAGAGCAGTGAGAACCGCATACTGATTTCTTGCTTTCTTGTACACATAAAACACAACAAACAGGAATTGGAGATATAAAACCCGAGAGAAATCGACAAGCACCGAATAGGAAATGGACAGGAAGGGTCTTACCCAAGTAAATCGTAATACACTCGTTGGCCTCAACACCGCCATCTGAACAACACGGGGACCAAATACAGCATAGAGAAAGAGAGTAGCATCAGTGAGCTGGAGAGCACAGTTGCGAGCAGAGACTAAAGCCAATCTCTAAATCGGAGGCAAGTAAGATAACGAGCTGAAGGCGGTTTCGTGAAATGGAGAGTAAACTGTGACGAAGTGAAGCCAACGAGCAAATTAACTCACCGGGTTTGGCGAAGCCGACGCGTCTTCGTTTCTTGGGCTCGGCCGGGGCTGGATCGGCGGTGGATTGGTGCTTCTGCGCCATGGGAATCGTGGATTAGGGTTTGCAGAGGGCGGGAAATGTTGGGAAGTGAGAGGCGGGAAAAGTATACTGTGCAAGTGCCGGGTTATTGAAGGGTTTATATTCTAGTTCTCCGTCGTTGGCGCCTCGCGGTTGGCGCCGTTACTGCGACTCTGTGAGAGTGGACGTGAAGTGCGTGTGTGATGGCGAAGGAAGTGGGGAATTAGGGCGCGTGTAGAAAGTCCCGTTAGGTGAATATATGGGCATAAAATTTTATAGGGCTAAATTACACGTTTGGTCACTCGAATTATACAAATCTTTCACGTTTGCCACCCGAATTACTTTTCTTTCTTATTCGCCACTAACTTTACGAATCGTTTCAACGTTAGTCACCGGCCGTTACATTCCGTTAAATTTGTCCTACGTGGCAGTCAACCATAAATTTTGACCGTTAACTCGATGACGTGGAAATTAAAAAATAATTTTTTTTTTATTTTTCCACCTCATCATTCCACTTACTTTGTTTACATGATTTATCACATTAATTATTTAATAAAAATTAATTAAATTACAAATATTAATTATCAACCACGTCATCTAAGTTGGATAATTTCGTGGTTGGGACGTACGATCCGGTGAAGGATTCGTGGACTCCCGTGAACCAAAAAAGGACATGAGAATCGGGTTGAAGTACGATTGTGGAATGTATTAATAATTTTAATATATTATGCTTCCAAGACGTTTTATGATCAGGTGACTAATATTGAATTCAATGACCTCAAAAAAGGGCTGGGCTTCTCTCCAGGTATACTGCTGCTGACGTGTCGCTGTCACCAGTGCAGATCCCCTGCTGCTGACTTTCCGTTGCTTCCTCATCAACTTTCGGGACAGGGAATCAAGCCTATTCTGAGACCACCCACAGCAAGCATTGAAAAAAAGGGGGAAAAGGAAAAAAAAAAAAGGAGGGGAAAGCCTACAGTAGGGGAGGATAAAAAGGCTAAAAAGGAAAAGAAGGCTATTGGGAGAGGGTTTACCCTTCTGAAAAAGACAAAAGAAGGAGGAAAAAGTGGGTTGTTGGTGGAAGAAGATGATTGGGCCACGTGGCTGGTGCCTTCTTTTTCTTTTTTTTCGTTTATTTTTATATCAGATTGAATTTAAATGGTTTTTTTGTATGGAACCACTCATTTGTGAAACTTGTGATGAGTAATAGTATTCTACAAATTATTGAGATTCGTCATTGATAACGTCATATTTAATTAGTGATAAAAAAAATTATGTCCAAATTAAAAAAAAATTATATCGAAATGTTCGTTTTAATTAATTAATACTATCTGTATAAAAATAATAAGTAAATTATCAAAATAAAATTACCATATCAACTCTAGATAGATTTTGAAGAAAAAAACCACTTCCCATTACCCTTTTTTCCCTCCCACCCATTGTGACCAATTCTTCTCCTCCACCATTTTTTTCCCTTTTTTCCCACCCTTTTCACCCTTTTTTCCCTTCCATCATTGTGGATGGTCTGAGATGCAGATGAGCTCCCGAGAGGGGATTTTGTTGAATTAGTATAGTAGAGAGACCTCTGTAAATTAGTTTACCAAGTTGTAATTAATTGCTCAAAAGCTCCATTGAATTTGACAGCAAATTTGCGTGGTTCAAGGATATTGACGATCATGGGGACGGTGCAGAAGAGGGTAGCAACCATGGATACAGCGAACTGAACCTGCAACACGCTCGACGCCGTAAGAGACGGGACGGACACGGTGCACACGAGCCTTACCCTGAGTATAATGAAGCAGAGTCATTAACAGAGCATGTGTGGCAGAGGCAGCAATGGCATGAAGAAGCCAAACACGTATTTACCCTTCGTTCCCCCTTCAGGATATCACCATCCATGTGAAATCCGAGAACCACCGAGCCCAGCATCATCAAAACGACGGTATTCACAGTGTAGTGGTTGAACCGCTCCTTCACTATAAGGAAAGCGCAGACGGCGGTGAATGCCAGCTGCGAAGAGCCGACGAGGGAAGTCACCGAGACGGGAGTTAGGCAGTTCCAACAGGAGGCCCAAAAGGCCAATCACGGCAGCAAGTCGCCTAATGATGAGTAAACGATGGGGAGGATCCGTGACCGTGAAAGCTCAAAGAGCCACCGTTTGTGGCCGCCGTGATTGAAATACATTCTGGAGAGCAGTTGGCCTCCAACAGTGCCGAAGGCGAGTAACCAGCAGTTTAAGAGGACTTGATTTGTGTTTCTTCTTCCCTCGTGATGTTTGCTTGCTTCTTCGTCCATGTTAGAGATTTCCGTGAAAGCTCTGTATCACTCATTCACATATGAGAAATGTCGAAGGGGAGATTATTTTACAATGCCCATGGGATCCAAACGGGAAATGACTTGTTGTTATTGGTAGTATTGGCTGTTTTGTTTTAATGGTACATTATTAATTGACAAGGTGTTTTAACTAATTTTTATTAAATAATTAATATGATAAATTATGTAGACAATGACGTTGAATGATGAAGTGGAAATATTATTATTTTTATTTTTTTTAATTTCCACGTCATCGAGTTAACGGTCAAACTTTATGGTTGACTGCCACGTAGGACAAATTTAACGGATGTAACGGCCGGTGACTAACGGTGAAACGATTTGTAAAGTTAGTGGCGAATGAGAAAGAAAAGTAATTTGGGTGGCAAACGTGAAAGATTTGTATAATTCGAGTGACCAAACGTGTAATTTAGCCAATTTTATAGGGATATAGGTATAATATGCCCCTCTACTATGACGTTTTATCAAACATACCCCTCTAGTATTTTTTACATCAAACATGCCCCTGTACTTTGGAAAACTTATCAAACATGCCCTTTTGTTAAAAATTTTCATCCAAAAACTGTTAACCAAGACCGAACTTTGGTTTGGGCGACCTAAATATCTAAAATATCCCTAATAATTTCACTTTAAAGTTTTTTTGTTCTTTTGTATAGCCAAATAATTCTAATAATTTCACTTTGATGAGACCTACAGAAATAAAACAAGAGTCAAAACTGACATTTCCCCTCCCATTTATCGATGTCAGGTCGTCTAAATCTCGGTTCAACCATGATTGACGATTTTTTCGTTGGAAATTTCAACTGAAGGGCACGTTTGATAGTTTTTCCAAATTACAGGGGCATGTTTGATGTAAAAAATAGTAAAGGGCATGTTTGATAAAATGTCATAGTAGAGTGGCATATTATACCTATAACGCAATTTTATACGGGTTTGAAACCTTGAACCACAGGCTTTATAATCCATAGTTGTCAATGTCATGCCTGGCAAGCCCGATTCAATCTGTGTTGGTCATCGAATCTGCGTAACATTATCGGTATGACCGGTATGATATATTTACACATTCTAAACAAAATAAAATTATTGTAGTAAATCAAGGTTGTCAACCTGCGGGTCGACCCACTTTGACCCTAGCCTGGTCAGAAAAACGAGTCATACGCACCCGTCGGATCGAACGCTACAAGGTACCGGGTTGGAGGTCAAATTGTGCCATTTTTTTCTTTGGTTTGCGAAATGCGTCTATTTTCCTATTTTTCTTTACGCCTAACTCAAATTTTTGGAATTCTAAGTTGAACATTTGAATATTGATGTTACATAAGTGTGTGAATTTTCACTATGTGTTGGATCTAAGTACGACATGTTATTTTGGTGTAATATTATATGTTATAACTCATATATTAGATGAGATTTGATGTAATTTATCAAGATAACTACAATAGAATGACTATTTCCATATTTCCGGGCTAAAACGAGTGACCCATTAACCCTTGACCCACTAGCTCGACCGAATCCGGGTAAGCCCGCGGGTTGACAACCTAAATGAATTTAATTAATAAAAAAATACTATGCTAATTAATCAAACATGACCCTCTATTATTTTTTTGTATCAAACATGTTCCTATAGTTTGAAAAAAAGGATAATGTCTATTTTTTATCAAAACCTTTATCAGATTCTTTTATATTATCCAACCTATTAAAATGCTACTAATTAATCAAATCTTTTATAATCATCAAAATATTAGCAATTTTTACGTCATCGTTAATAATTATATCACTCTTTTTTTAGTTAAAATCCTAAAAGTTAAAAGTTAACCTTCACGTGTCTCTTTCAATAATTATATAACTATTTTTTTAGTTAAAATCCTAAAATTTTGAAGTTAACCATCACATGTCTCTTTCAAGTCGGTACCATGTTGTCAAGCCAATATACTAACAAAATTGTTTTCAAATCTGTATTATGTTCTTAAGTCAATATACTAACAAAATTGTTTACTGAAAGTTAACACTTAACTAATTCTTAATATTTTTATAAGTTTAACTAAAAAATCATAAAAAAAAAATTAGCTATTTTTTGGGGCGCGTGTGAAAATCACGTGGTGAAGAAGCTCTACATCAACTACTATGGTAACATCTCGACCATCATGGATCAAAAGCCAGCAATCTCATACCAATTCAATCACTAGAAACAAGAAACTTGAGCATATTCAGTACAAGGATCGACAAACAAGGTGAGCGAAGAGGTCCTGACAAACCAAAATGTGCGAACTAGTATCTGTCCAATCTGAAAACTCTTGATAATACTAAAGCGAAAAGAACTCTCTAAAGCATTGGGTTTCACTTCCGGGCAGCGATCTTAGCTGCCTGCCTGGTTCTCTTCTTGACACCGGACTTTGAAACCCTAAGGCTCCTGTGGATGGTACTGAGCCTAGACAGAGCTGCCTTCTTCAAATCCGGCCGGTAGAAGTTATCTGCAACCTGAGATCAACAAGCAAACACAAGCCAATCAGTTCCCATCACTTTTTAAGAGAAAACAAGTAAACGTTCAATCCTACAAGTTATATTCACATACTGAAGGCATGTACATTACGGCAAGTAGCGTCATAAAAAAATCTAGGGGAAATATCGATAGAGCACGATTCATTATCATCATTTTCACAGTGCTTAATTCTTAATAAAATAAATATACAGTATAAACAGTAACTTTAGAAGCGGGAGGGTTGAGGTTTGAATTCAGAATGATGAACTCAGAAGCCAAGCGTAACAAGAGTATTTCACTGAAGAGCCCTCTACAAAAGAGGGTTCCACTTACATGTTAGCTTCTCATCACTGCCCACAAAATATAAAAGCAACAATGATTTTAAAATTTGACTACTAAAAACTGAGTAAAAGCTCAGTCAGACAGATTGTGAGACCTAAAGTCTGAAGAGAACTCAGAAGCCAAGCGTAACAAGAGTATTTCACTGAAGAACCCTCTACACAAGAGGTCCCACTTACATGTTAGCTTCTCATCATTGCCCACGAAATATAAAAGAAACCATGTTTTGAATTTTCAACTAAGCAAAAGCTTAATCACAAGCATTTTGAGGAGTAAATTCTGAAGAGAACTCAGAAGCCAAGCGTAACAAGAGTATTTCACTGAAGAACCCTCTACACAAGAGGGTTCTACTTACATGTTAACTTCTCATCACTGCCCAAGAACAACCCAAAACAATCAGAGGCTTTTTTAAAAATTCATGTAGTTTGAACCAAACAAAAGTGAAATCATGCACATTTTGAAATCAAAGCACAAAAGAACTCAGAAGCCAAGCGTAACAAAAGTATTTCACAGAAGAAACCCTCTAAGAGGGTCCTTCTTACATGTTAGCTTCTCATCACTGCCCACGAAAGAGAAACTGTTGCAAGGGGGAACCAATCACAAATCCAATCTCATAGAGTCTGAAAACCAAGCACTTGAATAATTTAAGATTCTCAAGAACTAACGATCTCGAGGAGTTCACGGATTATAAGCTGATGTAATTCCTCATCAAACAACTCAACAAAGGAATTGAACTAAGAGTTAGTTACCTGATTGGTAACAGCCTTAGCCATGGAGCTGAACTCCTTCCTCATGACCGACTTGTGCTTCAGATTGGCAGGCTTGTTCTGCCTCTTGGTCTTTGTGGTCGTCAGCACAACAGCCAAATCCTTGCCCTCTGGCTGAATGGAAACAGTCTTCTTGTTTGCCAAGCCTAAATCCCACAAAAAAACACGAATCAATCCATGTAACCCACCATACAAACCAAGCATTACTGTAAGAATAAGGGGAAAAAAGAACCATAAAGAAAAAGACGAAGGTGTTTGGTTACCGGAATACTTGTAGGAGTTGAGGTTGTAGAGATTGTTGCTTTCCTTGCTGAACCTAACGCCGGCGTTGCCACGCCCGAACTCCTTCACGAGGAAACAGTTGTTCCTCTTCACGATCTCCCAGATCAATTGCCCTGGAACTGTGGCCATTTTAGTTCCTCCTCCGGTTACCCTGTTTCAGCAAATCGATCAGAACACAAATTCAAAGGTGGCCTTAATCTGAATAGAAACAGACGTAGGAAATGAAGAAGCATAGGATCGAGGGACGGAGGTTGGAGATCGGAGAACGAAGCTTACCGCCGCTAGAGTGGAGAGAAGACGATTAGGGTTTTAGGGCCGATCTGAAGAAGCCGAATGCTTTGTAGCTTTGTATTTATAGCTTGGTTGCATCGCATAAGCAGTAGTCCCTCGTACACCAACTGGATCGACTCAGGCCCAGTTAAGGCCCATTATTATTTGCTCCGGCCTAGTGCATGTGTGCTTTTACTGGGCCAATTACGGGCAGCTAGCCTTAATATTTTGATGCTTCGGTGAGATGTCCGAGTTTTTTTGGTCTCACAATCAGCTAACAGCCTATTCAATTTCACAAGGGTTTTTTTATAGAAAGGCGTGTATTATTTCATCATTGGAAAATATTACAGGAATAAGAAATAAGTTGGTTCAAATAAAAAAAAATTGGTGGCATAGAGAACCAAAATTATATTTCTCCCCACCCACATTGTATATGGGCCAAAATATGGGTCGTCCTGTTACTTTTCCTGCCCGAAAACTGAATCCTCATCATTCTATCGAGGTTGTGGATCATTTCTTTCACCATTCCACAAGTGTTTTGTTGGCATGATTTGTGGTAATTTACCTTCAATTATACATCGTTTCAGAAAACAAATCGATCGGGTATTAATAGTATTATTATATTATATATCAAGTTTCATTTCACTTATTTGGATTCAATTCACCTATTTTGATTTATACCAGTATGTATGATGTGAGAACAAAACCATTAACTTGTGCTTAATTTAGAAGCCTGATCACCTCAACATAAGTTTAATTAGATCGATCGCATTACAGTCCACCAATTCAGAAGGAATACGTATAATCGAGTTTGACATGTTTATAGATTAACATAGGCAATTTAATATAAATACAAATTATCTAATGATTTGAAGCTCTTAATTGATGTGGATTTCGTTCGATTATTACACACCGATGGCAACGGAGAAGGGTAAAATTGGCATTACATATGATTACCGCAAACCTAGCTTTCCTGAATTGCGACGAGAAACAATTACAAGTATGTGCTTAATTAATTCACGAGCCTACAAACAAACAGTCTAATCGCCGCTATATGGAGAGCACATCATTTTATTTTGTCCCTGATTTATTTCTCTAGATCTCGTTAAATTAAAATTATTAGGATTATTTGGCTATACAAAAGAATCAAAAAAATTCTAAAGTCAAATTATAGTGGATATTTTAGACATTTGTGCCGCCCAAACCAAAGTTTGGCTGTGATTAACGGTTTTTGCATGAAAATTTTAACATAAATGCATGTTTAATAATTTTACCAATGTATAAGAGCATGTTTGATGTGAAAAAAATAGTAAAGGGACATGTTTAATAAAACGACATAGTAAAAAGACATATTATACCTATAGCTTTTACTTTCCACAACAACACAAAGGAAATAAAGCACGAATTAATCGATCAGAAAGTAGTAACTATATGAAATCAAGAAATCCGGCGACAGATGGTGAGGCCGTCACCGACGGGGGCGACGCAGATCTCGACGCGGTCATCGCCGGCGATCCTCCGGTTGAACTCAATCGCCATCGCCATGATCTCCTTCATGTGGTCGGGGACACCGTCGCCGTCGGGGCTCGCCACCGTGCCTCCCCACAGGACGTTGTCGTAGACTATCACGCCGCCGATCTTCACCAGCTTCATCAGCCGCTCGTGGTAGTTGCCGTAGTTGTTCTTGTCCGCATCCACAAACGCAAAATCGAAGCTCCCTTCATTTCCACCCTTCAGTGAATCATCATCATTATTAGCAATTGTATATTTCTAAATCAGGTAATTAACTATACATAAATGAATCGAGCAGGCTACGTTAAATATACTTACTTGGAGGAGGAGGAGATCATCAAGAACGGGAAGTGCTATCGAGTGGATGAAGTCAATTTTGTGTTCAACTCCTGCCTTTTTAATGAAGGGCAGCCCCACCCCGTACCATTCCGCTTTCGGATCTATCGCCGTGATCTAAAAAAGGAAAAATCGTGTAAGAAAGCGATTAATATTCATCGTACATGAACTTTCAACTATTGGGATTCATTAGCCGATTTATGATATGGTATCTGAATTGATTTGATTATGCAGATCACGTGTTTAACTCTTCACGAACTAATCCGCAGCCTTGCCTTGGCATCAGGAGGAGTAGAGAGGGCAGTGGCAAGAAGGGAGTAGCCAGTGTAGACCCCAATCTCAAGGGTTCTCTTTGGATTCAGCATCTTCAGAAGCATACCCACTAATTGCCCAGAATGTGGATCCAAAGCAATTGGAGACCTAGCAAAGAAAACCCAAAAAAAGAAAAAAACGAATTGAAAGAAATTGAAGCCCTGTTCACTTTTATTTTCGTTTCCTGTTTTCTGTTTTCATGTCATAAATTTGGCAACCGAAACGAGAAAACTTGTTTACTTTTCATTCTGTTTTCTATTCGTTTCCAACTATGAAAACAGAAAGTGGCAACTCCCTGCTGTTTTCGGAAACGACAAAATGTTGTTTTCACCTGTTTTCATCATCTGTTTTCTCAAAAACAGAAAACAGAAATGAAAGTAAACAGGCCCCTGGGTTTAAGAATTAAAGAGTATTCGTTCATGTTATGATTAGGGTTTGTGTAGTAATACCGGGTATCTACGGCGACAGTAGTATCCCTGAGCTCCTTGAGAATCTGTGGCTCTCTCGGGTGCACGCTCGTCTCCAATATGTACTGCGATTTAGCTAGATATAGTTAGATAATTAACGGGAGAGCAACTAAACTTCAAGTTAATCCAGTTTTCAAGCTGGCCATAATTGATTAAGAGATAGCAAGACCTGTATATATATATATATGTAACGTCACATGATAAGTTGAAGATAGAAAGGCGCAATATATAGCTAGCTAGGGTTCTGCGTATGCGAACCTTGAGTAGGTGGTCGCTCTGCAACAAGTGTGGGTTGGGCACAATTACCTCTGGCATTTCCATCTTTGTATAGCCTCTCCTCTCCTTTGTGGAAACTAAGGTGAATGGAAATGAAACAAGTCTATTTATAACGGATTGAAGAAGTAGAGATGACATAATTAGTGGCGGAATCAACTGGGGAGTTAATGATGTGGTTGGGGGTTTTGAAAAATAATTAGTAGAAGGGCCGGCCAATGTTATATGATTAATTAGTTTTTTTAGATACTATTTAAAAGATTCAAATTTGAGGCCTCTAGTTTCAAGGCTAGTGATATTCTCGCTAGATCAAATCGTTGTTCGTTTGAATATATTAATTAATATTCATGATAATCATTAACTGATCAATATTCTCGTGTGTGTATATAAGCGAGGCATGTATATTCATCGTTGAAGTCCTATCTGTATATCATAACATGACACAATAAATCTTTAATGGAAAAACGAAGATGATTTCATTTCTTGCGTAATACAGAGATTACATAGCTAATAGATATATAATTTTTTTATTTCAAATTATTGTTTAAATAAAAATGTTTATGAACATTTCATTTCTTATCATTTTAAAAATTAAATCACGTGTCAAATTTTAGAATAGGACCTCATTAGTGCACGTTCAATCGTACAGGTAGATTAGAAGAGCTGATTTAACGTAGTTAGTTGCTCATAGTAACACTAGTAAGCTCCATTCCTCTCAAAGTCGCAGGGGGTTGGTACTTGGCAGGTGGAAAGGAAGCAAGTTCAAAGAGTAGGTCACGTCGGGAAGAACTTAGTACCGGCGGGAAGGTAGTAGGTTGGGCTATTTGGTCCAGGCTTTTTGGGTTTATCTGAAATTGGACTGTATAAGTTGGACCGAAATCGGATAGCAAACAATCCAATTCCATTTTCGGGCTTAAATTTGAGGTAAAAAACTGTTTGAGATCGGATCGAAACTGGAAAAAGACTGAATTAGAGAGCCCAATACCCAAAACTTAACCAACTCTTCACCTTTTGAGGTCTCCGGCCACTCAAATTTCCACAAAATCAATCGAAAATAAAGACCGAATTGGAACCGGACCGGGTTTAAACCAAACCGGATCAAGACCGAACTGTATCCAAACCAATCTTTGGTACTTATATTTCCGAAAAGACCGGATCGGAACCGGATCACTTTAGACCAATTTAAACGGACCGTATAGCTACCCGGAAGGTAGGGGTGCACATGGCCCGGCATGGGTAACGATTCATCAGTGATGCGCGTAATCCTCTACAAGTAATCAAGTATGGGTATCGTATCAAGTAATGAAGTGTTAGGTAGAGTATCGATTTCATGAAGATTGATTTACTAACTTTGTTAAGTAGAGTAACAAAGTGTCAACTGTCAACTAACTTTGTTCATTGGCCGGGTAATTTTTTTATTATTATTACTAGCACAGGGCCCGGCCCGTTGGCCGGGAAAGGTTAGGAAAAAATATGTACATATAATATGTTGAAAATATGATAATAAGAGTAGAAATATGTCTAATCAAAAGAAATACAAATTTGCAAATATGAAACAAACCATATATAATTGGTTTTTGCTACTTAAGAATACCATATAGTTCAAGATTAGAGTTGCGTCCCTTAAAACATACATAATGAACCCTCAGGAGAAAAGAAAAAGATTGGTCTATGAGAGACTTGAGTATCTCTGTATAGTGCTTATCCTCGTAGTCATCATCTTTGTTGATCACAGCACGTGCAATCGATCTAAATTTATGTGATTTGAAATATACAGGACATGATGCAAAGTTGTCACTTATAGTGAGGTGAACAAAGTATTGCCTGCAGCTGAATTCCTGTATGACTTTCATGTCGAGGATATGGCCAGAAACAATGTAGTACTTTCCCTACAAAAGTTAATATTTGAATTAAAAAGGTAAAAATAATGATCATGTATGATTAATAGGAAGCATTGAAGAAATGATGATAAAAATTTGTAATTTGCAAAACTTCTCACCATCAATTTTCCACGAAAGCGCAATACAGTTAGATCTGCAATTGTACACATTTTTGCGCGGTCTTTGGCTTCTTCATAGGAGTCATCTTTAATGATGTATTTGACTTTTCTTAGTCTGGCATAAGAAATTAAATATAACGAAGTCATTTTTTTATAGCTATGTGCAGGTATACGAATTCTTTACATAAGTAAATGTACTCACGGGTTGAGAAATGGGTGTAAGAACGGCTGATTCAAGTTGAAAAATAACTTGGATGCCGAGGATGCTGCAAAGTAATATTGGCCTGACAATGATGATGTAACTTGGTGAAGAAAAGATGTTTTTATACGGAACAAACATATATCAAATTGTGCAATAGCCATTGTCAGCAAATGAACCCATATAGCAAGAATACCATTTGTGTATGTTTTCTCCACGTATACTGAAGTAAGTACACAAACCACCGTTGATTGCGGTTGATGAGCCATGAATGCTTCAAATGCATGACTTAAGGATCCATTTAGTAGTACCCGGATGACGGCTCCCCTAAAAGATATGAGGAAGTAAAGTGATATTGCTAGAGCATGTGGAACATGCAAGTGAACATCAAATAACAATAAAAGTTAGAGGACTCACTCTATCAATTTTAGGTACACAGTTATTGTCCTTTCACGGACTGATCCAACAAATATTTCGACGGTTGGTTCTGTATGGTCAACTTCACCAACTAAATCTGGCATGAGCAACATATTTCATACGTACAATATTGTATTAGAAAATCGCAAGTAATGAGATAAGATAAAGGGATGTATTGTTCGAATAATAAGCATTTTTCATACGGGAATATACAAAAAAATAATGTCCAATGTATAAGCATTGTGCCAGCCGCCAGGATATGATCACTGGTCTGAGTGCAACACGAAAAGGAAATGGATTTTTTTAATATGTGTTTATGAAAAAAAGGACCACACAATTTAAAGTTTTTGTATGAGCATGTAAAGGATGCTGAAAGAACACATAGCAGAGAAAGAACGTGTAAGCAAAGACATGGTCAAAATAAAGCTCTGTATTAATTCATTGATTGTCAAAGGATGGGATACAGTAGTTGAACCTGACAAATATTGATCGTTCGCGTATGCGGTTGCGAAGTCGGTAGATTTCAAGAATTTGAAGCTGTATTTTTTAATATCACTTGCATCGACCAACTCCTCAACTACTGTTTCTGCAGTGAATGTGATGTATATGGGGGAAGCGGTGACGCGATCGCGTTTTGGAGCGTCATCAACTTCAAAATTGGAAATAGCATATATTTTTCCTTCTTCAATTTTCTTGTCAAACTTGGGAAGATGAAAATTTAAAATCATTCCTTGACACTCTGCACCCTAAAAAAATAAAGACCTTGATGATTACGATTCACATTATGAAAACATGTTGTTACAATTAACATCCGCCATGCTTACCTGACGGTCAATCAAGAGGAGATTAAGCCAATAAATTGTATCACCCGCCATGCTCTGCGTTGGCCATACACGCAGAATGCGAACCCGCAGCCGACACTTTGATTGTAGGGTTGGTAATAGTTGTGATATAGCAGCGAAAGACATGATGAAGGAAGATCTGCAACTCGAATGAAGATCCGCAACTTAGTTACTTTGATTGTTTGCTGGTTTCAGAGAGAGACGAAGGAACCAAAACCCAATGATAAAGACTGAGTATGAATAATTATTTGGGGAAGACATTCTAATTATTAGAACGTTGAACGTGTGAGAGCGGGATAAAATCTCCCTACTGATGCGGGCCACGTTCTGAAGTGGTTGCTGCGTTTGGAGTTCTTGTTGAGGAAATGTAGGGATGGAATGCCACCTGTAGCATGCAAAAAGCAGGGGAAAAGTCTAGAAAAAAAAAAAGGCAAAGGAATAATAGATGGGATGGATCGTAGGGTGTCAACAATTTGTAGGTTAATCACATTGGGCTATACCTGGCCTCCGTCTGTTATAGTCAGCCCAAGCTGGCTTCGAATTTATTAATATTCAGCCCAATAGGAATTTCAGCCCTGAATACATAATCATAACGGAAATTAAGGTAATAGAGAAAGAAATAGGGACTTAATTCATTCTTCTCAGGTTTCATAAAAATAGAGAAAGAAATAGCATTCCACAGTAGGAAATAAGCTAATCACGGGTTACCACACTTCAGCACTTGGTAAGGAAAGTAAAATACATAATCATAACGGAAATTAAGTCATGGAAACTTTAAGTAATTAATTGAAAAGGTATTAATCTTAATTATACCCTACGTTTAATTTTTAATCATTAATCATTAGTAATAATCTCCGTTCAAACAAAAAAGGCTATCTACATTAGAATGTGCAACCTAAAATTGTACAAACACATTGACTTTTCATGTTGTAGTGAAAATCAACAGGAAAAAACTCAGCATACGAAGGGATCATGTACCAAAGGAGATAGGCTGGCGCAACTGAAATTCGATACAAAAGAGGCTCCTAGGGCCAAGTTCATAAAAGCAGTAGTAAACATAATACTGCCAACAAATATGAAAGGCTTAAAAAGCATATAATGTCCTAGGAAGTTGCGAAATGATGGTGGAAAGACATTGGGAGTGCAAGATGTTTAATAATATGTACAACCAATTTTCGAGCAAGGTAAATCTAAACCATTTTTGTCTTCAGTTTCTTGTCTGGAGGTGGGGTTGCTTCATCTTGTTCATCAGGAGCTTCTTTGCTACCAATCTGTTCTGAATGGTGAGGTGAAGGGAGGCTTGATTCAAGACCACTGGTAATGGATGAACATGATCCATCTTTGTGTAAAGTTGAATCGCTTTCCTGAAATGTGAATAATGCAAATAAAGAATGCAAATGTAAGTGAAATTACAATACATGTGTGGCATTATAAGTGAGGGGCTAGTAGAAATTGAGCCAACCCTTCAGCTCTCGCATTTGTTTAGGTTCACTAATCCTGAACGCATGCAAGTAAATATCTCTTACTTCCTCTCACGTACATATGCGTTTCAATTGGATTCAAATGGGGCTTAATTGTTTTGTCCACTCTTGGTTCAAGTATGGCCACACTACTCCCATCTGCAAGCTTTTTATGTTTTCTATTTTTGGCTATTTTAACGGGCCCTTGCTACTTGGCAACAACATCATCTCTAACATAGTAACATATCAAATCATATCAAATCATTTCACTAAGCCTGGACACCATCATAGACCCAGCGCCAATCTCTTACTATCGCTAAGTGTCAACTGGCCAAAAACTGCATGTGATCCAGTGGGAAATGATAATTCCATGTTTAATCAATGCAGTGGAAATCAGAGTTAATGCATGGATAAGTTGACTAACCTGTGGTGTTGGGTCTTTAATCTTCAACACAGTGAAATCAGCTAGCCCATCACCATACAAATTGATCTTGAATTTGATGGTGAAGCTCTTTGTCAACCCCACCAGCTGAAGCAGCTCCTCAGGCGGCGAGTCACTGTTTTGACCCGTTTTGTGGAAGAGTTGATCAGCACTCACACCAAAAAAGCGCTTGCCTTCATATTCAAACATCGTGAATGTGGCTGGTCTAGAATCACTTTCTACCTCGATCTGAATGCGATATCTAGGAGCAGAAGCATGTAAAATAGATTAGTTGTAGGTAGTTCCATATTGATAAGTTCCCACATTCATGTAATTTGACCAATTTATTCTTAACTTACTTGGCAGCCTTATGCGGTGAAGTTTTGTTGCAGCGGACACAATAAAACTGACCCTGGCGTTGTATAGGCTTGAAGACACAGTTGGGACAGCCCATGTAGCACCACCCTGGTTTGATGCCGACAACTTTACACTCAACAGAGAAGACCATTTCCTATGTACAAAATAGCAAAAAGGTGAATAGACTGGTGGTTATTCCACAAAGAACGAACTATTCAGAATTATAACCTACTCCGGTGGGTACAGATTACCTCCATGTCAGGATCAGCTTGTAGCTCGAGAAGTTCAGCAAGGGAGATAACTGGAATCTGTTTTGCTGGTGTCGGTTCCACCAAGGCAGGTTGTTGTGGCTGCTCATCCCTAAGTTCAAATAAACAAAAAAAAAGTCAAGGGAAAATGCGGGAATATATGTATTTGTAGCATATTGCAGAGTCTAAGAAGTAGTGGAAACCTGGTTGTGAATGCACGAACTTCTGGGATATCAAGATTGGCATATAGCACTGTCGATCCAGATGATGAGAATGAAAATGCTTCTACAAATTGAACAGATGCAAAATCTATAAGTGTTGACTAATAGAATCATCTTCAAATGCAAGTAAGAACTTTGAAAAAAGTACCTTTGAATGTGTTGACAATAACAGCAGTAATGACCAATGTAATTGGTTGGTTCTGAAGGTCAGTAATTATCTTCTCAACCGCATCAACTAATCTTCCCCATACAACGACCTTCACAACATCTCCCCTATATGAAATTATCTTATGTCATAAAAGGCTGGTGGCTATAGGAGATTGAAACACATACAAAAGGATGCTAACGGTGACTTCTTTGTGCTGTAACTACAATGGGGGATAACAAAAGATAATTCTACAAAAGGGGGGATAACTCTATTTGTATACATGCTATAACTCATTAAAAGATTGAGCACCAACTGTTATGGTGTTGTACTACTTGCATTACTTCCTGGATGTCCCTTTTTCCCCCAAATTTCCTAAGGATCAGAACAATTTGTATTCTTTTTTGGTTACTATCTACCCTCTTAAGTTATATTCTATCATCCAAATTACATCCCTTGCTGCTAAGCCAATGAACATTGTATTTCTTGTTCTCCATAAACACCGAAATGGTGGGACAAAAGAATGACAAAGACCCATAGGGCGAAAGGGACGTTACTTAACTACTCATTGGTATTAGAAGGTTCAAAAGATTGTTACTTTACGATGATGAAGCCATGGGAGGACTGGGAAACAGTGTAAAGACATAGATGCCATGCACGGTCGGATTTAAAATCTCAATGGAATTCAACCATTGATGTTGTTTTAATTAGTTTGGGATAATGCAGCAACAGTTTAAGAGAAACCAAACACATTATTTTTGTGTCAAATTTGAGAGAAGCTACAATAAAGAGTTGCATGGCCAATTGGATATTGAATAAAGTCCACTAATGCTGAAGAAGAAAAACAGGACATACCAGAATAACAAATCATTTAATCATCGCAAATCTAATGTACATATAAATTGCAAATTGTTCTCTTCAGTTGAAGATATGTAAAGACTTACTCCAGTAGCTTGACTTGCAACTCTTTTCGTATGGTCTTTCGAGTAATATTGGAGGTTGAGATTGGATCTGAATGCTGAACTAATTGGCCAACAACATCTAGGAAAATAATAAGCAGCGTCTGATGAGATGCGATTCTGGAAGTGTGCGAGAAGAGATAATAAATTGAAATTAAGCATTAACCTTCAAGAATGGTAGTGTCCCCAAATTTGTCTGGCATATCACTTGCTTTCATGAAAGTAAACTTGAATTTCGGAATCGAGGGGACTTCAGATACGTGCTGAACAGTTGTTTTCCGAGAAAATGACATAATGTAGGGATTAGCAATTGGCCGATACCCCGATTCTGTAGGATTGAGCTCACAGTTCTTGATAATATAGACATGTTGTTCCTTCAGCAGGCGTTTGAATTTTTCTTGCAACAGCGGTGGGATGTGTACCCAAATATCGTTTCCCTTAGAGACATGGAAATACAGAAATCAAAGAGTGCAACTTTACAAAACGCAAGTGACACTTGTGACGCGTGAGAATGCATGAATACCTTTGTGTCAATCAGGATGAGGTCTAGGTGGAGGACTTTGTCGGTGGTGACATGAACACCAAGCCAGAGGCGAGAAACGCGACACGGACCCGACCATATCTGCTTCTCCGTGTCAAGGTCGCGCATGCCTTGGAGGTCCATCTTCTTCAGCGGCAAAATTCAATAACCAATACACAAATAAGTTGATGATTTCTGGGTAATGGAAATAGAGAATTTGGAGAAACAGAGAAGGTTTCCATACCTGAACGCAAAAAAGGAAGGAGAGCAGTAGTCTGATTGCTGCTGGTTGGGAGGGAATTTTTTTTGAGAAAGGCAGCAGTTGCGGTACTTAAATAAGCTGCACATCACCCACGAACGCAACATCTGCGGAGTCCTAGGAAACTCCCCAACCCACGATCAATAGTTCGGCAACGCAGATGCTGAGGATGAGATAACTGCCGCAGAGCCTATAGTTGCGAAATTTGAGTCTGTACATATGCCGTGGGCCATAAGCGGCATTTTCAAGCTCCACGGCAGCTGGAAGTACACGCAGCATGAACCCAGCTCCTCGAGCTTGACCATGCTCTGCACCTCCGCAGCTTCATAACGGTCAGAATCACCCGCAGTGGCACTCTTACAGCCCATCCAAGCTGGGCATTGAATTTGTAGGTTCCTTTAGAAACCGATGGCGGGGCAATGAACCCTAGAATTTACAGATTGAATGTTGAATTGGGAGAGGACTACGACAACGGCGTTAGAAAGTGACCAAAGCTGGACGCACGCAGAGTCGACGGTCATCTCCACTCATGGGCCTTGGGACGGTAAAAGGAATTGAGCCCAATTACACTGAAGACATGAATTTTCCATTAAGCCCACTTGAAGTTGACGTGTTTGAGCATTTGTTTTGTTATGGATTCAATTATAATATATAGATTACTTGCACTGTGGGAAAAAGTTAAAAACATAATGAAGAGAAAAGCTACGACATATTTGCTGCAAATCTTCTCAAATATGGTTTATTGCTTATCTTTTTGCATTAAAAGAACAACACCGCTAGGGATGGCAACAAAACCCGAACCCACGGGTACCCGCCCGACCCAACCCGGTCAACGCGGGTAAAATTCGTGTTGACGGGTTTTGGGTCGGGTTTGGGTTTAAACCCGTTCACTATTCATCGGGTCGGGTTGGGTTTGGGGTTTAGTTAAACCTGACCCATGGGTACCCGCCCACACCCATATAATTAATTTCCTCGATATATTTAATATTCTAAACAACTAATCTTATTTATGTTTGTAGAGACATGTCTAATTTTTCTTTCTAATTGTGTAGAACGAAGTTGATGTTATCGAGTGGACAGTGAAGAAACTTAATTGAAAGGAAGAAGTTTTCAATTAATTATGTTATTTATGGATAATTTATGATTTGCTTCAATTTTCTTGAGTTTTAAATATTGGTGTTGAACAATTTGTATAGTTAATTTGTGATTTGCTTGTATTTCTAGAATGGTGTTTTATATATGAATAATTTATATTGAGAGATTGATATTTGGTTTTAATTTTGATAGGAACTTGTTATTGTAATTTTTTACGACGAAAACCCGTGGGTACCCATGAACCCGCGGATACCCAGTGGGTTGGGTTTGAGTTTTTCAAACCCAGTGGGTTTTACCCTGGGTTTTTTTCACGAATAAACCCATGGGTTTGGGTTTGGCAAAACCCAACCCAATCCGACCCATTGCCATCCCTAAACACCGCTACTTAGTCCCGGGTACTGCTGAACTTTGGGAATAAAATAGGATTTGAAAAGGGGAATATCAAAATAGGAAGGAGTTAGATAGTAAACGCTCTCGATCGAGGTAAGAATCACTTGGGTAAAGATGACACGATCCAGTTGGGAATCAAGATCGTAGATGAAGGAGTAAAGGTGGGGATCCTTATTCTTTGGGAAGCTTCCATTGGGCATAAATGGCGCTATGAAAGAAGAAAGGGGTACATATATATTTTATATTACTCATTTTGTTAGTGAAGTAACTTTGATATTTTGACATGTTGCCCAAAATAATAATTATATAATGAGCTGAAATTAGTACTCTTGTAAACAAATTTCACCAATTGCATAACCGTTAATTTATGAGATTAAATTGGCATAAAATTGCTAATGTTACCTAAAGCCCAACGCTGGGCAGAAGGCAGATCAATTGGGAAGCAAAATTCTATACTACGTGTCCCTACATGCTTCGTCGCCTGCCTCAATCAATGGGGATCGGAGTTGACTACCACGTGAACACCAGTTTACATATTTAACTATGATAAAAGGATAAAAGAAAGCCAATGTTTCAATTAATGAACCAATATATACTTGCCTCCTGCTGCATAAGGAGGAAAATTGCAATGTGCACTAAAGGGGCCCATCTTATTCACATGACAGTAGCAAAAAAAGTAGAACACCCATATCTACAAAAGAAAATAAAACCAATACCGATGAGCAGGTGAACAAAATGAACTGCAAAAAAAATGTTCCAACAATATCCAGTTGGTAGTGTACTCAAAGTGTACGCATCAGTAGCAACTACATTAATGGTGCAATGAATCATTCAAATATTTCAGGGAATACTATGTTGACCATTGAGGTGCCATCCTCTCCATTTTCATTCCCAATCAAAATCTTCAAGCCCTGCCTTGTGGTAATTCTTGACAATGCAACATATAGTTGACCATGAGTGAAAACTTGTCTTTGCAAACATAAACCAACATGAGCTAGTGTTTGGCCTTGGCTTTTGTTAATAGTCATGGCAAAACACAAAGAAACTGGATATTGTCTTCTGATGAGAGTGAAGTTAAGGCTCTTGTAATGGGTTGACAATGTCAGTCTGGGGAGGAACACACGGTCACCTACATTGGTACCTGTCAAGATCTCCACCTCAATAAACCATTTACCCAAAGTCTTCACAACCATTCTGGTACCATTACAAAGACCGATAGTTTGATCCATATTTCGTAGTAGAATTACTGGACACCCAACTTTCAGTTTTAGCTCATGGTCAGGGAAGTTACCAACTATTAGTGTGTTCAAAAACTCTGTAGAATAATCAGCATCCACAATGCCCTCCTTTCCAGGGTCTATCTCAATAGAATCACAACTGAAATATGACACTTCATCACCTGGAAATTCACCCAGAATATATCCATTCACTGCAGAAACCATATCATGATGTGGAGCCAAAATCGCTCGATTGACCAAATAATTATGATCCCGTGCATGACTCCTAAGATCACCATATATGGAAGATACAATATCGATAACAGGCTCGAACTGTCGGGGAACTATTAATTCAGGAGGAATCGGAATAGAGGACTCACCATAGACATCTGAATCTGCTCCATCTCCAACCTGTAAAAGCCAAGTATGAAAATTAGCTATTTCAAGAACTTCTTCTGGGGAACAATTGGCTCGTGCTAGCCTCATATTTTCAACCAATTTAATCACCCTCAGATGGTGCCAAAGGTAAGATCTCTTTATAGATGAGTTCACGATATCAGCTCGTGAACCTTTCAATACTATAGGCAAAGTTTGCCTAAAATCTCCTCCAAAAACAACTGTAAGACCTCCAAAGGGCTTTCCCTGACTGTTTTGATACCGAAACCGCAAGATATCCCGCAATGATCTGTCAACAGCTTCTACAGCATGCTTGTGTGACATGACAACTTCATCCCAAATAATCAATGAAGCACGTTGGATGAGCTCTGCCAATTCACTTTCCTGGTCAATATGACATGTCGATCTACCATCAAGGTCTACTGGAATGTGAAATCGAGAATGAGCTGTTCTACCCCCATCCATTAAAAGGGCTGCAATCCCAGAAGAAGCTACACACAAAACAATCTTCATCTCCGAGCGCAGTTTCAAGCAAATTACTTTCCACAAAAAAGTTTTTCCTGTTCCACCACATCCATCAATAAAGAATGCCCTACCCTTATCTCCATAAACTGAATCTGTAATTTCATCAAAAGCTATCCTTTGTTGGGCATTAAGCTTTGAAACCATACCTTCAAATTGTTGACCAAGATTTGTAGCATTATAGCTAAGTTCTGTTGTGATCAATCTATTTGACGAAGATTGCACATTCCCAAGATTGGGAACTGGTAATCCTGGAAAATCTGATAGAGTTTTGCAATTTCTTGCAAGCAATTTATCTATCTCAAGCAAACAACATTCCTTCAACTGAATGTCAGTCATCTCTAAAGTAGGCATATTAAGTTCCTTTCGACGGGCATACAATATGTCATCAGATAACAGTGACCAATTCCGCTCCCATAGTTTGCCAATGTCAGAAACTTGACACATGCTGATGATAGTGACAAATAAAGCTCTAAGCTTTTTACCGGACGCCCAAGCAGATGCTTCAACTAAACAGTCATTCCATTCATTATCTTCAGCCAATAGACCATGCGCATAACATGCCTCCTTAAAAGATTTATGCAAAACTCCATTCACTGTTCTGATGTCCTCAAAACTTCCTGCACCACGAACAATGTGCAGTAGCATACGCAAGTAGAACCTGTCATTTGTTGGGGAAGGATGACAGTAGTATAAACGACCAATACTGAACATGGATTTCCTCTTATGCCATTCCCTCTTTGTTCTATTCCAAACATAATGTTGAGGAAATTCTACGAAAGTATACTTTCTTGCTTCTGCAGAGAGCCGATTCATTTTCATCCAACCCAATAACATAGAGGTTTGAGCACCTTTAGATCGTAGCACACCTTGAGGGTTTGAACGCCGCTTTGAGACAACAACATTCTGACCTGGAAGATGATAAGACATGCGCAATACCGATGGGTATTGTGAGTAGACATCAAACTTGAACAACCTCCAGCATGCTTCACCAGATGTGATGTAACGGCAATCAAGATATGCTTTTATCTCATCAATACGGGTTGTGGGATTGGAAGTTGAAGCACCAGATTGGATTTCAACTTCATTTTCCCTAGGAACTAATGATGCTTTTGCTCGATCTTGTGGTTTATTGATATACTTGAACAAATATTTGATTGCCCTGCAAAATAGATGAAAGTATGAACTACTACGCATGAAACTTAAGAATAGGAGAGTGTACCAATGAAACAGTGAAATACATTAGTCAACGATCACATCCGCTCCTGCCGTCTGGAGAAACAAAACGTATAGGTATATATGGACATTATATTTCAAAGGAAATGACACGCGGACTGAATTCTTGCTTTGCCAGGTACATTTGAATTTATTATCATTTTAGCTTGTCCATTTTGCGGGTATAGTTTAAATTTTTGGGGTCCAGCATAGGATCCCCATTTACGGCAACTTGCAATCCTTCTCTACTCACATGGGCATACATGGACACAGCTAATTACATCCATTTGAACTATATCAGATATAAATTGGAGAATGGCTACCATATAAGATATTTGTAAAAAAAAAAAAAACTATATCAGATATAAATTAGGGAATGCCTACCATAAATGGATAAACTAAAACCCCACAATAAAAGCTAATGGATGATGACAGAACAGCTAGAGGATTTCTTTGACTTTTGGGGAATGTTGGCCGAAAATTACATGGCTGAACTGTACACTGCCAACCAAGTAAATCAAGCAAACGGGGAGGAATAGCTAAGTTCCCCCAATAATCATTTCACCTATACTTAGTACGCATTCATGATGTGTCCAAAAAAAAAATTGAAAATCAAAGAAAATCCATTAAGCAGCCGAGCTGGGTGCTCCACCCACCTAATCTGCCCAGCATGTCTATATACTATATAGTAAAGCAAAGACACCCGGTATACAACTATCTATAAAAATGATTTTAGAACATACCTGGATTTATTGCAAAACTCAACGTTTATATGTGCATCGAAACGCAACAACAAATAGCGATTGTATGGAACAACGAAACGATTGTCCAACGGCACAGAGTTGACTGTGAATGATATCCCACTGTCGCGCCGTCGATATTTGGCGAATCCATTATCATCAATAGTAGTTTGCTCACAAAACTGCTTCGGAAAATGTTTCGTACAGACACCACCCTCTGTGCAAGGCGCATTACGACCTAAAACACCGCATGGACCATGCAACATAAATGCCGTTACAGCGCGATAACCTTCTGGATCAAGATCGGGGTTTGGTACTTCTGCTGATATTACAGAGTCAATGTCATTCGGGCCAGTTAGTTTATATTCAGAAGCTAGGAAGACTAACAAATGAGCATGTGGGAGGCCCCGCTTTTGAAACTCAATTGCCATAACATCTGCAAACAAACAAAAAAAAAACCACCGTATTTATTGTGCATAGGATCCTGACAAATATTTCAGCGTTGGAGGAAAAGACAATTGCAATTTGTGAGAATTTAAAAACTTCCAGTTATGTGGAGGTCTAATTGAGTATGTGCATTACATAAACATGCAATACACGCATGGGAGGGGTATAAACAAAGCAATTACTTGTGGGAAAAAAAACAAAATGGATGCAAACGTACTTTAAAATGGGACGTGTAATGTGAAAGATGCCATGCAATAAAGGCCAGTAAGTGAAGAAAAAAAATGCTTAGTTGCAATAAGTGAAAATGACAAAACAAATTTATGGCTATGAAATAAAATGACCTAACATAACATAAAATGAAAAGTTAACCAAAGTGTATGACTTACGTCCAGTTGTGGCTCCGAAAATTTTTTTATCCCTGATCTCAGTCATTAGTTGATGCAGTTTCAGCTTGAAGACTCTAGCAATAATATCAGATCTGTTGACATCTTTGCGACCATCTGAGTTGACCAAGTCAACCATAAATTGTATTTCTGGCCAATTTGCATTGCAGGTGAATGTAATAAATAAATCAGGGTATCCCAGCCACCTACAAATAGCCATAGCATCCTGGAAATTTTCATACTTATAACGTGGACTCCCAGTATGCGAAGCAGCCAAAATCACATGCTTCCCAGTCATCTCTAAATCAGAGTCACCCCGTAGAAAAGCATCGAGCAAACCACTAACGTAATGGGCACGAAGTTTAGACTGGTTATTGCGGATCCAATCAAGCCGTTCTGCTTCCACCAATGCATATGCATTGACAACATACTGCTGAAATAATTTTCCAGCTAATAACAACGAATTTGACTCCTGAAATCTACTTTGCATGCGGTATGCATAGTAATCACACTGGGACAAAGATTTGTCATTCCAAAGATTCTCAGGATTGTCATCATCATTATCATCAACATCATTGCAGCTTATATCCGGATGCCATCCATCCTCGCCATAAGGGAATAGAATGGGGTATTGTAATGCCATCAAAGATGGATGATGAAAATTAATTCTCTCGAGTTGAGAGCTCTTATATTGGACAATAATATCTGGCGAATATGTATCCTGACCTGTTTCGTCAACAATCAATGCTGCTATGTCATTTCCTGTTGGCAGATCATATTCTCTCCCATCATGTGTACGCTTAGCAAATAATTTGATCTTCACTTCTTGAACATTGCCTTCATGAATCTTTTCCCTAGCCATTCGAAAGGTCTGGACCAGAACATTGTTTCTGTCAAACATGTTTTGCAATCCTTCAACAATCTCTGGACGCAATGAATTTGACTGATCATCAACTGGAAATAACTGTAAACGATTCTGCAGTTCAGAGCTAGATTCATGAATATATAATTGCGCAAACCTCGGTGCCTGACCTTCTGCAGGAAGTAAGCTGCCTATGGAGTGATAAATCTGACCACTTATAGAGTATACATACACACCCCGGCCATCATTTATCCCACGATCCACTTTGCCACCCAGGGATATGAAGCAAAATACAACATTGTATATACGAATTGCTTCCCGGAAATGACGGCTAATAGGTGTAGGCGAGTTTAATAATTCTTGCAAAAATTCAGGTGGATCACGTCTGGGAGGCAGTTTAACCTTTCCCGCTTTGCAACATAATGGGAAGACAGGATTGGCGTGATTCCTAGTAGGCACTGTACTTTCTTCTGGCCACATAATTGCTGAACAGTACTGACAAATGCTTGAAGGCTGGCCAAGACTGTAAACTTCCACAACAGGATACCCTATAATCAAAGTAGTTACATAAGTTGGCTGGTACATAAAAAATTAGATTTATCCCCTGCAAAAACATGAAATATGAAACCACAAACCATGAAAACGGGAAAACCTCCTGGGAACAGCATGAATCATCCGCCTTTTGCACAAATAAATTGATCGCATAACTCGTGCTCGTTTTGTCCGCAATCGTGAGATGCATGAACTATAATCTGAGACATCAAATTTGGCAATGCATTTACTCAATCAACAATTCATCAAACAATTGAATTTCATCCCATCCATATTTACCGCAAGCAACATATGTAAGGGTAATGAAGTCAGAGCAAATTATATACTGCGCCTCAAAAAATGGATTGACACCTCTAAAAGATATTGATGATTACCATGTCTAGCATGTTGAACCGTAGGTCTCAAGCGCGTGTTCAAAATCACCCGTCGTCGGTGCCGATTGGCCTGGGCGATCATGCGATCGATATAGCGCAATTGTGTTTCAAGAATCTGTATTTCTGAAAGGATAAAATATAAAATGGCATTATTTACGTCCAAAAAACATGACTGCGTTTAATATAATGTACTGAACAGGGGCCGCTGTATTACGTTGACGGATACGATCCCGTTCAGCAGCAATTTGTTGTCTGGAAGGAGGTTTTGGCGGCTTGAATATTGCCCGCATCAACCCTGGAAAATCAAAATACGGGAGAGGAAAGGCCTTATATTGTGTGCACACGTTAACCATATAGGAGAAGAATGGGCAGAGGAAAAGAACATAGGAATAGAAAGTACATTGTTTTCTTGAATGATGTACTTGCCGACCACTTAAACCCAATGTAGAGGCACCAGCAGCGGGGTGATTTGCGGCCATAGTTGCCTCCACGAAGACCCTGAACGACCAAACAACACGGTGAGGTATAATTACTTAATTAGTAATTACTTAATTAGTAACAAAAGATGATATTTGAAGACAACAGAATAGAAAGATATTGCAGGGAACGACAATGAGAATAGGTAATCTTGAACTATGAAGCTGACATACCGGAAGGGATATTACCCCTGACCAACGCTACTCACAATACCCGTACCAACGTACCTCGTATTAGCTGCGTGAATAACGTCGCAGCACAGCCCCACTCAATGATTACGGGTTGAGCTATTGCAGCTCCTGTGTTTGCAGTATGTTTGGAGAAGGAAAGGAAAGAAGAACGCCGACGTAGATAAGAAGACAAACGGTCTGTACAATGATTACGGGTTGAGCAATTGCAGCTCCTGTTTTGCGGTATGTTTCGAGAAGGAAAGGGAAGATCAATGTTGAAGAAGAGAAGAAGACGAACCGGCGTTGTGTTCCCCAGGGCTGTCGGCTGGTCCTGAAGAAAACGACAGGTCCTGGCTTGTTTTCCCAATATGTTGCTGCCTACATGAGACTCACCAATGGGTTTTGGGCTCGTAGCTGGGGAGGACTACCTTGGGCCGCCTTTAGTTGGCCCAATGAATGATATACAGAGAGGGGAATCTCCGCCAGAAAGCAAGGGAGCACCAAAACGCAAGGGATCAATTAATATGGGTGATATGACATATATATCCTTCCGGGAAACCCTCTGGGTGCTGGGATTTTGAATCCCTGAAAATTTAACTTTCGTTTTGCCATTATATCTTTTATAGATTTGGTTAACTGGAGTGAACAGATTATTGATTCAAAGTTAAGTGTTCAACACATATGATGATATGATAGCACTAATTATGTTGTGATTAATATCAAATTAGATTTGTGATTAGTATCAAATAAAGTTTGTTTTACTAGTTAAGTGCCTTTAACAAAACAAAGCGTAGCATCTATAGATTGTAGGTTTAAATCCTACTAATGACTATTTTATATGTTTGGTTATTTTTCATTGCAATGAAACATAAAATTAAAAATAGTTAAAATAATAAAATAACATGAAAATAAAGCTGATGTGGATGCATAAGAATTGAGAAAATTTGAGTTCATGAAGGTTAATTTGAGAAAGTGTTTATTATATCTACTAATGAATGACTATATTTATATGTGTGTGGTTATTTTTAATTGCCGTGAAAAATAAAAAAACAAATAGTAAAAACAATAAAATAACTTGAAAAAAATGTTTTTTAAAAGAGTTGTTCATTAAGAAAAGAACAAGCAGAAAAAACAACCAGAATCAGAATACCAAACAAAAGGCCCGAAAAACACACAAGTGGGTCGGTACCCAATAGGGCCCAGTGTGGCTTCTCGAACTCTAGTTGCTCATATGCCCCCTCTGAAGCCTCCATCGCCGTAGCCAGAAAGCCACCATTGTCGTCGCACCACCCAACACCGATGTCGCCACCAACAATCGTTGTCGTGCGCCAACTCCGAGTGAAATTGTCCTTTAAAGAGTAAAGGGAAAAATAAAAGACTTTAGAGAAGAGAGAGAATATTGGTCGTCGAACGCCGGCAGCAGCCCCCAAACTCATCAGGAGAAGGAGCCTCTAGAGAGAGAGAGAGAGAGAAAAATTAACATGAAACTAATGTTGATGTGGATAAATAAGAATTGAGAACATTTGAATTCATGAAGGCTAGTTTGAGAAAATACTTATTATATTCTATTGATGATGATAATTATCTGAATTTGATTTTTTAAGTGAAATAAGGCGTCGTTTGGAGAAATGAATTTGAGTTATCAATTCATTGAGTAAAATTCTAGATTTGTTTGCTTTTTCCATTTTTTGATGTCTCTGGGCGTTGAATTATGAGTTCTAATTTGTTGAGAGGGAGTAAGGACTTTTGAAAACATTATTTGACTTTTTGCGATGAGAAACAATTACATGTTGGTGGAATCAATGTCTGATCACTCCAGCAGACGGCAGTAAGAACAACAGCAGAAGGCGGGAAGAGTGAAGGAGTTTGAATGTTTAAATATGTTAGTTTAAGTTGAAGACTGTGTCGTTTTGGTTTATTATATTTGAGTCCTTGAGTTTGTTATTGAGTCAATAAAGTCCCTGCATGAACTAGGGTTAAAGGCAGCAGCCAGCAAGTCAGCAACTTAGCTATCAAGTTAGTTGAGTCCTGTTAGCTACTTTAAAGTAAGGGTGGGCATCTGGTTCGGTAAACCCGAACCGAACTGACTTCAAACCGAACCAAAACCGAATTTATGTTCTTCAGTTCGGAAATCTAAAACAGAAAATGTCTATTTCGGGAGCTACGGTCGTGTTGGCCGAACCGACATTCCGAACACCGAAACCGAGAAACCAAAAAATTATTATGTAAAGCTAAATCCTCACAACCCAACTCTCCCCACAACCCAATTGAGCCCAAATCCTCCCCTTACAACCCAACTCTCCCCACAAACTGAGCCCAAATCCTCACATGAACCAAGTCACAACCCTAGCCCAAATGGAACGCTACTTCACTAAGCCCACATTCGACCCTCTCTCCTACCTCTCGACTCTTTCCTTTCTCTAAACCGCCGCCGCCAGCAATTAATGTAATTAATGTAGAACTTTAGGGGCCAACATGAGCATTAACTCAAATTAACTAGTTGGAGGACAGAAATGAGATAGTTAGTTAGTTGCTCATGGCATTCATTATCAGTGGGGCTCCATTCCTCTCAAAGTCGCTGGGGTTGGTACTTGGTAGAAAAGCGAATTAAATTCAGAGGGTGGAACTTAGAAGAGGTGGGATGGTAGGAGTGAAGATGGGTGGAGCGGTTTAGGTATCGATTGATGGGCGATGTGCACTAGTGATGGCAATGAGGCGGGGCGGGTACCTCAATTCCCATGCCCCGTCCCATGCTACTATGAGGCGGGGCGGGTAAAACCCGCGCGGGTACGGGCGGCGCGGGTAGACCCACTTTTACATGTTATTCGAAAAAAATACAAGTAAATTTTACTTTTTACGATAAAACGAAGGGTAAAACACTTTAAGAATGAAAAATAGTGATGATAGAATGGGTAATTGAGTCTACCAAGTTGAAAGAACAACTCTAACTGGTTGAAGAAAAGTCAAAATATGAGAAATATGTATAAAAATTGTAAGAAATTGAGATAAAATGAGTCTAGAACGGGGCGGGGCATGGCGGGTCAGAAGCAGATAGCCATGCCCCGCTCACGCTACTGCGGGTCGGGTAATACCCGCCCCATCGCGGGTCAGGTCGGGTAATACCCGCAGGGCGGGTTGAAATTGGCATCAATGTGCACACAACCCTATCTTCTGTTCATGAACAAGGAAAAATAGAGTGTGGAAAAAAAAATCAGTAAAATTGGAGGGATTCAAAGCTTATTCCTTATTCATGAGTTTAGTTAGAACTTAGAAGAGAGTGATTATTTGGGGAAAAGTCACTATTGGGATGAATAGTTTTGAAAAGTTGCGATTCTTGGATTATGGTAGGAAATCTCGGTTGGGGACGATACAGGGAAAGAGAACGGAGTATAGGGTCTGCCTGCCGTCCTTGCCCATGACCAGAATCCGACCCTCGTCGTCGCGGTGGTGACTGGTTTCGCCGAAGAGAATTTGGCGGATGAAATCGGGACCAGAGAGAAGGCGTCACCACGATTTGCAGACGCAGCAGAATCGATGGATGCAGAGGGAAGCCTGCGAAGGACCTGTGTCTGTGTGGTTAATTCTTCGGGGAACCACCTAGCACCGGCGTCGGCGGCGTTGCGTGATTTTGGGCTACGACGAGATGCAACGTTGTCCCTAGCAAACATCTTTTGGCGTGGGCTTCAACGACCCTCCGCCGTCCTCCGAGAATCGTAGGTTGCTGAAAGCTGGTTTGGTTGAATCTAGTAGAGACATCGGGGGGTCCGTTGGGATTGAGACTCCGCCACGGGGCTTGGAGGTGGCGGGGGAACTGTCCGCTCATTCAGGGGTTGGGTTCTGGTTGAACGACCCCGAATCTAGTGCCCAATCAAGAATCCAGGCTCAGGATCTACAGATCTTGAATTAATTTTGAGAAAGAGAGGTGGGATTAGTTGGTTAGCTTCGAGGAATCAAAATGAGTACTTTTTTTAGTGTGTGGACAAGGATGGTTTTATTTGAAGTCTTAAACGTACTCAGAGACTGTTCATGTCTTCTCAATCATTGTTCTTTCATGCCAAAGGCAAGCTCATAATAACACAAGATTAAGTGCTTTTAAGCACAACACTACAAGATTAACATGTAAAAGGGGAAATTATACACTGTTCAAAAGACTAAGAATTTTTGTTGTTGTCAAAAGTAGCGGTAACAATTCAGTCATAAATGGAAGAAAGAAAAGTGCGGGAGTCGACCAATCGTCGAACTCCCGATGAGAGGGCTTTTTGTGCCACAAGGTGGGCAGCCCTATTAAGTCGACGCGAGACAAAGCAGAAAGAGACCCAGCTGAACCGTGCCGCCAATTCCCTTGCATCTTCTTTTTTTTTTTTGGGTAAAAGGAATGACGTCAAGCGTCTAACTCATTGAAGAAATAATCGAACGATCATGAGCAATACCCATGATATCGTACAAAAGCCATCTACCCAACTCAGGGTCGCACACATTGAAACGATGTGTGCCAAAATCAACAAGGTGACCCCTATTAGCAAGGAAGTCAGACGCAAAATTAGCTTCCCTATATACATGACTAATTCGAACCTCCCAATCTCTATTGAGGAGAATCTAAATCTGTCTCGCGAGGATACCATGTCTATGGTCTTCATCCAAGCACTTCAAAGCAATGTCAATGGCTGTAGTAGAGTCCATATTAAGTTGAACTTTCTTGTAACCCCTTTCCCACGCAATCCGAAGTCCCTCGATCGCTCCCTTCAGCTCAGCACTTGTAATGGAGCAGCAACCAAGGTTGGCGGTGAAAGCATCAATGCAGCGTCCCAAGCAATCTCTCAACAGTCCCCCCGCAGCAGCTTTTCCAGAGGGGGAGATCACTGAGCCATCAGTCTGAAGTTGCATCCAACCTTCATCAGGTGCTTTCCAAGAAACTGGCTCGTTATGGTAGTTTTTCGTCGAAATGCAGCAGTCCAACTCAGACCTTTCCCGAACTTGCTGAATGATGTTGAGCCAGGCTTCCACCCTGCATTTAAGACTGGTTTCATTGTAGTTCTTGCCATCCAGGATTTCCTCATTTCGTTGCTTCCAGAGACTCCAGCAGATCACACCAAAGTCAACCCCTTTGTCTTCGTGCAGAAGGTTAGAGAGGAGCCACTCCTGGAAGTTGCATCTGTTGTCAATCCTTGACAGTTTGTTTCGAAATGTTTCCCAGATCCTTTTTGCCTTATCACAGGTTCTCAGTATGTGTTCTATTGATTCCTCACAATCAGTACATCGATTGCAATTGCTGTTGGTGGAGATGTTCCTCCTTGCTCGTTCCTTGTTGGTGAAGAGTCTGCCGTGGAGGACAAGCCACAGGAAGTGCTTGATTCTGTTGGGGCCTTTCCACCTCCAGAGAGCTTTCCATGATCCTCCATCTTCATCTTCTTCAGCATTCTCCATGGTGGCTGCAAGGAAGTAGGCAGACTTAAGTCGAAATCTCCCATCCCGCTCAAGTCCCCAGATCATCTTGTCCTCCCCCAGCTCAGTGCTTGGTTTCTCCATTCCTGCAACAAGCAAAAGTTTTTCCTCAGGTAGAAGTTCTTTCAGTTCATCCCATTTCCACTCACCTTCTTCTGTAACCCAGTAGGCCACAGGTGTCTGTTTTTCCTCCTCAGTGATCTCCTTGGTCAGGTAGTCCTCCAGGATCAGTCCATTCTCAATCCAAGGGTGTTGCCAGAAGCTTGTTGATTCACCATTCCTGATGCTCCAACATGATGCTTCCTTCATAAGGGGCATGGCTTTCACCACAGCTCTCCACAAACAAGAGTGATTGGTTTTTTTCATGGAAATGATGTTTCCATTTTTCTGCTTATAGTATTTACCCTGCAAAACTTGGACCCAAAGATCAGTTCGTTGTTAAACATATTCCAGGCCAATTTGATCATGAAGGCTTTGTTTAAACAACGAGCTGATCTAAGACCAAGCCCCCCCAGTTTCTTAGGGAGGCAGACCTGTTCCCAAGAAACCAAGTGAGGTTTTCTTTTACCCTCCATGGAACCCCAAACAAAGCCTCTAACTCTCTTATCAATCTCATCACAAACAGAAGCAGGAATGGGGGTAGTTTGCATAGCATAGGTTGGAATTGAATTCAACACAGATTGGGCTAGAGTAACTCTTCCAGCAAGTGAAAGAGTTCTAGCTTTCCAAGAAGTCAGTTTTTGATCCATTTTATCCAGAACATATCTATAGGTATTCTTGGTGAGTTTACCATGGAGCACAGGGACCCCAAGATACCTCCCAAGGTCCTTGGTTTCCTGGATTCCAAGACGATTGCAGATGTCTCTTCTATCCATTAGTTTCACATTTTTAGAGAAGAAAGTCCTAGACTTATCTTTGTTAACTAACTCACCAGAAGCAGCACAGAAAGAATCAAGGCACTTCATGATAACATTAGCATTAGACAAGCAGGCTTGGGAGAACATAACTAAATCGTCAGCAAAGAAGAGATGTGAAAGAGCAGGACCCCCAGGAGAAAGACACACAGGTTTCCAGTTTCCATCATTCACTTCTTGTAAAATACAATGGCTAAGACGTTCAATGCAAAGAGTAAAGAGGTAGGGTGAGAGTGGACATCCCTGTCTAAGACCTCTTGTAGGGGTAAAGCTATCTGTTTGTCCACCACTCCACAGAACCTGGAATGAAGTGGTTGTCACACAGGCCATGATGAGTCTGATGCAGCTACTGGGGAAACGAGCAGCCATGAGAGTTTCTTCAAGAAACTTCCAGTCAATTCTGTCATAGGCCTTGGCAAGGTCAATCTTGAGAAGCATTGTCCCTTTTTTACCAGTCTTCCTTGACATAGAGTGGACAGTTTCCTGCAAAATGATGATATTGTCAGTGATATGGCGTTTTGGAACAAAACTAGACTGGTTGGGATGCACCAGGTGTGGCATAAGATGTTTCAGATCATTGGCAATGCATTTGGCAATCACTTTATACCCCACATTGCATAGGCTAATAGGCCTAAAGTGATTCACGGAGGAGGGAGAATCCACTTTAGGGATAAGAGCCAGCAGTGTTTCATTAATAGACTGGATTGTGCTGGGAATGGCAAAGCATTTCAGAACGAATGAAGCAAAGTCAGCCCCCACAGTATTCCAGCATTTCTGAAAGAATAAAGCATGGAACCCATCTTTTCCAGGGGCTTTAAGTCCATTCATCCCCATCAGGACAGCTCTGATATCAGCAATGCTTGGTGTTTTTCCAATTCTTGAGAGCCAAGACTCATCAACATGGGGAAAGAGGGCAGGTAACTGGATTCCTGAACAAGGAGCATCATTTGTGAACAGCTTTACAAAATGCTCTCTAGCCATGTCTTGGAGCATGGCAGGGTCATCAATCCAGTTCCCTTCTGCATCCTGCAATCTGGTGATTTTGTTTCTTTTTCTTCTGCTGAGAGTGCAATTGTGGAAGTAGCGAGTATTGAGGTCTCCTTTCACAACCAAGTTGACCCTGGCCTTCTGCCTCCATAACAGCTCCTCTTGCCACAAAGTGTCTTCAAGATCTTCTCTGGTAGCTTTCTCTTTTTCCATAGAGCTTCTAGAAGGCTTCCTCTCGTTGAACATTTCAAGTGATTTCAGAGCTCTGAACAACTCTTTCTTCCTCTTGTAAATGTTTCCAAAAACCTCCTTGTTCCACTCAGCCAGTTTCTCAGAGAGATCCTTCATAGAAGAAAGGAATTCCTCTCCTGGCTTCCATTCCTGCTTCACAAACGGCTGAAACTCTTTGTGATCTAACCAGGCAGCGAGGAAATGGAATCTTCTTTCCATTCTTCTTGAATCAGGCTGCTGGATGGTGTCAGTCAGGATCGGCCTATGGTCAGACTTAAGCTTGGGAAGATGAAACACAGTAGTGGCAGGGAATTTTTGCTGCCATTCCAGGTTGCACAAGCTCCTATCCAGCCTCTCCCTGAGACCTGTCGATCTGGTAAACCAGGTGAACATTGGTCCTGTGAACCCAAGATCAATAAACCCACACTCATTGATGCAGTCCTTGAAGGCTTTAACCCTGGCAGCATTGAAAGGTGCCCCACCTTGCTTCTCTGAGGGCTTGGTGATAGAGTTGAAGTCGCCAGAGAGCATCCAAGGGATGTTGGTGCCACAATCAATGTTTCTCAGGCATTGCCACAAGTCCCTCCTGTCATACTCATTAGGACAAGCATAAACAGCAGTGAAAAAGAAGGTAGTTCTACCTCCAGCAGTGCATTTAAAGTGGAGGAATTGCTTATGGTTGTCCACAAGCTCCAGGTTGAGGTTGCTTCTGTTCCAAAGCACCCAGATTCCTCCACTGAACCCCACAGCATCAGAAACTTTCCAGGTATCAAAGCCAATAGATTTGATAACCCTTTCAGCATCTCTACCACTAATTCATGGTTCAAGAATACAAACAACATCAGGTTTGAAGCTAGCCTTGTAGAGCTCCAAAGTAGACAAAAACTTGGGATGCAAGGCACCCCTGCAATTCCAGGAAAGAAACTTAACCATTAAGGAAAAGGGGGGTCTTTCCTGCAGCGACCCAATGGGTCAAGATTCTCCTTTGTCGACGGCTAGTGCCGTCTTTTGAATCTCTGGAATCCTGCCTGAAGCAGACTCCTTCAATTCAATGGCATCTTCTGGCCTGTTGACTTTGTCTTTCCTCGGTGGACTGAACTCAATCTTCCTAGGGACTGTTTCCCCAATGGTATGATTCTTCACTCCTTCCTTGGTGGAATGCTTATCCTCCTTCCTGTCTGCCCCTTGCTTCATTTTAGGCTGGTGGCCAGATTTTACTTCAGCAGCAACTCCTTTCCCCATTCCAACTTTTCCTGAAGCAGAAGAGGAAGAGACAGGAGCTCCTAGCTTGTGTGTCCCAGCAGGGGAGACCACACCTTGAGTAGAAGTTCCTTTCCCAGCCTTATTACCTTGGATCTGGTTGGATTTGATGGGGCTTGGTGCTTTATCCTTATCCTTGTTTTGCTTAGGTAGCACCGGAGAAGCCTTCTGGTTCTCCTTGCGAGACATCCCCTTTGTGTTGGATTTCTGACCTTTGCTAGCTTCCCCACTTGCGTTCCCAATGTTCATCTTCTCCTGTTTCCTACCCTCTTGTTTCCTTTCCTTAGTTTATGCCTTGGTTGAAGTTCCTGTCTGATTTTCCTGCTCTTGCTCCGTTTCCATATCATTGTTGTTCTGGCCTTCACCATGATTTTCTGTAGTTTCTCCCCCTGTTTGAACATCAGTTTCAGTGTCTAAGGCACTAAATCTCGAGCCAGAGGCTTTCCCTGTTGTTTCCCTGACTTCGCCATTCTCCTTTCCATTCGTTTGTTTCTTCCTTTGTTGGTTACCTTTCCTTTTCGTTCTGGTTGCCAACATCCATGGCCCAAAGTCCTCCAGAATTTCTGGGCGAATAACCTGACTCGGGGGTACTTGGTTAGCTTGTGTCCCACCATCATTCATGCTCTGACTTCCCAGGTTCTGTTTTTGTGGACATTTCTCTGCAAAGTGACCGTAATGGCCACATTCAAAGCACACGATGTGCAACCCTTCATATTCAATCCGTCTCACCCTTCTTTTGATTCTGTACTTGGAAACTAACCTTTTCTGGAGATCGACTTCCACACAGATTCGGGCATAGTTACCCCTGAATCCGTTGGCCGTGTTATAGTCAATCTTCTCCACCCTTCCAATTTTATTGCCGATGTCGTACAAAATGTCTTCATCAAAATAAGCTAACGGGAGTCGGGGGAGGCGGACCCAGACCGTCGTTCTGTTGATCGTGTCGAAATCAGGATCGAAGTCGAGTCTCCACGGCTCCGAGACGATGTAGTGGTCTTCGATTGTCCACGGGCCGCCATACAGAGCTCGATTGTGATCCAGCTGGGAATCAAAAGTTGCCTGAAAATATCCATTTCCAATATCACCCACCTTGAGACCACCTGTCTTTGCCCACATTCGCTGGACCCTGCTCTGGACAAGGGCGAATGGGAAGGTTCGGCCAAGGATTCTGAAAGTAATCGCACGTCGCCATCTGTTGCAGATCTTGGCATTGGTTCTCTTTTTAATTCGGATGGTCGGACAGTCCGGATCATCCTCAGCATCCTCTGTTTCTGATTCATCGGACATTAGGTCGTCGCCTTCCGGGATATCAACCGGTGGACTGTTTCCAAGGAATGAGTCTCTGTAGCTAGTTTTTTCCGCCCCTGAATTGAGTGCGGCAGAGGAGGGAGCTCCAGTGGTTGATTCGTTTGGATCTTCCGTACTATGCATCTCTTCGTCTTCCGCTCTTGCTGTGACGATGGCCATATCCATTTCTGTCTGCCCTGAGAACTCCGTGCTTGAGTTGGCCCTCGCTTTTTTGCTCGGCTGCACGGGAGTGGCGGTCGGCGACCCATCAGGAGGCTTCAGGCAGTGGTCTTCCCCCGCAGTGGGGGCTTGACTCGCAACGGTCATAAATGCAAACGAGGAGAGAGGTCAGAGCAAAACCTCTTTCTAACTTTACCCTCTCTCTCACCCACACATTTCTGTCTTCCTTTCCTTTTCCTTCCCCTTGCATCTTCCAAGACTAAGAATTGAGTGTTTTGGAACCTGTTCCCGGCAGGTGAGGCCACCAGCTCGGAACTCAGGCCCGTAAACTCGGCCCAGCCCAACTCGGAGGGATCATACTCTCTCCGTAAATAGCCATAAATTTCTCGAAATTACCTAAAGTGCCACCAGACTGAGACGGAACGATAAACCCTCTGCCGACTGCCGCGTCCATCGTCGGCTCTTCCGTCGAGCTTCTGGGGTTCTTCTTTTACAGGCAGCCTTCGCGTTCCCGAGAGAGAGAGAGAGAGATAGGGAGATGGGAAGGAGGATACTGAACGATGCGCTGAGGGCCATCGTGAATGCGGAAAAGAGAGGGAAGGCATCGGTGGAGCTCAAGCCGATTTCCACCGTCATGTCGTCTTTCCTCAAGATCATGAAAGATCGAGGTAAATAACCAACTAACTATCTCCTTCTGGATCGAATCTTCCCCAATCAGCTTTTGTTGTTTCGTTCCGCGGTTGCGATACTTCAATTGGGTGTCTCTACTTTTCAGCCTAGAATGGAGATGCATTTCATTTTAGGGACTGTGTGGCGGCTAAATTGAGCTGGTTAGTGGTAATTGAGAGTGATTTCGTTGCTTTGATTGGTACCTTGTTGCCATTACGATGGGTTGTACGTGCTTTGCCTTGAGGTTTCGAATCGAAATGGAGAGCCTTTACATTGGGAATGCAGTTAAAATGGAAAGTCTTTCTTAGAAATTCTGGAGAGTTGCATCGATTTTTGAGGGAACAGTGTGTTTATTTCAGGTAGATTCGTGTCTATCTGGCTGGGTTAGGGTGAGCAAGTAACTTCCTGTAGGGTTATAACCCAAGTGTTTTCGAATTAGATAGCACTGGGAAAGCCCTTTTGGTGCACTGTCCTTCTTTGCATTTTGTCGCCCGTTGTTGCATTAAGCTGGAAAGATTCACAAAACGAATGACTGAAGGAAATTATAAATATCTCAGCAGAACAGGACTCCACCATTTCAATGCAAGTATGGTGGATTTTACAACAGCAAGTTTTTTAGTTCGTAGAACTGGCTTTTTGTTGTTGTTGTTGTTGTTGTTGTTGTTGTTGTTGTTGTTGTTTTAGCTAGAATCACTCAACTTCTTGGGAGATACATAGATGAGAAACCAGTACAAGGTGTGAGATGGGAGGGGCAATAGGTCATAAGAATATCTGGTCTCTGCATCTAGTCAGCAGTGGCTGCTTTGGATCCCGTGGGAGTGAAGGGGATGCAAACTGCAACTTCGTCGGAAGATATAGTAGAAATTTGTTATCCATGCTTTTTGTTAAGCGATTTGGATATTCTTGGGTGACAGCAACTCACTTTAGGACTCGAGAGTATTTCAGCCGACTGGATGATTGCTGTCGTATGGCACCTGCATGTATCAGAATTTATTTACAACTTAGGTTTCGTGCTGTATTCTGATCTAATTACCTAGCTTTGATAGTTAACTAAGATTTGGCTCACTCTTGTGGTTAGTCTTAGACTGTGACATTTATTGTCTGTTTCCTTGCCTCAAACTAGAAAAAGAAGTTCTTTATCAGCTTTAGTAGCGGGTTTTGTGCACTCTTCTATCTCCTCCTTGAAAGCTCAAAGTGGGGTCTTTTGTTTGCTATGTTTGAGTCTCTTCAACTCATATATTTGAACTTTTACAGGATACATTAAAAATTATCAAGTATTTGATCCACATCGAGTGGGAAGGATATCGGTTGAATTACAAGGGAGGGTAAGAGACTGCAAGGCGCTTACTTACAGACAAGACATCAAAGCAAAGGACATAGAGACTTACACAAAGCAAACTCTTCCGACACGTCAGGTCTGGGCTCAAGTTTCTTTTGTGCCATCATGCCCCCCAATCTAAACATGATATTTTGATTGATTTGTGGGTTTTCTTTCTGATCTCTCCTCCTGTGATGCAGTGGGGTTATGTAGTGATCACGACTCCAGACGGCGTGCTGGATCACGAGGAGGCAATTAAGCGGAATGTCGGGGGTCAGGTTCTTGGTTACTTTCATTAGATCTGCTTTCTAGATCCTCTGTAATAGACTGGATATTCGGGCACAACACAAGTAGAGAAATCCTTCTGAAGCAACAAGTTCTCTGGTGAAAAATAACTACTGTTCAAGTTGTGCTTTGATTAGTTCGTGTTACTGATCAATCTTTTTCTAGATCTGTTATAATGGCCAGTGCAAGATTTGGATCCATCCATCTGTTGTTTGCTTTATGTATAGAATACAGAGAGCATGCAAAGCTTGTTCCAGTGGCAAAAGTATGCCCTCTTCAATGAATCATCATGTTAATGCCTTAATGGCCTCAGTCAAGCTACTGTTGATTCTATTCATCGTTCATGGTTCAAACAATTATATTCTTTAACCATAAGAGCGAGTCATGCTGAAAGCCAACGAGTAACGAAGTTCAGGTGAAAACATGTGTAGTGTAAGGGTTATCAGTAGTTCCTGCGGTAAGTGATGATCCCATCGCCCCATGGAGTCTGGAACCTACCCTAGGAGTTCTAGGGTTCCACTGGTCCAAGCAATAAAGAAGTCCGGATACATAGTCAGAGAACAGAATCAATCCGTTTAATTTTTTAATAGTTAAGCGGAAATCACTTTAAGTGCATCCATTATTGTAGCGAATAATGGAATGAAGTACCGGGAAAACAAGTTATGGAATGACTAATTGTGTGTTACTGTTATAACTTTTATAAATGAGACTGCCATGTCAATATTTATATTAGTGACCACGTTAAAAAATATTAAAATAATAATAATATTATTTTTATTTAAGTAATCATTATTAAAAAAAATTAGAAAGCATAACCCCCACTCCCACCTCCCTCTCGTCGTTCTTCTTCCCTGCTTTCACAAACCATGCCCCTCAACTATCTCCTTTCCTTCTTCGTTCCAGCTCACCGCTCCTTCACCAGCCTTCTGCTTCTCCAGACGACTTCTCTTCTTCCTTCTTCTCCAACCAGCCATGTTCTCACTTTCTCCAATCAATCGAACCTCTTTCTCCCTCCCTCGGCCTCACAGGAGCGTAAAGAGAAGAATCAACGGCTAATGGCATATGAGAGTAGTGACGGGATGAATGGAACGACGACAAGGAGCGGGAAGAAAAGAATCAGCTGCAGATAGGGCTGTTAATGAGCAGAGCCGAGTTTTGTCTTGTTCAGGTTTAGTTCATTTATAAACGAGTCAAACTCGAGCTCGACTCGTTTATGAAATAGCTGAGTCGAGCCGAACACGAACCAACTTATTTATTTAATCTTGGCTCATAATTAAGATCAAAATTTTGGCCTGAGCTCAACTCTTAGATAATTTATGAGTTAAATATCCAATTATTTATATGTTGATACATGTGATTAACTGATCTTCATGTCATATATGAGACATATTTGCTCACATACTCAAATTAGTAAATATCACATGAGGTGTGATATACAATTTAATAAATATATGCATCATTAACAAACCAACTCATAAGATATAGATCGATTTTCCCATAGGCCGTAATCAAGTTGGTTTGTTAATTACAATGTTGAGACATCTCATGACTCATGAGGCTCAAAATGAGATAGTTCATGAGTCGAACTCAACAAGCCACCTAATCGAGCTAGTTCACTAGCCGAACAAGGTTGAGCTCAACCTCAGCTCGTTAATAAACGGATCGAGCTTTTATTGAATCGAACGTGCTTTTGTCGAGTTTGAGACCGAGCCGTTAGCAAATAGCTTGGCTCATTAACAACCATAGTTGCAGATGTTATCTCAAACGACGACAGATGAACGGGAACGACGATGGGGAGCTGGAAACTCTCTTGCATCGCACTTGGGCGGTGGGATTACAGTATGAAAATCCCTCTCGCCTCACACATTTGTGACTGAGAAGCTTCGCATCACTCTCCATCTAGAGGTTTAGAGAAGGCAAATATGGAATTAGGGCGGAGGTCAGGTCGGCTGTGAATGACCAATTTGCAGAGAAGAAGGAAGAGAATAACAAAGGCGAACCTTTGATTTTGGGTTTTCCAATTTTTGTGGGTTTTCCAATCGACGACGATGAGAGGGAAGGAAGAAAAGGGAATTCGTGACCACCATCTCTAATCTCCAATTGTGTCCGAGGATGATGGCCATTTGTGATGACGTTGTCGGTTTGGACGGAATTTGCGAGGTCGCCGGAGATCTACAGATTTCATATCTGCTGGGTTTTTAAGTTGTGGTTTCGTAAAAAAGAGGGGGAGGAAGACGACGAGCAACACAGTTTCTTCTCTCTTTTGAGCGTGGAGGAGATAACAACTAGAACTGCTCCTATTCAGGTAGGGGTTGGAGCCAAGCCTCGGCGGTAGAGGCTATGATAGAGACAGAGAGGAGGAGCGAAGGCGGTGAGATGGAGGGCCAACGGCGGAGGCGTTGGCAGAGGCAGAGAGAAGGCGACGACGGAGGTGAGATGGAGGGCAGAAGAAGAATTATTTTTCCTTTCAATTTTTTAACTATCTAATAATTTATTTTTTAAAATTATAATTAAAATATGATATACTGTCTGCAGTTGCAGAGCAACTTGGAGAGGAGGGGGTAACTTGGAAAAATATTCCCCCAGTAGAAGTATATACTGGGTCAAACCAATGACCATTCAGTAGTAAGGATAGTTCCTTACCATCTGGACTAAGTGAGTTTTGTTATACAATACACTTTCGTCTTTATTTATAGTAATAAAATGTTGTTTTTTTGTTTAAACTTGCTAATTTCTTTTGTAGCTTAACAACAGAGGAATCTCGTCTTTTGTTTAAACAAAACTGAAAGTGAAGAAGTACCAATTGAAGTTCACTTGTTTGTTTCACAAAATCAATTCAAAGGTACTTCTGAGTTCTAATTTGTAATATTTGATGAATATAAGTCTTCACTTATATGTACTAAACTTATTTGTTTGACGTTGTAACCGGTGTACGTGAAACCATTTTTATGTAATTGTATGAATTTAGAGTATTGCGTTGTTGACTTTTCTATTATATAAGTAATTTTTTATGCTATGAAAAAAACACTCTCTTGGTCAATTTTCTGGCTCCGCCACTGATTGTCTGCCACGTGGGAGCCAGCAGGATCGTAAAAACTTAGTCAATATTACTAACGAAATGACTAACAGAGACTTAACATTTTACTAATAATTTGTATTTCGATAGTTATGACTATAATTTCCCTTTATTAATAGTTGTGGCTAATATATTGTATTTACCCTTAATTCTATACGGTTGTGTCTACTGTAATTTGCTGCCTCTGTGTGTTTTGTTGTTGTTGTTGTTGTTGTTGTCATACATAGCGTAAACAATAGATATTACAAGAAGCTAGTTATGTTTTGATTCTTTTTTTTTTTTTTGAGAAAAGGGAGGCGAGACGCCAATGGTTACAAAGAAAGGGGCTCAAAGGTACAACCTAACAGCTGGCAAGTCAAAGGAGGAACAGTCCTCAACCTACATATTACAGCCAGACATTAATTCTGAGTTTGCACAACCATTCTGGGGAAGCTCACCCCTAAAGTGTCTTCAAGAAGGATTTGCTGAAGCTGACTAGGCGGGTTCATTAGTTCATGCGTACCAAAGGGATAGACGAGACTGTGCTTCGAGAGCCAGTCCGCGGCTCTATTCCCTTCTCTGTACGTATGAACTAATTGCACCACCCAGTTCTGCGCCATCAATCTGCGAATAGCCGTCAAAATGGTAGAGTGGGGATGAACTGGATCTTCACGCTTTCTAATTAACTCAATAGCAAGCTGCGAGTCGGTTTTTAGAATGAGAAACTGAGTGTTCTGATTCCAAGCCGTTAACAATCCTTGATGAATTCCCCAAAGTTCGGCCAGAATAGCAGAGCCAGTGCCAATTTTGCAGCAGAAGCCTCCAAGCCAATCCCCATCACTGTCCCTGAGAATTCCGCCTGCAGTAGCCATACCCGTGCTTCCTTGAGCAGCACCATCTGTGTTCATCTTACTCCAACCCCTCGGAGGAGCACCCCAGCAAACAAGACGATCTGTCCGAGTAGGCTTGCTGTTGCAATCAAGCTGAAGGGAAGTCCTCTCCCAAGCCTGCAACCATCCTGTAGCCTTGCTCTTAACGTAGTTGATGAAGGAGGAGCCCGCCAGCTTCTTGCCCTGAAAAATGTATTCATTACGATATTTCCAAATATACCAGCATACTAACGCGAAGAAGCTGGGCCAATCCTCATGCCTCTCCCCGCTGTCCCTCATATTAAGATTCATCTGGAACCAGGATGTATGATCTTCCGCGAAGAAGGTGTTATGTTCATGAGGCGGAACGAGGTCCTCCCAAATCTTCCTAGTCGGAGTGCAATCTCTGAGGCAATGCACGTTTGTCTCTGCAGTATGCTTGCAAATGGGACATTTGTCATCCAAGGTTAAATGTCGTATTTTGCGGCGACTGTTTGTGGATAACTTCTCCTTGGTTGCAAGCCAAACAAAGAATCGAACTCTTTCAGGGCAATGCAACTTCCATATCCGTCTCCAGAAGGCTGAGTCTTGAGGAGCAGCTTCTGCAAAGTAGGTCTGGAAAGCGGACTTGGCGCTGAATAAGCCATTTGCAGTGTGCTTCCAAAACATAGTGTCCTCATTGCTGGTTAATGGATCAAGAAGTATTGATCGGATCTTGTTGATGGCTTCAGGTGGAAGATAACCTTCGAAGTCCTCAAATCTCCATCCGCCTTCCTCCTCCCAATAGTCAGCAACTGATCTGCTTCTGACCTCCATAGGCACCTCCATAGTAGTTACCTCCAAGAGTGGTACCTGCATAGCCTAGATATCAGTCCAAAACTTAGTTAGTTTTCCATTTTTAACATTAATAGCAGCTCCCTTGCGCAGGAGGTCTACAGTTTGTGTAAAACTGTTCCAAGCGAAGGATCCTCCCTTTGTTTTCCTGAGAATTTGCAGCCCTTGTCTCTGTCCCCCGTATTTGTTCCTCATCACTTGAACCCATAGGGTCGAATCTCCCGTAGCTAGCTTCCAAGCTCCTTTAGCTAGCATTGCTTGGTTAGCCAGCTTGGTTGGTCTGATTCCAACGCCTCCTTGGTCTTTAGGAAGAGTGAGTTGTTCCCACCCAACCGGGTGGAACTTCGTTTGACCTTCCTCTTCTCCCCAAACGAACCGTCGGTTTATCCTGTCAATGTTATTGCAAACAGAAACAGGTAGTCGTTCTGTGAACATAGGATATATAGACATGGAGGAAGAGATCGATTTCACCAGGGTAATCCGAGCCGCTGTTGATAGATGATTAGCCTTCCAGGTTGCCAACTTGTTTTGGATTTTTAGCAGAAGCTGATGATATCTTTCTTTGGTGACCTTGCCATTTATTGCTGAAATTCCCAAGTATCGGCCAAGATCATTGGTGAGGCTTATTCCAGCCCTTGCGCTCAGTCTCTGGGCCTTGTCTCTATGCACGTTGGGAGAAACAAACATAGCCAATTTGTGGAGGTTGACTTTTTGGCCAGAGCTTAAGCAGAAGTCCTCCAAGCACGATCGAATAACATCGATCTGTCCACTTTCCGTTCTGCAAATAAAATCAAGTCATCAGCAAAAAATAAGTGTGAGAGCTTTGGCCCATCTTTTGAAAGAGGGATAGGTTTCCAAAGCTTCTCCTCGACAACTTGTTCAATACGATGAGCTAATCTCTCCATACAAAGCACAAATAAGAAAGAGGAAAGAGGGTCTCCCTGACGAACTCCTCTTGAGGGTTTGATCACAGAGGTGAGCTCTCCATTCCAGTTGATTCTCATTTGATTCTTTTCTACACATGTCATAATTCTGTTAATCCATGTGCTAGGCAATCCGATCTCGCCCAGAGTGTCCCGCAGGAAGCTCCAATGGAGACGATCATACGCTTTTTCAAGGTCAATTTTGATAACAATGCCTCCTCGCTTTCCTTTTCTATTTCTGAGAGAGTGTAAAGTTTCTTGCAGCAAGAGGATGTTATCGTTAGTCTGCCTTCCTTTGATAAACCCACTTTGAGTAGGAGCTACTAACTTCGGCATCAAAGGCTTGAGTCTATTAGCCATAGCCTTGGTGATAGCCTTAAGAGCTACATTGTTAAGGCTTATAGGTCTGAAGTGTGTCGGAGTTTCAGGATGATCAATCTTAGGGATGAGCACAACTGATGACTCCATTAACTCTTCCGGTATGCTGCCAGTTTCGAAGAATGCACGGTTGCCATCACCATCCCTTAAATTGCTATCAGAGTTTTAAATGATAGTTTACTATTCGCTTTACAATAACAATTTGCCATCTACTAACAAACAAAAATAGAATAACCTCTTGTAAGTGAAAATTATAGTATTACTCAATAATTTAGCACACATGTCACAAAACACAATGGAAAAACATTATGGAAAAACACAACTAAAAAGGACAAAGAGATGGAATGGCCCAGCTTAAGAAATGAAATCTCTAGAGAAAAAAACAAAGCTTAAGAACAAACAACAATCCAAATACAAAGAAAAAGAAGTGTATCATTGTTTGACTTTGATGTTTACAACATCATTTGTAAAGACGTCTGTACAATGCTCATAGTCATCCGATTTTGTGGTGGGTGCTCCACGATTGTTGGATGAACACATAGTAATTTTGTAAATTGCCATCGAGTTCAACCAACAATCATAGGACACCCAACACACGGTCGAATGATTATGGGATTTGTAAGCAAGTTCTTATAAATGGACCGGTAAACACCTTAGCCGGATCGAATTGACACCTAAATCATCATAAGATTCTGAAAGTTTTTCATAGCTGATTCGGGCAGACCCATAAAAATCCTTACATCTCCATTTCGATCCTTTTCGTAATCCGACATGAATATCACCATCTCATCACATGGCAATGCCACCGGCGCCATAAGGATAGCATCTCCCCACCCAAAATCAGTGGTGCAGAAGGGAATTCTAGACCAAGTCGTTGCGATCATTGTATGAGCCAGAGGATGTATAGTTCTATGCAGCTCATAGAAATCAATCCACGACCGCACACGAGCATCTGTAATCACCTTGATTGAATCGCGAACAAGCTCCACCGTAGTTGAAAATGGCTTGTTGTGCAGGTCCCTGACCTTACTGGTTGCACAAGCCGAAGCAATTCCGTTCCCAAAATACCCTTTAGGCAATGGCGGATCCATCTTGTTCCTCACATTCACGGGCACTATGAGCTTGGTTTCCTGATTTCCGACCATGTTCAGTGCCTTGCTTCGCGCCTTCCAGACGAGAGCTGTAAGGCACTCGAAAGTGGAGCACTCGGAGAGAGCTCCTCCTCCTCCTCCTCCGTCTTCTTCCATGGCTCTTGATTTCACTCTCTTTATCGTTTCGCGGTTGAAACGAAAAACCTTGTGCACCATGTTCTCCTTGGAGAACTGGTCACTGCTGGGTGACCTGTTTTCCATCTCGATAAACTCCGGATGAGCGAACTCGATCTTTGGCGGGTTACGTGGTAGCAAAGTCCTTTTGTCCAAACAAGGAAGCGTAGGAATCGACAGCCCTCTCGCGATCTCTGCCCACGAGTTCACCACCTCCGTCGCTGTAAGACCATCGACCAGGCAGTGACTGATGCAGATTCCCAGTACGAATCCTCCGCATTTGAGCTTCGTCACCTATGCACAAACAACTTTTTTTTTTTATTCATCAATTGAATGGTATAATTGAGAGAGAGACCACATAAGTATATCGGATAATTTTCCTTATAAATTGTACCTGGACGACCAAAAGAGGGCACTGAGGTAAAGGCTTGGCATTGCAGTGAATGCCATCATCGTAGACCAATTCGACGAGCTTGCTCGGGTCAGTCCTCACCATGTCTTCAACATCTTGCATGGCAATGTCCGCCTCCGCTTCCACGAAAACAACACCTTGTTCGTAGAAACTCACGGCCAACTTCCCTTCTGAGACGACCGTCAGTCGTCCCGCTAATGGGTAGTAGTGAACGAGAAGCTTCCTCAGGGCGGTTTCGAACACTTCCCCTGCCATCTGGTTTCCTCTCTCGTCGGACCTGAACCCATAAATCGTACGCACCCAGCATACGAGGTGGTCGAGGTTCGACAGAGAGAAGACACCCTTCTCCTTAGTTTCCTCTTCGGGCAGCGAAACCTTTACCGGCTCCCCACGTTTCACCACGACGAGATTGTTATGGGCTTGCCTGAACATGTTTGTGCTGTTTGGTTTTTGTTCTTGTTTGAGGTCTTGCTGATTAAGGTCTGCGCGACGCTCCTACATATATAAGGAGAAGCTGGCTATGCATGGAACAACAAACAAAGTATGGAATCTCCGTTCATGATTTCTTTTTTCTTTTTCCTTTTGGAGGGGAATCTCCATTCATTCAGTTTGTTGTACATCAAGATCAAGTATGCCATTTTGTTGCTGGGTTTTTTTTGGTGCCGAGGAATAGCAGCCCAACTGGATTTCACATCGACATTATCACTGTTTTTGTTTTTTAATGAATAAATGTTACGATCCGGCTCCAGGATTATGCTTGGTCAAATAGTAAAGCCAAACAGAGTCCTCAGACTTCCTTCTTCCTTCCACTCAATAAACCAGAACCCAAAATCCAAAATTCAGCACCTAGGAAAAGAAAAATAAAGGGTCCTCCATCTTGAGGCAGATCTGATCGAAGAGAAGTTTGGCGGGAGGCGCTTGTCGTGCCGCCATTTATCCTGAAAAAAAAAGAGTCGATCCATGAGTGAAAGAAGATATATTCTGCTGTTACCCTTTTTCTGTTTCTGGTTCAGCAGCAACTTTATGCATCAGAGCTTTTTTTTTTTATAAACTCTTACGAGCCTCTTGCCCACTGTAGGTATAATATATGTCCCTCTACAATGTCGTTTTATCAAACATGCCCAGTTACTATTTTTTACATCAAATATGTTCTTGTACTTTGGGAAAATGATCAAACATGCCCTTTTATCAAAATTTACATCCAAAAATCTGGTCGAACTTTGGTTTCGACAACACAAATGTCGAAAATATCCCTACTAATTTCACTTTAATTTTTTTTTGGGTTCTTTTGTATAGCCAAATAATTCTAATAATTTCACTTTGACGAGACCCAGAGAAATAAAACAAGGGACAAAACTGATATTTTCCCTCCCATTTGCCGATGTCGGGTCGTCTAAACCTCGGTTCAACCATGATTGACAATTTTTTCAATAGAAATTTTAATAGAATGACATGTTTGATAATTGTTCCAAAGTACAGGGGCATGTTAGATGTAAAAAATAGTAAAGGGGCATGTTTGATAAAACGACATAGTATAGGGGCATATTATACCTATAACCCTAAATTTTAAGAATGAAGTTATAATATATGTAACTATTATAGAATGTTGCTTATGAAACTGCTATAGAATGTTGTTACATAAATCTTTCATAATGTGTGGTCTAATATAGCATCAAATTTAGAAAGTAACATATGATTAACTGTTAAGTCAAAGTCAGCTAACCTTGCAGAACCTTTCCGTAATGCGAATTGATGACACGTTAAATATTTTAAATAAAACTAATGGAATTTTGGTTAATAATAAAATTAATTTAGAAACTAACAGTAGAATTTGTTGTAAGAATAAAACCCCATTGTAAACAATACAAATTCATTTATTTTCTTGTCCATCATACCACAAGTGACGATTTGCATCGTTTCCACATGAATGGCATGCTCAGAGTGACGATTATGAAGCGAGTGCATTGAATGCACACAAAAAAGTGGGTGCACCAAAGACACACGCACACATATGTGTGTATGTGGCTTCTATTGTACCTTGGGTAAAATCTAACATAGGATTTTAGGATTTAAAACTAGCTTTTGACTACATTGCCTCCAACCCTTACCAGTTTCATCAGCCTCTCGTGGTAGTTCCAGTAGTTGAGTTTGTCAGCATCGACGTAGGTAAGGTTGTAGCTCCCTTCACTCCCTCCCTGCCTCACAGAGTAGAAAAGATTGTCATTGTGAAATCTTAATGTAAGAAAGTGGTTAACTATCATATATGTATCTCTCTCAATTAATGCAATCAAAGTCTAGCTTTTATGTAAAAGCAAACTGATAGGTAAAATGGGGAACACAAAAGCGAAGCTTAAGCTTTTAAACATTCTATAAAATTGATAGTAATTTTCTAATCCTAACTTTTATTTTGCAAAATATAAACAAATAAGTGAACTAGACTACTTTTAAAGCGCCGTGCTTTGTGATTGACGCCCTCGAGAAGTTGCAGTGTAACCTTATTTGGTGTGGGACGCAACAAGAAAAGAAGATTCATTTGGTGTCATCTGCCATGTGATAGGTGTAAAGCCCTCTAAGAAAATTGCAAAAATTATGTACGCGAGTATGGATGATAATCGGTTCGATTATAATCGAAACCGTTTATTCGGTTCTAACAAGTGAAAAAAATATAAATCACTATAATCATAGATGTATAGAAAATTCTTAATTTCTTTATTATCAAAAACATCTCAAACCTTTCTTAATTTCTTTATTATCATGAACATCTCAAACATTACCTTCAACTTATAGTTGGAGCACTTGCTAAACACACTTCCTTCTTTCCACTTTCACTTCCAACTTAAAAAAAAAATAGAGTAAAAAGCCAGAGGACTTCTTTATTTGAACTTAATTTATTGTGCAGTAAATGTCTAAATGAAGTAGGCAAAGAGTAGTAGTACATAACATAACAATGCTGAAACCCAAGGACATTTTTATAGATGGAACCAGCCATCCAAAGTTCAATAGATCCTCCGGCAAACGGTGATCCCGTCGCCAAGTGGAGCGAGCGAGATGTCGACACGTGGATCCGTGGCGATCGATTTGTTAAACTGGATCGTGGATTGTGTGACGGCGCCACCTTTGTGCCCCAAGGTGGCGGGATCTGCAGCGACGCTGCCTCCCCAGAGGGTGTTGTCATAGGCAATGATCCCTCCAACCTTCACCAGCTTCATCAGCCTCTCGTGGTAGTTCCAGTAGTTGAGCTTGTCAGCATCCACGTAGGCGAAGTCGTAGCTACCTTCATTCGCTTCCTGCAAAATCAGAATCGAAAAGACCGTTCGTTTATGACATGGTATCAGAACTGATTTGTTTTTTGGGTCGTGTATATTCAAGTCATCATGACCATATATCAACCGTTTTTCCTTTTTAACATATGAAGTGGTGGGCCTGTGCAAAAAATCAGGGGCGGAGCCAGGATTTCGAGACCGGGGGGTCCGAAAATAATTAAACAAAATGTATGTAGCCAAGGTGGATCGAATCTGTGTGCTTTAAAACACAAATCAAGCGTGACTACCATTAGACCACATGATTATTACTAAACAAAATTTACGAAACAAGTTCTACTTATAAAATATGTACTAAATATTCTTACGATCCTAGGGGCCGGGACCAATCCCAGGGGGTCCGGGGCCCACCCTAGCTTGAGTGTAGCTCCGCCCCTGCAAAAAATTCAACCCTATAAGTTAAGTTAATTAGCGACTCACCTTTTTTAGCAGCTCGTCGAGGACATGCAGAGCTTCGGATTCTATAAACTCGATTTTGTGACCGATGCCAGCCTTTTGAATTACCGGGAGTCCTATCTCGTAAAACTCGCGATTCGTGTCGATGGCTGTGATCTGAGAAATCAACAACACATCATCAAATCATTGCACGCTATGGCTTTGTCACAGAACATATCTCAGTTTTACTTATGCAATGAATTGAATTCAACTGAGGTTATGTAAGGGTATTTTGCCACTACATTTGAAACTCAATGCTTCTTGTTATTTGGTTACCATAATAAGATTGATTTTTGTGTAAAAAAAGACATTTTTAATTAAATGAAATTTATATTATGGACAAAATGACACAGACACTAATATATATAAGCAGTGTAATCATCTTAACGCAGTTCTTGATTATTACCTTGCCGTCTCGAGGAATGGAAAGAGCGGTGAGAAGAAGAGAGTAGCCAGTGAAGACTCCAAGTTCGATGGTCTTCTTTGCGCCTGTCAATTTCAACAGCAGTGCCACTAACTGACCAGCGTCAGGCGCAGTGGCCATCATTGCCCTGCAACAAACGTACAGCAGCAGAGGAAGTAAACATAATCGTTAAAAACTAGTTGGTTCTAATAACTCGTCAACGTTGGTGGAGTACTTTTCTACGCACCTGGGATGGTTGGCGGTTAGGTCTCTCAGTTCCTTGAGGGGTTGTGGTTCACGAGGAAACACGGTCGTGTCCAGAACGTACTGCCAATTAAAACCAAAATCGTAGTAAACCAACCGGTCCCAATAACGGAAGTAAACCAAGAAGAAATGTAAATTACCTGGTATAGCTCTGGGGTCTGCAACAGCCCCTTGGAATGAGAAGGTATGATCCTGTTGCTGCTATCACCTTCCATTTCTTCTTGATAAGAATTCTGCTCTCTCCTAGCTCTGAAAGCAGCTGGTAGCTGAGAGTTTATTTTTCTTCTGTGGGATTGATTCTTAATTAGCTAGTTTCAGTAACGCTGCGAGATATGTGAATGATGGGAGAACTGCTGTGTTTATATAGAAAGGAAGAGTGGAAAAAGGGACAGGAAACGGTATTCTCTATGGATGAAAGACTTCTATTCTGGTCTGTCACTGTAAATTGAGGAGGAACTTTCATGGTATTTTTGTGAGCAAGTTCTGGTTCGTCCATCATTGTTAACGATGCTGTTGAGTTGAGTGGATCGGCGGGGATGTGAATCATGAGTCATGAGTTGGGTACGTGGCTATTGTCCCGTTTTTTCCTCTGCCTTGTGTGGGCGAATTAGGTTGCAGAAAGATGCGTCAGTTTATTGTTTTTGAGTGACAATTGACAAGGAAGAGAGATTAATGCAAAGAGTAGCAAGAAAAAATCACAAAACAGAGGGAAAATAGAGAATATGAAGAAAAAAAAATCAACTAAATAGAGGAAATAAATGAAAGACATATAAAAAAATTAATTTAATGAATAGTGTTTGAGCCGAGTAATTCCCTCTCCTTATGCGCCTTCGTCACGTAGGCCAAATCCCCGCCCCACGCGTTGATCTTACACGAAAGGCGCACAGCGAACCTTCGAGGTTCGTTAGCACTCCGACGATTAAGTTAGCACCTCGTTCTAGGGAGAGAAGTAGAGCAAATTTCTAGTGAGAGAGCCTAACCTGAGTAAATGAGGTTCACCTACTTGGCTATTTATAACCCGAGGCTGGCCGACCGTTGCCCCCCCAAATCCGCCCTATGTCATCACCGCAATTAATGCCTCGTACTTTCATTTTACCATGTGCCTCGACCATCTGACACGAAGCTCAGAGATTCGAGGCGCCTGACCTCCTTTATTGTGCCCTCCGTACACTTTTGGTCGTTACTCTCTTTTGTCGTCATGCGCTTCGTGTCAACGAACGGTCCTCACTTTGCCAGCTTTGCCCACAACCATCACTGAGCTGGGCCTCTTTCATGTTACCTGCCCATCTCATCCTTTGGGCTTTTTTATTGGGTCTTTTTCTTCTCCCCCAACAAATAGTAATCCTAAGCCATGATTTTGATATATAATAAAAAAAAATGAAACAAAATAGGTTTTACAGACATTACTCTTTAAGTTTGAAAGTACTATAAAAAAACTACTATAAGATTATCACATGTGCATATTAGGCAAAAGTAAAAACCTGAATAGTAAGATCTTCCACAACAATGCAATTATAAAAATAATAAGATTTATTGTCACCTTATATTTAATATTTATGCAACTCAACTCATATCATTTCATCGTATCTAGATCAATGTAATTTATTTGTAATTGCATGTATGGTGGGACCAAGTGGTTGAATATTTAGTGAGAAATAAATTCATTAATGTTTCTATTTCCTTATGTGGCTTACATCTTGAATTTCATCAAATATAAAGTTGCATTTTTACAAGTGCTCACTACATTTATACAATCCTCTTTCATAATTGCAATGACATATTGAGCGTCATGTTGTCATGTCAAATCTACAATGGTTTAAATACCAATATAACCTTAAATTTTGGTTTTATATATTTCCAAATAAGAAAACGCTAGGGGAAAGCCAAAGGAAAAACCAAAAAAAGGCATTGGACTAACTACATTAATTATTCGTTCAGGAAATGCGGCGGCAGATGGTGATCCCATCGCCCAACGGAAGCAGGCAGATTTCGACGCGGCCATCGGCGGCGATCCTCCGGTTGAACTCCGCTGCCAACGCCTTTCCTTCTTTCTTCTCATCGGGAACGTCACCGTCGTGCTTCGCCACCGTGCCACCCCAGAGAGTGTTGTCGTAGACTATCACGCCGCCGATCTTCACCAGCTCCATCAGCCGCTCGTGGTAGTTGCCGTAGTTCTGCTTGTCCGCGTCCACAAACGCGAAATCAAAGCTCCCTTCTTTTCGTAGAAGGTGATCGAGGACTGGGAGAGCTTCAGATTGAATGAAGTCGATCTTGTGTTCAACTCCTGCTTTGATGATAAAGGGCAGCCCGATTTCGTACCATGATCGCACTGAATCTATTGCTGTGATCTGAAATCAATTGCTACGACGATCAGTATATATTGAGCTTATGAGCAAGTATGGAAAATGCAGAGTTGGCTGAGTGAGTGCACTGCCTTGGCATCAGGAGGAGTGGAAATGGCAGTGGCGAGGAGGGAGTAGCCAGTGTAGACTCCGATCTCGATGGTTCTCTTTGGATTCAGCATCTTCAGAAGCATGCTCATGAACTGTGAAGCGTGTGGATCAGCAGCCATTGGTGACCTTCCAAAGTTTGTATTTTTACAGGAATTCAACACAAGCAAAACCCAAAACCAGAGTTTGTTAATGCATAATTCATTTACTACATTCACTACCAAATTGTAGAAAAAAGGGTAGTTTTGTTAGTTAATCGGATACGTACCGGGGATCTTTGGCAGTTGCATCTCTAATCTCCTTGAGGACTTGTGGCTCTCTTGGGTACACAGTAGTCTCCATGATATGCTGCAATATAATACATATACAGCAACAATCCACTCCAAGTTGATCATCCAGTTAAATCAAATACACTGCTGCACGCAGAGATTGCAGCAGGCGAGTGAGTACCTTGAGCAGATCATCAGTCTGCAATAGGTGTGGATTGGGTATGATTCTTGCAGGCAGTTCCATGATGCTGGCTGCCTCCTCTTTCAAAACTGCAAACAAACACAAAGTTGGAATCTTTTGCGTCTGTTTTCTTCTCTGGTTTTCCACTTCCTTTGATTTGATCTGTTATACAGCAAGCAGGGTGCCATACAGATTTGTTTGTAGCACAAACATGTATAAATTGGCTCGGACAATGCGATCTTGAACGAGCGAAGCTCGGATCATGCAGTTCCTGTGCTGTCTGAAACGACAAGAAAATGTTAAGAACTTCCAGGAAGAAAAGTAGGGGCCACACAGATTCCATGACCAGCAAGCAGTTGACAAAAGCAGATCCGCCCTTTTCTGGGTTCATGTACTTCCCAGGTTTTTTCTTTGGTACAAACTGGTAGGCAGTTTGACGTAGATAAGACTCATCATAACATGGGAAGCATGAAAATATGACTTCACTTAATTCATCACCTCCATTCTCCACAAACAATTATATTCTCAATCTATCCACTACAGATGAATATGCCTCAGTTTATGCAAACTAACAAAAACGTTTTGTAAAATTAAAATTACAGTGGGGAATTTACAGCAAGATATAAAGGACATAAAAAGCACGATTTATCTGTATCCGCCATATACGAAACAATCAAGTAATCGGAAAGAATAACGTTTGGGAAAGAGTAAATCCTTTTATGTGTGGGATAAATGAATAACTTGGCACGTAAGTTTTTACTGGCGATCCTGGCGAAGAGACAGTAGGTGTGCTGCAAAAGTATCGTAGTCGGGTAGTTTAGGGTGGACGTGACTTGCTCTGTTGATGGAATCTTCTCTGGATGGGGGATCCACAGCTGACCCAGAAGCCTTTGCACTACTTTCCTTGTTTCCTGGAGGAACTGTTTTAGGAGCAGCGGGATTTGATGTTTGTTTTGTGACAGATGGTCTAACGCTGTTCTTCCCAGAGGATACTGGCGATTCTGAACTCGACCGGAATGTTGAAGGCTTTGAGTTAGATGTTGGAGGACTTTGACGAGTGGGGACAACGTAGTCGACATTTCCTGAAGACTGTGATGAGCTCTTGTTCTTTGGATGGGAACTCCTATTATCAGAAGCAGCAGCAGCTTTAGTGCGCCTGGAAAATGCCTGACCTGCAACAGACTTCCCTGTGGCTGATTTCTGTTTAGAAAGTTCCATTTCGGCATCACTATCATCTGAATCGAAGAAGGTTCTTCGAGACCCGGATACTTTGTTCACTTCAACTCCTCCTGAGTTATGGTTACTATGTTGGCCTTCTTCAGTACTGTTAAATTTCTGTTGCAAAGGTGGGTCCTTGACTGAATCACCATCACTGAAATTATATGATCTAGCTTGAGTTCTTGCGCTTGTTCTTCTTCTACTTGCTTCTTGGTGAGGTACCTGACTGGATGTGTCTTGAATATTTCTAGTAGAAGTATCTTCTTCAACAGCTTGTTTGGATGGTGAAGGATTTTGGATAGCAGGATTTTTAAGATAGGGTGGGTGTTTATAGCCTTTGTTTCGAAGCCCCCCAGCCAGGAATCCAAAGTTCAACTCCTTACCACCTTCAGAACCAGATCCACTTTCATCATCACTATCATTATCTCCAGCGGGAGGAAGTCCTGGTTTTTTAAACTTCTCATTCACATCACTTGAATTGGATCTAGATTGTGCAGAGCTGATAGAAGAACGATTGGGGTGGCCACACTGCCCATCGTCAGCTTTTATAACATCAGCTCCAACTCCCTGGATATTCCGATGATGCATTTGTCCTTCAATGGAGTTGGCTGAAGATGGACGTAGCGAAGTCTGTCTATTATTGTACCCTAAATTCTCATTTTCAGCAAGCTGTGATGATCCCATCAAGGATGAACTTTCATTGAGGTGATGATCGGCCGGGTTTCTGGAATGGACTTGAGATGAAATACTACCATCCTCTTCATTTTCAGAACCCGGGCCATCCGAGTCATCAAAGGTCACTGGTAACAAATCGTCCTGTTTGGATGGAACCACATTGTTAGTTAAACCCTCCGAAGCAACAAAACTAGGGTTCCTCTCAGTGGCAAAGAGAGATGAAGAACTTGACTTCCTTGGAGACAAGCTCTTCTGCCCAGGGCTCCATGCATTTGTCCGTGAAGAAAAATGAGAGGCCATATTGGATCGTTGGGCATTAAGTTCATCCTCAACATGCAAATTATATGCCTCGTCATCATCAGAACCATAATCATCGAATACTGCAGTGGCAACATCAGATGAACTTGTTTCCTGGGCATTTACTCGGCTTCTTGCTTGTCCTATGACGAAAAGATCCTCAGAAGTAGCATGTTCACCTGACTGATGAAAGTCCCAAGTTGAGGTTGAATTCTCATCGAAACTTGGAATTTCTGTATGGGGATGAGTACGAAGAACACTAGACTGGTGCTCGACCCTTGATTCATCGAAATAATCAAAACTTTCAGGCTTTACTCCATCATTCATGTTGCCACCAATACTGTCCCCCTCATGTTCACTGGGCGCTCTTCTCATATTTCCATCACTTGAAATGTCACTCTTCTCTGATTCAGACGAGCTCGTTCGGGAATGCCTCTCTACTGGTTGCCTGTTACTCAAAGACGGAGAAGAAACAACTTCAGGAGGATCATCGGAATCTGAGGTAGCAGCCAACCGGCCCTTAAGATTATAAAACCTTTCATTCAAAGCAGCTAGGACATCTTCTTCAGTGTCATCAGTCTGCTGCTCATGGTTCACACGAGAGTTAGTTTTGGATGTATTCTTCACCGGATCCTTGTAAGACCTCTGACCTTGTGACCTAGAGCCAGTAGTACGATGCTGTCGTTCATCCTCTCTATGTGAAAACCCAGAAGTCAAATGTGATTCATCTCTTGACTGACGCCTGTTCAAGTTATCACGACTTGAGAGTTCAGCAGCGGCTCTAGCAGCCATGCTTGCTCGTTCTGCAGACTCAGCAGCTGCCTGCGCAGCAGCCGTGGCATCCTTGAACTCTGTATTCCAATGCTGGTGGCTCCCAGAAGAAAACATTTCCCCTGACCTAGCATATGAATGTCTATATTCCACAGATTCAGGTCCTGTACTTGGAGGAGTCCCCTGCTCTGCGTTACCGAAAACTGATGGCATTGACTCACTTGAACCGAAATCATCAGTCCTAGGCGATTGCAAATGGGAAGATGTTTGGTAGTTAGGGGCATATGAGTTCGTGCTTGTATCATGATTTCCATGGGAAGAAACCTGACTCCTGTTGAAATTCTGAGGTGGCTCTACATTATGAGTTTGGGCATGCACTGCGCTAGCTGGTTGAAATGTAGCAGGTCCGTTCTGCTCAAAAAATTTAACAAGATGCAGATATTAGTAACTACCAACTACTTGGAGAATAAGAGAAAAGGAGGAACAAATTGCTGAACTTTCAACACTTACGAGCAAGTCCTCATGAGGCTTGACAACGTCCTCAAACAATTTGGGATCCCACTTAACATTTTGTTCCTCGGCAATTGCACTCAAGATTTTCATCTTTTCAGGGCCATCAGGTGCTTTTGCAGACAGTTTCTCCACGAGCTTAAATAGGATACACAAGCAAAGTAAAGGACTATTATCAAAATTGCCCAAACCAAAAAACCACCCATAGGAAATTATCTAGACTGACTTACCAAGCGGCTCACCCCACAGTTTGGATGTAGTTCAACAGCAGCGGAAACAAATTCCTTTCCATATTTTGCTTTAAAATGCTTTTTAACATCTGCCAACTCCGGCAAGTCTGCACATCTAGGGGATGCAAAAACAACACTAGAGACTGCTTCCTTCAAGTCAACTGGGCAGAGTCTGCAAAAAAAAAAAAAAAACAAAAAAAAAAATAGCAAACAGGTAAGTAAACATGAACTTTACTGACAAACTAACTTTCATATGTTGCATATCCATCAGAATAAGTGAACTAAAAAAAGCCAACAGCAACAAAGATCACTGAAATTGAGACCATAGATCACTAGCCCAGCATACTAAATCAAACGTTCTATATCACAGTGCCCACAAGTGCCTTAAATATACACAAGCCATAAAAGGGTAAAACAGTCATAATATGATCCCAAAAACAGTAAACGGTAACTAGTTTCTGGAATTACACAGAAGGAATACATACTTTTGTGACTCAATCATGGACAAACGGGCAACAATCAGCTCGCAGTATATCTCAATAAGATCATAAGCCGCCACTGTCTTCTCTTCCCTGACTACATGTTCCACCTGTAAGCCAAAAACAGCAAAAGCAGGAATCAACAGCAGTTCAGCTATAACCAGATTCATCTCCGGAAAAGATTACATCATCACATATAATCAAGAGATTTCATGTCAGAATGGTAGAAGTGAACCAGCAACAAGAACCCATCATCCTATAGGCAGCCAATAAGCTGAAATTGCTACCAACTGTCACAAAACCCTCTCAATTCTGCAACACGATCAACCAAGTCACCGGTCCAGAAGCCAAACCCTACCCAAATATCAGCATCCAACCATGTCCACCAGACAACCATGAAGTAGAACCATATCACGGATTTCTCGACACAGGGGGGAAAGAAAAAGAAAACCCAAAAGGGATAGCCAAAAGAACTAGAAATCCGAATATTACAAACTCCAATACAACGGTGACCGAACTGGAAGAAATAACAAACAAGTATGTAAGAGAGGGCAGTACTCGGATCCTGGCAGTCCGGTAGTTGCCGGCGGCGAGCAATTGAGCAACTTCTCTCTTCAACTGCCTCAACTGCACTTCTCTCTTGTTCCTCAGCAGCTTGATGCGGGAAGACGCCATCTTCAATGCCGTCTTGCTGCAACGAGCAACAAGTCAAATCAAACCCAAGCCAAAATCAAAACCAAGATCAAACGCGGTTACAATCGCGAAATCCTCCATCGAAATTCCCTTCCCGGGAACAGAGATTAACAGAGAGAACTCATATATTCTCGTCGGCCCTGAAAGATTGAACAATCAACTGAACAAGCCGAAGCGAGAGCTCACCATTTTGCCGGTTTGAAGCTCCTGTGAAGCATAGCTCGGTCCAATAAGCAGGCCGCGGCGGCAAACAACAGACGGTGTGATCGTCGATTACTGCCGCTTCCGTCGTCTCTTTGATTCTTAACTTGGAGATAGGAAATTGGGGAGGGAGAAGAAGTCGGAGATGGAGATGGATTTCGATCCGCGGGAAGAGAGAGAGATACGGGGGGAGATTCTTAATTCTGAGAAGAAGAATTGGAAGGGGCAGGGAAGGGAGAAAATGATTGAAATTTCCGGGAAAATGTGATGCGAACGTGAAAAGTCTATTTTGTTAATTGGGGTGATTAAGTTAGCTAAAGGGCGAGCGGGCCAAAATTGGGTGCGGGCAATAGCAGGATAACCTAATCTCATGTGTGTGAGGGATGAAACTTTTTTAGTCGATCTGATTTAAGTATTTAACGGATGGGTCGAGAAGAGATGGGGGCTAAATAGTAAAATATTTTAGGATAAGCGGCGTATCATAGCATTCCGTTCGACTTAATCCGTTTTATCAAATTAATCTATCTTTTCAATATTATAAATTTCTTGGGATTAAATTTTAAAGATCGGTCTGCATTTTGTTCAGCCCGAGTTTGGTCTGGTCCATTGGTCGACTTGATCTAGACCGTTGCATATGTCTAATTTTGAGAAAGCTGAGGAGTGAGGATATACTACAACTAACTAGAGGGTGGGCGACGAGTTGGTCTGTACCGGACTAGATCAGATCATACCGAACTGAATATAATATGATTATTATTTTTGATCCCATGAATTTTATAAATACCGAAGAAAAAATGAACCAAAATGACATCTGGACCACAGATCAAATCCGGACCAAAAAGGATCGGATGTACTATTGCCCCGATCTTTGGTCCTAAAATGTCTTCCACTACCGAACCACGATTCTCCTTAATTTGCTCCGCTCCGAACCGGACCGTTGCACACCCCCCACGACTGGTTATCAATGTCATTGAATCAACCATGAAAAGTCGCCATCGTTGGATGGAAACAGTGATAATATTTTAACAAATATCACCGTTTTCATTCAACACACCCGATATCATTAAATCGGAGATATCAAATCCCACAACATCAAACACCTATAAACAAGTTTAAGCATAATAGCAAAATCCGGTCTATACTATATTATCTTTTGCTAGATATGATATAATAAATAATACAACGGGAATTGACCAGAAGGAACAAGGTCCCGCATACAGTTCGAAGGTCAACGTCGGCGCCTGAGGATTTTGTTAAGCTTCCGCGTCATCAAATTTTGTGCTCATCTTCTGGGGCCGGTTCCCGTTGTAGTCCGGTGTCGACAGATCGTCGTCGTCAGCATAACGAGAAAGCCAAACCGTGTCATTGCGCTCTTGTTTCCTACCAAGGTTGTCAACCCGCGGTTGACCCAGACCCGGTCGAGTTAGTGGGTTAAGGATTAATGGGTCATTTGTTTTAGCCCGTTTTAACTCGAAAATATGAAAATAGTCATTATATGTACTTATCCTAATAAATTATATAAAATCTTATCTAACATATGAGTAATAACATTACACCAAAGTAACACGTCGTACTTAAATCCAACATATAGTGAAAATTCACCCACATTTATATAACATCAATGTTCAAATGTTCAACTAAGGATTCCAAAGATTGAGTTAGACGAAAAGAAAAATCGGAAAATAGGCGCATATCGCAAACCAAAGAAAAAAATGACACAATTTGATCTCCAACCCGATACCTTGTAGCGATCGACCTGACAGATACTTGCGGCCCGTTTTTCTCACCGGGTCAGGGTCAAAGTGGGTCAACCCACAGGCAGTGGCGGATCCAGAAATTTTTTGTAGGGGTGTCCTCTTTCAAAAATTAAATTCAATTAAATAATACATAAATAATAAAATATCCAATTAGTATAAATTACACAAAAAGTCACGATGTGTTTTCAATTTCGAAAAAAATATAAGATAGATTTGGTGTGTACACTGCTCAACAAATCGGTATATCCTACTAGATCGCATATTCAATTTCTACCTTGTTCATGATGTAATTCAAAATTGAAAAGACTGTTTCAACACTTGCAGTGTAACTATAAAATCAATTCAAATTAGGGTACCCTGGGGATAAGAAATCGTGTTTTCAACATTACATAGTGTTTAAAATAGAACAACAAATGAGTTATAACCTAATGCAGAAGATGTTAAATAATAGGAGTGTCCTAGATTTGAATAACACAGAGTACCACTTATATTTTTTTAACCACGCAAACTACTATCGAGGGTAAAATAATCATTTATTAAAATTTTAGTGATGTCCCAGATTACTAATTATATTTTGTTTATCCATACAAAACTACTATCGGGGGTTGAATAATCGTGTTCCCAAAATTTAGGGGTGTCCCGGGACACCCCTAAAGCATCATGTATCCGCCACTGCCCACCGGTCCACCCGCGGATTGACAACCTTGTTTCCTACCTTCACAGTGACGATTGTATACGCTGGAAAATGACATCTCTCTCCCTCTAATTGGACTCTTCCTTCCCCCACAGCTCACCTGTCTTTGAGCTTCCATTTCAAACCCACCTGTCCGGCCCCGTTTTGCAGGTGAGAAAATTACAAAAAGGTTCTGGTAGCCGACAAGTTGTGAAACAATTTCTCAACGGACAACAAAGAAACTGGAATGGCAGACAACTCTTTAGAAGAACCTTCCACTACCGTTTCAACTATAGAAAACCCCATAAAACCCTAAAAGGTCAAGGAAGAAGAAGAGAACTAATTCCAGTGTAAACTACGAATGTTCAGCATCATGCTAATATTGTTTGATTTTCCTCGAGTGGTTTCACTTGGTGGATTGCCGTGACTTGTTGGATTACTGTGAGTCTATGACACTATCTATAAAAATATTTATCGAACTCTGTCCAATTATTGGAAAGCTAATGAAAAAAAAAAAAAACAATCCAACGATCTCAACGAATAATGAATGCTCCCTCCCATCTATCTGCCTAAGCACGACACTCAAATTTTGAGTGTGCTGAACTGATTAAGCTTTGCGTCCTCCTTTTGTCTTTGCCTTTTTAATTATTCTTTTTCCCTTTCGGGCTTTACAAGCCAACAATAACGTCCACTGAGCAGTTGTGATTCTAAAATAACAAGCAAACACCTTTTTCTGCAACTACGAGGGAAATTCTGTTGCAGTTTTGCTTGTCTTGCAGGAAAACCTCTAACCACAACAGAACAGAATGTACGACAAAAAGACAGTAACACTGGAACTTTCCCTAGCAAAATAATCCCAATTTGTCTTGACTTCGTGCTAAATACTTCTTCCTTGAATTCTTGTCACACTCAATGCATATTATAGGCTTCATTACCCTGTTCTAAACAACTATATCCTTTTGCACAGAGAACACTCTGGACGTGGAAAGAATATTACCTTACTGATACTCCACTCCCATCATTCCTCCGTGTACTCACCATCACGAGTAGATTCGCTAGAAACGACACGAATCACACACATCCTCATCATCAGTTCGCCATCCAGCGATTCCTGTTTTCTCCACTGCACAAAAAAACTCTCGGCCACACGCAAATGCACCATTCACTACCTAAAAGCATGTGAAAAGGGCACCCTCGAGCTAGAACGCCTCCAGAACAAGTTTACCTACAGTACTATTCACAGCGAGCTACTCCGCCCAATGGCTTCTTACAGATCCCTCCACTCTCCTCTGAAAGAAACCAAATTGTCTACAATCTACATCTACTTGAGTTCAATGATCCTACTTCCTAGGAGGGGTTTGATGCACCTTGGAACTAATGCAAACTATATACACCTTGACAGCTGATGCAAGAGTACTTGATGTGACAGTTGCCTCTTTATATACTTTCCTTAATCCTTATGGAAGAATTAGCATTGCTAACCTAACTACAGCAAGGCACTAGGCACTGGGCAGGCATAAGAACCCAACTATCACTTGCCATTCTACTCAAAATCAATAAAGCACAAACACCAGTGGCTGTAAGAACAAGGTCCAAGTGTCTCAAACTACGATCCATTCCATAAATGCACGAAACATACAAGTTGCAGATGCCAGAAAAGTTGAGAGCTGATGATTAAGTGGGAATACCTCTTCAGGTTCTATCTTGTTTCCATATATACCAGCAAAGTTACAAGGGAGGGTTCAAATAATTGGTTGAGGGCGAATTCAGTCCAATCAGGGTTGAAAAATGCAAGAGTTCCCCCATATTTAGGGGAGAATCCAATCAGCGAGACATTCGATAAAATTGGAACAATACGAGAGAGGAAGGGAACTACAATCCAATCAGAGCTCAACGTTTGCGTTACCGAACTGGCTCAACATGATGGCCATATCCATACCTTGCACCATGGTAGGGACGACCTTCTCGTACGGACACTCCTTGGAGAACCCTAATTTCCCTGATTTCTGCACTTTCTTCACACATGTTTTGAACTTCTGGTGGCACTTCACGTTCGTCATACCTAATACGTAACGAACGACACCGACTTATGTCGATTTCCACATCCAAAGTCGCCTCCGAAAACTGAAATCAAACAGTAATGGCAAACCTTTCTTTCCAACGCAATCGTCGTGAACCTTGCAGCAGGCGTCAACCTCGTCGCACGGCTTCTCGCCGGGGCAGCCGGTCCAACCTACGCCGCAGTACTTCCCGTACCGTATCCCAAAGGCTGAAAGTCGAACACTGGCATACATGAAACTCTTCTTCCAAAGTAACCAAAGACAATGGACGAAAGAGAGAATACGGCAGATTTAAACTTACTATCACAATTCTCCGAGACGCAAGTTCTGCTGCAAATCGGCTGCCAGAGCAAATTCACGGCGGCGGAATCAATGCGGCGGGCCAGCCAGCGGAGGAACTGAATCGATTAGTGAAAGAAGAGAAAGCGAAAGCGAAAGCGAGATCCAGGTTGTGGGGCGGGGGATCTGTGAGAGAGAGGTTACCTGGGGGCCGTCGCGATTGCCGGCCGGGGAGGAAGAGGCGAGGACGAAGAGGAAGAGGAATGTGAAGAAGAATGCTGCTGCGGCGGCGAGGCGGTTCCTCATCGGAGCAGGAGCAGCACCAACTACTGGCATTCTTGCTTCTCTTCTCCTTCCTTAGCTGCAGCTCGTTCAACTTCCTTCGCCTGCCTCGGCCGGCCCCTTCGCTCCTTCCCTTGCGTTTGTTTGTTTTTTCCGTTTTGGTTTTGCGAGTCTGCGCGTTTCCTTGGCGGTTATTCCGTCAATCTGTTCCGTTCTCGCCGTCCCTCGTGGCAGGGGCGATGACGTGGTCACAGGCTCACAGCCAATTGCGTCCCAACAATTATTTGGAGTCAGAAAGCCACGTGGCAGCCCGATCCACCCCTCCGGCCTGCTCCATTGTGATTCGTCACTGGACTTGGGATCTCGGTCCTCGGATCATGGGCCCATTTTGCACGGCCAGAATTCCTAAATTTCCTGGTCCATCCAGCCATATGGCCCGTGGTAGCAGAGGCAGGAAGGTCAACACTGTTAGATTTGTCAAATCGGTTCATGTCATTAAACTGGTTCGATAGCGAACACAACGTTGGACTAAATCATGACCTTTCTGATGTGACCTACAATAAAGAGGCATACCATGCTTTCGCGTTCTAACAAAGAATTCCAACAGGGGAAGTGAGAACTCGATGATCAGGATGAGCGCGCTGGATACAAGATCGAGCGTCGAACTGAACTTAACTGAACAGTTGAGAAATTTATCAATCATTCCATGAGAGAAACAGTAGTGATCTTAATGGACAGAGAAATGAAACCAACGAGCAGAACTCCTAAATCAGCTTCGACCTATCAAATTATTGGGGCCGCACAAGCAACCACTGGTGTCTCTGGGTTTCAAAAAAATTGCAGGAGAAGTAAAGGAAAGTAAAATCTGCGAGTAGTAAAGTGCCAGCGTTACGTTTCAATGACGCAGATGACAACCGAAGCTTAACTCTCCGAACAAACCGTTCTACAAAGTGGGGTTATTATCTCTCTCAAGGGTAGTAGCCTGTGAAGGTGAATCCCCTCCCAACGATTTCACCAGCGCAATACCAAGCGAAGCACTCGAGTCCAAACAGCGTAGCAATGCCAGCATCCTCGACCTTCAAGTCCTGCCTCTTCTTCCATAAGTTCTTCACATAGTCAAGTTCCTTCCAGAATGCTTGATTTCGCTCGGGAATACTGTTTCAAAGAGAAGAACCCAACACGTGTCAAACATACAGATGACAAGATCAACCCACCTCACTGAACTAGTCGCAGTTGGCAGAAAATGGAGTGTTCAGCACACATTACTTTACAACTTGTGATCTATTAACAATAGGTTAGCTCATTCCCTTTTTACAATTTTACAATGGCTAAGCTCATAACCAAAGTAAGCAATTGATGGAAATGACAAGCAGAGAGGTTAGGCAAATGTTATTTTATCAAACATCGCAAAGACACAAGGATTAGTTTCTCATCTGGTAAGCACTATTTCAATGAGTCATATGTAAATCGGAAATTTCGACTCTTGATAACATGAGCCCTGATATTGCACTCAACTAAGATCAGGAAAGTGTGACTTAAGGGTTTTAGCTGACTATTCAATTAGGTATCAAATTAACAATCTAAGTGCTTGATTCAAACAAATCAATAATCTGAAAGTAGCACCATCAAACCATTAATTCACTTGGTGTCGGTGAAGTTAACAGATGGTCCACAAGAACATGAAGTGATAGTCAATGTGGGGAAGAAGACTATATAAGTTCAACACTTGTCAGCAGCAGTATCTTAGCAAAACAGTCTCAATGGCTTAACAAAATGGCAGAAGATATGCAAACGACCATAGATCAATTCTTCAGTGAACTTGTGTAGAGAATTGAGATCCATAACAAGATCAATATGGCATTAAGGATACAACAAGACCAACCCCGTTATTGCCATCAGATTGCGCTATCTAAAACCCACAAAGGGATCACACTACATGCGCATACCATCCTAAATGTTATCAATTCACAACCCACTATTGCCAGCAGAAACAAACAGCAGTGGGACAAATATCAACGCAATTGAAACCCAACATAACAAGGGGCGGAAGAAAAGCAGACCTGGCTAGTCGAGTGTAGAGCAATTGCTTGGACAATTCATTGCACTTCTCAACAGTTGCAGGTTGCTGAATGTACTGCTTGTTCTGCTCCAATAACTGCTTGTAGTAGGTGGTGCCATGCTTGGTTACGAACTGAGTAGCTTGGCAAGCCTTGGATTTCAACTGATGCAATTTGGACGCCATTGGTTCAACAAACTAACGCCTGAAACCGCGCCAGGAAAAAAGTTCAATCAATTCGACGGTCCCCCAAACCGCAAGATAAATCAACAAACAAGATGATCTGCGTAGAGATCCAAAAAATCCAACACCAAACAAGGACGCATAGGCAGCTCAAAACCACAACCAAAACCCTAATTGACGGCATCAACAGGGACGATAAAATCGTCAGCGGCAACAAAATCGCAAACGAAAACAAGCTCAGACCACAAGCAATCAGTCGGTAATCGGAAGAAGGAGAAATTCTCGAGAAGAACGAAGGAACCGAACGAGATCTGGCGGGGACTGACTCGATACAAGACCGAAGGAATCAGTGAAACGAGGCTACTGGAAACGGAGAGCAGAAATTGGAATTGAAGCTGAAGCCAAGAGGTCTACCTCTGGAAGAGCGAGGAGGAGAAAACGAAAATGGCGGTGGCGGAGGGGAAGATCGAGTTACGGCGATTGCTCGTCTCGCCGCTACCAGTCGTTCTTGCGCGGAGTGGGGTGAGCTAGAAAGAGAACTGGGAGCGATGGTTTAAGGCTGATGCTAAGATGGGATTTTCTTCTCTTATTTCAGTCGGGGGTGTTTTGGGGAAATAGGAGAAGATTAGGGACCTCTCATATATTTTTCATGACTTTTGCATCAAGTAAATAAGTCAAAAGCTTAGTAAACATGATTTAAGAAGGAATAAAAGTAGGGGTGGCTATACGGTCCGGTTAAATTGGCTCAAATTGAACCGGTCCAGTCCGATTTTTTGGAAAATATAAGGACAAAAAATTGGATTTGATACAATCTTGTCTTGATTCGGTTCGGTCTTGACCCGGTTCAGTCACAATTCGGTCTTGATTTTATATTGAACTTGTGAGAATTTGAGTGGCCTAGGCCTGAAAGGGTGAGGAGTTGGTTAAGTTTTGTACTAAGTGCAAAGGTTTGTGATCGTTTATGCAAATTACCCTGAAGTTTTGGGTGTTGAGCTCTCTTATCCGGTCTCTAACGGTTTTTTACCTCAAATCTAAGCCCAAAGATTGGATTGGATTGTTTACTATCCGGTCTCAGTCCGGTCTCGGTCCGGTTTTGGGTAAAACCAAAAAACCCGGACCAAATAGCCAGCCCTAAATAAAAGGGTGGATGGAGAGGTTGGGCTTTATTATTGTTATGGGGGAGGATTGGGCCTCCAGGCTTTGTGGGCTTATCTCAAAGTATTTACCCAAAGATGAGGGATGAATTCATATATGGGATTTGTGGGCTGATCGCTTTGGAATGGCTGGATCTGCCACTACTGCCACTGTTTGGGAAGTTTCTCGCATTGAGTGATAATGGTTGAATTGAATTTCTCTAAACACACTGAATTTTCGAATAGAAAATTCAACTTAATTCAATTGGTGCCAGTAGGTTTATAGCATGGTTATCACGTAGGCCAGCGTGTGCCACCGGTTGTACCTGAATCAATCTGTACCGGTTATAAAATCAGCGTGACACCACCGGTATCATCGGCATGATCGATATACGAATCTCTAAGTATAAATGTACAATGATTTTATTTTAGTGAATTTAATTGATAAAATTTATTTTATTATTTATTTTATGAGTATAAATTTGAATATTGATGTTATTTGTTGGATTCAAGTATAAATGTTTAGGTATTGACGTTAAATGTCATGCTTAAATATGAGTATTTATAATTTTATTTGTAATCTTGACCGGCATGAACCGGCACAAACCGGTATGTGTCACCGGTCGAACCATTCCACTTACTAAACCGGCACACTGGTATAAACCGGTTTGACAACCTTGGTTTATAGACACCTATGGGTACATTGGTAATATAACTGCAAATAATTAATTCGAATTCCCAAGTTGTAATATTATAAATTTTCTTACAAATATATCTTCATGGAAACTAATAACATTCATATTATTATAAATATATTTATATAAAAACTAATAATATCTGCAAATTACCCATATTATTAAGGGTAGATGCAAAACAATATTGTTTAACTTTGTGGGTATGGGTAGGGGAAGAAGCGGGTCGGATTTGGCAAACCCACATTTTATCTGTTGTGGTCGGGTTGGATACCCATGGATTTTGGTTTAATTGTCATCCATACTCCACATATATCTTTGTTCCTGGGTCCGATAAAAGATTGTGAAGACAAGATCAATGGCTCTCTCTCAAATTCTGGTGATGTTAGAGTGCTAACACCTAATTTATAAGTATGATGCTAACACTAACTCCACCTAATAAGAAGTTTCATTTTTCTCACTTTTAATGTTGAAAGACTTTACCACAATTTAATATTGATTTTTAAAGGGAGGGTACGCTTGTCATTTTTTAAAATTATCACAATAAAAGGGAGGGTACGCTTTTAATGTTAAAATTAAACACGCATGTGGAACAAATATGTCATAAAACTCATACCAAAAACACCATAAAACACATAATGTAGACCATAAAGCTCATAAAGTATACCAAAAGTTCAGCACACCGTAAAACTCATAAAACATACTAAAAAACTCAAAACTGACCGTAAGTTTTCTGAAGCAGACCAGAAAGACAGTTCTCCGTTATTCTAATATGAGTTAGCTTTAACTCAATTCTAGGGTTTTCTCAGAGGGTGTGCCAGCAAGCCCTCCGGCATAGGGCCTTCAAATTATGGGGCTTACGGACCTCACTCATGTATATGACTAACTACTATTACAGATTATTAAGTTTTTTTATTATGAATTTAAAAGGGATTTTGATTATGGGTCTAAAACAATAATATTAAAAAATTGAAGTCCAAACACTAAAGGAACGAACGGATCGCATGAGAGGAATACTTGCTTTCTTATTAGACTTTTTACAAACCATATGGCAAAACTTATTCTTTGTCATATGTTTTCTAAATAGAATAAAAGAGATAAGATTGTTGATGCCTCATTATTAGCATTTTTATATTTGTAGCTTTAACTTTCTTTATTTAAGCTTTCCAAGGGGGGAAAGAATTCAATTTTGTCAATTAATCTGTTTGTACTAGCAAGGCAGTAATACTAAAATATAAGTTTCTCCTAGCTAATTTAGTTTACTCTAATATTTGTTCATAAGTGACAAAGTGGGATCACCAAAACATCAACCCTTCTTCCTTTAGAGTTCAGATTGGCCTTATTAAGTCAGAACTCAAAACTGAACTCCATAATACATAATTGCTATAATATTATGATTTTTTTTTCTTCTTCTTAGGACCAATATCAATATATGAATTTATAAAAACTGAAAGTCCACCACCAGGCCCATCTCTGATTTTGCAGCGTTGATGAATTGAATTTGTTGGCACACGCGTGCATGGTGATTGCTTGGTTGGCATGCAGCTGGAATTTACGTCCATATTTAATGAAAGAAGAAGAAGAAGAAGAAGAAGAAGAGCCAGCCAGCCGACTCATTAATACTGCAATTCATGCAAAAATCAAAATCAAACAAGGTCTGAATTCTCAATATCCTTGGCTGGTGGTGGGTGGAAAATGACTATAGCTAATAATAATTGCCCACCAAAATCTCATCTTCTTCTAATAAGTTGATTTTAGGCGCCTGTGTGGGCGGTCTTGAGTCACAATTTAGTGAGTCGAAATCCCCAATGTTTATTCTAATTTTGGATTGTTATTGCTAGCAAGAAGGAGAAAAACGATGTAGATCGACCAATCATGGTGAAGGATAATAAACTAGCTAAGCTACTTGTATATATCAGGGTTCAAGAAGGCGCGCCTAGGCGCACGCCTAGGCTCAACTAGGCGCTAGGCGATGGAGGATCGCCTTGACTTGGCCATAGGCGTTGTAAAAGGCGCTGGTTTCGCTTAGTAGGTGGGAATAGCGCTTAGTTTGCGCCTAATGGAGAGAAGGCGTGCCTGGGCGTTCCTGGGCGAGTTTAGGCGGTTAAACCCAATACTCTTCGTTTTGTCCTAGAAAATCAGAAACTTGCCTCTTCCCCTAGAAAATCAGAAACACGGGAAGTACATCTGTTGCCGCCTGCTGCCTAGCTCTCGCCCCATCTGCTACCGCCTTCCGCCCTAGCTCTCACCCCATTTGCTGCTCTCTGCCGCCGCAGGAGAAAGTCATCGATCACTCTTCTCGCCTTCACACCGCTCCGCTGCTATAGTGGGAAATAAAGTCGAAACTCGCCAATTGTTGCTCCTTCCTTCTCCTCGGTAAGTAACACAAGCTTCTTGCCTCTATAAGCACCTATTAGCAGATGATTGGTCACTATTTGCTTGTTATTTGTTATGTTAAGTGTTTACTGTTAAGAACTAGGCATTGCTAATTTTATATGCACTTGGATTATATGAATTATTCCAGAAAATAGGAAATATTTGAGAATTTTTCCATTTATGCTCTGAACGCCTAGGCGCGCCTAGGCTACGCCTAATCGGGCAAGGCGCAAGTCAGGAGCCGAGCGCCTGCCTTACGCCTAGCGCCTTTTAGAACCTTGATATATATAATCCAATTATTTTTCTAACAATGATTATGAACGAGACTGCACTGTAAATTATTGTAATAATCTCTATCATGGTTCTTTCAGCTGACTCTAGATATTTTGTTTTAAGATATCTCCAAGCAAGCTAATTAGCTAGACACTATGAAGGTTTCTTCTTCTTTCTAATAGAGGATATTTAATTAATATAATAATCGGTTATATACAATTAGCACTAGTCTTTTTAATAGCTAACAATTGGTACGCTCCTTAAACAAATGCTATTATATATGTGGTCAAAAGACGGTGTGGGTTTGTTTTGGTTTGATGCTCCAAATCTAAGTCAGAAAGTGTTAGTATTGTGGTATATGGTACACGATTGAACCTCTCCCAACAACTCGAGTTATTGGGATCAACTGGTTCTTGACATGGTATCAGAGCCTTCTGTGACCGAGAGGTCTTGTGTTCGATTCCCGGTGACCCCCATTTGTTAAGCACATGGTATTCTTGTCTTCAGACCTGTGCAAACTTCAAGCCCTTCTGAGTGGTTTTCTTTTGAGGGGGCGTGTTAGTATTGTGGTATATGGTCCACGATTGAACCTCTCCCAACAACTCGAGTTATTGGGATCAACTGGTTCTTGACAGAAAGTACACACAAATTCTGGAAAAAAAAATACAAACAAATAAAATAAAATAAAATAAGGAATTAAAATAAAGCAAATAGTTTTGTGAACTAGCATTTTGGGCTACATAAAAGGGAATAAATTTGCTCAATTTCCATGAAATTTCTCACTAATGGATTAAAGCGACACCGGCAGCAAAGGGCCATGCGTACGTACGAATGGGGTTCACAAAACGTGTCGGATCGTAGGAATTTGTTAGAACTTAGGAATCACAATTACGTTATTAATTCGTTGAACTCAAAAACTAGTTTTCTTCATTTATTAAATGAATTAAAAGGAATTGATATGGATGGAACTAGAAACGAGTGCGGAACTTAGGTGAGATTGTTAGACAATACATCGTTCTATTGTGATTTTTTCTGCAACAATGCATGTATTGTTTTGTTGATTTGATGGAAAGAATCACTCAAAATGAGTGATATTACTATCTCATGTACAACTTGAGATTGTTGATATAGTTTAGTGGGGATTGTTTGATTCTTTTTTTTTTTCAATTATATCCCTAGTTATCTATCTATATTCCCATAATATCCTTGAACTTTTATTATCAAATACACTCTCATTTTTCAGAGAACACCCATGCTCAGTTCCCTCCACTTTTTTGGTGGATGTCTCTACCACTCGCTCAATTTAACACCCTCTTCTTTCAAAATTTCGTCGTGGTCTAGCCTCCTCAGTCTCATTGTGGGTCTAACATCTGCAAGCTCTATAATTTAAAGAGGGGTAGAATTACTACAAATCAGTGTTCGTCTATAACCCATAAAAACAAGGGTAAAAATGATATTTCATACAAAAAAAGAAATACAATTTTTTGAATGCTAAAAAAACTATCACCAAAACCAAACGATGTAAACTACATTACATCATTTTCCCTAATTGCATGTATATCACAATGCATGCATTGACAACAATGCATTGATTTAATTATCATCAAAACTAAACTAACCCTTAATTTCATATACATAATTTTTCAAGATATACAATTAATCGCCTATTTAAACTAAGACATATTATTGTTATCCACACTTTGTCCACTAGTCTCATAAGAAACTCGTAAAGTTAACTTTTCTTAATATGAAAATGCTTAAGAATCAATTTGGGAAGGAAAAAGTCAGCGATCATAATCTCCTGTGACCTACCCCAATATGATACTATAAACTAGTTTTAAGCTTTAATGTGGATGCTTTTGAAGCACAACAAGCTATGAATCGAAAATTCCAAGAAGAGTTGTCTACGTGGCTGATCGTCGTTTGAGCACCATCTTCCAAGAAGATTCATATGTTATGTGATTGGCCTACAAGTATGCTATTCCATGGCTAATTAATTATGAACTAACTAATTAATTAATTGTATGGTTTCCTTAATTCTAGACAATTCTAGTGAAACCTCTACTCTAATCTCACTTAACTGTAAACCATTGGAAGAGCAAGCCTGCCTATCTCTCTCTCTCTCTCTCTCTCTCTCTCAGTTCTACTTTTGTTTGTAATTATGACCTCTATTGATTAGAGTAGAACTTAAATTCGGGTTGTTTCGGTTACCTGAACCGAATTGTTCTGTTACCGGAACCCGAAACAATACAATTCCAGCAACCAGCATCATAGTGTTTTTTTGGGTAGAAAAGCAAATTGAACGGTTCTTAATTCTCGCGAGAAGTTAATATATATCATATATTTATTTAGAAGTAAAAAATTTATCGTAGTGAAGCAATTGCCCGGTTGACTCTCTCTCTCTCTCTCTGCCTGCAAAAGATGAGTGGCTGGTTGACTGATTGCGTCGTCATTAGTGAGGCAATTAAGCACGAATTATTAGCAATATAAACGTCTTCTAATGGTGTCATAAAAATGTCGGTTTTCACCAGCCAATGATGTGAAGCCGATTGGTGATATGTCTTCAAGCTAGCCGTAAGGGCATCAGAAATTGCAGAAGAGAACAAAAATCTAAAGATGAGAGACAGAGAAAGATAAACACACCATTAACAAAGACTAATTAATTAATCAATTAATTGGGTTTTAAAGTTTACCTTTTGTGTTGGCCAAATGAAGAACAAGAGAGTGACAATCTCTATTGTTTAACACAGAAAAAAGGACAGTGACAGATGGAGTTGTTTAGTAGAAGGAAGTACAGAACATAATCCACACTAATCAGGAATTTTGGGATTAATTAAATTGACAAGATGGGATGGATATGACGCTGTTTTAAATAGACTAAAACCCTTTTTTGCTGAGAAAGCAATGAAGGTTTTGTGATTTGGAGGGTGTCGTTTTCTTGTGGGGAAAGTCAGAAGTTAGGGTTTACAGTTTCTTGGGTGCTTCCATTGCTCAGTTGGAATCCACTTCAGAGGAGCTTAAGCACGTATGTACAGTCGCTTTCATTAGGTGCATAACTTAATTAGTTAATAACAAATATGATGATTAAGTACCTTCCTTAATCATGCGTATCACGGGACAAGGAAGGAGTCAAAGACCTTCATCACTAACGTACAGAAGTAGCCCATGGGCGAGGAAGCAACCCCAAAAGGGATAAGTGGTAATGAGAAACTAATTCAACAACTTTGATTTGATGATGGCTGGGAATCTTGGTGTTATTACATGATTTTTGCCCGAGTTTAATTAGATGTTGAATTTGATGAAATTACAACTTTTTTTATCTTTTATGTGCAGTTGATTAAAAAAAATTGCAAACTACGTAAGTCTGAAAAGAGGTAATTAAACATAATAGAACTGATATCATATGCTAGTAAAAATATTTTGTTTTTGGACACCACTTCGATGAAATTCTCGTTGAGTCAATGATAATTAGCATTGTTTCTACCTAATGATGCACGTGAAAATACTTCGATATTTAATGGATGAACATGCCAAAATCTTGAATGATTATTTGATAGGATGTATTGATATTGTTATGGACAATCTAAGTACCACATCGGAAATACAAGGGAATGAACCCTTGTATATTAGTGTCCACCTAGCCCAATTAGTACGAGGCCTTTTGGGGAGGACACCCAAGAGTAAAACCGTGCGGGCTCGGCCCAAAGCGGACAATATCGTACTAATGGGCTGCCCAGTTACGACAAGTGGTATCAGAGCCTTTGGTTGCGGTTTTGGGAATTTGGCGCTGGACTGAAGTTTTGCTTTGTGGAGCCTGGTTTGAGGAGTTTGTTTGTTGTTCATGGACAGCGGTTAGGGTTTTCGATTATCAAGGATGTCTGTTCTGAATTTGAAGATCGAGAAGTCGATTTGGAGTTGCAGGTTTGGAGTTGGAAGTAAATTTGATGTTGGTGTTATGGACAGAAATAACACCAAGCTGGTTATGCATGGCAAGTCCCAACATGGGTTGGACTTGCTGCATGTTTTGATTTGTTGACCGCCCTTAGGGGGCATTTGGAGGCAGGGGAGATTCTGGTACAGCTGATTTGGAGGAGTTTGGTATGTCTGGCAATCTTGATTGCATCTGAGTTTGGCGATTTGCATCGCGTTTGGTCTGGCGATATAAATCGCATTTGGATATGTCTGGCAATCTTGATTGCGTTTGAGTTTGGCGGTTTCGATCGCATTTGGATACGTCTGGCGATATGTATCGCATCTGGGTACATCTGGCAACTTTGGTTGCGTTTGGTACATCTGGCAACTTTGGTTGTGTCTGGTACATTTGGTATTTGACAGAGAATTCAAGTCAAGGTGGAGATTATTAGAATATGACTTGAATTTGATTTGGGTTTGTTTTGTGTTTTAGGCCTATTCTGTTTGTGTTTGGGTTTTGTTTGACCTTTTCCTTGTATGTTTGGGAAAAGGTGTTTGGTTTTCTGTTTGGGATTAGGAGAAGAGTTCTATAAATACTCTTCATCACCCTAGTCTGCAGAAAGGTCAGTCAGGTTAGTTTGTTTGGTTTGTCCGTTTGGAATTTGGTTTGTAACCTGTACTCTCCTCAAATTAGTGAAATTTGGTCCCCTCTGCCCGTGGATTAGCTAGCACACATTGTGTTAGTGAACCACGTTAAATTTGTGTTCGTTCGTGTTGGTTTGGATAATCGATTGCACGCTTCTGTTCTGACAGATATATCATATGAATGCATCTTACAAAATTTTCAAATACAAGAACATAGATCAGTTCGGTACATAGCTTATCATGGTATATCCCCTAATTTCTGAATTAATATATATATATATATATAATCCATTTAATTACTATTTTGATTAAGTACTAGTTTATGTATATATAGTTTTGTTTCGGTTGATCATCATATCGCAAAATCTCTAGGCCTTGAGTTGAAATCTGCACATGGGTATATTCATATGGTTCATCGAGCCCCCACACATCCATGATCATCACTTGCGAGCGTCAGTTGCTAGCAGAATAATAATAATAATAATAATAATAATAATAATAATAATAATAATAATAATATATTTTTTTCGGTAATTAATATTATTCTATTATATAAAATAACCTGTCTGTTTATTTCATCTTTTTAAATTTTTGGTGACAACTTTATTTTTTGGTTTAGTTTAATCTCTTGGTTCTTGCGTATGCATGAATTGTAACAATATATGGTTGGCCGTCCACTTAATTTATTACAATTATTAGTATTGGTTATCTGGTGCTTGATGAGTTTGTTAGTTGAAAATCTACATAGAAACACAATCTCGACAAGCATCTTCATGTCTTACATGTAGTCGGCAAAGCAAATGTAGCAAACATCATAGATTTTCCCACATCTTCAATTGCCACCTATTCTATTGTATATATTCCTTCACACATATCCTACTTAAGTACTTAGCTTAGTCTTAATCCCCCTCTCTCAACTAATTACCCATGCTAATCTTGGTCATTAAACTTGATCATAAAAATGACCTAGGTAGAATTGAGATTTGGTTGAGAGAATATAGAGAGAAGTTTGAGAATAAAACGAAAAGACACTAGCTAGGGCTCCTGTTATTTGATCATCATTAATCTAGCTAGCCGAATGATTACAAGTACACTACATATACATAATCGAGTCGAAAATACTAATCAAGCTAAATAAGTACATATAATAAAGTACTAAACTATTGTTAAACGATTACCCATCCCACATCAAAACTAGGCAAGGAATTCTCTTAATGCTTCAATTCAATCTTGATCGTCTAGGGAAGATTGGAAAAACACAAATCATGCAGCTATGGCAGATCAATTAAATGAAATATTAATTCACCCGCCCATTTATTAATCACATGCATAACTGGTTTTTGGATGCCATTTTTTGAGTAAGAGCGATTAAATCCATAAATGAAAAGAAACGAAGTAGAATATCAGTACATAACAGAGGAACAACAACGGATCAAAAGCATTGACCCGAAGGAGTAAACAGAAGGTAGAAAAGGAAGCAAGGTAACATGGAGCCGAGATACAAACAACGAGGGCGAAGAAAGGAAGCAACACAACAAATGTTTGATTGAGTGGTCGTGGCATTTGACTTTGAACACGGAGATCTTAAATTTAAGAGTCACAACTTTTCCTCCTCTTCCCCCACCTCGTTGTACAGTATCGATTGTGTGGTGTCGTGCTTTGAATTCAGAGATCTTGATTTTAAGGTCTGCAGCCTCCCTCCTCTTAGCTCTTTTGTTTTTCTTCGCCTTATCTGGAAATAGAATCAACACAGGAGGAGACAGGGGCTCCAATCTTCAAACATGTCGACCGCTAGAATGGAGACGACGTCGTATCCATCAAACCCAATCAAATCTTCAACCGAGACGACGACGCATCGCACCTGGAGTGAAGTGGTCTCTGGCAAATTACCAATCAAGTCCACAACTTCTTAATTTGCACTTTTCTCACTTTCGGGTTGTACTTTCTTCTGTCCCAAATTTGTCTTCTTTCCTTAAACTGTAAACCACAAACCCTACAGCATATAAGCTTATTGATGAAATGAAAAAGAGACAAGCCAAAAAAACATTGCCATTAATAGAAGCTTAGTGAAGGGTTAAGTTAAATGACGTTATAAACTTTGTTGTTAATGATCAATTAGCAATGAGAGAGATGGAGTGGGTTGTGGGGTCATGAGATCTCCTTTGGGCTTCTGTTTAGGTCATCAAAGCTTTGGGTTATAACCAAAATCAGAATCTTAAAATCTTGTGTTAAAATGGGTATCTTTGTCAAGTCATTAGTAGAACTTTCAACTACTCTTTAGATCTGCCGCCCCTTCTGTAATATTATTATTATTTTGTTAATGTCTGTAATATTAATTTGCTAAAGGCATTTATGCATATGATTGATTGCCCATTGTAATGATGATTCTGGTTTTAGTAAACAGAGAATTCTTCAACTAGCTAGTCATAGGTTTGGTGGTGGCTAGGTTTGGGTTACTATATAATGATGACCAAGATCATAGCTAATCCTTCTCCAATGATTACGAATCAGATTAAAACCCATTAAACTAATTACAAGATCATTATCACCTATTAGAAGGAACCAATCATTAAATGAAGAATTAAAACATGCTTTTATAATTGACAAATACTCTACTATATATATGTTCCAATTTTGCCACATCATATGTGAAGTTCAATAAGAATATGCTAGATGATTCGAGATGGGTTTTTAATACTCTTCGTATATTCATCTTCGATTGTCATATTACGAGTTCAATTTTACTCATGTATTGTTGAGAATGCATGTATAGAGTTAGTGATCAATTTCAGAGATATCTAGTATGAAATTAGTTGGTATTTGACAAATTAACATGAATATGCAGGGGTTAAGTAGATATTACTATTTTCGAAGATCGACCTAACTAGTGATGGACAACCATTTGATTTAGCGCTAAATGAGCCTCCTTATAAACCGATACACACTCATTCACATATTATATTTATTGACGGGTCTTCTCTAACACTAGACAAACTACAAACACCTTCACTAATGCCCTTGCTACGGAACAAATCCAAATCCATTTTAAAACCTTCTTTCTTTCATAGACAAATCTCCGAGTGATTACCATAAATAGGTAGTACTCTACTCGCAAAGTCTTTTATGGTGTGTTGGTGGGTATGGTTTGGAATGAGCGATTGTAGTTTCTTTGGTGACCACCGTGATAGATCCAGAGAAGTGTTTAAGAAGCAGTTTTGCTCAAAGATTTGTTACTTCTTTTTTTTTATGGGTGATCGATATAGGTTGTAATTGTGACTACTGTGGTGATGTAGTGTATTCTCGTTGTTTACTCAGTTGGAGTTGTATCGATCCTTGGATCCCCGTACTTTTGATGTCCCCTGATTTGATAAAAAAAAGAGTTTAGTAAAATTCACCACTCTTCATTAAACAAAGCCCCTTCTGCTCTAAAAACCAATTTCAAGTTTTGTAAATTACTATAACTTTAATTGCTTTTAATCTCCATCCATTAATATTCATTCTAAAATCCCAATTTTACCACTCATTAAAATTAGTATTAGTTGAGGTATGAAGAAGCTAAAAGGGTGGGAAGTGAGAGAGAAGAAAAGAGATTGAAATCAAACCAACTTTTAACACCAACCCCTCTCTCTCTCTCTCTCTCTCTCTCCCCCACTGTACACATTCAACCACCATATTCGGTGTGTGGGATCTTGTGGAGATTGGGATAAAGAAAAAATTTGCAAAGGAGCAGCTGACAGAACCACAATATATACAGTTGTCAAGATTAAACAAAAAAACAGACCAATCTCTGTTTCTCATTGATCTCTGGGAAAATGAAGAAGAAGAAGTGGATTTTGTCTCTCATCATATTTGCTTACACCATAGAATCATTGATTTTATTATTTATTCTGAATCCCTCCCTTCAGGCAAGTTGTGGGAACACCTTACCATTACCCCTTTTCCCATATTATATTTCCCCAATTAACAAAAACACTCTTTCCCCACTATATATATAAGTAGCTTCTCCTTCTCCTCCTTCCACAAATCATTCATTCTTCAAACATTCACAAATCTCTCTCCTTTTTGCCCTCTATCTTCCTTCCTCACAGACTTCTGTCTGTTTTTTTCCTACTCAGGAAGAAGAAGAAGAAGAAGAAGAAGAAGAAGAAGAAGAAGAAGAAGAAGAAGAAGAAGAAGAAAGAAAAGCACTCTCAAGTCTCATCACTTCTCAAATCTCGTACTCGTCTTTAATTTGAACTTCTTCTACCCACTTCCGACCAAATTCTCATAATGGCAATTGAGCTCGAGCAGCAGCCAAAACCCTCCGCCGGCGCCGTGGAGCTTTCCAAAATCGCAGTCTCCGAGACCCACGGAGAAGACTCCCCTTACTTCGCCGGGTGGAAGGCCTACGACGAGAACCCGTACGACGAGCTGACCAACCCGACCGGGGTGATCCAGATGGGTCTGGCCGAAAACCAGGTCTCCTTCGACCTGCTCGAGGACTTCCTCGAGCACCACTCCGAAGCCGCCACGTGGGGGAATGGAGCCACGGCCGGGTTCAGGGACAACGCCCTCTTCCAAGACTACCACGGCCTGAAATCCTTCCGCGGGGCAATGGCCTCCTTCATGGAGCAAATCCGCGGCGGCCGCGCCCGGTTCGACCCGGACCGAATCGTCCTGACCGCGGGCGCGACCGCGGCCAACGAGCTCCTGACCTTCATCCTGGCCAACCCGGGCGACGCCCTCCTAATCCCGACCCCGTACTACCCAGGGTTCGACCGGGACCTGAGGTGGCGGACCGGCGTCCAAATCGTCCCCATCCACTGCCACAGCTCCAACAACTTCCAAATCACCGAATCCGCCCTCCACGCCGCCTACGACGACGCCGTTTCACGCAACCTCAACGTCCGCGGCGTCCTCATCACCAACCCTTCCAACCCCTTGGGCGCCACGGTGCAGCGCGCCGCACTGGAGCAGATCCTCGACTTCGCCGTGGAGAAAAACATCCACCTCGTGTCCGACGAAATCTACTCGGGCTCCACCTTCTCGTCCGCCGAGTTCGTCAGCATTGCCGAGATCCTCGAGTCCCGCGGCTCCCGCCACGTGGACCGGGAGCGGGTCCACATCGTGTACAGCCTGTCAAAGGACCTGGGCCTCCCCGGGTTCCGCGTGGGGACCATCTACTCCTACAACGACGCCGTAGTGACCACCGCCAGAAGGATGTCGAGCTTCACACTCATTTCTTCGCAGACGCAGCACCTCCTCGCCTGCATGCTCTCCGACAAGGAATTCACCGCCAACTACATAAAGACCAACAGGGAGCGGCTGAGGAAAAGGTACGACGTGATCATCGCCGGGCTGCGTCGCGCCGGGATCGAGTGCCTACGTGGCAACGCGGGGCTGTTCTGCTGGATGAACCTCGGTCCGTTGCTCAAGGAGTCGACCAAGGAAGGCGAGCTGGCGCTGTGGAATCTGATAGTGAGGGACGTGAGGCTGAATATCTCCCCCGGGTCGTCCTGCCATTGCTCCGAGCCCGGGTGGTTCCGCGTCTGCTTCGCTAACATGAGCGAGGCGACGCTCGACGTAGCCTTGGATAGGCTGCACCGGTTTGTCGACGAGTATCGACGGACCGGATCGAGCCAGTAATATTGGTGGTGGGAAAGAAAATTTTTTTTTTTTTTGGTGGCCTTTGCTGGGGAAGGTCATTTTTATTCTATTGATTGATTGGTTGGTCACATACCTATTCTTTGAGGAGAAAAAGAAGGGGAAAAAATTAAAAAAGAGGAACGATTTTGTTACATGAGGAAAAAAAAAATTATAATGTTAAGGGGAGAAAAGGGAAGTGTGTATACAGTATACCAAAAAAAAAAAAAGAGTCTGTAATTTTGGTTTTCTGTGAGGGCGGGAGGGGATTTTTTTTGCTTGCTCTCGTCGAGCAAGTGGTGTACCTTTTTTCGTTGTCACACAAAGTGGAGTTCAATTGTTTCTGTCTTGTTAATGAAATTTTTTTATGTTGTCTGTCTCTTGGATTGTTCTGTTATGGGTTTCATGATCTACCTCGACTCAAATTGACAGGAGGGTAAAAGGAAAATGGGTGGAAATCATTCTACAATAGTATCATGTATCGAACACATAATAAAGAATTTCAGTATCAATTCGCTAATCGACGAATGAGTTTTTACGATCAGTAAAAGACGAACATCCTAATCAAAACAAAAAATATGTTATGGATGATGATGGCATAGATTCAGCTTTGATGCGTCTTGTTTTATTAAAAAAAATTCAATTATATTATCGAACAAAAGAAATATACAAAAAAAAAAATTCACAAGCTAATCGCTAATATATTCTAAACGAATTTCGTATTAAAACGAATTTCGTGCACATCAAATGAATCACTCTATTACAACCGTGACCAACACATCCCTCACCACTAGCTTGTTGAATCAACTGATGTGCAATATATAACAAATTAGAATTAAATTACTGAATCGCAACTTGAAAACTATCTTAAAAAGCTATAAGATTTGATCGCCGACGCATGCAAGGCAGGCTAGGAGAGGATTAATATTAATTATCAAGTGTCCATGTCCCTATTAACCATCGGATAGTCACTTTCTCCACCAAATTAAGGCCTTAATTAATTATTCAGAGTCAATGATATCAAGACAACAACGCAATTGGTGTAGGAGGTTTGAGTCACATTTGAGGATCTTCTGCCGTACTTAGTAGACTCGAGTTTTTCTTACTATACAATAATACATTTTCTTACTATACAACGCTAATCACTAATCAGGGTTGCGACAGCTTAGAATTCTTTTTGTCGAGATAATTAATGTGCTTTCCCACCCCTACTCTTGCTTTCAGTTTCATTACAAATGTTTTAAATAGTAATGACAATTGACAATGAAGCGGGTAAACCAATGGTTGAATCATTTGAGGTCAAGTTAGGATATTTGCATTATCTCGGTTCAAAAATATAAACAAAAAAAAAAATCAAAATTTAGGGGCATTTGTTGCTATCCAATTTCACTGCAAGTATTGAACGAGCAGTTACTGCAATGAACAAAAAGAAGAAACACTACATAATAAGATGAGCGATGAAATCATGAATAATTTTTTGGTGGGTATATCTTAATATCCCTCATATGTGTACGAATCGATGGAGGTCTTCCAGTTATTATATTACTTTGAGAAAATATTTATTTTTAATAATGAAGCAAAGTGAAATTAGTTCATATGGAAAAATAAAGATAGTAGGTAGATTAATTGAGCCAGTTATTTGAAAAATGAATTCTTACACTCAGGTAAAGATCATCGAAATTTGAGTTGAGATATATCCAAATAGGAGAGATAAAATTAGATATCGAGACAAATCGAGGTACGTAGTACGTGGCAGGACAAGGTTGAAGTAATACCTATACCCAGTCCCACACAATTGCGCTTCAAATACTATCTTCCCCAACGTGGGTAAGATCGGATAATACCTCGTGAAATAGATTCAAATTGTCATCACTAAGAGTAAATTACTACCAACTTCCCGAGAAAGTAGTGGATTTGGTATAAAAAAAAGAGCAATTAAGATACAAAATTTCCGTAAACACCATATATTCTAATGTTACATGGGATTCGAACAACACGAATTTCGTATTTAAACGAAACAAGAAAATCAATGTAATGTGAGTCCACGTACGTGTAGTTGCTGAAATTTGTGTTGTGCGGCGTACATACATTGCTTGCAAAACCATCCTAAAGTTTTGTGGAAAGGGAGTACTAATTGTCAACTCGAAGAGCACGTTTTTGGCCGGGCTCGTGTACAATGAGTAGTGCAAGATATGTAACGTGTTGACATACAAACATGGTTTCGCTTTCACATTTCTTACCGATCAGGAACATGTCCATTGTCAAATGACACTTAGCAATGGTGATAGGATATAATATATACAATGAAACTTTTTTTTTTCAATTCACAAGGATCCAAAAAGTTAACGAGGAATAAGTGGCCGGACTGCACTTGTAATTAAATGCTGGTTAATATATTTGACGCGGCTAATTACCCATCATAGAATTGGGTGGTTGAAATCAATGTGTGTAAGTAGGGTTGGAGGGTCATTGTATACAAACGTATAATGATGTATTGGGTTTGTATGTATTGCTTTCTATATCTAACACATCGTGATTAACAATACCCAAAAAGTCAAATGAGAATAATACTCTATCCTTTTTCTATATACACAAAATAGTCAAACATTTGTGTAAAACTTGTGACAGACGATAGTGCTATATATATATACATTAGTTACTTTTGTAAGAGTTGACGAACTCGACAGTGATCAGATATTTTGATCGACAACAAAGTAAATGTACAATTTAGGGGTTGATTGGATGTGTTTTTACTTTGTACAGCGACGAATGGTGGTTTAGGGAAAATCTGAAATCTAAGAATTCGAATGAGCTCTAAATATCACCTTGTGTAGGTGCTATTTTCGAATTTGTGATGCTTTGAGATTTTTTTTAGTCTGTCTTTGCCCAGTTTCTTGCTCTCCATCTAAGACTTCGTGGAGAAAGGGCTTGGGTGTTGTAGAGACTTTAGATGCACAAATTCGACATTATTGGCCAAATGGGTTCGGATTTAGGAATGTGTCTTTATTCAATGAAAAATTTGGCTTTATCGATTCTATGGTAAGGGATGGTATCTTTAATTGAATCATTTTTCACAAAAAATGACGCATATATATATACTCGTTAGTTATTATGACGCCTAATAGACAAGTATCGAGTTGTTAACCAGTTTACTTCGAACACACGCATATTAATCATCGAAGTAATTAATACAAAAAAAGGCTTCCAATAATATTGGATTGCCATATCATACGTGTTATTATATATATCCTCTTTTAGCCGTTTCGGCGTGACCTAATTACCAGCCGCCGGCCGAAAGCAAGCGACTTCAATCCAACACTTCTTTTCTCTTTAGTCTTTTTTTTTTCCCGACGCACCAATATATGATCTGGTGAGGTATGGGTTTAATAATTTTCCACGAGAAGTCCATGCTTTCATAATTAACATCTAATTATTGTTTAATCATAGATAAGATTTGCTGTGTGATGCTTACAGATAATAATTTAGTTCTTGCCTCTGTTTTCTTCCATCTTTCTGCTGTTTTTGCGTGCTATTATGGGTTTTAAGCTCTCTCGAATCTAGCTTTGGTCCACCACGTACACGAGTAAACTAATGGAAGCAGCTAGCTAGTTTAGGAATGGGCATGGGCATGGCATGCTAAAGATAGTTTGGATCTTCAAGATTATGAACACTAACCCACTTCATAATTGTATGTTCGATAACCGGAAAAGTTGACAAACTCAGCTAATTTATTTATCAAAAGAAAATGGGAAGATCAGGGTGATCCCCTACGGATCGTTTGGTGGTTGCAAAATCTCAGGACCAACGATAAATGATTGTCGTTATAGATGGGGTTTAATTTTGGAATTCTCTTGATTTTATTTGGAAAGGTTAAAGATTGCATACATATATATATGATCATTGTTGAGTATGGCCTGTATCTCTAAGCTAAGGGAGGTTGAGACATATGATTTGTGTCGAATTATTTGTCGTCGAGTGGAAGTCATCACCAGCGTCTCGGTAGATGAATTTATACATGTTTGGCTTTTTCTTCTCAACCTGACCAGTAATCTTATTACTTACTGTATTATATTAGGGATTAGGCCGTCTGCAGTGGAAGAGCCACTGTTGTAGAAAGTGGGTTCCGGGGTCACGTATATATATATATATTGGCGTATTCGGTGCACTCACTTTTTTGGGTGCATTCAGTGCACTCGCTTCATAACCGTTATTTTAAACATGTGATTTATGTCAAAATGATGTCAATCATCACTAGTGATGTGATGAACAATAACGCACATGAATTTGCATAAAAATTATTAAAGATTTAGTTTAATTTGAAAGATTTAGAGCTTAGAGATTTAGGGTTAGGGTTAGGGTTTACAATTTGGGGTTTAGGGATAGAACTCAAAATTGGAGGTCTAGGGCTTAGGATAATCCGCTAATTAGTTGTTATCATATGTTATATCATCATATTACACTAATTCTACAAATTAAAATTCAAAATCCAACACCTTAATTAAGACTAGCTTTTGAGTTGGGTGCATTGAACGCACTCATTTTTGTGAGTGCACCGAAGTAGTCACCATATATATATATATATGGCAAAGGCTAGCGAATATGAAAACAAAATCAAACTTCATCCTTCATCTCTCAAATTATTAATTTTGTTCCCTTTCTTCCACAAAATCCTCCTTCTGTTGAAACTTGATAGTTTTCTTTTATCCTAATAATGAGTCTCTAACAATGATACCTTAGATTTGGAATCTCCACTACATTATTATATATCTTGGGAAAATACACTAGAGGTTTTCTAAAACTAAATGTACTCTTTCTAGATCAAGGTCATTGAAGAAAGCATCTTATAGTTTTGTTACCAACTTCCATGGTAAGTGTAGAAAGGACATTTGCATTCAGCTAAATGAAACACACTCATCAATATTGAATGAGTGATAAAATTATTAATGATAGTTTGATTGGACATATTTGATTTGATATTATATGAATGTGTCTTACAAGTTTTGCAGAATATGATAGCATGTCGCGAGAAAAAGGTATAAAATTATTTAAAAGATTTTATACAAAAATCGGATCCACCCTGTATGAAATTCTAGCTACACCACTGTCCATCTGAAGAAGTACTATATACACTTTTATATCTCTCTAATATGTATATCTTCAAATAAGTGAAACTGACTATTTTTTGTCTGTGAACTACCTAACGCACATTGTATTAGTTAATTAACCGTATAGATATGTGGGTACTTCATTTCATTGCATTGTCGATTATACACATTCGTTCTAACACATAATAAACACTTTCTTTTGGTGTTTAGGATCATATGCCTCGGCCATCTTAATAATTAATCATGGAAGGTGCATCATTCTTTTGATTGAGCCAGCAGGATATGTATCAGATAGCAAAAAAAAAAAAAAAAAACGAAAAAGTTAAGTGAATAACTCGAGTGAAAATTCCCATTATTCGATTCGAGTCATTAATTATACATATATGTTATAATCATGATATGTGTCAAAATAATTAGATTTTTGTTATAACTAGTGAAATTGGTCGTCGAATAATACAAACGAGGTAAGGAGAAAATACACGGGGATGGTTACCCAAAAAGATCAATTTGTACTACATCGTTTAATTACAAAATATTTAATGGATTTATAAGGTTATTTTGATATTAAAAAGTTAAATGAGTTAGTTGGGCTTTAATGGGTGAGTTTTGGGCTAAGTGGTCAAACTCCTTCTTCCTAGCCTAGTGGCCGACCGCCTCCATAACCTCGAAGCTAACGCCTTCTCTCCTTTGGAACAAGACAACTGGTATGAAATGTAGCTCTAAAAAACTATTAAGTTTAGATACCAAGTCAACAAGGTAGGCTTGGTAGCAAGATATGAAATTTGGTTAAGTCTGGAGCCAAGAGGGTACCAAGCTGACAAGAAAAAGCTTGGTACCTGATGTACCTGATAACGCGTTAATTACACATATTTATTCTTTCATTTCTTGAGCATTTGTGATCATTTTCTTACGCATTGAGCTGGTTTTACGCTAGGTTGTGCAAAGAGGTGGCAATCCACCAATCTACTAAAAATATTCACCTAATCCAATCCATTTAAATCCAAATCCAATTGGATTGGTCCATGGATCAAAATGGCAAATTACGGTTTGATACCTATACTTTTTATATTTTACATTTTTGTACCTAAATCTTAATTTTTTATACTAAAAATATCATTAAAAATTACATTTTGGCACCTAAAATTTTTCATTACGACATATTAGTACCTAAACTTTTCACATTTTACATATTGGTCCTTGGTTGAGGATGTCATTTGGATTCAAGATAATCCACCAATCCACTTGATCCAATCCATGAAAAAACCAATCCAATCCATTTGATCCATGGATCCACCAATCCATGTGGATCCAATCCATTTGCCACCTCCAGGCTCTAATTGTGCATGTTTATGATGTTTTAGGTCCTAGTTCATAAATGAGAGCTTTGAAACAAGTTTTGGGACGGTTGGGCGATGTTTTCATATTCTAAAAGAAACATAAAGTACATTTGGTGTCTACACTCTTAATAGTAAGTCTCTTTTATGTATCTCACTAAACAATTATTAGCAAATTTATCGCTAATTCGACTTCGAAGCTTGTGGTTAATATAATCAAATGTGAAAATGCCCTTTCTATACTTGCAGTTGCAACTGGTAGAATTAAAACTAGTTTCATAAACAAATAGACCGACGGTTGACTGATGCACTTTTGTATTGACCATTACTCGAGATAATTAATTAATTCCTTTCAATCCAACAAATCTCTCATCAACCATAAAGAGACAAGAGATTGAATTAAGTTTTTATTCTCTTTGAGATTTCGTTTTTGTAAATTAATAAACAAGTAATTGGTTGTTGTATAGTAGGAAAACATCATTATATTAGCTGAAGGTGCTGAATTCAATTTTCATCAACTCAAACGTATATAGGTTTTTTTTTTACTACACCAAAAGTTGCAAATGTTGCTGGCTTCGCATATGCCATAGCTTCATCGGTTGGTTGGTGATTAATTAGAAACATGATAACAACTAGAGATAAATTGAAGTCATTAGGAAAGATTACTGATGATGTGTGTTTATTGTGCTGAATGCAGGTTTGAGATAGAGAGCTTGTATTGGATTTGTATCACTCCAAAATAGAGACAAAAATAATTAACTCCACTTTCTGTGACAACGAAAAAAGTATAGTACTTGCTCAATCGAGGAAAGCAAGCAAAAAATCCCCTCCCGTCCTCCAGAAAACCAAAAGAAAAAAAAAATCATTAACAGACTTTTCTGTATACTGTATGCACTTCCCCTTTCTCCCCTTCACATTATATTTTCACTTTTTTTCACATTATGTATGTGACCAACCAATCAATTAACCAAAAAAAAAAATCTTTTCTTTTCCCACCATCAATATTACTAGCTCGAACCGGTCCGTCGATACTCGTCGACGAACTGGTGCAGCCTATCCAAGGCGACGTCGAGCGTCGCCTCGCTCATATTAGCGAAACAGACGCGGAACCACCCCGGCTCGGAGCAATGGCAGGACGAGCCGGGGGAGATATTCAGCCTCACGTCCCTCACTATCAGGTTCCACAGCGCCAGCTCGCCTTCCTTGGTCAACTCCTTGAGCAACGGACCGAGGTTCATCCAGCAGAACAGCCCCGCGTTGCCACGTAGGCACTCGATCCCGGCGCGACGCAGCCCGGCGATGATCACGTCGTACCTTTTCCTCAGCCGCTCCCTGTTGGTCTTTATGTATTTGGCGGTGAATTCCTTGTCGGAGAGCATGCAGGCGAGGAGGTGCTGCGTCTGCGAAGAAATGAGTGTGAAGCTCGACATTCTTCTGGCGGTGGTCACTACGGCGTCGTTGTAGGAGTAGATGGTCCCCACGCGGAACCCGGGGAGGCCCAGGTCCTTTGACAGGCTGTACACGATGTGGACCCGCTCCCGGTCCACGTGGCGGGAGCCGCGGGACTCGAGGATCTCGGCAATGCTGACGAACTCGGCGGACGAGAAGGTGGAGCCCGAGTAGATTTCGTCGGACACGAGGTGGATGTTTTTCTCCACGGCGAAGTCGAGGATCTGCTCCAGTGCGGCGCGCTGCACCGTGGCGCCCAAGGGGTTGGAAGGGTTGGTGACGAGGACGCCGCGGACGTTGAGGTTGCGTGAAACGGCGTCGTCGTAGGCGGCGTGGAGGGCGGATTCGGTGATTTGGAAGTTGTTGGAGCTGTGGCAGTGGATGGGGACGATTTGGACGCCGGTCCGCCACCTCAGGTCCCGGTCGAACCCTGGGTAGTACGGGGTCGGGATTAGGAGGGCGTCGCCCGGGTTGGCCAGGATGAAGGTCAGGAGCTCGTTGGCCGCGGTCGCGCCCGCGGTCAGGACGATTCGGTCCGGGTCGAACCGGGCGCGGCCGCCGCGGATTTGCTCCATGAAGGAGGCCATTGCCCCGCGGAAGGATTTCAGGCCGTGGTAGTCTTGGAAGAGGGCGTTGTCCCTGAACCCGGCCGTGGCTCCCTTCCCCCACGTGGCGGCTTCGGAGTGGTGCTCGAGGAAGTCCTCGAGCAGGTCGAAGGAGACCTGGTTTTCGGCCAGACCCATCTGGATCACCCCGGTCGGGTTGGTCAGCTCGTCGTACGGGTTCTCGTCGTAGGCCTTCCACCCGGCGAAGTACGGGGAGTCTTCTCCGTGTGTCTCGGAGACTGCGATTCTGGAGAGCGCCACGGCGGCGGCGGAGGGTTTGGGCTGCTGCTCGAGCTCGATCGCCATTATGAGAAGTTGGTGGGAATTGAAGTGGGTTTCTTCTGAAAGCTGATGAGTAGTAGAGAGGTATGAGAATTGAGAAGTGATGAGACTTGAGAGTGCTTTTCTTTCTTCTTCTTCTTCCTGAGTAGGAAAAAAACAGACAGAAGTCTGTGAGGAAGGAAGAGAGAGGGGAAAAAGGAGAGAGATTTGTGAATGTTTGAAGAATGAATGATTTGTGGAAGGAGGAGAAGAAGAGGCTACTTATATATAGAGGGGGAAAGAGTGTTTTTGTTTATTGGGCCTAATATAATATAGGAAAGGGGGAAAAGGGTAATGGAGGGATTCAGAATAAAAATAAAATCAATGATTCTATGGTGTAAGCAAATATGATCAAGAGAGACAAAATCCACTTCTTCTTGTTCATTTTCACAGAGATCAATGAGAAAGAGAGGCTGGTCTATTTTTGTTTAATCTTGACAACTGTACATGTTGCGGTTCTGTCAGCTGCCCCTTTGCAAAAAATTTCTTTATCTCAATCTCCATAAGATCCCACACACCGAATATGGTGGTTGAATGTGTAGAGTGGGGGAAGAGAGAGGGGTTGGTGATAGGGGTGTCTATTCGGGTTCGGTTTTTTGGGTTCATCCGAAACCAACTCGATTATATACATTTTCGGTTTTTCGGGTTCGATTCATTTTGGGTTTCGGTTTTTTCGGTTTTGGTTTTGTTTATCAATTTTTTGGGTTCCGGCTAAAAACATCCAATGAATAGAACTCAATATGTATTCTTAAGCATTCGGTTTTTCGGGTTTCGGTTTTGCTTTAACTGAACCCGAACCCGATAAGGAATTTTCGGGTTTCGGATAACCGGAACCCGCAAGTCCTTATCGGATTCGGGTTTTCGGGTTTTTTTCGGGTAACCGAACCCGACCCGAAATGACACCCCTAGTTGGTGACTTGGTGTAAGTAGTGGTAATCAATCTCTTCTCTTCTCTCCCTTCACACCTTTACAACTTCTTCATTGTAGCTTCTTCTTACATATGATACTCGTATTAATTAGTGATAAATCGCGATTTAGAGTGAAAAATGGATAGCGATGTAAAAGTTATATTTTTAAGGTCAAATTGTTTAACATAGTAGAATATATTAAAAAAAAAATCTACTAACTTGCGATTTTTTTAACGAATAGCGACAAATTTTACTGAAATTCCTGACCACATCAGCGAACATAAAAAATACGGAAGCAAGGATACATCCCCAATTCCCATCACCTCCTGTTTGAACAATCTCCTTTTTCTTATTTATATAATATCATAATTATAAAAAAAATGCTACATCCCCAATCCCCAACTAAGTAAACAATGAGAAGACGCTGCATCACCACAGTAGTCACCATAAATAACGAACCGCTGCTACTTCTCTAGATCTATATATCACGATCACCAAAAGAAATGAAAATCGCTCATTACAAACCATACCCACCGGCACACAACATAAAAGACTTTGTAGGTAGAGTCTACCTGTATAGGGAAATTACTCGAGATTTATCTAGTGTTAGAGAAGACTCATCAAGAAAGATAATATGCATGAGAAAAGGATAATGGAATGAGTGTGTGTGGTGTATTAGGAGGATTTATTTAGCGAGAAACAAAAAGTCTATCCTTCACTAGTTAGATCGATATTTGAAAATATTAATCTCAATATTTTAATTTGTTAAGCACCAACTAATTTCATACCAGATATCTCTGAAACCGATCACTAACTTATTCCAATTGGAATCATACCATGAAAAGATTTAAGATGAATATACGAAGAGTATTAAAAATCAGCCTCGAGCCATCTTACATATTCTTATCGAATTCGCATGGCAAAAATGGAACATATAGTAGACTATTTGTCAAAAATAAAAGGATGTTCTAATTCTTCCTGTTGGGGGGCATAGAGCGAGTGGCCCAAACAGGGAACCAGGAAGAGGGCCTGGGCTTGGGCAGAGAAAAGGGCTGAGGGTCAGGGCCCAAGTGGGGGAACCGGGCCCGAAGCAGGGCGCATGACGACAAAAGGGAAGTAACGGCCGGGGACGTACGGAGGAGACAGGAGGTGGGGCCATGCGCCTGCGGGGCCAAGGTAGGTGCCAGAATGGCAGGGCGCCTGACAAAAGGAGGGAACAGTGCATTTAATGCGGTGATGACGTGGGGCGGATTTGGGGGGCACCGGTCGGTCCTACTCCGAGTATAAATAGTGAAGTGGGTGGAGCTCATTTACTTAGGTTCCGACTTCTCTCTAAACTTGCATCTTATTTCTCTCTCTAGAAAGATCGTTCTGACTTGGGCGTCGGAGTGCTAACGAACCCCCCCAAAGGGGTTCGCTGGGCGCCGTGGTGTGCAGGTTGTGGACGTGTCGTGGGGGCGCTGCAGGAGCAGGAGAAGTGAGGGAGTCGGCTGAGGTTTGGAGGGTTCGTGGCTCAAACACTTCCTTTAATGATTTGTTCCTTCATAATATGTGGTAATGATCTTGTAAATAGTTTAATGGGTTTTAATCTGATTAATAATCATTGAAGAAAGATTAGCTATGATCTTGGTCATCATTATATAGTAAACCAAAACTAGCCACCACCAAACCTATGACTAGCTAGTGGAAGAATTCTGTTTACTGAAACCAAAATCATAACCACAATGGGCAATCAATTAATCATATGCATATATGCCTTGAGCAAATTAATTAATATTACAGAAGGGGGCGGCACATCTAAAGAGTAGTTGAAGGTTCTACTAATGACTTGACAAAGATACCCATTTTAACACAAGATTTTAAGATTCTGATTTTGGTTATAACCCAAAGCTTTGATGACCTAAACAGAAGCCCAAAGGAGATCTCATGACCCCACAACCTACTCCCTCTCTCTCTCCTTGCTAATTAATCATTAGCAACAAAGTGTAGAACATCATTTAACTTAAACCCTTCACTAAGCTTCTATTAATGGCAAATTTTTTTATGGTTGTCTAAAATGAGATAGAACATCAATTCTTTCTCATTTTATAATCTATCTATCTCCTATTGATGTACTCCAACCCTCACAATTCTCTTTCTAATTCCTTTCTCAATATAAACTTTTCATCAAGTTTAATGTTCGAGATTAGCATGGGTAATTAGTTGAGAGAGGTGGATTAAGACTAAGCTAAGTACTTAAGTAGGATTGTGCGAAGGAATATATATACAATAGAATAGGTGGCAATTGAAGATGTGGGAAAATCTATGATGTTTGCTACATTTGCTTTGCCTACTACATGTAGGACATGAATATGCTTGTCGAGATTGTGTTTGTATGTAGATTTTCAACTAACAAACTCATCAAGAACCAGATAACCAATAACAATAATTGTAATAAATTAAGTGGACGGCCAACTATATATTTTTTTACAATTCATGCATACGCAAGAACCAAGAGATTAAACAAAACAAACAAACAAAAAAATAAGTTGTCACCAAAAATTGAAAAAGATGAAATAAACAGACAGTTTATTTTATATAATATAATAATATTTATTACCGGAAAAAATATAACATTATTATATGTATAGCAGATCGATCGAAAGGAAAATATTTTAATAAAAAAATTGGTGTAACAAAAATATATTATGCTGCTAGCAACTGACGCTCGCAAATGATGATCATGGATGTGTGGGGCTCAATGAACCATATGAATATACCCATGTGCAGATTTCAACTCAAGGCCTAGAGATTTTGCGATATGATGATCAACCGAAACAAAACTATGTATACATAAACTAGTACTTAATCAAAATAGTAATTAAATTAGGGGATATACCATGGATGACAATGATAAGTTATGTAGCGGCTGATCAGTATTTTGAAAAACTTGTATAATGCATTCATATGATATCAAATTTTTTCCCATTGAATATATGATGCATTCATATGATATCAGTTTCAATATATCTTATAAAATAACCATTCAATATTTTGGCATCACCAATTAAATATTGAAGTGTTTTCACGTGCCTCATTGCAAATGTCTTTCGACATTTTCAGTTCTATTATATTTACCTTTTTCATACATATGTAGTTTGCAATTATTTAGAAAAAAATCAATTGCACATAAATGATAAATGATTTTAAGCAAATTTTATAAAAAAATTCATGGGATCCCAAGTGCAAACCAAAAAAAAAATTATCTACGAACTTTCTCATACAAATTACAAAAATTTCAATTCTATTCATAAGGTGGCTCTGTTACATCTTTCAATAACCATGTTTCTAAGAAATTTAGGAATTTTGTCTAGGTTTAAGCAACATCTAATCTATTTTCACATCAAGTAAACATACAACAACCTAGTGGTGGTCCAAAATATGAGATATTATTTTCAGAAAATTCGGATAAAAAGAAGCTAGTGAGTTTCAATAAGAGGAAGCTTTGATGATACATGATTAATAAATTAAGAAATTAGAAAATTAAGGAGCGCGTAGAATTTACTCATGCAACTCTGGCTCAATAAACGAACTTTGGATCGGCGGCCAGGCTCTGCTTCATGTGACCGACTGAAACACGGATGACTGACTGACTGGCAGTGGCAGGTGAATATACATAAAAATAAAACTTTTATCAGCTTTGTGGTTTTTCTAACAATTTTTTTGTTTTGTTTGTTACATGAAAAGTCATTAAAGACTGGATAAATTTCGGTCTTATGATAATCGGCAAATTCATTAGGAGCAGTCGAGAATATATTTTTGTTGGTTTGTTGGTGTGCAATGGTCTGATTCGACTAAATCATACTATGATAGAACCGATTCGAAAGTATAAGAATTTTAAGGACCGTAATTAAACGAAAAGTGCATTTGTATGCTCCAAATATTGGTTCGGTTTTTTTCCTTTACTATCCAAATAATTCATGGAACCGAGAATCGAATTATATTGCATTTAGTATGAATAAGTCCGATAACAATGTCAGTTTGGTCAATTGCATGTCAAAATGATGCATTGCACACACTCCTGGAGGCCATGTTTCACGAACCAAATGTTGCCCAAAATTTTTCAATAAACCTATTAAAAAATTAATTATTACATTAATTAAAAAAATGAAATTATTACAGCCTCATTTGAAAAATAGCATCCTTCTAACCTATTTTGAAATAAAATTATCTATTAGTTCTTCAATTTTATTATTCTCTATTGGGGGATATGCAACGGGCCTAGAAATGTATGAGTCGTTGGATCAAAGGGTAGCAGATAGGGACAATAATGGGTCGGGTTGAGTCGAGTTTCTTCAACCCAACCTAATCCAGCGAGTACTAGGAAGTGGCAAGTGCATCTGTAGTGTGTACCCATGGATTCACAAACATAATTAACCGTGAATAATTCGTCCGAAAACCCACATTCTTATATTATACAAAAATTTCTATAGTACTATTATTATAAAGACTGATAACATTAACAATTTTGAATACTATTGGAACTATATTGTCACAAAGACGGATAATGTCCGTAATTTATTCATAATATAACACTGTCATTTTTCTTTTCCGGTGCAGGTTGGGTGAAAAGCATACCAAGTTTTGACCAAACCTAAACCCAACCCAACCCGAGAATTTCAAAAGCAGTTTCTACTCGCATGCAGCTAACCCGAAACCCGTTATCAACTCCGAGCTTTACCCCATTTTGACTGAATAAGATTGTGTTGAGTACATAAACTACAGGTACGAATTTAATTGTCATCCCTAATCGCATAATAACCTCAAATGAAGGCGCCAAGATTCCTAGCCATCATCAAATCAAAGTGGTTGAATTAGTTCCTCATTACCACTTATTCCTTTTGGGGTTGCTTCCTCGCGCCCATGGGCTACTTCTGTACGTTAGTGATGAAGGTCTTTGACTCCTTCCTTGTCCCGTGATACGCATGATTAAGGAAGGTACTTAATCATTATATTTGTTATTAACTAATTAAGTTATGCACCTAATGAAAGCGACTGTACATACGTACTTAAGCTCCTCTGAAGTGGATTCCAACTGAGCAATGGAAGCACCCAAGAAACTGTAAACCCTAACTTCTGACTTTCCCCTCAAGAAAACGACACCCTCCAAATCATAAACCCTTATATTGCTATCTCAGCAAAAAAGGGTTTTAGTCAATTTTAAACAACGTCATATATATCCATCCCATCTTGTCGATTTAATTAATCCCAAAATTCCTGATTAGTATGGATTATGTCTGTACTTCCTTCTACTAAACAACTCCATCTGTCACTGTCCTTTCTGTTTGTTAAACAATCGAGATTGTCACTCTACTTGTTCTTCATTTGGCCAACACAAATGGTAAACTTTCAAAACCCGATCAATTGATTAATTAATTAATTAGACGTTGTTAATGGTGTGTCTCTATCTTCTTTAATTTTTTGTTCTCTTCTGCAATTTCTGATGCCCTTACGGCTAGCAGACATGTCACCAATTGGCTTCACATTGCTTGGTGAAAACCGACACTTTATATGACACCATTAGGAGGCGTCTATATATAGCTAATCATGCTTAATTGCCTCATTAATGACGATGCAATCAGTCAACCAGCCACTAATCTTTTGCAGGCAGATAGAGAGTGTCAACCAGCCACTTGTTTTTTTTTTTAACACCATGGTAAATGTATACTTCTCCATAAATACGTGATATATATAGTTTAACCTATCGCATGAATATAATTAAATTATGTTTTAGCGGATCGTGTGTTTTTTTATATAAATGATGTAGGATTTTACCGTGGATGTATGTATGTATGTATCAATGAAATTAATAGTGTAAAAGAGAAATGTTAACTAAGAGTTACAAAACATATATGTCTTAGGTGAAAAGAAAATCTCTCAGCAAATGTAGGCCACTAGTCCGTTTGATTCTAATGCAACTAGTGCTTCAAGGTGGTTGGAAAGATCAATAAGTTTATGATCTATGAAGGAGAATGTAGAAGTTGCGACATTTATGACCTTGAATAAGTGATACCGATATGTAAATTAGGGCTACATGTTCGGGTTCGGTGTTGCGGTTTAACTGAAATGGAAACCGAATTCATCGGGTATTAGGGAATTGAGAACCTAAAAATTAAAGACCATAATGGTCTCTTTTGTGGGTTAGGATCGTTTTTTGGGTTTTGCTCCAACCCGTTAACCAAACCTTGCCCGAAATACGAGCCCTAGCTCGATAGTTCCCCCTACGCCCCAACCCACCATGGTGCCCTAGAGCCCAACCCACCCGAGTCCAAACCCAATGGCCTAGTATCCCTACCGGACGTACCCTAGCCCACTCGGCTCCCCTTCAACCCTCCTTTCCTTCTTCTTCGATCAACTACGACGGGGGAGATCAGACCGTATATACAATATAATCATTATATCAACCCCAAAGGGTTCGTCAAGTTGTAATTTGTGGATGAAAATTTTCACCGCACTCTGAGTTCAAATTTTGGAACCAACAACCAACGAGAAAATATATTCACAATATCATACCGAATTCTTCCACCAATTTTCAAATTATTGTAACTTGAATTTTAAACAAAATCACAATAAACGTACCAAACAACCATATTATTTTTCGTCCACGTCCGCACTCATTTCTAGTTCCATCCATATCAATTCCTTTCTAATCCATTTAATAAATGTAAAAAAAAAAAAAAGAGTTTTTTTAGTTCAACAAATTAATAACGTAATTGTGATTCCTAAGTTCTAACAAATTCCTACGACCCGACACGTTTTGTGAACCCCATTTGTACGTACGCATGGCCCTTTGCTGCCGCCTGCCGGTGTCGCTTTAATCCATTAGTGAGAAATTTCATGGAAATTGATGCAATTCCCTTTTATGTAGCCCAAAATGCTAGTTCACAAAACTATTTAATTTATTTCTACTTGTTCTTTTATTTTCAGAATTTATGTGTACTTTTCTGATATAGCTTTAGAGCATCAAACCAAAGCAAACCCACACCGTCGTTGACCACATAATCCCAATAATAGCATTTGTTTAATAAGCGTTCCAATTGTTATTATTAGCTATTAAAAAGCCTAGTGCTAATTGTCAAGAAATGATGCTATTAATTAAACATCCTAGTGTCTACTTGTCTATGTAGCTAGTGTGTTTGTGCAGCGTATATGAAATAAAAATATTTCGACCTGCTGAAAGAACCACGACGACATTATTTTCCTTCCATCTATATCATTCGACTCGACCTATGTAGCTCGCAACACCCATTGCCGCGAGCTCGCGCCGATGTAGAGTTTGCAGTACTGTGATTTGTGTATTCTGGTTTAGTAGTGACATTTTATTGAATGAATGAGCATGATTATGTTAGGGTCGATTTGAGTTGTTTGCAGAATAATCACGATACCCACATCCTCTTGTATACATGTAACATTCGAAACTCCCCACGTCCTCAAAATAATCACGATACCCACTCAGCGGCGGATCCAGAACACATAAGAGCACTGGGCCGCATTCATTAAAAAATTAGAACCGTAAAAAAATATAATGATTATAGTTTTTTGCAATGTAAATTGTACACAACTGTATTTTAATTTAGGGAATGCATCAATAATGAAGTCTACATCCATACCAATAGTATACACTGTTTCAAATAAAATACTTGAGCAATCGGCGATAAATTCATCGCTCATTGTGTTGAGCAAATCAGTTCTCACATGTTTCATTGTTAAAAAGGTTATCTTTGCAGTAGCTGTTGAAACTAGCAGCATCAACACTAGATAAATCAATCGACTAATCAATTTACATTGTTTGTCCATCCCTGCACACCAGCTGCTTTAGTAAATTTGTAAGGGAACAAACCTCATATTTCTTTTAGTCTTTTACGTTTTGAACTTTTTAGAATTTTAGGTTCATTGTTTTTTTAAGACGCGTAATATTTGTGCTAAAATTTCTACGCTAAATTTAGAATAGTGATTTGAATATGTTCAACTTGATAATTTTTCTAGTTAAACCCAATCTTATTATAGAATAACACTAAATTGAATGTCTAAAATCAAAAATTTCATAAGGATTATAGTAACTACGAATCCAGAGGAGGGCTGGGCCGGGGCCTGGGATGGCCACCCCTGAATCCGCCAGTGTACCCACTAGACTAATTAAAACCCCTCAAAATAAGTTGCGCTAGAGGGTCTCTGCTTCTGCACAAGGTGCCAAGAATTGGCTTTTTCTCCTATTGTCTCTTTTTTTTTTTCTTTCAAAATGTTTCGTAATATATATAGTTAATTACAATCCACCATGTGCCGTCTCTTTCATAATCATTGTAAAAAAAAAAAGGATTATATGCACAAGTAGCTTACCTAGTTTATTAATTATCCTTTACCATGATTGGTCGAGACTTCGTTTTTCCTCCTCTTGCTATAGCAATAATAATCCAAAAAAAAAACCCCAATAAACATTGGGATTTCGACTCACTAAATTGTGACTCAAGAACGCCCACACAAGCGCCTAAAATCAACTTATAAGAAGATAAGATTTTTGCCCAATTATTAGTCTCCATTTTCCACCCACCACCAGCCAAAGGATATTGAGAATTCAGACCTTGATTGATTTGATTTTGCATGAATAGCAGTATTAATGAGTCGGCTGGCTGGCTGGTTCTTCTTCTTCTTCTTCTTCCATTAAATATGGACGTAAATTCCAGCTGCATGCCAACCAAGCAATCCACCATGCACGCGTGTGCCAACAAATTCAATTCATCGACCCTGCAAAATCAGAGATGGGCCTGGTGGACTTCAGTTTTTTTAATTCATATATCCATATCAATATTTTCTTAAAACAAATTGACAATAATATTGTTATATCAGTTTTATATAATATATTGAAGGTAACCATACCATATTATACCATGCACAGACCTGGTCATAGTGGAGTTCGGTTCTGAGTTCTGAACCTAATAAGGTCAATCTAAAGGCAAGCGGGTTATAACTGTCTTTCAAGTTGAGTTCAAGTCGTATCAAAGTAATGATGAGCTATCGAATTACTGCTGAAATTTACAAAGGAAAAATGAAAGTAATAGTACGACACATAATGTTTTGTTAACCAAGTTTTATCATGTGGCTTTACGTCTAGGTTCTAAGGTGGTTGATCACCCTTTTGAGACCTTGTTTTCTATGGTTTTCTTCTTATTCCAACTTCTAACTCCAAGTTGAGTTCCTTTCGGGTGGAACTCAAAAGTCAAGCCCTTGACAAATCAAAGCAAATGTAACTTGTCTTCCTTACTCACAAGCAGTTAGCCAAAGGAAGCAGTGGCGGATACATGGGCCTCTAGGGGTGTCTCGGGACACCCCCTAAAATTTAGGAAAATGATTATCCACCACCGGTAGTAGTTTCGTATGGATAAAAAAATTATAATTGGTAATCCAGGACACCCTTAAATTTTGAAAAAACGATTATCCTGTTCTCGGTAGTAGTTTGCATATGATTAAAAATACATAAGTAGTAATCTCTGTGTTATTCAAATCTAGGACACTACTATTATTAAACATATTCTCTAGCTTGCAACTCATTTGTTGTTCTATTTTAAACACTATGTAATAGTAAAAACACTATTCTTTATTCTCAATTGTTTTCAAAACCTAACAATTAAATTCATTCGAGCTATCCTTAATTTGAATTGATTTTATAGGTATATTGGAAGAGTTGAAAGAGTCTTTCAAGTTTGAGTTACATCAGGAACAAGGTTAAAAATCGAATATGCGATCAGTTCGTGAATTATTGTCTAATATGGTATATTTGCACTAGTCGAATATTTTTTTATTTATGAATTATTTAATTAAATTTAATTTATTTGAAGATGACACCTTATAAAAAATTCTTGGATCACCCACTGAAAGGAAGAACACACTCACAACTCACAAACACTCAAGCTACTAAAGAGATTACACACTTCTCACTTCGTTCACTAAACATAGTATTAGGTGCCCAAAAGAAAATGTGTACCCAATTCTAATGCAGTTTTTGTCTTTTTTTGTTTTTTTCTGTTATGAAACATTTAGAAAGGTGGAAACACCTACATTAAATGTGCAATTGGGTTGAAGACAATTAATGAGAATATGGATATTGTCTTTAATGATCAGGATTCAGGAATAGACCCATTTGGGTCTAACTCAAATGAGTTGATAAAAATTGGACCCAATTCAAACCAACGAAAACTCAAAACCATTAAAAATATATATATAATTTCATTTGGATCTGGCCGGTTCAATGCTCATATGGATCATGACAATTGGATCGAATTACAGTCCTTCGCGAAGTATTATTCATATAAATGATTATTCCGCACATATACGGTGGAATTGAATACTACTAGCCAAATGGGAATTACCTGTACAGATCATGCACGCATTATATATAATAACCGGAAGGTTTTGCATTGGAACTCTTGAAACATATAATTTGTTACGATTTCTTTGCTTTTAAAATATGGTCGGGTTTTGGAGCAACCCGACAACTTACAACTAGCTAACTAGCTCCTCGTAAATAATCAAATCACACATGGTACGTAACTACATGTTCTTCTGTTGTGCAGGAGGCAGCTGATTGGTCATCATGTTCATGTTGCAACAGAGCCAAGTTTGAGAGAGCTCAATTCTTTACTGTGAAATTTAATCAAGTTACAACTGCTACCTATTCTAAATCTTATCTTTTCTTTCATGCAAAAATTATTGCCTGAAATTGTAACTCAATAATGAGGTCGACTGGGGTCGAGTTCGAGTACTTTCATTTTATTCACTCATGTCCATTTGTACTTTTGATCACTTCTGTACGTAAAATTTGTGCAAATTTGTGAAATGTGAATGACTAATATATATGGTAACTAACGTGTAGTTTTGTAGTGTATCATACCTTAAGTAATATGGTTTTTGAATGTACTTCGTTTTATTTTGATAAATCAAGATTGTCAGAGTATTATTTTTTTATTAAATTGATTTTTCGGGGTTTGGATTTAGAGAATGAGGACCTAAGGTTTGATCACTAGAGGCGAGGATCAATTGGCAAGTGGAGTTGTACGGCCAGTGGTACAGCCGATTTTTGCCGAATTTAATAGAATACATGAGAAAAATGAGGGGTCGTTTCGATGGATTAATTGTCAATGTGGTATGAGTCAGGTAACTCATTTATTGTTCATGTGGTATTTCGAGTATGCGCATATGGTATTTGGTATGTGGTACTTGCCAAATAACTATTTTCAGTAAAATGTTACCAAACGAGTTACTTGTGTCCAAATAACTCACTCAAAAACTCCATCCAAATGACCCCAGAAATTATCAATACCAAGTAAATTAGTTAGGAAGAAACAATCAAAAGAGTTAATTCACACAAAATAGTTTATAGTTAGGAATTGGTAACTAATAGTATACAATTAGATACATAAAAATAAAAATAAAAGTATACAAAAATAAATTTTATTAATATTTACAATGATTTATGTAAATATAGCCTTAGTTATATAATACATAAGGTTAATATTTATAACAAAGCTCTTTGTATCCAATTGGTGTATAATGAAACTAGTGAACATGAGGTCTTTGGTTCAAATCTCATGATGATTGTTTATTTTTGAAGGACATATGTGAAAAATATAGAAATTCAGATTCTAGTCTAACATAACTGATTGTATTCTCGGTTTTTCCCTGTATTATCGAACAAAATTCAGATTCTGGTCTAACGTAACTGATTGTATTCTCGGTTTTTCCATGTATTATCGAACCACATGTCTCTATAGATGTACATTACTTCAACTTAAGTGTCGTTATCTAGCCAACCTAGAATAGTAAAAAAAAAAAAAAGATTAAGAAACTAAGCCAACCTAACCACTACCCTAGCCAATTACAAGTTTGGAGCTCTCTTAGCTTGAATCCACCTAGTTCCGTCATTTGGATCGATGTTGAGCACTATCCTAGATTGCAATTCACTCTCGTTATCTCTACCGCGAAGAATATTAGACTAGGTTAGACCCCTTTTCAAGTGCATCCAAACCCGCCCAATTGCGCTACCCGGAGTGGCGTACCGAACAACCGGCGAAGGCAATTGAGATGCTAACCAATAATTCCCACGATTGGGCATACCCTACTCGGCACTACCCAATACGCCACTATGGACCTCATTGCTTTCGCATCAAAGACCCATAGTAATGGATTGAAGGTGCTCTACTCAACCTAGGGGCATATACTTCAAATCTTATATCGTTAGGAGATCAACCGAATTCACTCCCTCGGAGATTAACCCGGAACGACATAGATTGAGCAGTGATCTTAATTGCCAAGAATGGACCAAAAGGGATTTTCCCGGTCAATCGTATCACGACTTGGTTACGGATTTTTACTCTAGCTAGGGTATGATGTCGATTATGATGAAACGTCTATCCTATTGCTAAGATAGGAACCACCGTTCATGCTCTTGATATGGATGTGGCTTATATTTGATGTGAATAACACATTTTTATATGACCACCGTCATTTTTCAAGAAGGTAATCTATTCGGGAGGGTTTTCTTAGATGCTGCAAATTAGTTAAGAAAGGCTCTTTGCCTCATGCTTGACAATTCGAACAGCTTGATATGCCATGAAACAAGCTCTTTATAGGTTGGGTTTGAAAGAATTCTTAATAAAAACGGTTTTGAGGCAATGTTTTCATCAAAGTGCCCCATGTCACATGATTCAATTCTTCTCTGTTTAGTTTTCATCCAAACCACATCGAAACTCATGTGCATTAATTACATACGGAAAGTTATTAACAAACTGCAAGTGCTGCATCTCATCATCATGAAGATGAAACCGCGCAAACTGCTGACGGACGAATGCTTTCGCAAACAAACATGCATTATTTCGTGGCTAAACAAACTGATTTACCGGACTATAGCATCGATTTGGCATCATATATTATGCAAAATTCTAGTTAATTTATTGTCTTACACTAATCTCAGTGCCTTAAAAACTAATTAAGGATTGAACACAGAGTGATCAATTTCCAAATAAGACTTTGAGATTTGGTCGAACATCATGCCGTGATTTAGGTTATTTAGGGGCCGACAAAGGAACATACTATAATCCAGGAATATTAAGCATCACTCCATATATAGTCGTCACAGCTAGAGGTGGCAAATGGATTGATCCATGGATTGGTGGATTCATGGATCAAATGTTATTGGATCCAATTGATTGGTGGATTCATGGATTGGATCAAGTGGATTGGTGGATTATCCATGAATCCAAATGACATCTTCAACCAAGGACCAATATATGAAATGTGAAAAGTTTAGGTACTAAAATGTCATAATGAAAAATTTTATGTACCAAAATGTAATTTTCCAATGATATTTTCGTATAAAAAATTAAATTTTGGGTACCAAAATGTAAAATATAAAAAGTATAGGTACCAAACCGTAATTTGCCATTTGGATCCATGGATCAATCCATGAATTCACCAATCCAATTGGATTTGGATCAAATGGATTGGACTTAAATGGATTGGATTAGGTGGATAATTTTAATGGGTTGGTGGATTGGATTGGTGGATTGGATTGAGAATTGTCACCTCTAGTCACAGTCTTAAAGAAAACAACATCAACTTGGGATCTTTTCTGGAGTTGTCTGCCTTTTAATGAACACCCATATCATACAGTAATTAATAAAAGGGTGATCGATTACACCTATATGGTTATAACAACGCAATATTGCAATACAACTGGCTGAATTGAAAAAAGAAGCCGAAAAGGAGAAGGAATGTGGGAAAACAAAACAAAACAAAAGTAGCTCTAGCTCTTGCTCTAGCTATAGAGGTTAGATAAAGAAGAGAATCTGAGATCGATCGACAAACCCCCCAGAAATCCTGAGCTTTTTGTGCCCTCCAGTCTGGAATCAGTGTTTGCCACATAAGTGTGTTCTTGTCTGGTCGTTTTTCTACGTACCCTTTTGTTTTTTGCCTATGTTGGGTTGAATGGTGACCTTTTGTTTAACACACATGTGTATAGAATATGACCCACCTAATTATCATAAATACTCACAGATAAGTCTGTTGAGATATGTGTCCATTAATTACAGACAGTAGAATCCACAGTAACATGCATAGTGTTGATGTGCAGCTTTCGAACGTGCCTAGTAGGTTTCAATAACTCGATCGAGCATGTAGAGGGAAGTTTAATTATGGATCTTGTTGCATTTTTTTTTTTACATGCCCTCAAAATGAAGACCGGGTTATGGACTTCAAACTTGCATAGTTTTATCACATTCTTGTGTTTAAACCAACTATTACTATTGAGGGTTATGAATTATGAGGAATTTGAACGAATGAGTCTAATACTATCTCAAGAGCTAGTGGGTTACAATAACTCTAATGGGTATTCTTTGGTGATTGCTAGGCTAGAAATGGTTTGATGATCTTATTGCTATAATAAGTAAGTAGTCATTCGTGATCTTCTTCTGTTTTTGTATAACAAATGTCATCCACCATCGTCAATAGTGACTAACCTCTGTCCACGAGTAGTGGCATGAAAAAGAAAATGGTTAGCCACAGAGTGAATTCTATTGGTTGTGCAAAAACTAAGTTCACAAAAGGGGGGATTGGGGAGGAGAACAAAAATTTGGAAGGAGTGAAAATCTGAGGGTAGTGAAATAACGAGGAAAAAATAGGTGTTCAATTTTGAAGTAAAAAAAAGACTCAATAAAAAACAACAATTGTTTACACCCAAATTAGAGGCAACTACTATAGTAATTTTTTCTTTCTTTCGTGAACATAGGATAAAGGACAAGCCGATCAACCATCACAACTATCTTGATTGGAAATTTGTCTTCACTCTACCTCAGCCCATAATAACAATAGGGGCCGCAAATGGACTTGGCATACTGGGCCAGCAGACTTCTTGGAACGGCTCGAGATCAACGTTGCTCAATAAAAGCCTTCCATTGGGCCAATTGGTCAGTGGACGACTGTATGGAAGATTAACTTCAAGTCCAAGACTTCTTAGACAGGCCCAATTTTCAAGCCCATCAAGCGGCCTGTGTCCAAGAGACGGAAAGTTGTTTGTTTGTCCGGTTGAGTGACGCGACTACCAAACACCAATTATATTCAAACACGATTGAAGTAAAAGACGGAAATCCGCGACTGGAGACGCCATTTTTTCCGATGGCGGCGTCGGCTCTATCTCCTCCCGAAGTTCCAATGGAGCTCCACGTCTCCAACCGCGAGAAGCTCCTCCAATCCATCCGGCATCATCTTGCCGAAACTTCTCGTCCCTTACAAGGCTTCGTCCTTCTTCAGGTACGGATCCCGGCGAGCTCGTCTGGACTTTGTTTAATCGACGATGATCTTCATTTTTTCTTAATACGGAATAGCTGCCCCTGAATTTGACAGGGAGGTGACGAGCAGACTCGCTACTGCACCGATCATTTGGAGCTCTTCAGGTGCGGTTTTGAGCTTTCATTTGCGCCGGTGGGCAGTTATTTTGGTTCTAGTTTGACTGGAGGACTTATCTCTGATTGACTTATTGTGCAATTTGTAGACAGGAGAGTTATTTCGCTTATTTGTTTGGAGTTGTAGAGCCTGGATTCTATGGGGCAATCGTGAGTTCTTCGTTCCTCCTGTATTCTTATTTCCGGCTGTAATTGATTTCTAATTGCAACACATGGAAAAACGCTAGAACACTATTGTCTCTACATCCCTTTTGGTGTACTTAATTGGAATGGCTGAAATTTTCCAACGTCGATGAATTCTATGGCACAGTTCCTTATCCTTAAGACGAATTTGATTGCAGTTATCCTACCATTTATGCATCAGATCTGATGACTAGCAGATAGATAGTCTCCCTGGAATGTAGTTTGAAATGAATAGTATGCTTCCCTACTGGCACCATTTCGGCAATTGTTGATTCTCATCTTTGTTGGTATCACTTGTTGTCTCCCGTCCTACTGCTGCAGGACATTGCGACAGGGAAGTCGATCCTCTTTGCTCCGAGGTTGCCTGCGGAGTATGCTGTTTGGATGGGGAAAATAAAGTCATTATCTTACTATCAGGTACCCATTTATGGATGTTCTTCCATTTGTGCGTCAATGTATGATGTTTGTTAGAGAAAATGATTTTTTGCTCTTCTTGTTGTAGGAAAGGTACTTAGTTACCGAGGCCTACTATACGGACGAAATTGTAGAAGTTCTGCTCGACCAGAGCAAGGGCATTGAGAAACCGTTGCTGTTTCTATTACATGGACTCAACACTGACAGCAACAATTACTCAAAGCCGGCAGATTTTAAGGTACTTAAACCAAAAGGTTCTTCCATTCAATAGTAAATTGTTTAGCTTGTCACTCATGTCTTCTGGGGTGTCTGAGCTCTTGGTGAATTTTTCTTTGCAGGGAATGGAAACATTTCAAACTGACGTGAACACGTTGCATCCTATTTTAACAGAATGTCGTGTTATCAAGTCAGACCTGGAGCTTGCTGTAATTCAGTTTGCCAATGACATCAGCTCTGAGGCTCACGTCCAGGTAGCCTATTTCATTTTTAGTTATTCTCCTCCTTCGTCCTGTGTTTCTCAATGATCGATTGCAGGCGCTCCCTTTGCTTTTAAAATATTGCGTAGAATCTTTGATGTTATTTTTATTTTTACATAAAAGACATGTTATGTTCGGTTTAGGAAAAGTGGTCTGGTGACATTCTAAGTTCCTGTTCCTTATTTCTAATTCTGCAGTCATTTTTTTAGATATAACTGATAAGTACGGCAAAAGGCAGATGTTCATTATCTTAATAATGTCTCGAATATTGGAAAATCTTCTAGGTCATGAGAAACATTAAACCTGGAATGAAAGAGTATCAGTTGGAAAGTACATTTCAACACCACACCTACATGTATGGTGGTTGTCGGCATTGCTCATACACGTGCATCTGTGCTACTGGTGAAAACAGGTGAGACAGTCTCGTATTTGTGAGTACTTTTGAGGATTTTGTGTATGACTGAAGCTAATTTGTGTTTTTTCTTTGTTGTTGTTTTAATTTGCCTCACGCTTATTGACATCTTACTTGACTTATCTATGAGGGCCGAGCTATGTAAGATGCGAGTATCGTTAAAATAGTAGAGTGTTGTATATCATTTTAAGTTGTAAGATGCAAGTTCATTTGCTGGTAACTTATTAGAGGTAGCATGCCTTGGAGTTAGTTTTGGCAAACTTTAATAATGGAAGCTGAAGCAAACCTCAATTTTGCTATAAATTGTGCTTATAAGTTATGACGAATAATGTACGTATTTGAAAGTATTGGTTCCGAAGCTTAACTTCATCAGTTCTTGGTTCCTAACAGCTTTAGTTTCTTTCTCAATTGCAGTGCTGTTCTACACTACGGTCATGCAGCAGCCCCAAATGACAGGGTACAGTAAATTCAACTCTCCTTCCTCATATTTCATTTTCCCATCAACTGCTTGCCCTTGTCTTTGAAGTTTATCTGTGCTACCCTTATACATATTTCTAAAGATCAAATTATAAGAAGAATAATTGTTTTTAGAGAACGCCCTGTACATATTGGATCTTAATTGCTAAGCAAGCTGGAATTCAAGACGATAAGTGTATCATAACTTTTGAATACTAAAACAGGAGTTTAATGTAAATCCTGGTTGATTCCATGTTATGGATAAAAGATACAAACAAGAGCTTCGGTCCAAAGTTAAGAGTTGGGGTTAGAAAATATTTTATATCAATTAGTTGTTGGAAACAGAATCAATGCTGTGCTGTCTGTAAAATGACTAACCTCAGACTGGATGTTTTGCATTTCATCTTCTAAACCTTGAATGTCGTTTTGCAGACCTTGCAAGATGGGGATATGGCATTGTTTGATATGGGAGCTGAATACCAATTCTATGGTTCTGATATAACTTGTTCGTTTCCGGTGAGTAGATTTTCTCTTGCCTATGAGTTCGATCATAATTGTTCCAAACACCTTCCTTCAGGCTGCCTAGTTTACGTTGAGAAAAAATTCGTCTGTTATCCATCTTACCTAAGTTTTCTTAGTTAATGGAGTTATAGTGCTGGGAAAGCTGAAGGTTACTTTCTTCTCCTCTTGCTAAAATTTTCTCTAAGATGATTCTGATTTCGCATGCAGGTGAATGGCAAGTTTACAAGTGATCAGTCTTTAATTTACAATGTGAGTGTGATTCAACTTGGGTCACCGTTTAATGCTCTGTTCATACAAATTAAAACTCCTACATTTGTGGATTCTCCTGTTAATTGGAATGTTTTGGTGTTCATTTCTATTGTTGTTTACTGTCAATGTATTCAAGGAATTATACTTTAGATGTTACATTTATTTGCAGGCTGTCCTTGATGCACACGATTCTGTCATCTCTGCTATGAAGCCAGGCGTCAGCTGGATTGACATGCACAAGTAAGCTGTACTATTAATCATGCATTAAATATGAACCATGCCTTTTCTTTACCTACAAGGAATTAGCCGCAAAGCAATAGCTCACTTGTGGGACAGCATCATTGAATAATTTCAAATGTTTCTATTTTGGAAGGTGCAATTGATTGTTTAATTGAAAACATCATGGACAAAACCTGTCACTCTGGAAAGATTCCAATTTCATGAGCATTTGGGGGAAATCTTCCCCTTTTATATATATATATATATATATATATATATATATATATATATATATATATAGTTACTAATGATCCTACTATTCATGCCTGCACAAGATGCTTAAGATATGTTTTAGACTATAGTCTATATCCCCTCTGGGTTAGATTTACGCATCCGAAGTTCAGTTGCCTGGGGAGACATTTGTATCTTCTGTTGCAAAGCTTTGATGGGCCAAACTAATGTGTATCATTGTTCCTATCTGCTTTTTGCCTTATACAGGTTGGCAGAGACAGTAGTCCTTGATTCGCTGAGAAAGGGTGGCATTATTGTTGGGTAAATGTTTGGTCTTAATGGCAATCCTATCCTTCGCTTCCACGTAGACATCCAAGGAAAGGGGCTAATTTTACATAAATGCAATGGTGATTTATTCTCTTGAGTACAGTGATGTAGCTGATATGATGGCTGAGCGATTTGGTGCAGTTTTCATGCCTCATGGTCTTGGGCATTTCCTTGGAATTGACACTCATGATCCGGGTGGCTACTTGAAGGTACATTTCACTGCATTTCCGAGCTATTTTTCCTGTTTTCTTGGCCGTGTCTCTTCTTCTTCCTTCTCACTGTGCATATATAAATTTGTAGAATGCATTTTGAATTGTTCTGAAGGAAAGTAGCATATTTACTTTCTGTAGGGACTGAAGAAACCAACAGAACCTGGGTTACGCTCTTTACGTACCATCAGAGAACTCACAGAAGGAATGGTCTGTACCCGTCTTTTCTAGACTACTCTAACACACTTCTGATAAAATGAAAGATAGGGAAAAGGGGTGAAATTCTTCCGTTAATGCTTATGGGAAAATACAATGCCACTAACATACACCCTTTCATGTCCTGTTTGGCAGGTGATCACAGTGGAGCCAGGATGCTATTTCATTGATGCTTTGTTGACCCCAGCAATGGCAAATCCAAAAACTTCCAAGTTCTTCAACGCTGAAGCCATCGGGAGATTCAAGGGCTTTGGTGGTGTCCGCATCGAGAGTGATTTGGTACGTCGTTTCTTTATCCCAATACTGTCATTCTAGCACATTTTGTTTTTCACTTCTAAAACTTCAAGAGAAAAGTTGCTTATTTTTAAGCAGAAGCTAAAATAAACTCATTAATTGTAAAAATTGACAACCCCGTGTAAATGCACTCGACTGCACGACATGCTATTCAGTGTTCTCCTGACATAAATATTTCCTGCTGCTAATGAATGATTGCATGCAGCACGTTACGGCAACTGGCTGTAAGAACATGACTAAGTGTCCCCGAACCATTGCGGATATTGAAGCAGTTATGGCAGGAGCGCCATGGCCGCCCAACGAATAAAGCCTCTGCGAGTAGGGGAGTTCCGAGCTGCTGTTGAACAACTCTCATGTCTGGATCACTGTAATTTGGGACAATGAAATGTCCGCCTGCTGATGAAAGATTTTCCAAGATGAAGAGATGACCATATAGTTTACTATGACATGAATAAATGACATGCTGTCTGTGAATCTGTGATTTCCTTTCACAAGTGATTGTTGGCGTTCTGTGTTGTAACTTGTGGTTTAAGGAAAGGTTGCAATATAGCCAGAGTCAGATACTTTATCCATTTCATCTATCTGTGATGGCAAGCAATTATGGATACTTTAGTTGACAGCTTGTGAGAAACTGTAAGCTACTGAAGTTATTATCGGCACATGTCCTTCGGTTTAATCGTTCTTTGGGATGTTCATTCATGTGCGCCAGCATGTTCGTCGATTCACTTCCTTCTACGCCGTAGGCAACCTCAAAAGACTACTTTAGGTGATCTGTTAATTTTATGACTCCTGGATCAAACTCTTGACAGAGTCTAACCATATTATCTGCGCATTGGTTGCCTGCCTATTTTGATTTAACATTTAAGAGAAGGCACTAGAGGTAGTGTACACAAAGTTTGTTATGATTAGCTCTGATTTGGTTACAAAATGGATGACATCAAGTTCGTGTAAAGCAACTGCTTGATAAACCGACGACTAAAGGTGGTATTCCTGCAATCAACATTACAGCTCTCGCATGGTAATGCAAGAAAAGCTAGTGTAGAGGCAAAATTAGATTTGATCCGCTCCCCCTGATCTACATCTATATCTTCTCCGAGGAGCCCTAAAGCTCAGACTTGCCAGCTTTGGAAGTCTTCTTCTTTGCTTGTCCTGCCTTCATTCCTTTCCACCACTGCCGGACTCTATTTGAGACCCTCTGAGCATGCTTCTTCAACGTCTCGCCTGTGGAAGCCACTTGTTTGGTGATCTTCTGCTTCCAATCACCCTGCTTTGCCTTCTTCTCTTTCTCTCTCATAATGTTGCCCTGTGGAAAAAGTGAGTTGTCCCCGCAAGTTAAAACGCAAGACTATCAGAGGTGAAGAAAATTGTCAGAACTGATATGATAACTCATCGTGGCATTGTTACCAGATTCTTCGGGAAACTTTTTGATTCATCATCTTCATCATCATCATCGTTATCGGCATCTTCATTACCGATGTTCATATTGTTCATCAATTCCTCCCTCGAGTACATTTTCATGCCAGGTGCTCCAGGCATGCCCTGGAGAATGCAAAACAGGAGAACACATTGTAACGTTTAGATCCAAGACCTACAGACAGAACCAAGTAGTAGCTTGCTGTTCAAGCAAAGAATTCAAACTAGTACCTCCATGGATCTCATGAGCTTGTCCATTTCAGCCTGCTTAGATGGCTTTGGCGCAAATGCCTCTCCCGGAATCCTATTCTGAAACAAAGGGAGGGGGAATGCGAAGAAAAAGTTTAACCAGGCACCTGATAGCTCAAAGGGCCAGCTAAAAACCGAAGAGATTTTCGCTTCTCAGGTGTAAACAGTAAGTAAGTACAAACATGCCGTAAGGACTATTCTGCAGGTAGCATCGACACCTTCTAATAATGTTTGGCCCTACACATTAATAGGGCCATTCTAGTCAGCAAAGACAGATCCCTAGAATGTAGATTGGGTTCACTTTGTACTATGGCAAAGCAATCATTGGATTTAGGCATTTAGCTATACAATAACATGGGATATAAACTGACTTAATACCTTGGGAACTGGAGGTGGCTTCTTACTGCAAGCTCCAGACAGGTCCTTGCAGAGATGGTTTACCAACTGATCAAGCTGAGGCTTGGAACTATACATGTACTCAGCAACATCAGTATCAGAATACCCCATAACCTGCAACATATTTAATGTATTCTCAGAACCGAACCACGGTACAACAGCTACAGAGAGTTTCTCTTTTCCATCTCCTGAATCGCAGAAGGGAAAAGCTCTCACCTCTTGGCACGCCTTTTCAATTGTCTTACATTCCGCATTGCACATTCCTTCCTCTTCTTGCTCTACCAGCTAATATAACAACATACCAACAATTAGTCAATTACCAATTAAATGATCAACTAAAACTAAACTCTAAACCCAGTAAGATGAAGCTCAAGTAAAAGTCTTTCTCCAAAGTTACCTCCAACTTGTCCCCTTTCTCCACAATATCAATCCTGGTGATCCAATCAGCCTCTTCCTTCTTCAAATTGCACACATTCTCCGCAATCTCAATGATTTGGTACTCAGAGATCTAGAAATAACCAAAAAAACCAAACACGTAAGCCCAAAAGGGTATAATCTCGCGATTCCTCTTAAACCCACCAAACCCCCAGTTTTCCAAATCAAAATCACCTTCTTGGGTGAGATCTGTGCTTGCTTCTTCTGAACCTGCTGCTGCAATTGTGTCGCAATCCTCTCACAGACTTGGCATTTGATGTACTTAACGTCCTCTTTCCTCGCAGCTGTTTCGACTTTCTTCGCACAGATCGACTCCGGAACCAACAAAACCAGCATCACCACCGCCGTCAGGACCGCCATCGTCCGCCGCCCCATTGTGGATCCGCTCAGAGAACGCCTACTAACCCTGATCTCCGGCTGCGGGAAAGTTCGAATCTTTACACGAAACTGCCGAAGAAGGTTTCTTTATGTATCGAAGATTTGATCCTTCGTTCAGCTTTTTCCCAGTTTGGTCTATTGGCGTGCTTGAGGTGCTTCAGTTCAGTTCAAATTGAAAACTTTGAAAGTTGGAGAGAGTGAGATGGGGAGACGTGTTCGCTCGATTCTGATTGGCTGTTCGATGGCCGTTAAGTGGGGCCCAGATCTTGCAGCCAATCAGCTGCAAGAAAACACGTAAATACTAAATACCCGGGTTATTTTTTAATTCGTTCGGGAAAATCTTACATTAGTCCCTATAATGTTGACTAACTGCTATTTTAGTACTTTTACTTTAAATGAATGTATAATTTAGCTCCCGCAATTTTAGACAGAAGACCTAGACCAAAACGACATCGTTTTTCCGACTGGCGGCATAAGCAAAACCTTCAAAACCCTGGTTTAGGGTTTTGTGGTTTCTTCAGTCCTCCGCTGTCCGCTCCACTGCTTTCCCTACCCCCAATTCTGTGGCAAACGGCGATGGCGTCGTGTGATATGGAGCTCGTGTACCCTATTCCTCTTATGGGGGAAAACTACTTCGAAAAGCTGAACCAATCAGCAAAAGATGTCGTCGATGAAATTCGCAAAGAAACCCCAAATTTATCTCAGTTTATCCAAGTTTTCTACGAGCTAATGCAATCGAAGCGCGACCCACCTCTGGAAGCCATTTGGTTCTACTCAGCTCTATCCTTCCGCTCCCTGAAGACGGGAAATGAGGGTTCTTCCGATCGACTCGCAGCCGTGAAACAACTCTTTCAGCTCGTCTCGGGTTGTTCCGCACCTTGCAGTGGCTCAACAAGCATCGCGCTGCTGGCTCCGGTTGTCTTCGAGCTGTATAAATTGGTTCAAGAAGTATTGAGCGGAGATTTAGGGGCCAAGAGAGTGAAGAAACTGGTTAAAAAGGTTCATTCTTTGATTGGGTCTGTTCTCGGTTATGTAGGTGTGTGTTCGGGGGCTTCGAGTGAAGAGAAGGATTCGAGCTTGATTGTAAAGTTTGCGGATTTGGTCGGTGTGTGGATGGAAGGGAAGGAAGAGGTGTCGTCGTTTTTGCCGCTTCTGAATGTTGAATTGCGCAGAGAGATTGGTGCTGGTGGGTTTAGTGTGGAGCAGTTGGCTGGAGCTGTTACTGCGGAGTTATTCCTGTTGAAGCTTTGCGTTGATTTACGGGTTGGGAACAGAGGAGTGGAGATGGAGAAGGAGTTGAAGGGTTGGATTGTCGGGTCAATTACTGGCTTTGGGAGCTTTTCTTTTTTTGGTAAGTGTTCTGCTGGACTTGGACTATTACTCCTGAATTATGTTTGAAGCATTGTTCTCCCTGTACTTCGCTAATTTGGGTGTATACATTTTTGGTCATATAAAAACTGCTTTCGTGATTGAGGATGCAGTTAAATGGCTGGATAATTTTGGAAGTTATGTTCTATAGTTCCATTTCCTATGGGCTCTTCCTTACAGTTGTGTCTTAAACTCTTGTCATTCTAGATATTCTGTTGAGGATGCTGCTAGAGCCGAGATTACCGGTCGCTTCACTGTTGGTAAGTTGCATCTGTTCATCAGTTCGCTTTGTTGAAGAAGTCTGTTTTCTTTTTATTTAACCATTAGTCCATTACCATGTGGTTATTAACTCACACTATCTACAATTCGCAGAGTTCTGAAGAGGAGATCTTGCTGAGAACTACTTTGTATGATGCTGTCATATTGGTAGAGTACACTTCCCTTAATCCTCGTACTGCAGTTGATCTGCCTGCAGAGAATTTCATAAGCATTGGCTTGAAGCGGCTGGTCCTCTATCTTGAGGCCACAGAATTTTTCAGGTAAGTGGACGATAGGTTTTTTACTGAAAGGGAACCTAGAAAATGTCCTTCTGCAGCATCTCATCAATCTCTGACTTACTTGTTTTAGGAAAGAAGGGAACCATAAGAGGGCCATTTCCTATTCCTGTTCCTTCGCTGGTTCTCCATTACCATTGCAAATAGCCAAATTCGTCACAAGCCAGATTGGCATGGGGGAAGAAGCAGGCAGGTTACATGTTTCATCTCCTAAGGCTCTCATAAGTAAGTGTTTCTATCTGTCTGTCTCTGCATTTTTCTCTCTTTACAGTGAGACTGAAGGAGATGAATTGTTATCCTTTTCTCCCCAGAATGGTTGTTCTCCCTTGAGGGTCAAGGCATAAGAATATATGACGATAGCATCTCACGGACTCGTGTCAAACTTGCGCTTGATTCTTCTTCCAAAGCTGAGAATGTCGAACCGGAGGGAAATATAGTGGATTCCGATCTTCCGATCTACATTGATAACAAGGGAGAAAAAGGAGAAGAAGATTATGATGAAGAAAAAGACGAAGAGGTGAACAATGTATCAATGACAACTGCCTTCATGACTGCTGCACACTCAATGGCAGTGTTGGAAAGAGAAGAAGGTAAGAAACGAAAAGAAGGCCGAAGTGAGGGGAAGAACAAGAAGAAAAGAAGCAAACTTGTTGCTGCAGAAGAGCTATCTGATGGTACTTCTGATTCAGATGCAGTGCTCAGTGATGATGGTTCAAGCAGTGAGAGTGAAGTAGAGAACCCTACCAGTGACGAGGATGCCTGACTTATTAGTGAGTTTTTGACATTGCGAGAAGAGGACCGAGTCAATCACATTCGCGAATGTAGTGCAATCACATTTTTATTCCGAGTCAATTGGAGATGACATTTTGTCTGCCTGATCAGCTGCTAAATGAGGCAACCTTTTAACCTTTATAGCATAGTGAAAGAGTGTATTCTGATTTTATTTTTTGAACAATGTGTTCTGTTGTCATTACAAAATATTGGGGCGGTAAGGATTTACAATCGTATTCTCTTCACTGCAGTCGCCAATTTTTGCCTCCTTTGCTGATTGTGTACCCTCGTATGCAAGTGTTCCATCGATCTATTGTTTTCAAAAACTCTGCTCTGGTAAGTCGTCAGACGTACACTTCAATCAAGTTGCGAAATATTCGGAACATAGAATCTGTTCAGAGGTTGCCGCAGTTGTTCAATTCGATGTCAAAAATGCTGGATCAGTTATTCTACATGATGACCTGACTGCAATAGCCCCATTGCTACAACAGTTTGTCTTCTCGAGAACTGGATATCACACACGAAAAGAAAAGAAATAATAAGGCAGAAATTAATTACCAACCCGAGATCTGGACTTCTGGGAAGGGGAAACTAAGTTACCAGAATATGTAAATGTAAGGAATAATGTACATAGAATACCTCCAGTAAAAAGCCGACGAAACCTATTTGGTAGATCCTATATACTGAACTCACAATTTTCTGTGTTCGGCGATCCTGAGCGTTAACTGAAAATACTGAAATGGCAACACGAGTAAAAGAACAGTTCTTTGGTGTTCTTTTTACAAAAGAAGAAAATGACTTCTGAAATGTACAAAGTCAATCCCCTAGCAGTTAGCAGTACCATGAGGTCTATAAATTATATTCTAGCAAAGATATTCACATCGATCATTACAACAAATAAGCACTTTGGGTGCATTCAGAGTCACCAACTGTCTTGGCAAGAGCAAGAACCCAACTTAAAATGATGGAAGCGCTTAAAGTCGCGGATTACTATTTCTCGACTTGTAACATGCGAGATAACCTTCATAACTTCATGACAATCCTCGCATATCCGCAGATTCTTAAAAATACGTATAGGCATACCAGGGCAGGTACTTATGAGGGCCAAACCGAGAGCCAGTCTCTCACTGTGATGCCAGAGATGCTCAATTTTCTCTCTGCTGCTGATGTTATGAAGCACATTTTCTGTTTTTGGTATATAACCACTGAATGACAGCCTTTGCTTCAAATCCTGCAACTTAGCGTAGATTTGTTCTGTCTTGGGATGAGAACCATCTTGAGAAACAAAGACATGTACTTGACCATCAACACCAACCCAGCTACAACCAGGTTCCTTCTTAATGCCTTCCTCCGACATCAATAGTCTGATCTTCTGGACGTCGTCCCACCTACCTTTAGAAGCAAAAATGTTCGATAGAAATACGTAAGCTGAGTCCTCCTTGGGTTGGAGTTCAAACAGTTTCCTAGCAGCAGTTTCACCAAGGTCAAGATTTCCATGCAATTTACAAGCTCCAAGCACAGTCTCCCAAATCAAGGCATGTGTGCTTAATTTTTGCTCCTTAATAAAGGCTTCAACCTCATCAAACTGACCAGCCCGACTAAGAATATTGACCACGCATGCATAATGCTCAAGCGAAGGTGTAATCCCATAAACTTTGCTCATTGACTCAAAGTGCTTCTTTCCTTCCTCAACTAAACCCATGTTGCTGCACACGGATAGGATGCTTAAGAAAGTCGCTTCATCAGGTAAAAATCCTTTCTCTATCATCATTCTATAGGCTTGAAGAGCATTTTCCCCTTGGCTGTGGTATGAATAAACAGCAATAATTGTGTTCCAAGAGACTGCATCTCTCAAGACCATATCTTTGAAATTTGCCTCAGCATCTTCCAAGCATCCACATTTTCCGTACATATCAGTGATTGCAGTGGCCACAATAATGTCACCCGTGTGACCAGCTTTGACAACCATAGAATGTAGCTGCTGCCCTCCTTCCAGGGTTGCCATATGGGAGCATGCATTTAAACAGCTGGCAATAGTGAACTCATTGGGCTTTACCCCTTCACTTTGCATATCAACAAAATGTTTCAAAGCCATTTCTGGTTGATTCGTTTTTGCATAACCATCAATCATAGTTGTCCATGTAAAAAGGTCCCGATCAACCAATCTGTTGAACACTGCTACTGCATCTTCTATACATCTCCCTTTCGCATACATATCAATAAGAGCAGTTCTGACAAAATCATTACTGTCATTGCAGTTCTTAATGATGTGAGTATGCACTTGCCTACCGAAATGTACATCTGAGAGACTAGAACATGACCTTAAGATGTCTATGAAAGTATACATGTTGGGATTGAAGCCCTCCACAAGCATCTGGTAGAAGATCCTTGGTGCTTCCTCACACCTGTTAGAGTCACAAAATCCAGATAAAAGGTAACTCCAAGATGCTGTGTCCTGCTCTAGCATTGAATTAAAAATTAGAATACCATCTTGTAACTGTCCATGTTTCATATACATCATGATCAGCGTATTGCTGACTAACATATCATCCTCCATTTCATATTTAGATATACATGCATGAACTGCTTTACCAAAGCGCAGATCCCCCCTACTTGTAGCAGCACTAACAAGGCTGCTAAAGATATATTGATTAGGTCTAACTCCTGCAAGTACCATTGCCTTGTATAGGTCAGCTGCATCATGGCTAAACCCTTGCTGATCAAGACCAGAAATCATTGCACTCCAGGTAACAAGATCAGGATCTTTTATCCTTTTGAAGACTTGTAATGCATAGCCTATCATTCCACACTTGGAATACATATCAACCAAACAAGACGCCACAAATTCGTCAACTTCTTGCCCAGTCTTGATTGCAACAGAATGCAAAAGCTTGCCTTCTTTCAAATGCCCGGATTTCGCACAACCCTTTAACACAGTTGACAAAGTAAACCGGTTGAACTTATGTTCCCACTCAACCATCATGGAAAACAACTTCAAAACAGCTTTCACATCGCCAAGTTGAGCATAACCATTCAGCAACACGTTCCACAAGACCTCGTTCCTCTCAGGCATGCTAAAGAACACTGAATCTGCAAGTTCTATCTCCTTACATTTAGCATAAAGATCCACAAGACCAGAGGCAACAAACAAGTCGGTTAACAACCCGGCCTTTACTGCCTCTGCATGTACTTGCCTACCAAGCTCCACATCCAAGCTGAGAGAGCACGCTTTCAGTGTAGTAGCCAACACATATTCATTCGGCCTCACGTCTTCGTTTCTCATTACACAATAGAGGGCAACGGCATCATCCCCACACCCTTCGCTGACAAACCCGGAAATTAAAGCCGTCCACGACACAACATCACGTTCAGGCGTTTCATCAAGCACTTTGCGTGCAAACTCTAGACGCCCGCACTTAGCATAAAAACTGGTTAAAGAAACCCATAAATGAGAATCCGGCACCACCCCATTCCTAATGAGATTCCCATGAACTGCCCTCCCCTCGTTTAGCGCCACTTTTGAAGCACATTCGCGAAGCATAGCTGAATACTGCTTTAGCCTCTCTTTTCGAAAACCAATCTTCCCCTGCCTCTTTGATACCTTGTTTGACAAATCCCCGGGTACATTCTTATTTGCCTCGCCGCATCCTCCTGGCGAACGATTGTCGTAGAAACGACCCGTGGGTTGTAGTTCAGTAGCAGTGGAAGTAGCTGAACCGCGAATTTTCACACAGAAAGAAGGTAGCCAGGAAGTTGAACGCTGAGCTCCAGGCAAGGAAAAGGCAGCAGCTTGTTTCCAACAAGTAGGCAGACAGAGGAGAGTAGGAGAATTTGGCAGAAGTTTAGGCATGCTCCTGGTAATGAATTCAGATTCCATATAGACTGAAGAGATCCTGTATAAATAGAACAGGGGAACAGGGGATGATTCACCTGGAGACGGAAGAGGGAGACAGCCCCCGCCGGCGCTGCTTCCGAACTGGGACGCCCGCCGCTGGTGGAGTCGGGAACTAAGACGGGGAGAGTTTTTTTCCCCTTGCGGTGAAAGATTCCAAATTTAAATTTGGGCACTTCATAAGTAAAAAAGAAAAAGCCAACTTGCAATGCAAGTAAATTTGGATGAAATTTTTACAATAAATTTCTTATAAATTAGAAAATTTGTAGTAAATTAGGCACTTACGTCATCAACCAAAGCTTCGAGATTTTTGGCGCCGCATCGGAGGAGAACATCATCAAACCGAAGTCAAGGACTTTTCTCGGCCAATGTCCCCCATCAGCAGCGAACGCTGTTGACTGCAACTATGGGGATTCCTCAAACTTCGAACTTAGGGAGATATATGGGAGTCCTGATCATCCACAACAGAGTCTCCAAGGCTACTGATACTAACCTGATTGATCGTATTGATGCTCGTCTTGCTGGTTGCAAAGCAACCACCATGTCTATTGCGGTGCGTGTTACACTTGCGCACTCCGTCCTCTCCTCTCTCCCAGCTTATACCATGCAAACCTCCTTCCTCCCAACGAGTGTCCACGACTATATAGACAATAAAATCCGAGGATTTATATGGGGAAGCACATAAAGCGGAAGAAAGATCCACTTGGCTAATTGGGTAACTGTCTGTCGGCAGAAGAAAGAAGGAGGATTGGGTTTTATGGACTCGACTTGTACCAATGAGCTGTATATGATGAATGTGGCATGAAGACTTCTCAACCAACCAAACGACCTCTAGGCTCTAGTGATACGCTAAAAGTACTTAAAACAGACTCCAGAGGGTCTCGAACCGCGAGCTCGAGGTCGCATCTCTAATTTGGGACGTAAGTGTTGCGCGTGTGGCACCCTCCTTGAAGAAGGAACAACTTGGAACATAAAAATGGGAGAACAATACGATTTTGGAGTGACCGCCGGCTTACCGATGACAAGCCACTGAAAGCACTCACCCTGGACATCCCCCATGAATTCCTTAGCCTTTCGTGTCGGAGTTTGTTTTGAATGGTAGGTGAAATTCTGAAATTTTGAAGGCTTACTTACCTGCGGATGTTGTTGCACAAGTGAAGCTTCACCCAAGCTCGTTGGAGCACGAGGAGGACGTGCGCATCTGGAGATTGATGGCCAACAAACAATTCTCTATCAAGACAGTGTATGCTCTCACAGACGATTCCGGAGTCTCCTCGACGGCCGATCCTATCTGGAGGTCAATTTGGAGGGTACGTATAATGTGTAGAGTTTGGACATTTCTCTCGCTAGTCACTCACGAGCGCCTCCTCACCAACGCCGAAAGGAAACATGGACACTTGACGAAGAACGACAATTGCAAGATCTGTGGAAGTGGAGCAGAGACTGTGTTGCACGTTTTCCGAGATTAAAGGCGAACCTGGCTAGTGTTACTTTGAATAACAAACTCAGTGATGGATCCATTACTACACATCAGACAGAAGAAAGGAGACCGATGCTACTCTCTTTGCAGGCACATGTTGGCTATTGTGGAAGAATCAGAATAGTCACTTGTTCCAGGATGAGTTGAGAAGACCTGCACATATCCTTGCTCATACCATTTAGCTTAAGTAGCAGATTATTGCGGCTTTCATGAAGAAGGATAATCTTTTGGATTATGCCTCGATATCGACGGATCGGTTATTCGCTCTCCTTCAAGCATGACAGCTGACCACATGGTTTGAGGAAACATCGCTTCATCAAAGCTTTCTCAGTGAACCTTGGCGGGGGATTCGATCACCCATGAGGAGTTGAGTGGAATTGTGCAGGGTTTGAAACTACATAGGCACTGGGGCTAGGAAGTTCCTTCTCCAAACAGACACAACAATGGCGAAAGATCTCATTGAGATGGCCACCCATCATCACCCACATTACGCTTGCATCACCGAGATTAGGCGATGGCTAGCTCGTCCTTACTCCTTGGACTGTGAGGATCAAGCATGTGGAGATTATCTTGCTATCTTGGGACATTCACTTTTCGATAGGGCTTCATACCTTGTAGGGATTTTTTCCCCAACTATGTCGCTACCTTTTTACATGTATTGTTTTTTATATTAAAAACAATGGGTAATAGTGATATTTCATCCAAAAAATTAATATAACTGACATAAATACTACAATAAATACATAATAATCAAAAGATGTAAACTACAATGCACCAAAAAAATTTACATGTAGGCATCAATACAATATTTTCTCATAACAATTTTTGTAGTGCCCATTTATGTAATTACTCGTACATTATCAAACTATCCTGACGAGGGAAAAACCGCAGAAGGGAAGATTAATGACCGCAGCAACTTGAACCTCCAACCCTAGAGATTGGGGGAAACTGTCTGTCCACCACGGCGGTGCGATAAATTGATCTACTTGACATTCAACACAACTTGCGCAAGCTAATTGACTTAAGTTGTGGAAGTAGATTACCGGGACGGTGTGTGGGCAATCATCAATTTTCTCCGATGGATTCACCTGCCGGAACGCCGGTCCCTGTGTATGAAACCCTAGCCATTCTTCCCCTTTCTTCTTCCGCCCCAACATCACCATCTACCCCCACCACCGAAGGCCCCGTGCCGCCTCAATCTCCTGAGCCTTATACAGTGCTCCGCAATGAAGTAGCCCCCGACGAAGTTCCTTCTGCCTGCGTGGTGACGTCGGCGGCTCCCGAGTTCTTTTCTCTTGATGTTTGCGACGATGAAGTTGAGGACGCAGAGTTGAGGACCCCGAGTGGAGAAGCTGAGTCGACCAGTCCTGTGGTAACTGGAACGGCTGAGCCGGTGGGTGAGACGGAGCCCAGGCTGGAGAGTGGATGGTTTAGTGGGAATGGCAGGTTTAAGAGTCCCTTGTTGCAGCTGCATAAAGGTGAATGCTGCATTGGTTTTTGTTTGAGTTTCCCCTGAAGGGTTTGTGTTATCGGGCTAGATGTGATACTGAGAACTAGTTTTTCTACATTTCATTTAGTTGCATGAAAAGTTCGATTCTTTTTGTCTGATTTTGAAGGGTCTTGTTTTTCTACATTTCATTTAGTTGCATGAAAAGTTTGATTCTTTTTGTCTGATTTTGAAGCTTTTGGTTGAATATGACATTTATTCAATCAGGGTGGCAAAGTTTCGTATTGGTTCTTGCTTAAAATTGCTAGCACTCATGCTTGTTGATAACTTCTAACTACAACGTGTTCAACTTTTTTCAAATACTTCCAGTCATTGAGCATTTTAATGCTCTGTTACAAGAGTTGGCAATACTAACCTCATTCTTTCTTCTGAGATTCACTCCATTCTTCACTTTTCTAGAGGACATTGGAGGATAAAACAATAGTTTCATTATATTACATGCAATTGTGCCTAATGGCGCTGTGAGTTCACTGCATGTCCGTGTTTTGGACTCAATGTGAGATATTTTACTACCGCTGTTAACTTCATTCTTGGTTTCTAATGTTTTTCTGATGCTGCATAGTTTTTAACTAGAAATTGGAGGAAGTAACTTCATGATGTTTATGGTCTCACATTCTTTTCGACTGAGGTTTAGCGATGGTGTTCACTAACCTGGGCCGATGGTGTGGATGTTGCAGAGATAGTGGATTTCTGTGATTTCTTGTCCCCTACTCTTGAAGAACAAGCTTCACGCAGAGCAGCAGTGGAAAGTGTTTGTGATGTTATAAAATATATATGGCCTCGTTGCAAGGTGACTAGTGGCTCTTCGTGCTAGACTGTTAGTGCACGCCTGAAAAGATGCAGTTGGATATGGATTACATATGTATATGTTCAATTGACTAGGAATATGGTGGCTCAGTTGTCTAAAAGTCTGTAGCGAACTTGTCTGAAGACTATAGCACAAAATTTTAGGATGCAATTTTGATTTCCTAGTCATGTACTCATCACTGTTGAGGCAAAGCTCACTATAAAAAGAAAATACTAGTTCCTCTACTTGGGTTGGCTTTGCTATGAAGGTCTGATGGTTGCTGCTGTTGTTTTGTAGGTGGAAGTTTTTGGCTCTTTCAGGACTGGTCTTTATCTTCCAACAAGCGATGTTGATGTATGGAGTGTGAAAAGTCACTTACAAGCTGTGTTCATTTTCTACTACGGCCAGTTACTATGAATAAACTGATTAAATAACTGTTATGTTAATCTTAGGTTGTAATTCTGAACTCGCATGTTGTGAGTCCACAAACTGGTTTACATGCTCTTTCCAGAGCTTTGTCTCAAAGAGGAATTGCAAAGAAAATACTGGTATTGCTCCTTTGATGTATAAATCATGTATCAAAATGAAACATATAAATAGGCAACTTCTAATCTGTTATTTTTTTCTCTTGCCTTTCAGGTCATTGCAAAGGCTCGTGTGCCGATCATTAAGTTTGTAGAAAAAAGAAGTGGCATCTCATTTGACTTAAGGTGTAATTCCTTATCTTTTTCATTGGTACTGCGAAAACTTACCTGATGAAAGCCTTCCAAGTCTTTCTGTCTGTGGCATGTTGTATGAATGTATGAACTTCATCTGCACAAAATCATTTAGAAACAGTTTGCTGGGGATTTTAAATCGTTTGATTTGCTTGTGTAATCAAAGTTTCAATCACGAAAATTAGGGTACGAAGATATGAAACACAAGACCTGTCCAATGTTAAGTTGAGGTAGGACTAAATTTGGAGCCTTGCGCAAGTGGAAATGGCTGGCCTAGTGGTAGCGGCAGATGAAAGCAATGAATGCATTCAAGTTTTTAACTGTGGGAAACACATTAACCCGGCAGAACAAAAATGTGAGCTTAGGCCAATGATAATAAGTTGATGTAGCCTTGTTCCTAAAACACTGGAATAGATATGACAATGTTGGGAACAACAAGATAACAGTGTTTCAGAGCAACATGGAAACAAAGCCATGAATTTCACTCTATTATTGATTGGCACTTTGCACTAAAGCATGACAACTTTTTTTCTTCCTCTTTATAAGATAATGACAAGTTATTATCTTGTTTATTTGCAGTTTTGATTTGGAGAATGGTCCAAAAGCTGCTGATTTTATTCAGGTTTGTTGTCTCCTTGATCGGTATATTGCATATTTGCTTTCTCTTGCAGGGGCCATTTATCCTCTTTTGGCCTGCTGTCTGTTGCAAGAGTGGTCACTTTGGCTGTGTTCCTATGGATTAGTAACTTGATATGCTTATATTTCTATAGCCAACTGGCAATTAGTAATTTCTGGATGCGATTTATGTATGCTTTGGCTGATGGTTCATGGGCAACAGGTTGTATATCTCCAGAGAGCAAGCAATAGGTTTTAAACTGTTGATGCTATTCTAGGATGGAACTCTAGGGCCTCACAGCTTGACTAGTTTAGTTATAAAAGTTTGTAATGCAATCATCTTGGCGTTTCGTTCTTTACATAATATTCTATGGAGGTTGGACGATCCTCAGGTTTGCGCTGTTAGGGTTAAGATATTCCCCTTGCTCTGAAAAATGTAAAGGGGATTTAGGGTTTAGCAGATGGGCTATCTTTAGTCTCTGGACGAGAAACCCAGAATACAGGAGAAACCTAGAACCTGAGTTTGCATGAAGCATTAAATATATTATGTTATTGGCTTCTAATGCAGATGCTATGTTTGCACATTTGGTCCTATCTGTTTGCTCATTTATGAGATGATTATGAATTCATGCCGACTATTTGTTCACCTTTCAGGACGCAGTAGCACAGTGGCCTTCTTTACGACCTTTGTGTCTAATTTTGAAAGTATTCTTACAACAAAGAGAACTCAATGAGGTATTGAACTGACATCTATCTTGTAATTGATTATTCATGTCACGTTGCAAATGTCATAATTTTCATCTTTCTCTGTGAGACTGCATAAGTCATCTAGCATTACCTTTTTTCTTCCTGATTGATGATCCCTCAAAATTTGTGCAGGTGTACACTGGTGGGGTAGGTTCGTACGCGCTGCTTACCATGCTGTTGGCTGTGTTAAAGGTAACTAGATGCAGCTTCCAGGTAGGGGAAAGTATTAATGAAGCTCGAGTTGGTTCTATAGTAATATTTGCTGTGAGATGGATTGTGCTGTGAACTCTCTAAAATGTTTAATCTCTGTATATGCTGAAAATGCTTATATTTTTGTCAATCTTGTTCGTTACATTTTATTGAAGTTATTAGCCTATCGTCTTTTTTTTTGGCTCTCTTATATTGACAGTGCTCCTGACTCATTATCCTTTGATGATTACAGAATCTGAGTTTGGATCGTACTCCAGAACACAATTTGGGAGTTCTCTTGGTATGTTCTTTTAAATAAAAGACATTTTATAGGGTGATTATGTTTTTTTTATATGTTTTCAAGCTAAAATATTAGAGAAAATGTTGTGATAGAACCTTATGAGCAAATTATTTGAAGGCGGGAGCAAATTCTCATAATTAATCAAAGTTTGGTGTTGTTTTTGGATGGCAGATACACTTTTTTGATCTATATGGCCGCAAATTGTGCACCAGCGATGTAGGTATCTCTTGCAATGGATTCTTTTCAAAGCGTGCCAAGGGGTAAAACCAATATACTGATTTGAAATATTAAGAGGTCACAAGCCTCTTCCATTCTGTAACTTGTGTGTTTTCCTTTTGGTTCAGGTTTATGAATAATGGGAGGCCATTTCTCATTTCCATCGAGGATCCACAGGTTTATACTGAATTTCCTCTCATGTTAGCTGGGCCTCTGTTAGGGAGTGAATGTCTAAGGGTGTGCTTTTTTTGGATTTAGCTTTAAAATGTGACTTGTATGGAAGCAAGTGTTATGTGTGAGTTTTGGGTGAATATTTGTTCTATATTTGTTAAGATTGAGGGGAGATTTTACTGATCTACTGCATTCTGGACTGGCAATGTTTGCATAGATTGTGATGAAGTTAGAGCTTGAGTTGCATTTTCTGGATCTCCTAACCCATTCTAATCTGCTTACAGGCACCTGGGAATGACATCGGCAAGAACTCCTTCAACTATTTCCAGGTTCGTTCCTTGCCGTGATGTTCTCCCATTTGCTTTTGAAATTTGCACTCTCCAAATGAAGCTGCACACCACCTATATATGCTATACGCTGAACTGTTTGTTTTTCCTTTTCCCAGGTTAGATCAGCATTTGCCATGGCCCATTCAACTCTGACAAATCCGAAGACAATCTTCAGTTTGGGCCCAAACAGGAGCATTCTGGGGACCATCATTAGACCAGACCCAGTGCTGCTGCAACGCAAAGGAGGGCAGAACGGGGACGTAACCTTCAACAGTTTGTTACCCGGAGCCGGGGAGCCATTACAGTCACGATATGATCACCAGGAGATCATGTGCAATTGGCAGTTGGACGACGAGGAAGCATTGCCTCGTGGGAATGGTGGGTTTGCCGAGGACCCATCGTCTTCTGGAAAGAAGCGGAAGTTGGCTTCTTCCAGTGTGGGCAGGAAGTCTAGCAAGAAGAGATCAAAAGAAGAGAATGGTGGCAGTGAGGTTAAGAAGCTCAAGGACAAATCATCAGCCAAGAAGAGCTGGACGGAAGAGAAGGGATCAGCAAAGAAGAAAGCACGATGGAGACGATCCAAGAATGGCCCGTCAAATGGTCCTGCCCCTGGTTCTTCGTGATGCAAACGTGTGTTGCTGTCTGTCTCAGTTTAGTCTCACTGGTGTGCTGTTGCCTGCAGCATCTTGTGGAAGTGCCGAGCTTGCATTTTTCGCGCAACAGTTTTTGTTAGAGTCGAATTTGGTTGTCAGGAAAGCAAGCTTACTAGCTTAGGTTGTATGTGTAAAAAGTTCTTATGATTCTGGTTTCAGTAATTTTTGTATGTGATTATTGTATCCGACGGGAAAGCAAGCTTACTAGCCAAGTGACTGTAATTTATACAAAACATGGTCAAAGCAAAACAAGAAAGAACTGGTATGGTTGGCTCTGAGAGGTCACCTGTGAATTTGCACTTCACATCGCCTATGTTTCCTCTTCGTTTTTCATGTTAAGATCGAAATGTGATGTTTCTTCTCTAATTGTATATCAAAATGAGATCATCTTTGATCTTATAGGCTTATATGCTTATTATCCGACCTGGCTTATACTCAATACGAGGTCAGCGAAATCTCATCGTCCCTCAATATTAATCGACAAATCTCCATGTTGATTAAGTTAGTGATGGTTAGTTTCAGAACTCAAATTTTAGGGACTAAATGAACATAGATTGTTATTCTGCTGATTAAGTTGTCACACTATGAAACTTGTGGACCGAGCTTGCAACGTGAAAAAAACCCAACGAGAATAAATAACAAAGGAATTCCCTCAGCACCCATTTCGCCAGCGTCGGAAAATGCGAGCTCATGTCCGTGAGAAATTTTCCGTCCGGGCAACTCAGCAGACTGCTTCTCGCCGTGAAACCCCCCAAATCCGCCGGTAGTGGAATGGCCGGAATAGTGGTTGTGTTCGACTTTGATCGGACCTTAATCGACGGAGACAGTGATAGATGGGTGGTGACTCAAATGGGTCTCACTTCTTTGTACAATCAGCTCCGCACGACGCTCCCCTGGAACTCGCTTATGGTAAAAGCCTCCTCATCTCCCGCTTCGGGTCTGCTATTTGATTTGATTAGTCTTTTACACTGCAACCGCTAGCACTTTCCCTGTTCTGAACTATTTGAGTTTGCTGTTATTAGGATAGGATGATGATGGAGCTTCATTCGCAAGGGAAAACAGCTGCGGACATTGCTCAGTGCTTAAGTCAAACTCCATTGCATCCGCAGGTCATTGAAGCGATAAGATCAGCTCATGCCCTTGGGTGGTACTCTTCCCCTCCTTCCTTACCATAATCCTCATCCCTTTTAGTGATGTGTGTAGAGTATTGATGGTTATGCTTTGTTTCCTTTGGCAATATGGTTCGTTCCCCAGATGTGAATTGAGAATCATTAGTGATGCAAACCTCTTTTTCATTGAGAAGATATTGGACCATCATGGACTGTTGGGATGCTTCTCACATATTGACACAAACCCGGGTGAGTTGGATGAGCATGGGAGGGTTAGGATCTCGCCTTATCATGATCACAGCTTACCTCCTCATGGTTGCTGCCTATGTCCTTCCAATATGTGCAAGGTAACTATTTTCGCCCCAGGTATCAACATTCCAGCTTACACATAAGGGTATCTTCAAGTTGCTGGAAATGTTATGACCCAAGGGGCAGAATGGAATTTTATCCATCATTTCTGTTAATCTTGTTCTCACTAGAACGTCATTGGTTCTGGTTGTGGCAGGTTCAGTAACTAAATGAACTCTCAATTTATGGCATTCTGTGCAGGGCTTGATAATCAATCAAATTCGCAGTTCCATTTCGAACAACGAGAAGAAGCAATTTATCTACCTTGGGGATGGCGGTGGTGATTACTGCCCGTCTCTGAAGCTTGGAGAAAGTGATTATGTAATGCCAAGGAAGAACTATCCTCTATGGACACGAATTCGCAGTGACCCGCTGCTCATCAAGGCAGAAGTTCACGAATGGACTGATGGCGAGGAGCTTGCAGAGATCCTCCTCCACCTGATTCATACCATATCTACTGATGGAAAAACTACTTGAGCCATTCTTGTGAGTTGAATGAATTCCTCATACTGCCGGTTTTCAGGTCACGAGACAGAAATCTTGGTCTATCCTGCCGCGGCATTATTGACCTATTGAAATGCATCACTTTAGGTGGGATGCCCTTATTGTTACACCCGGAGAGTACGCATCTATGGCTTTACTGAATAGAGCGAAGCTACCGGTGCTTGTTGTCTGGCAATAGCTTCTGAACTCGTAGGAATGTGGTTCCTGGTTGTGCAAGTTGCATGGGAACAAAAGCAGAACTAAAACTGTGGATTCATATGGGTGCTCTATCGTTTATCTAAGTTACGTTATTCTATTCTTGTGGTCTTGTTGGAGAGTTCTACGACCACTCTATGGATAGATCTCTAGGTCTGGAACAAAATCTACGAGTTGCAGAGAAACAGATGGTTTTAAGTGTTGTCCATGTGAGTGCTGGATCCATTTCCTCACTCTTTTCTCTGGGTATTATTGTATAGTGGGTAAGGAGCTGAACTCTTTTTTTCCCCACTAAGTACAGTCTTTGCTGTGGTTGAGGCACCAAACAATTCTATTCCATTTTCTGAATAGTTAATATCAAAACAAAAGATTCCTTGTCTGCAGATTACGGTTGGTAGGCACCATTTGCAGTCCAAGAAGGTGGCCTTTCCCATAAAGAAAGATAAAATAATTTTGGTGCTCAAAAGTAAACATGATGCTCTGCATACAGTATGGACTTGATCTTTGGGCCAATACAAGTGATTATCTTCACTTCTTAAGATCTTGTTTCTTGATTGATCAAGTTAAAGCAGGATAATGATTAATGAGAATGTCTATTGGCATTAAATGCCGTAGTTTTATCTAACCTGTTTCTTAACTATTTTTTATATCAAACATGTCTCTGTATTTTGAAAAATGATAAAATAATGTCCTTCAGTTAAAATTTTCTTTTAAAAAAATCTTCAACCATGGTTGAACTGAGATTTTAGATGATCCGACATCGGCAAATGAGAGAAAATGTCAATTTTGTCTCCTTATTTATTTATGTAGATCTTGTTAAAGTGAAATGATTAAAGATATTTGGGTATACAAAAGACCCAAATTTTTCTAAAGTGGAATTATTATGGATATTTTAGACATTTGTGTCGTCCAAACCAATGTTCGACCATTCTATTAAAAATTTTATCCGAAAGTCAATGGTTTTTGATAATTTTTTTAATAAAATGACATGTTTGATAATTTTTTCAACGTACATGAACATATTTGATAAGAAAAAAAAATAGACAACCATGTTTGATAAAACGGTATAGTAATAGCCTAATAGGATATTATACCATAACCCTAAAAACGATTTTGGGAAAAAATCCAAAACTACCACTGTTTAAAAAAAAATTACAAAAATATCACCCACTCCAAATAATTTCCAAAAATACCATCGTTTATATAAAACCGCGCCTCTAATGAGCGGTTTTTAATGAAACCGCGCCTCCAGGCAGCGTTTTACAATATAACCGCGCCTCCAAGATGCGTTTTTAATTTCCAGCAAAAACCGCTTCTGGAAGGCGCGATTATAGGCTAACCCTACCACAAAACGCTTCAAGAGAGAGCGTTTAAATGTCGGCATTACAAACCGCCTCACCAAACGGCGGTTTACAATGTCAGGACATAAATTGCTGCCCCAAGGCGCGGTTTGTGCCTTGTCACCCAACAGCAAACATGTCGGACATGTCGGCATGCAGGGGGTAGGGCTGCATGGCAGACCTAAAACCTCTCTCCCCCAGCGGTTTTGCTGCAAAATTTGCCTATAAAATGCTGTTTTAGAGAACTCAATTCTTCACACCTCCTCCTCTTCCTTCTTAAAATTTCAGCTTTGCACCTTTAAATTATTTAGTTTTTGCGAGTAACGTTAATTCGTAAGTTTGTTTCGTAATTACTTTTCATTGTCCTTTGTGATTTTATGTTAATAACTTAATTACTTTTCATTGTCCTTTGTGATTTTATGTTAGTAACTTAATTACTTTTCATTGTCATTTGTGATTTTATGTTAGTAACTTAATTACTTTTCATTGTCCTTTGTGATGTTATGTTAGTAACTTGTATTACTTTTCATTGCAGATGGCATTCCAAAGGTTCACGCTTGGGTTGCGGTGGAATGGTTACACGGAAGAGACCGAAAAGGGTGTAAGTTACGTCGGTGGCAATTTTTATAAAATGAAGGTTCGTACGAGACAGATGCTTGAAGAGCTCCATCAAATGTGCACTCAGATTACCTTCATGGATGGCACTAGAAGAGTTGATCGAATGGTGTATCGATATCCAAACAGACATGACGGGTCGTTGTGGAATGAGGAATTCCTCCTTACCATTCAGGAGGACGTTGATGCCATGGTCCAATTTTTGACCACCAATAAAATTAAGCAAGCGGAGATGTTCGTTTACACCGAGGCCGTCGAAGGCAGTGTAGGTCATTCTGGAGATGGCCAAACATCTGGTATCCACGGTGGGAGTGTATTATACGAAGATCATCCCCACCAGGATTTCCAAGACTCGAGCTGGAGGCAGGAGTATCATCATGGAACTGGAGGAAGTAAATTATATGTACCTTGTGGTCGTTCCAAACGTCTCTTGAACGATGATTTGCTTGATCGTATAAAACTGTCGGATCAATCGGTCCTTGATCAACATAATATCGTTGATTGAAAATATCAACATCCGGCCCAACCTACGATAGCATAACAATAACATAAATCATTAGTATATAAATTAAATAAATCATTATAACAACAACAACAATTGGGAACATTAGTACGTATCGTTTGATAATCATCATAAAAAAGGCCCTCTTCTTGAGCGAAATCGACCATTCTCTTAGAATCCGGACAGAGGTTCGACGGTTTTTTAGTGAAAACCAAATAAATTTTTTTTTTGTAGGCAGATCGGACTTAGCCGCAACCAACAAAATAACTAATTCTAAGGTTTTTGGGTGGGGAGGGGGGTGGGTAGAGTGAGAAGTTAGAGGGAGAGAGGGGGGAATGAGTTTGGTTTGCAGAAAAATGAAGGGGGGGGAGGGGGGTTTATATAGGGTAGAAACCGCGTGGGGGAGGGCCGGTTCCGTCATTTTACCCCACCAAAAACCGCGCCTCTAGCACACGGTTTGCGTTTCCCAACAGTCAAACCGCGCATCGGGGGAGCGGTTTGCGTGGACGACGCGGATCGCTGAGCTGGCGCGCGTTTTGGCCGTCAGATCGCTCCCCCATCGCGCGGTTTGATGCACCGCCACGTGGCTACGCGTTTTGACAGCCATGCAAGGTCAAACCGCTGCCTGGAGGCGCGGTTTCATTAAAAACCGCTCATTAGAGACGCGATTTTATATAAACGATGGTATTTTTGGAAATTATTTGGAGTGAGTGATATTTTTGTAATTTTTTTTTAAACAGTTTTGGATTTTTTCCACGATTTTGTCACGGAGACAGTGGTACTCCTTCCACTGGTATTACTGTATTAGAGAAACTAGTTAATCTGTACAGTTCAATAACATAGAAAATGAAGCACATTAAAAAAATGATCGTCAGATCGTCTGCATTAGCCCCGCAGCCCATTATCTTGTGGGTGAGATTTATTACAGGTTAGGAACGTAGGGAAGGGAAAAGCCCAAGCAAGAGGGGACCAATTCCAAATCCACGTTTCACCGACGGCGTGCGGAGGCGGAGGGGCGTCGTCGGCCTCTGACCTGTCTATCAGGCGTCAGCAGTCAGTACCCGGGCAAATCAAAGGCCTAAACACGTATATAAAAATCAACCAGCAAAAACGTTTCGGTTCTTCTTTCTTTGATTCTCTTCCCTTCCCTTCTTCCCTTTCTCCAATCTCCGATCTTTCCCTCTCAATCTCTCTCCCCAATACTTCTTCATCCCTTCTCTGTGAAAGTTGCTGACTTTTTTTTTGGGTCCAAAATCTTCTTTCTTCTTCATCTCTCCCTCTTTTCCGCTCCTTGCTCTGCCGTGGAAGATCAATGGCGAAGAGTAAGAGAGAGGAAAGAGAGGTGGGCAGCTTCTTCTTGGACGGAATGATTGATAACATGCCCGTCTTTGCTAAGGAGCTCATCGCCGGCGGGGTTGCCGGTGGCTTTGCCAAGACTGTCGTTGCGCCCCTTGAACGCGTCAAGATTCTCTTCCAGGTTACCCTTCGCTTTTTGTCTCTTCCTTTAACTATTCAATGGTCACCAATGCATGAGATAGAGAGAGGTCAAAAGGGGCTACGAAATTGGGGAAGAGAATGAAATTGTCTTTCTGAATTTATGACCTGTTTTATGGGTTGCCTTTCCTTTTGGATGGAAGAAAAGGCTGGGAATTTGAGTTGTTAGGATGCTTGGCTTGTGAATGCTGTTAATGCACAAAATTGGGGTTGTAAACTGTGTGTGTATGTGTGTGCTTGTGATATTCCAGACCAGAAGAGATGAATACAAGGCTATTGGACTGCTTGGTTCAATAAACAAGATTGCCACAAATGAGGGGATTAAGGGATTCTATAGGTGACTACTCTTGACTTTCACTCTCTCCCTGGGCAAAACATTTATGTACTGCTGTTGCTATATGCTCCAATTAAAGCATCTGGGATCGTCTACCTACAGTGGGAATGGAGCTAGTGTTGCTCGAATCGTACCTTACGCGGCCCTCCATTTCATGACATACGAGCAGTACCGTAGATGGATCATACTCAGCTTTCCTGATGTGGGTAGGGGTCCTGTCCTTGATCTTGTGGCAGGATCCTTTGCTGGAGGGACTGCTGTTCTTTTCACCTATCCGCTTGACTTGGTTCGGACCAAACTGGCTTACCAGGTGATTCACTAACCCTCTGTTCCGCGAGGGGCGATTTTGCAGATTCCCAATGAACAGCAGAGTTCATTCTGAATGAAGTGCCTATTTTGACAGTACAGGTTGTTGGTGCACCAACAATGAACATTCGTGGTGCTGTTGGTTCTGAACAAATGTATAGAGGCATAGTTGATTGTTTTTCCAAGACTTTGAAGGAGTCGGGGGCGAGAGGTCTTTACCGTGGGGTTGGTATGTGGTACATCATAGCTTGTAGCCTTGTACTATATAATCAGCTGAACATAGATATCTGACAATGGTTACCTTCATTTCTTTCGATTTTTGACTGACCAATGTGCATTAATGTCAATTTTAGCTCCATCTCTATACGGGATCTTCCCTTATGCCGGCTTGAAGTTTTACTTCTACGAGGAAATGAAACTGCATGTCCCTGAGAAGCATCAGAAAGACATTTCAGTCAAATTGGTTTGTGGCTCAGTAGCTGGCTTATTAGGTCAGACCTTCACGTACCCTCTTGACGTAGTTAGGAGGCAAATGCAGGTAACCTGGCTTGCAGTGCTATCTATGTTTGTTCAGTCAGTGGCCTTTTTCTGGTGTTATCTCAATGGCGCCTGACTAACACAATCCTAATTAGGTGGAAAGGCTTTCACTTTCAGCATCTAGTAACGCTGAGTTGAAAGGAACAATGGAAACACTCGTCATGATCGCACAAAAGCAAGGGTGGAAGCAGCTATTTTCAGGATTGAGTCTAAACTACCTTAAGGTGGGAGCATTACACCACACATCATCTTCTGTTCCTATGCCCTTCGTTTCCTCCTGATTTGCTGAGGGTTGTTCCGAGTGTTCATCTTTTTTTGCAGGTTGTTCCATCCGTGGCAATTGGTTTTACAGTTTACGATGTCATGAAGTCGTGCCTGAGAGTACCCTCACGAGAAGCTTTAGAAGCTGTAGCTGAGAACAGGAATAGTCAACACACGCTTCATTCTTAGACAACGCAACCATATAGTTGCTAACATTCTTCAATGACGCCAGTAATAAGCGATGCATTCAATTCTTTACTACTCTGTATGATTGTTACAGTGTAAAGTAATCCTACCTCACAGAGCGGCTGCTAAATAAGCCTTGCAGTTGCAGTCCTGTATAATTTTCTAGGCCAGTGGTGGGGGAAAGCTGGAAAGGTCAGTACTTAGGACCTAAGTCTTCATCTTCTGTACATAGGAAAAAGGTCAAAACATTGAAGACCCAGTTTTCATCTATGCTGTGTTCTGTTGTTGTTCATCTGGATAGCCTAATATATCATACAGCCTTTAGTGCATGACATAAAAGTGGACGAGTAAAACCAAGGTTTATGCAACTAGGGGTGTCAATTCGGGTTCGGTTTTTCGGGTTTACCCGAAACCGACCAGATTATATACATTTTCGGTTTTTCGGGTTCGGGTTCGTTTCAGGTTTCGGATTTTTCGGTTTCGGGTTCGGTTTTGCTTATCGGTTATTTGGGTTCCTGCTAAAAACCTCCAATGAATAGAACTCAGCCCGTATTTTTAGGCGTTCGGGTTTTCGGGTTTCGGTTTTGCTTTAACCGAATCCGAATCCGATAAGGAATTTTCGGGTTTCGGGTAATCGGAACCCGCAAGTCCTTATCGGGTTCAGGTTCGGTTTTAGTGGTTTTCGGTTTCGGGTTTTCGGGTTTTGTCGGGTTTCAGTTTGGGTAACCGAACCCTACCCAAACTGACACCCCTATATGCAACTTGATGCCGAGATGAATTGCATGTCATCTTAGTTGCTATCTTAGTTGCTGAGATGAATTGCATACCATCGTACGAACTCAGCCGTATCTGTGCAGGAAAACGCTAAATTACCTTTATTTAACGTGTCCTCAGTTGCGTTACAAAAACAGAACAACGTGAGCCCATTTGCTGCGCATTCCTACCATTTTATGTCGCAACCTCGCTGCAAAACGGGGTTCTTTATCTGTGAAGCATTCTATCGAGCACCTTCCATGCAATGCTTTGAACACTACCACTCCACGAATTTCATTCCCAACCGACGCCATGGGAGATTTTGCCGCGGAATTAAGTAGCTGTTTCAAATATTCAGCTTCATCGGGAACATTTCTTATGTTGATGGGCGGCAGAGGAATTGAACTTGCCATTGACGACTTGCTTAAAACAAAACAGCCGGGAAAACGACAACTTTGGATTGTCAGCATGAGAACTTCTTACTTCTCAATTATTCTTCTTTCCAAGTCCCAACTTCTCCCTTTTGGCTCCACTACGTTTCGTTCATCCCTATCTGGAATACATTTATTATATTCCTTTTCCGGCCATCTCCGTTTGTAAAGCTCGGTCATGGCAGCAATGATCGGCCCCAGCCAAACCATCAAGACCGCGCTGCAACCGACGCTCAGCCATCAACGTGGCCACTGTCGCTTGTACCAGACTCCGATCAGTACATTGACAACTGAAAATTGGTGTCGTCGTCGGTCGATCACTGTTGCAAGTTGCAGCCTTCATCACAATTCTGAAAATTCGCTGAAGTCTCACTGTGAAAAGCTGGTTCATGAGTTCAACCCAGAAGTTCCTATTGAGAAAGCCCTGACGCCACCCAGTTCTTGGTACACTGACGCTGCCTTTTATGATTTTGAGCTCGATCGCGTCTTCTACAGAGGGTGGCAAGCAGTTGGTCAGTTTCTGCCTTTACATGCTCGTTATGTGTTTGATGAAATTCCTGTTTAGCATGCTGAATTGGGAAAGTTTGAGGCCCCATGTAATATGTCTGTTGACTTGCCCCAGGCTATACTGAGCAGATAAAAGAGCCTCGTGACTTCTTCACTGGGAGGTTAGGGACTGTAGAATTCGTGGTGTGTAGGGATGAGAAGGGAAAGGTTCAAGCTTTCCACAATGTCTGCCGCCATCATGCCTCCATTCTTGCTTCTGGAAGTGGGCAGAAAACCTGCTTCGTGTGCCCTTACCATGTGAGGTTTTGCATCAACGTTTCAGTTTCATGTGGACTCAAAGCAAAAGCATAATTCTTTTTCACTTCATCTAGCCAAAAATCTCCACTAAGCTTGTCCAAATTCTTTTTTTACTGCAGGGATGGACATATGGGTTAGATGGAGCACTTCGTAAAGCAACAAGGATAACGGGGATTCAAAATTTCAACGTAAATGTATAGCTCTATCACTCATGATTCAGCTTTCTCACTTTCGTTTCATATTCTTCCTATTCAGCATTGATGGGTAATCTAGTTGGTTCTCACTGCTATCTTTGGAAGAATAGGAGTTCGGGCTCATCGCAATAGATGTGGCAGTATGGGGCCCTTTTGTTCTTCTCAATCTAGAGAGGAAGATGTCACCTGATTATGATGTTGGTGACAATGATCTAGTTGAGAATGAATGGCTTGGCAGCACCTCAGAACTGCTGAAGTGCGGTGGAGTTGACACTTCTCTAAGTTACCTCTTTAGGCGCGAGTATACGATCGATTGCAACTGGAAGGTATGGTCTTGTGCTAATTTCTCAAGGTTTCGATGGACTCAAAGCATGGTTTCAACTTTCAAGAATCCCTTTCCTTTTAAGGATTGACAGCATTGCATGTATCTGTTATGTTCAGCCATTGAGTCGCATTGATTTGTTATGGTGTTCTCCTAAGGTTCTTGCTTCTGCTTCTTCCACCATGTCCAGGTGTTTTGTGATAACTACTTGGATGGAGGTTACCATGTGCCATATGCACATAAAGGCCTTGCATCTGGTCTGGAGCTCGATTCGTATTCCACCACGGTATTCGTCACATTTCTTATTTTACAGAATGTTCGTGATTGCCAGTACTAGCTTATTGCCTATCTGTATCTTATGTGAATTATGTTGTTCCATTCTGTGCAATAGACCTATGAAAAGGTTAGCATCCAAAGTTGTGCTGGTGGGTCAACAGAAAGAGTGGGATCAAAAGCTTTGTATGCTTTTATATACCCAAATTTCATGATTAATAGGTAATTGCCTTCATTACTTAAATTGGGGAAATTGTTGATCTTCATGCCAAATTTGTTCCTTTTTTATCGAGCTTCCTGTGAATCGTGTGCACGCAGGTATGGACCTTGGATGGACACTAATCTGGTAGTCCCATTAGGGCCGAGGAAATGCCAAGTAATATTTGACTACTTCATTGAACCTCATCTCAAGGTAACTACTAACTAAAGGTTCCTTCCATGTTAGATGACATGCTATTTTTGAACCTTCTGTTCTATCATTGTTGAAAGACACTTTACCTGAGATTGAGGTAACTAGCCTTTCGATCGTTGAAACAGGATGACAAATCTTTCATTGAGCAAAGCCTGATTGATAGCGAAAAAGTGCAGGTATGACTTTTTAACTTCTATTATCACATCTGTTCGTCGGACGATGTGCATACGCTAACACAGTAGTATCTGCAGATGGAAGACATCATCCTATGTGACGGTGTACAAAGAGGCCTGGAATCACCAGCGTACTGCAGCGGCAGATATGCTCCAACTGTAGAGAATGCCATGTACCATTTCCACCAATTGCTTCACAGTAATCTTTGCATGTGACGTGAAAGCCATGAATCGGTTTCTTCAAGTATTGCTTTAACATGTTTCTTGTACATGATTAATTGTCTGCAAGTTGTATCTCCTGTTATGGATCTAAGGATGTTTAAGACTTTGGTTTCAGAGTTTTCTGTCACTTTTTCCTTAAAGTGATTACAGGAAATTGAATTAGATATGGATTCTGAATTTCCAATGAATAAAAAGTACACTTTTACAGCAGCATAACAAGAGCTTTTGATCACCAATAATCCCCACAAGAACATTTCCCATCTCTGAAATGATGGAACCGCTTGTTGTCTCTAACAATGAGCTCCCTCCCAACTATCCTGGACATTATTTTGATAGCATTGTGACAGTCCCCGCAGATACGAAGATTCTTCATGATTCTCAATGTCTGCCTTGCTGGAGTGCTGATCAAACCGTAAGCAATCGCCAACCTCTCACTGTGATACATCAGTGCCCTCTCCTTTGCCTCCTCGTCAATATCATGAAGCACGTATCTTGTATCAGGCACATATCCAGCCTCCTTCATCTGCCCATTCAAGCCTTTCACTTTCCCCTGTCCATCCTCCTTGTAAGGATCAGGAGAACGATATTCAGCCAGCCTGTTTTTCTCCTCTACCATGTTTATGGCAGAGTGATTCTTTCTCGGTGGCAGTAGAGCAACTCCTCTGCTCTCCTTCGCTCTTGATGGATCAATATCGAGCAACAACTCCTCGATGTGATCTTCCAGCTCTAAATCGCCATGAACTCTAGCATAACTCTTGATGGTCTCCCAGATTTCCACCATGGATTGTCCGGTTGGCATTCTTTCGATAAACTCAACTGCCTCATTCAAATAACCAGCCCCGCCGAAAATGTGGATGCCTTCAAGATACTGCTTGATACCGGGAACCATACCGTACTCAGTCCTCATGGACTCAAGGTGCAACAAACCTTGGTTGACATTCATGGCACTTGCACATACTGCAAAGACAGCACTGAAGCTATCCTCGTTGAGCTGCAATCCGGAGGCCTTCATTTCCTCAACTAACGCAAGCCCTTCGGCGCCCTGGCCGTTAGCAGCATACGCATTGATCAGCAAATGCCAAGAACCCATGTCCTTCCTATCGCGCATTCTATCGAACACCACGCGTGCATCCCTGACACTGCCACACTCCCCATACAACTGGATCAGCTTATTGCCCAGGTCAGTGTCACCAGAGAACGGCGATCGCCTCAGCAAAGCGTGCACCTTTTTAGACAAATCAAGCGACTTCAAGCTCCGACATGCGTCCAAAAGAGCGACGAGCACTTCGTAACCGGCGGGAAAACCTTGACCAACATACTCTATTGCTTCCCCAACTTTACCGTCCTTGCACAGGCTCACCAAATCAACATCTTTGGGGACAATTGGGGCGATTGGGCTTGGTGGGTCGATGGCCTTTTCTTCACTTTTGCGGAATTTAGGCTCGTCTGAAGATGGGTTACGTGGCTTTTGCCGGCGATAGACCTTGGAAGAAGAAGGAGCGCTGCGAGGCTTGGGTGTGGCGTAGGAGCAGAGCAATCGAAACTTGTTACGGGTAGGAAATGGAAGTGTGGGTACGACGGCATAGAAAGGTGATGGAGAAGGTTTGCAATGGTTGCAGGCAGTTATCGCGGTTCCTGGATGCTGCAGAGGAGTAAAGGCAGCCATTGATACGACACCTACCCACAAAGAAAGTATCTTTTCTTTTGCTGCTGTGCTGCTACTGGCCTCGAAGATTTACGGCAAAAATTGGGCACTGGCGAGAGCGCAAAGGACCAAACGACGTCGTGCCCTCAATTGGCCCAAATCGTTGGATATCTAACTAACTAGTAACTAATTTGTTTCCTAAGTTCGCAATCGCAACATCAGTCTGAACTATAGATAATAGAATGATGCTTCAATCAAAGAAATGATTCACTTAAGTCGGTTTATCAAAGAACTTCCAAGAACTTCGCCTCTCCATCGAGTTCAGCAAATTCTCTGAAGAAGAAGAAGAAGAGGAAGAGAGCTAAGCCTCATTCTAAGGAGGAGTGAGCAGGTATCAATCCTCAAGAAGACATGGTAGGGGAGTTGTCACAAAGGACTGGTCAGAATACCATTTGAATCGCAGATTCGGGTCACAGAATCTACCCCTATTCAAATAGTTGAAGCATAGGAAATGATAAAAGACTTGTACAAAATTCAAATATATGAAATCGCTTATGTTGTTCGGGTTCTTAGTAATATAACAACTCCTTATGCGATGCAAGGAAATGGGGGATTTTTCCAAAAGTAGCATTATTTAAAAAAAAATTCCAAAAATAGCACAACACTCCGAAAAATTCCAAAAATAGCACCGTTTCTGCAAAACCGCCACCCTTACCAGCGGTTTAGGCGAAAACCGCCACCCGGGAGCGCGTTTTTCGATGAAAACCGCACTGGTAGGGGGCCGTCTTTGCAATGATAATATCAGCTACCTGAAAGTTTGTTTGCAGCTTTGCTTCCAAAGCAAGGCAACACAAGACAGATACTCTGCCATGCAGCCCTTTTCTCAATAACCAGCAGCAATTGTTTGTGCCAGAATTACCACTGCTCGGTTCACCATTTGAAGAGATGGGCCAATCTATGATGAAATTGGCTCCTGGTATGCTCTTACATCTTCCCCTTTTCTCCCTTATTTTCTTAAGTCTTTCCCCTGATGGTCACCAAAAGCTGTGCCTTTGAAATTCTTCGTTTCTTTTTCTTATTCTGCAAAAATCATGTTGTTTCAATTCTGTTTCTAGGAACTGTTCCATACTTCTGGGCTTATGGTTCCAACACCTGGAACAACAGATAGATAACTAGCCACAGCCAGTGCCCTGCTTATGATGCAAGGGGATCGATCATCAATCAACGCAATTTAAGTTACAACATATCCAGGAATGAAAAAATCTAACCTGGGTTTTCAAAACTTACTATTCTTCACCTGCACAATATCTAATTCTCGCCTCTAGTCTACTTTCTGTACTCATCCCGTAACTAAACCCAAACCTACCTGGGATTGCAGGAAGTGAGCATAACAAGGACAGAGATATTAGCTACTGCCATTGAAGAATGTTACGACAAGTATTTCACAGAAAATACCCAGGAACTGAGCTCGGCTGACTTCTACGCTGCTGTCTGCAAAACTGTAGAGTAATCTCCATCATCCTGATTCCCCTCCTTCATCCTCTCTAGCCCTTTCCCCGCTTCTATCATGAGCTTCTGCTTTCATTTCCAACAGGGAAATCAAAAAGAAGCTCAATAGCACACAGTTCCGAGACCCCGACAAAGAGAAAGCTCAAACAAGTCTACAATGTGAATTATCCTCTATCCTTGTTTCTTCTTTCTCCTTCTTCTCCATTCCCATATATAACTCCTGCATCACAAAAACTTTGCAGTCTCACTACAAAGACGACAGCAAGAACAACAAAAAAAAAGGGCATTGTCAAGGGAGGAATTCCAAAATGTGCTGGAGGAAATAATGATTGGGGCCGGGTTCACGGGGTTCGGATCTTTCCCTCTGTTCATCAAACAAAGGATAGCTCCACTCCAACAGCCGTCCCCAACGACGTTTTCATCCCGGGGTTCACCCTTCCATTTCTATTGTACATTCATCATGGTTTACTTTATCGTCATGAACTCAATTCGTAAATGGACAGTGAATGAAAATGAACACGGACTAACCTCAGAAGGAAGGGAACTCCGGCGGGGAAGTCCTAGATAATGTAATCCGACCAGCCCGAAATGAATGACGTATGATCCATGGATTCTCCTGGGCACTCCTCGTGCTTGGATGGGGTCTCCTTCCCTCCGACGAGCCTGGCAGGGTTCCCCACCGCAGTGGTCCGCGGCGGGACGTCGATCAGAACCACAGAACCTGCCCCAACTTTCGCTCCTTCTCCAATGTTGACATTCCCCAGGATCGTCGCCCCGGCGCCTATCAGCACGCCATCGCCGATCTTCGGGTGCCGGTCGCCGCAAGCTTTCCCCGTTCCACCGAGCGTGACGTGGTGCAGGATCGACACGTTGTTCCCAATCACCGCCGTCTCGCCGACGACCACCCCCGTGGCGTGGTCGAACAGAACCCCCTTCCCGATCCTCGCCGCCGGGTGGATGTCGACGGCGAAAACGTCGGAGACCCGGGACTGCAGCGCTAGAGCCAGCGGCCGCCGGGATTGCATCCACAACTTGTGAGCCAATCGATGCGCCTGACAAAGAAACCAATTTTTTACAACAAAATTGGGGAAGAGTCCCCGATTTTTTCATTCATACGACAGGGCCGGCAATTCGAAGAATTACCTGACAAGCGAGGAAACCCTTGTAATTGAGGAGGCAGTGGGAGAAGGAGACGCAGGCGGGGTCGCGGACGCGGGCGGCGCGGAGGTCGGCGACGGCGGCGGCGCAGAGGGAAGGATCGGAGGAGAAGGTGTTGAGGAAGAGGTCGTAGAGGAGAGTGGAGAGGAGGGTGGAGGAGCAGAGCTTGTTGCCCAAGTGGAAGGCCAGGGATCGCTCGAGGGAAGAGTGGGAGAGAATAGTGGAGTAGAGGTAGCTGGCGAGAGCTGGCTCGGCTTCGGCGTCTCGCCGGGCCTCGGCTTTGATCTGAGCCCATACCCAGGCCTCGTCGCCGGACGCTGCGGCGGTGGGGGAGGCAGGGCTACTGGGGTGCAACGGCACCGCCGACGGGCGGAGCTCGCCGGCCGGCATGGCGGTGGTCGTGTTGGGGGATTGTTGTAGTCGGGGGTTGAGGATAAGGGAGAGATTTGTTGCGGCCAGGCGTTTTGGGGAAATCCCCAGGCAGCGTTGAACCGTTATTAATATGCGAGCCCGATTGTATAGGGGAAGAAAATTAAGCATACTGGTTGGACCGCACCAACCGGTTGAACCAGATTGTATCGATTTGACAATCATGCTTGATGTCGCTTGGTCAACAATCAAGTTGGTTGGTCGATGCGTAACTTTTCTATTCACTAAATTTAATGAGTTATGGATTATCATTTCGTTCGTGATCATGTCGAGTGACATATGGCCTTATATATAACCCCTTAATTGACACTTATAAATTACCCCTTTATTTTCGAGAGTGTCTTCAGATCCTTAGCTCTTTGTCTGTTTGTATAGAGTTTAGGGCGGTACCTAGATCTGCCAACAGTGCTGCCCATAGAGTGGCGCGTAAAGCACTGCTTTTGTCTCGTGTAGAGCTAGAATCTTTTGATTTTTTCGGGTAGTTTCTTTAGATTCAGTTAGGGGTACTGGGTAGAATTGTAAGTTTAACTATTTTCTTCCATTGATATTACTCAGAAATAAAAAAACTCACATTGAAAACTTATCTTGACTCACAAGGCAAATCAATGGGCCTCTCAAATCAATGCGCCACTCTAAGGGCCTTGAGCTCAATGTAATTGACTCTTCGGATTTTTTTGTTCATGCTTTTGTTAAATTAGGTAGTGGCTTTTTCATCACTTTCCTCCATGCCCCTAATGATCCTAGTGAAAGGAGGGCCTTTTGGGAGGAAATTTCTAGATTTAAACCTATTAATAGTAGTCCGTGGCTTTTGTTGGGGGATTATAATGCGGTGTTGAGGGATAGCGAGAAACTTGGAGGAAACCCTCCTAGAAGAGTCTCAACTGAACCCTTCAAGGATTTCGTGACTAATAATGACCTTCTGGAAATTGACTCTAAAGGGCCAAAATACACCTGGTCGAATATGCAGCAGGGGACTAGGAAGCTGCTTTGTCGACTTGACAGGGGCTTATGTAACCTGAAGTGGAGAGAAGATTTCCCTGATGCTTTCATCTTCAATGAACCAATGGTTGGTTCTGACCATTGCCCACTTCGGTTGGAAATTCATGGTATCAAGAAGTCCCGAAATGCTATCTTCCGTTTTGATCAAAGATGGCTACAATACGAAAACTGTGGCACCATTATTAAAGAGATTTGGGCTAAGGGAGGTAATCATCAAGACAGCCTTTCGGAATGCAGAATGGAGCTTCAAAATTGGGCCAAGGTAAACATACATAATGCTGCAATTAGAATCAGAAGCATTAAAAGAAGGCTTGAAGAGATATCAGACTTAACTCATGACCCTTTATTTGAGGAGGAGGTAAGAACCCTGGAAGCTGAGATCATCAAACTCTGGATTGAAGAGGAAATTTTCTGGAAACAAAGGTCTCGAATACAATGGCTGCATACTGGGGACTGCAACTCCAGATTCTTTCATGCTACTACTATCCAGAGAAGCTTACGTAACAATGTAGCAAAGCTTATGGATGAGAACAATGATTGGATTGAATCTCATACAATGCTTCAACGGCATGTGATGGACTTCTATTCTGGATTGTTCACAAAAAGAGATGCAGTGAGCAATGATGAGTTAATTCACATCATCCCCTCGGTGGTTAATGACCTCATGAACTCGACACTCTGCAGACCGGTGGATGATTCTGAGATTAAATCTGCTGTTTTTGAGTTGGGATCAACTAAGTCTCCTGGACCTGATGGTTTTCCAGGAATCTTCTACAAGAATTATTGGGAAACTGTTGGCAGCCAGCTTTGCACGGAAGTGAAGAACTTCTTTGAGAATAACTCAATGCCGCAATATTGGAATGATACACATCTGATCCTCACACCAAAAGTGGCAAGCCCAGAAAGAATTTCCCAGTTCAGACCGATTAGTTGTTGTAACTTTCGTTACAAGGTCATCTCGAAGGTTCTAACTTCAAGATTGCAGCAATGGATGCCTACCATTATCTCGGAGATGCAAGCAGCCTTCGTGGGAGGCAGGGCTATCCAGGACAATATCATCATTGTTCATGAAGTTCTGCATCATTTCAAGACCAGACCCAAAGGAGGCAACTGGGATATGATGATCAAGCTTGATATGGAAAAAGCATTCGACATGGTCGAATGGGACTGTTTGGAGGATATCCTGAGGGCAATGGGGTTTGCTAGCCAATGGTGTGTCTGGATAAAGGAATGTGTGCGAACTGTGCGTTTCTCTATCATCTTCAACGGGCATCCCTCCCCTTTCTTTCAGCCTACTAGAGGAATTCGCCAGGGAGACCCTCTATCCCCCTTCTCTTTATCATCCTCTCTAATGCTCTTGCTTGTCTGATCGATAAGAACGTGAATGACAGTCTATTCAAGGGGATCACTCTCAACCCCCGTTGTCCTAGGCTTACGCATGTTCTTTTTGCAGATGACACCATCATTTTCGGAAAGGCATCTATCAACGAAGCTGCCCTCATCAAGGATACTATTGAGAAGTATGGGATCCTAACAGGCCAGATCATCAACAGCGAGAAATCAGCAATCACTTTCAGCAATAACACTCTGATTGCCCTACAAAACCAAATTGCCAGCTTCATGAACATCCCATCTTCAGAAGGGATGGGGAAATACTTGGGAGTCCCATCCGAATGGGGCCGCTCTAAAAAAGAAGTGTTCTCTTCTCTGATCTCAAGAATGGAAGGTCTTGGTCAATCTTGGAAAAGCCTTGCTCTCTCCCAAGCGGGGAAAGAAACCCTCCTGAGATCCATCTACCAAAGCTACCCGACATACATGATGTCATGTTTCCTCCTCCCAAAAGGCACCACACGTATCATGGACTCTAAGCTTAAGGCCTTCTTCTGGGGAGGGAGCATGGACAAAGGAACCATTCATTGGCGAAAAGGAAGTGTCTTAACGGCAGCAAAGCAAGAGGGAGGAATGGGTTTCAAGGACTTTCATCAGTTCAACATGGCTTTGCTGGCTAAACAAGGATGGAGAATCCTCAACGGAAAGGAGGAGACATGGATTAAGCTCCTCAAAGGTATCTATTTTCCTAACACTGATTTCCTGGATGCAGGAAAAGGCAGGAAACCATCTTGGATTTGGGCGAGCATCTGTGAAGCCAAAGAAGTGCTAAAACTTGGCGCTAGGAAGAATATGGGCAATGGGAGAAGCATCAACCTAGAAAAAGACCCTTGGATCCCGGGCGTCCCGAATTTTCGTCTCCATCATAATCAAAGACAGCAACTTAAAGCCTTCGAATGGGTTATGACTGACGTGAACGAATGGAACCTTGACATGATTCGTCAAAGCTGCTCTGTACAGGAAGTTGAGGCGATCAGGCGCATCCCCTTTGGCTCAACCGAAACTGAGGATTCCTGGGTTTGGCATCACGAGAAATCCGGACGATTCACAGTTAGATCAGCTTACCATATCTTCCGGAAAGCTGAGAAAGAGAGACTAGGAACCCCTGACCCTAATCATCCGGGTTGCACAGAACAAGCTTGGAAATGGCTTTGGAGCTTGTCTCTCCCTCCTAAGATCAAGAACTTCATTTGGAGGCTGACGCGGAATGCTGTTGCGTCAATGCGGAATCTCTGGTTCAGAAAAGTCATTAGATCTCCGTCTTGTACAATGTGTCAGAATGATGTTGAAGATGTGAGGCACATTGCTTTTGAATGCCCCCATGCCTCCCACGTCTGGAATTTGTACTTTGCAGGGCTCCAGCTTCCCTCCGATTCTATGCCAATACTTATGTGGCTCTACCAATTCTCGCTAGGCACCTCCTCATTCCCTGTGAAGGCTTTAATCGCCTCCCTTTGGGCAATTTGGAATGCCCGAAACGAGTGTGTTTTCAGAGGGACTCGTCCGAGGGGCTTCACTACCATCTCAAATGCTATCCGCTATGCCTCAGATTGGAGTGTTAACACACGAACCTCTGTCCCTTCCCCTGGAAATCAGCCTATCCATCCCCGTCTGAACCTTAACCCACCGCCTGGTATGTTCCAACTGGAATTACACTGTGATGGAGCCTTTGTCTCGGAATCGCAGGTGGCGGCTTACGGCGTTGTTGTCTGCAACTCTGTTGGGCAAGTGATCGACGGAAGGGCTGATACGTTGTTTTGTTCAGAAGCGATTGTGGCAGAAGCTAAGGCCTTACTTACTGCACTCAGAGTGGCTGATGATTCTGGGCTCTCGGCAAGAATATGCTCTGACTGTAAAACTATCACTGATGTGCTGCACTCTCCCTCTTTGAGAGGTCCCTGGCAAATCAAGTCCCGGATCCATTGTATGCACACTATCATTTCTCAGAACGATAGAATCAGAGTTGAGTTTGTGCCCCGTGCTTGTAACAAGATGGCTGATTGGGTGGCTAGAGAGGCCTGTAAAGGATCTCTTCCAACTGATTGGATCCACATTCTGGACATTGTTTCTCCTCTACTGTAAAAGGCTCTGCTTGTAACACAATCTCTTTTGAATAAAGCTCTCTCTTTGTCAAAAAAAAAAAACCCCATCAAATCAACCGATGACAAATAACAATAGTCATCTTACTATAAAAAAATACAACACAACCTCGTTGCACATCGCCAAACTCTTGGTGATCACTCAATTTACTCTCATCCCCTTGTGCTGCAAACATCTCTTCCTTCCAGCAACAGGAACTCTACTACAAGCTGAACCATCTAGCAACCGAACACCACAAGTGACCACCGCAGCCTGCAACTCAGACTTCAACAATGAACCCTCCTCGCCAGACAACCTGGGAACTTCACCAGCATCACAATCACCAACCCTCTTCTCCTGGTGCTGCCAACACTTTCCATTCCCTTGCCCCACCCGCCTGCTACACAACGAACCATTCACCAAAGTTGCTCCACATTTGGTAACAGATAAGCTATGTTCCCAGCCCGGAGATCGATTGTTCTCGGTTGCTTTACTTGATTTCACATTATGCGAACCATAGATTCTCATCCCTTTGTGTTGCTCGCATCTCTTTCTTCCAGCAACTGGTGAGCTTCTGCAGGGAATGCCATCAGCCATAATGAACCCACAGACATTACTAGCAGAAGAGCTCTCCTCTTCTGTTGCTCCACAATTGATGTCTGAAACCAGTCTGGGCCGTGACTTGTTGAAGTTGAAGACCCTGTGGAGGAAGTTTTTGCTGTCATTGTCTTCGCCTGAATTTGTTTCGGATTTGTGTGGTGAAACTGGCTTGCTGCTTGCTTCAATCTTGATACCCACAGCAGCACCTTGGTGGCCTAAAGACAGCATTAGCTTCTTGGAAATGTCTCTCAGCCTGGAACTAGCTGCTGTTGCTGAAGCAATCCTATCAAGTTTCTGGACAATGTCGCCCGGTCTACGAGCTCCATTCCCACCACGATTCCAGGCGTAATCGAATGTTTCGAGCAGCTGTGACTCTGTCTTCTCAGCAGCCCTTTTGTCCTTCATCTGTTACACATTCCTTCCAACATTATCAGTCTCAAGAATTGTTCAACGGATGACTGAAAAAAAAACTGTGTGTATAGTACTACTACTTACAGCAGCCCATCTGAAGACAATGGAGTGGCCTCTGGAGAAGATCTCCTCAAACAAGCCGGCACTTTTGTGAAGAGGGTCGATCTTGAATTCGTCCCAGTGACCGGTTGAGTAACTGCTTCCCAAATGGGCGCCCGTTCGCCCGTACCGCTGGAGTCGGGTCCTGACACTTTCAGCTTGCCCGAGGTAAACCACCACTATCTCTTGCTTCCCGAGTTCTCGACCCGAATCGGATCGGCGGACCGAGATCCCGAGCTCGTAAACTCCGGCGGAAGAAGTGGAAGGGAGATTGTGGACTCTGTATCTCGCAGCTCCTTCCTTCCCGACTGAATAGTCTGCCCAATCAGATGGCCCGATAAGAACCTAAACCCGCAAGTCGACCCGAAACAAATTTAGTCCAAATTCTTTTTTTTTGGGGGGGCAAATGAGTGAGAATCTGCCAGCGATGAAAAGAACCCAGAAGGTAAAATTTTCGCCGGGAACTGTAGAGTACTTAGCTGGAAAGGAAGATCCGGTGTTCGCAGATTTGGTTCCTTGGTGGTTTCAGAGCAAGTATGAATTGGGGGAATTGGGAAGTTGAATTTACAGAGGGTAGGAGGGAGAGAGAAGAGAAAGATGAGATTGAAACGAACCTGCCATTTAGAGAAGTCGGGATCGTGCTTTGTCCGATTACAATCCTCCCGCTTCAATCTATCGGCGGCGACGGCGACGGACTTGGCGCCTTTGCCATCGGCCATGGACTGGAAATGAGAAAACAACCGATTGTGTGCCGCTGCTACTGTTTCAATGCAAGGCGCGGGGGGAAACATGACCGTTGGGGCCCAAAAGATCTGATTCATGGAACTGGGCTGGAGGATGATTTCTGGGCCAAGGGCCCATTGTCTTGGTTGGGCTAGTCATAGCAAGGGAATTCGGGCTACTTTGTAGTTATAAAACTTATATTTAGCCTAATTAATTCACCGGCCTTCTTCTTCTCATACGTTAATCTCACTAATTAGGATAGCGGGGAGTGAGGAAGTGATTTTCTTCTTTGTTGGTGGGATCGATGCTAATTTCCTACTGTGCTGCCTTGTGTTCAGTGGTGGCTAAGTCAAAAGACTGGAGCGTAACTACATCAATCAAAGACAGCAGAGATTGCAGTTCACGACAGCTCACAGCAGGCAGCATAATATATCAACGATAGGTTTAGGTAAGGGCTGATTAGGACTTAATTAGGACTAAAATGTCTGTCTAGTTGGGCGGATCCCAAATTTACACTGTTCTCATGTGCTCAGACGGCGTATTCTTGATCGTAACATCGGTCTCCGTGAAGTTACATTCGAAAGAAAAAAATCGAAGCAGAGTCGCATAGTGAGATTGCAATTGGAGAACGGATGCTCAAAGGCTGCTTGCAGATGATGCCTACTCTAGACATAGGTTTAGAGTTTTGGGCGGTCACTAAAACTGTCAGTTGAGTTGCTCATAGTGTGAGAAGAAATGTCATTTTCTCTAGTTAGTTTAGAGTTGCTCTAATTTATTTTTGTTACCTGTACGTAGAGAAATTCTCGAGCTGTCCATTTTTCTTTTCTTGTATAATATTGACATGGGTTAGACTAGTGTATTCTTGGAATATATTATACTTTGAGTATGTCTAATGCGATACATCTATCTGAGTTATAAATTAAACAGAATCTGAGGTTAACCTCTAATGTATTATGTGTTTGATTTTCTAAACCAAAACTCGAAGATCAAATTGATAAAAATAATTGTCGTCGATTATAATTTGTCAAAATACAGTAAACATCCAACAATCAAATCATTCGGAATATGTTACACAAGTATCATATTGTCAAATCTTCCAATAAAAATTCCATCCTCCGTACTCCAAATCGAGCCCCAATAATTCCTTCACTCGCCAGAAATATTGCAGAATGCTCTGCATTTCAAAATTGTTGACAAATGAACACAGCCAAACCATATGTGTCCAAAAGTGCCAGTAGGCTTTTCTCTTAAAATAATTAAGAAAGACACTTTGACTGTCTGAAAAAAAAAGAGCTTTGATAATAGAAAATATTGTTAGAATTTAAAATTTTATTTCTAAAAATTTGATTCAGAAAATTTGATTTTGAGACATGGTATTGAGAAGTATTATAATAATTATATTAAATGAATCCTCATGTTATCATCTTATGATGATTAAGTTGCTGCACTTGTTATTTCTACTCAACATTATCAATCAAGTTTGATAAAGTAAGATGTAGGTCTAGATATTTGTTATGACATACACAACTGCTGAGCAACTGTTTAAACCTTAAGCACAAGTTTAACTGGTTTATTTTCAAATGATGGGATATTTAGAGCTACTGGAATTGGTTATTGATCACGAATAATTTTATCTCAAATTAAATTTAACAAGCTAAGTCTTTTTGGTTTTATGCGGTTTAAATATTTTCACACAAAATTCAAATTGATCGTCCTCTTCAAAATGACATTTGCTTTGACATATTTTGAATATAAAAATTGAGGCAGATATTATTAGTCTGTACCATGATGATAATTTTTGGTAAAACATATATATGATTATATCATAGTGGTATTGAAGTATATCGGTGGTATGAATATGCCATAGTGTAAATGGTTGTATACAATGATAGTAGGAAAAATACTAATCACTAGTTACCATCTTTCACCACCGCCTTCCACCAGTTACCACCATCAAACGGTGACTTTTACGGTGCGCTGATAGAAATGAGTGCACACTATACACTCAAACTAGCCTTAAATAATTGAATTTTGAATTTTAATTGATATCATTAGTCTAATATGATGATATAACATTGGATCACAACTAACCAATACATAATCCTAAACCCTATACCTTTAATTAATCCTAAATGCTAACTCTAAACTCTAAGCCCTAATCCTAAATAACTAATCAATGCATAACACTAATAATGAGTGGTACAAAATAAATTTCTCAAACTATATAGAAAATGAATATCATTTTGCAAATTAAAATGAACTCATTCCAATTGGATTACAACAAAAAAGATACAAACCAGTTAGAAAAACCGAAAATAAAAAATTTAATTCTTTTATTTAGCTAAGAGACTAAATTTAGTTACATAACTTACCCTAAACAACCGGCAATCGTGAAGTATATTTCCCAACGACAACGGGAATGGATGAGGTCAGTAACCTTATGGTGAGTAACCATGAGTAATCTGTCCACATCAGTATGACATCAGCATCACTCTCTCTCATGTAAAGACTTTAATTTTCCTCTCTTTAATCTTTGACGTACGATTTCTCACTCGTTTTAAGTCGAAAATTAAATTTTTTATACAGTTAGATCAGATTAATTATGCTCTTCAAAATGATATTCACTTTGATATATTTTTCGAACAAAAAAAATTGAGCCATTTTTTACCAGTCTATACCATATGGTATTGACTGGTATTGAAATAAGAGCATACCTATGGTTTGAAAAGCGTACCATGGTGGTATGAACAAACCAAGACTGTAGGATGGTTGAATACATGATAGTAGAAATATATTAACTGTCATTTACGACTTTTAACAATGTGTACCATAAGATACCACCTCGTACCAGGGCGGTATTGTGTGGTATTGTTTGGTCCTGTAATTTGTTCACCCAGAAATTTGTAGATCCAATAGATCATGATGAACTCATCTCTTCTGTGCGAACGTTTTCAAAAACGAATTAAAAAAGAAGAAAATACCATATGGTATGCAGTTGGTACCGAGAGTTTTTTGTTCAAAAAAAATATTAAAAACTGATCTCATTTTGTAGAGCACGATGAACTCGTTCCACCTGTGCAAAAAAAAAACTGAAATCCGAGTTAAAACGAAGATATGAGCCGATTAAGAAAACTAGGAAAAATAAAAATGATCTTTAATTCTCCATTCTTACATCTGAATTTTCTAAATGAAGAGCCGAGATTTGATTATTGATGGATACATAGTTATGCACCATATTTTGAGCTATCGACGGGCAATCAACTCGGACATATAACTTGTTGGTGATCATCACCAATGAAGTTTTCTCGTAGCGAGTGTGACATAGGCTGTAAATCAGCCGTCCCAAACCAAATCAAAGAAAAAAAAAAATCAATCCTTTCATTATCTCTTCCCCCGCCCATGTCGTCTTGGTTTATTTTTTTCTTGAGAATGTTTCTGTTTTTTAAACAATGGAATCCCCTTCCAGTTGCCAAATGTTCATCTACAGAGCCCCTCCATAATCCCGTCCACCTAATCCCGAAGTCGTCCCAAAAATGTCGTTTTGCTCGTCCCTTTCCCCAGAATTGGCGCCCTCCGTTTACCCTTTTTCCCTTGCTTTCAATTCTTCCAACAGTTCTTAATCACACTATTTAGACCCAGAATTATTCCAACCAGTTGCCGAATCCAGGTTTCATGACAACTGCACCAAGCCAAAATAAACGAAGCTAGAGAAGAAGAATCATCACAGTCATCAGAAGGAGAAGGAATTCGTCGTCGTCTCTTAACTGTTCTCCAACGTAATACAGTAGTACCCAACCCATTCCAGCTTTTTCAAACCCATCCCTTTTTCCTCCACGAGCAAACGTCCAAAATAGGCCATGGCAGAAGTGTGAAGCAGTCCGTTCCGTTCCCTCGTTAACCCCACGCTTTCCCTATGTAGCAACAATTTTCTTCCCCTTCCCTTCCCCTCCCCTCCCCACCACCTTCACATTTTTTCCAAGCGCTGATCCAAAGCTGTTTTTTCGGTTGTAGAAAGAGAGAAAAGGAAAGGAGGGTCCCTTGAATTTCCACGTTCTTCCCCTGTCTCTCTCTGCTTGTTATTCACTCTGTTTGGAGTTTTGACTGCAAAAGGGCATCTGGGTTGGTCCTAATTTGTGAAATTTTGGGGAAGGACGTAAATGGGTTCTGTTGGTTGATTGTTGAATTTTCTGGAAGTGAAGTTGGTTAGCGGGTAGAGATGAGCGGGAGAGGGTCGTCGTCCGGTGGTTCTCCGGCGGATTTCGGGCTGGGGAAAGTGGTGGTTGTGGCTGTTAAAGCTGCTCCCAAGGAGATTCCGACGCGTGCTCTGGTTTGGGCGCTTACTCATGTTATTCAGCCTGGGGATTGTATCAGGCTTCTGGTTATCCTCCCACTTCACTCCCCAGGTTTGGAAATGTTCCTTCTCTCTGTTTAGGTCCTTCTTTTCGTTGGCATTTTTCCAGACCTTGATTTCTTCCCATACGGGTGCCATTCTTGGTATGCCCTTTGCTCTGTCCTTTACTCTGTCGCTTGCAAAGCTTTTTGGTAAACTAAAACCTTTGTGGATTTAGGGGAACCTTGAATTGTAGTCAACTAGTCATAGAAGGAATTTGGTAGCTTTTGAGTTTTGACATGATTAGGCCGCTTAGCACTTAATGCTCCTAAATTGGTCGCTTTAGAAGTCCAAGCCGGAGACTTGCCCATTTTTGGCTTATGGTTTAGGATCCCGTGCGCTTGGTTCTCATTATGATATATGAGCCACCACTGGGTCGATCCTTTACTTGGAAAATGATTGATCTTTTTCCACCTAAAAGCCTTCTCATAAAGTAGAGGCAACTTCTCCTTCTTGCAGTTAAAAGGGTTTGGGGTTTCTCAAGATTCACCGGCGGCGATTGTTCTGCTGGTCACAAGAAGCTCTCGTTCTCGGCCTCCATGTTGAACCAGAGAGATGAGGTTTCAGAGCTTTGCTCCCAAATGATGAATCGACTTCGTGATGCCTATGACATTGATAAGGTAAGGTCCACCATTGACTCAAAAGTTTTCCCCTTTTTCTAGTCAAGTTTCCTCTTCCTTTGTAACCACTCTTGTTCTTGTTTCCTTTTTTTTCTTAACCCAGATAAGATTCAGGGTGAAGGTTGTTTCTGACTCAACAACTGGAGTGGTGGCTGCAGAAGCAAAAAATTCAGAGTCAAACTGGGTGATTTTGGACAAGTAATAAAGACAATGTATAACATTGTATTGTGTTTTGTTTGCATTATAGCTTATGATGAGCATGACCTAGTGTTTCTTACAGTTGATACCCAGATGATAATTGCATGTTCAAGTAACCTTTTCAATACTTGGATACAGTCCAGATTTTTTGCACTTAACTAGTGATGGTTTCTTCACAGACATTTGAAACACGAGAAGAAATGCTGCTTGGAGAAGCTAGATTGCAATCTTGTGGTGATGAAAAAGTCACGTCCAAAAGTGCTTCGATTGAAAGTAAACGGATCGCTCAAGCTGGAACCTGAAGTTGTTTCCTTCCCATGGCCACTACAACCAGTTGGTGTCATCGATGAACCGCCTCCTCGAACCTACTTCGACAGCAAAGATTACAATGATACGTTAAGGGGACCATTTGTGACTCCAGCTAGCTCTCCCGAGCATGAGTTCTCGATGACTACAACAGATATTGGTACAGGCAGCTCGTCCAGATCGAGTTCAGAACCAGGAGCTTCACCATTTCTTATGCGTGCCAATTTCAGCAACTTGAAGAACAACCCTTCCTTTGTAGCCCAAAGCCAATACGATTCTGACTCTGATACCGATGCTACTGAAATATCGACCCCTCATCTCAGGAGATCTTATCAAAGGTCTTGGATGGATGATGCCAGTGGCGAGATCAGGAAGCATGTGTGGAGGGGTTTGGATACAGATGGTGATGACACATGTCTCAGTTCAGCTTACAAGAACTTGCTGACAAGTTTGTCTAGGTTGGATAATGACTCTGAATCAGTTGCACTTGCATCCTTTAATTCACCAATTGATGTCAGGCTAAGCAAAAGTGTGAGGGAAGCCATTTCATTATCCGGAAATGTGCCTCTTGGCCCTCCTCCATTGTGTTCAGTGTGTAAACACAAGGCCCCTGGATTTGGGAGCCCTCCAAAGTGGTTCGTCTATGCGGAACTTGAAGCTGCTACAAAAGGGTTTTCAAAGGAGAATTTCTTGGCTGAAGGTGGGTTTGGCTCGGTTTACCGGGGTGTGTTACAAGATGGTCGGGTGGTCGCTGTGAAGCAGCATAAATCCGTTAGCTCTCAAGGCGACGTTGAGTTCTGCTCGGAGGTAGAGGTTTTGAGCTGTGCACAACATAGGAATGTGGTGATGCTAATTGGATTCTGCGTGGAGGGTGGAAGAAGGCTGCTTGTTTATGAATATATCTGCAATGGATCTCTAGATTCACATCTCTTTGGTGAGTTTATCTTTCTGCAACAGGACTAGATAGTTAATCAATTTTACTTGGTGAAGAATGGCGACTAAACTGGCTTACTCTTTTCCCTGCAGCATCGAACAAAGATCCATTGACTTGGGCTGCGAGACAAAAAATTGCAGTTGGAGCAGCAAGAGGGCTAAGATACCTTCATGAAGAATGCAGGGTTGGCTGTATTGTCCATCGTGATATGAGGCCTAACAACATCCTTGTCACCCACGACTTTGAACCCATGGTAGGCTATGCCATACAAAAAACCCTTCCTCTCTCTCTCATTTACACCTTATTTTCCTTCCCCTTGAATGTTAAGTATCATAACTCCATTGATGATGAATGATATAGGTTGGGGATTTCGGACTAGCAAGGTGGCAGCCACAGGCAGACCTGGGGGTCAGCACAAGAATCATTGGAACATTTGGGTAAAATATAAACCACGTTACAGTAACAGATACACTCGTTAACTGCAATGCTTGAATTTTTATCAGCAACATAAATAAAGGGTTTCTGAGGTACAATTGTGGAAATGCAGTTATTTGGCGCCAGAGTACGTTCAAAGTGGGAAAATCACAGAGAAAGCTGATGTCTATGCGTTTGGGGTAGTACTATTGGAGCTGGTCACAGGAAGAAAGGCTATAGATGTGGGAAAGCCCAAAGGACAGCAATGTCTGACCGAATGGGTAATGATAAAACTGAGTCACAAGAAGAGATTATGCCACCGGTAATTGCTTCTTCTTGATTATTCACCAGAAATAAACCTCCTCTTTGTACAGGCACGCCCCTTGCTGGAGAAGAAAGCCACCATTGAACTGGTTGATCCGCGGTTGAACAACTGCTATCTGGAGCCGCAGCTGAGTAACATGATGCAGTGTGCCTTGCTGTGCCTCCAGCGCGATCCTGATTTCAGGCCCCGAATGTCTCAGGTACATTAAGAGGAACCTATAAACTCCTGCTTCGAGTCATGACCACGTCTACTGAATGTAGGTTAATGTTATCAAACTGTAGGTACTACGTATGTTGGAAGGTGAAATGGTGATGAACTCGCGCAGCCAAACTTGAATGTGACCTGAAAATGAAGGTCATCGAGAGTGAATTAAAAGCCATGGAGCTCTTGAAAGATAAGGCATCATAACAAGGCTAGTTTTTCCTGAAGCAGTGCAGATTGGTTTGTTAGTTTAGTGGCGGTGACGTTCATAAGAAGGAAGGGAAGATGTTCATCATCTTCTTCATTGCAGTGTTGTTTTATTGTTTGATTAGCTTGATTTGAGTTGTCATGTTGGAACTTTGGATGTATAGGGGAGAAGCTTGATTGTTGATTATAGATGCATATATTCTTATGAGTTATGACATGTTTTGTATCGCAATTTCCCACTCGTTTTCCGTTGCAGCCCCTTCTTTGTTTCCAGTTTCTCCTTCTTCATCTGTCGCCGTCGTTTTCCTGTGAAAGTGTTGGAACTGTCGTGGGATCAAATTCATGGCAACGAGCTGGGTCTATCGGTACACGGACACGACCTGAGAATGCAGCATAAGTAAAGCTTTGGCCATATTGTTCAAAAAACAATGCAATGAACCAAACTTTTGAGTAAAATATGCAAATGCACTCTATTCATGTATCAAGAGTGACCAACACTGAGAGACTGAGAGTTACCAAAAATCGCCTCTTGTTAAATTGCAGAAAGTAAGGAGAAACAGCGGCTGGCGGAAGGTGAACGCGCCGGCGGTTGCTTAATGAAAATGGAAAAGGGGTTCAGATGACTCTTCCTCTTCGCAAACGCTGCCCGCGAAGCAAAGAGCTCAAAGAGAACGAGAGGCGCTTCTGATGATGAAGGAGGGGAATAGTCAAATTGTACTCTGGCGGTAAAAACTCCCGCCAAAACCCTGAGGACGCTTGATTTTAGTCAGGTAACACTCAATTTATTGGAAAAAAACCCAAAATACACACGTTTTTTAAAAAAATTCTTAAAATACACACGTTTTATGAAAAAAAATCTTAGTCTATACATGTTTGGGCATTACCGTGGCCGTCAATCGCGGTGAATGCATTCACCGCTGCAGACTAAAGCGGTGAATGCATCACCGCGGTTGACGGCCGCAGTGAAGGTCTGACTGGCCTAAGGCTGAAACTTCAAATTAACTTAACTTTGCGCTTGTTTATCCGGCCATAGCGAATTTTTTTTTATTACACATAACTTTTCAAGATCTTTCAATTTTCAACTGGCCTTCATCCCAAAAAATGTCGTTTGCTACTCCGAACGAGCAATTTTTCGATTTTGCCAAACTTTGGAAGGCCATAACTTTGTGCTCCTCAATCCGAAAGTCATAAAGTTTTTTTTGATTGCGCATAACGTTTTAAGAACTACAACTTTTACTAGGAAAAAATTTCAAAACAAATTTTTTTTTTGGGTATACGTGATTTTGGGAATAACTTTCCCTTTACTTTCATAAATCCACATACTTTTCAAATCCGCATACTTTCGACATCCTTGCTTCAAAATTGCTTTATCCAACCCTCCACCTCTCCTCTCCATCTCGGCCTCCCATAAATCCGATTCCAGTCAAGATGAAAAGAAAGAGAAACCCATTTAACAAGGATGGTGGGGTCGGACTGTAATAAATCACTTGGTCTCAATAACTCGAGTTGTTGGGAGAAGGTTATGCTGGATCTTATACCACTCTCTAACACGCCCCCTCAAATGAAAACCAATCCATGGGCTTGAAGTTTGCACAGACCCACCATACCATGTGCTTTCAATCAATTGTTAATATTGGGGGTTGTGGAGATTCGAACACACGATTAGTTGGTCCCAATAACTCGAGTTGTTGGGAGAAAATTATACTAGATCTTATACCACTCTAACATGTCATAAACTAGTTGGTCCCAATAACTCAAGTTCCCTGAAGCAGACAAAAAAACTCATAAAGGTGACTAGGCTCTCCATGGACCACTGTCTCTCTATGGCGCTCATCTCGATCAATATGTTTCATTAACCTAGCTCAACTGTGTAAGTTGAGAGTGGTTTTTGGAATCCGCACTCGACATTTAGTATCAATACGAAAAATCTTGAATGGAAGCGTTTATTGATTCAACAAGGGTTTTGTCTGTGATGAATCAGTTAGCTAGTACTAATAATTTAAGCGGTTGAGAAACGTCCAAAATAATAGCTTATATCATTCTTTTTATATGCTCCATCGGAAAAAAGTCGATCGATTCAAGTGTACTTGAAGTTTGTTCAAATCCACTGTACAACAATAATATGCAAAGTAAATCAACTGATTAATATTGATGGACAGATGGAGGCCTGGTTTTTTTTTTTTTTATCACCAAGGTATATGTAACACCCGATTCTTTAACTTTTGTACCATTCCAAAAATACCCTTCACGAATTAGAAATAGCCTAGTTATGATTATTGTACAATGAAGCTAAACTCAAACCCTAAACTATAAGTGGGCAGCCGGAAAGAAACCCTAGACCCCATACATTATTTTTTCCTCCGAGCAACAGCACGCCGCCAAAGAGCACACGGAAACAGCCAGTGAGAGAGAGAGAGAGAGAGAGTCGCCTGAGTTGTCAGTCAGCGGCGGCGCCTAGCTCGTCGAGAGCAACGTCCAACTCAAGGCCAGCGGGCCGGGTCAGGCGGACCGTAGCGGTGAAAAGCAGGACGTGGATAAAGTGTTTATATGGAAACTACCGAGCGGGACGTTGACGGTGCCTAAAACGATTAATGACAGTATATGGAACGCTTCGTGGTGACACGATCGGTCTCGAATGGCGAAAAGGATCGCGAGGGCACAAGGTCTTGAGAATGATGACGGACGAGCTGCTCCGCAACTACACTTGCTACGTTAAGGACGAGAAAGAAAGATGAACGGAAGCAATGCAGGGTTGTAACGTCCTTTGCGGCGACCTGGGGATTGGCGATCGATCGCCGTAACACATCGGAAATCGCAATGAGCCGTACAGGTGGTGTAGTTTGGAATGTCCCGTCTCTCAAGTGGACACTTAACATGACCAGGATAGGTGGCCATTAGCTATGCTTTACCACAGGGCATAGTTTTAGTAGCTTCATGCAAGAGAACGGGCCAGGGGAAGTGATTTGGTGGATAAGTTTCAAGCCAAATGGTTGATCGATAAATGTGCGTGGTTAAAGGGGGCTAGAGTAGTTTTTGTTATCAGTCTACGCATTTAAGTTCATGTTATGCATTTCAGTCCTCGTTTTATGATCCGTCATTCCTTATATGCTTTCCTATTATGTTAATTATTTGCGTTCAGTCTTTACTTTACGTATGCATAACATCATGGAGCATAAGTAAACTGTGTTATGAGTCAAGCTACTACAAGTTCAACCTACAAGCTAATTAAGTGCAAGTTAAAAAGTTTAGATCTTCCCATTGTGTGGGGAGATCACCAAGCTTTTCAGGCATGCAAGCAAGCGTAAGAACTATCAAGTTAATAAGTACGAATAAGTAAGAACGCGTTTAATCCTTGCTTAGCTAGCTACGTACGCGACCACCACCCTTCCCATTATGAGGAAGTATTTATCAAGTTTATCAGGCTCTCTTCCCATTGTGAGGGAGTATTTATCAAGTTTATCAGACTCTCTTCCCACTGTGAGGAAGTATTTATCATGTTATCAAGTTTATCACGATTATCAAGTTCTGGTGGTGGGACGCTTACGCTAGCTAAGTTGAGGGTTGGGCCCATTCAAGATAAAAGTTGCAACCTCATCTTCCTAACAATATACCCAATAATGTACTTAAAGCATTGCATGTGCATGACTGTCTGTTTATGTAAAATAACGAAATTAGGATTAGGACTGACCCCATCACCTGCATTCAGAAATTGTAGAAGCTCTAGAGTATGGCAGAAGTTCAACAGTTCGTGGCAAGGATCAATGACTGTAGAGGACTCCAGTGCGAAGATTTTAATCTCGTGTACTTAGTAGGGCTTGAGACTTGATGCACATTTATTAAAGATGTTTATGATTTCCTCTTATGCAAATTTCAAGAAATTGTTATTTGAATTTCACGTATTTATTATGGATATTTAAATAAAGTTTCCCGCTAATTTTCCTAGTCTGTTTGGTTTTTATTTTAGTTAACGGTTTATCAAGGACATTTTGGTAATAGTAGTACCTGGCCAGGTTAGGGTGTCACAGTATATTTTGGATGGGGAATTGAGAGTTGCCCAAAGTTTAGGTATGCTGCCGCGGCAGAGCACTGATACGGTCGAGTTCGGTAGATGCTTCTAACCCTAATTAAATTAGGGAATCCCGTCACCGCCTCAAATAGGTCACAGAGTGCGGATCCGGTGACTTAGGGGGTGCTTAGTCACTTGACTAAGCCCCTCCCCGTCTTTAGATCTGGACACATCAATCTGATGGTTAAAAAGTGGGAATGACTATTTAATTAATGACATGGATAATTTAGGTATTATGGAAAACCATGGATATATGAAGGTTTTGGGTTCATTATGGACTTTAAAAATACCAGTATTTGTTTCATAGATTTCATAATGGAATTGGTTAATTAGATTTGTATGTATGAAATGAAATTTACTTTTATTGCCCTCGTTGGTACAAGAAGTGAAATGAAATGGGAGGCGTAGTTTGATATTAAATGATGGATTTCAAAATATGCTCCGGCCGTCCGGCTGCCGCGGCCGAGCACTAGTTCGATGGATGCTTCTAACCCTAATTAAATATTAGGGAATCCCGTCACCGCCAATGCCACGGATACCTTACCAACTCAATTACCTCGAAAGTAAACAAGACCAAGTGCTGTATATAAAATGTGGCCCAATAATAATCGAAAGTAAACAAAGACACGTAACAAAAGAAATAGGTACGTACAATAATGGAGAGTTTGTTAGCACTAGTGTTGTTGGTAGCAGTGGCGCTGGCAGGCCAGCTGATTGCACAATCCTCGTCATCATCGGCGGAGAGCGTGGAAGGGCCGGACCACCGGTGCCGCCGACAAACTGACGGGACTTGGGAGCAATGCGACCCAGGACGCTGCTGCAGTAAGTCGCGTTACTGCGGCGACGGCTACGCACATTGTAGCCCCAAACATTGTGTCAACCAGTGTCCTCCACCACCTCCTGACGTAGAACCTGCAACGGGGAAAATTGTGGTGGTGGCTACCGCCACAGAAAACCACTACTTTAATGCCTCTTCTTCTTCTTCCTCGTCGTCGTCATTGTCGTGTGCAACTTCCCTCTCGAGCCTGTCCTTGTCTTCCCTTCACAAATATCCTTGGGCTGCTGTACGGGTGGCCGCAGTACTAGTACTACCTATTGCGGCCGCTGTTTGAAGGGAGGAGTTCATCATGAAGTAAATGTTCGTGTTGTTCACGAAGGTGACAGTGATGGCCGATGGGATCGAGTTGGATGTCGACACCTACAACAAACTCGACACAGATAATCATGAAAGTACTGCAGGTCGTCGTCTTTTGTTGAAGTATCGGTTTGAGAGATGCTGATAATGACCAAGATTATAAGTTATGCAAAAGAGGAGCAAACATAGAGTGTTGGTTAATTTTCATGCAGTGTGCGTTAATGATGGAGAAATAATCAAAATGCATGATCAAATTCATCTTCATTCATTTACGTCCTACAAATTCATTAATGCATTAAAAAAATGATGAAATGAACTAGCATATCAGACTCAACATGATATGATTGTTGGATCTAATCATTCCGAATTAACAAGAATTCTAATGCTTAGTGGTTAGCCGTGCTTAAACATTAATAGAACACGTCATATATGGTTTGCACAGCATATAGTAGTTATGAAAGTTAGTACTAATTTAAGAATTCGACATTGCTCCAACATATTCATTACTGCAATTCGATATGTGATATTTAAATTAATAATATTTAGACCACAATTTAATATTATACTCCATTTATAAAATATTTAAAAATTTAAATTAATTATTAATATCCAATTAAAAATAATCAAAATTTGAAAAATCAAATTATTAAAACACCAAATAAATACTTTGTCCCAACTAGCGCCGGGGGTGGTGGACTTAAAAAAAAGTGCTCTAATTTTTATATTTTCACTTCATGTATATTTTTTATTAGAATTATACCAATCTATTTAATGTAATTGATTATGATTCTTTTCTTTATTTAAAGAGACACTGGTTCAAATTCAAATATTAATATCTCTTTCTTTTAAAAAATAAAAAATAAAAATCGTGAATAAAAAACACCCTTCTTATTTTCACTTTTGTTACAATAAATTTGAAATGGAGCAACAAACTTTCTCACTCCACTATGATATGCTGTCATCCCACTATTGGGTAGCTAGATACAAGCTTCTTACACTATTATTATTAGAGTAGTCAAAAAGAGTTAAAGGAAATACCACATTGGTGGGAGAAGGAAAATGCAATTGGTTTTTAAGTTTGCTTTCCACATTAGTTTATTGGATAAAGTGGTTAGTGAGTTTTTGGAAAAAATGTGGGCTATTTAATTAATTAATCCTGATAATTATTTGATGTTTGGTGTAACCCTTCGGAAGGGAACTGTCGTTTTCACTATAAAAGCCTTCTGCAGCCAGACTTCTCGTCCAACGTTCATCTTCTTCTTCTCGTTGTCCTTCTCCAAAAACACAAACACAGAAGTCAGAAAGGTTGCTGCTTTCAGACTTTGGTTGAAGGGACTCCTGGGGGTGGTTTGGCTAATTCCTACTAGCAACAATGTAGTGGATAGGGCTGGCTATTTGGTCCGTACTGTTTAGTTTTACCCAAAACCGGACCTTATAACCCGGATCGGGACCGGACTGAGACCGGATAATAAACAATCCAATCTCATATTCGGGCTTAGATTTGAGGTAAAAAACCAAGAGACCCCAACACTCAAATCCCCACAAGCTCAATCTAAAATCAAGATCAAATTGGGACCGGACCGGATCAAGACCAGACTGTATCCAATCCAATCTTACCGGACTGGGACCGGATCAATTTGGTCCAATTTAACCGGACCGGACCGTATGGCCACCCCTAGTAGTGGGGGCAAATAACACTCTCTTAGAGCGATTAATCACGCCTTCAATCCGTTTCTCCTTAAAGTTTTCCTGACAAATATTGACTCCAACCATCATATAATGGCTCATGTGGCGTGATATATGCGCCCAAATTAAGGTTCGAGTCCCTTCAGTAGTACCTAATGACAAAAAAGTAATCTATATCACCCTTATCTAAAAAAAAGCATCTCCAACAATTAAATTTATTTATAATTTCATAGGTGGTCCCTACTTCCATCTCTACAACTTTGAGAAAATAACACTTCTAAATTTCATCCTTTCTACATCAATGCAATCTAATTGCAATTTCAATGGGTGAGACCAATACATTAATTTATTTCTATTAAACCATTTATATATCATTTCGATCATTTTAAATCATCAAAGTATATAATAAAGGATAAAAAGGGTCCACTAGCGGGGCCCATTTGAATTGCAACAACAATTGCACATGATGCAAATTTGCACCCTTTGCAATAGCTTCCCACATCAATGCCATTCAAGGCAATTGCAACACCTTGCCACATCACCTTGCAAGTCTCTAGAATTGCACAATTGAAGATGCTCAAACCTTATATAATGGCTCATGTGGCGTGATATATGGGCCCAAATGATAAACGATATAATATGAATTATTATAATAACTCTGAGAGAAGTCTAAATAACTTAAGTTAATGACACAACTTATCCTTAACATAATCGTTTCTGATATCATCATTTCCGATATTAATAATTGAGTTAAACAAGACATAATCAACCTCAGCAAACTTCAAGTATATTGTTGATGTCATTGCTTTTCTATGGGCAAATGGAGACTTTTTTCCCCCCTTCTTTTCCTTCTTCTTCTCTTCCACTAAGGAATATGTTGGACGGGGGTTCGGGAGTTACCAAAAGTTTAGGTATATGGTCTGGTCGGCCGGCTGCCTCGACGGTCGAGTTCGGTGGATGCTTCTAACTATTAATAATACTATCCCGTCACCACCAATGGCACAGATGTCTTACCAACTCAAATAGCCGGAGAATAATAAACAACACCAACAGGTCCATCGATGTTACTCTACGTATATAAATAGTTGCTTCCCATTTCATACAAATCACAGACACGTAATAAAGAAATAATAATAATAATAATAGACAATTAATGGAGAGTTTGTTAGTACTACTGTTGTTGTTGTTGGTCGCAGTGGCAGGCCAGCTGATTACTCAATCGTCGTCGGCCTTTCCGCCGGAGCGGCAGGACCACTGGTGTGGCAAACTCAGCGACGGGACTTGGGGTGCGTGCGACCGGGCGAAGGGACGCTGCTGTGGTCGGTGGGGTTACTGCGGCGACGGCGACTCGTATTGTGACTGGTTTCATTGTACCAACTATTGTCCATCACCGCCGACGCCGCCACCTCCTGCTTCCGGAGGAGCTGGGACGGGAACGGCCGTAGTGGTTACCGCTGTCGAAAACCACCACAACGATCATCATCATAAGTTGCGGAGCCAGAAGTTGAAATCAGGTGTGTGCTTTTTTTTCTTCGGAAATATAAATTAGGGCATTATGCCGATTTAGGATATGAGTTATAGTGTAATAAATTAATGGGCTAATTCCACTGGGAAGTCCAAACTATTCAGAATGTGTAATTTGTGTTCTAAACTATTTAATATGATAAATTTGGTACAAATTATATGCGTTTTTGTAACATTTGTGCCCTAAACTATTCAATATGACAAATCTGGCATAAACCGACATATATGCTTACTAGATTTTATGTTAAATACTAACGGCCAACGCCGGTCAACATTAACGAAAGAATAGTTCGTGTCAGATATTTCATATTAAATAGTTTGGACTCCCTATAGTGGAACTAGCCCTAAATTAATTCATGATAAATCGATTAACAATAAGTGAGGTTTGGTACATTTGCAAAATACATTTACGTCACTTTGAACCAGTGAGTTCAATCCTTTCCATATGCATATATGAGAATTTATTATCATATTATCAAAACTTATCTGTCTCCATAACAGAACCTAACCCCTCTGGCTCCGCCACAGACCATCATCATGTGATCATAGCCGCCGCCATTAATGCATCTTCTTCTTCGTCGTCGTCGTCATCCTGTGCAACTTCCCTCTCGAGCCTGCCCTTGTCTGCCCTTCACAAGTATCCTTGGGCTGCTTTCGCACCTCGAAATGGAAATGCTACTACCTATTGCGGCCGATGTTTGAAGGTAATTAATAACATTCATTCACAATTTCCACTTTTTCCTGCTAATAATCAATCATAGGGTGGTTAACTTGCGATATCTGGGAGCCTTAGGTAACGAATCTTGGTGTCGGAGGAGTTCGTCATGAAGTGAAGGTACGTGTTGTTCGAGAAGGTGACAACGAGGGGCTGGAGTTGGACGTGGACACCTTCAACAAACTTGGCACGGATGGCCATAAACATGTCGCAGGCCGTCTTTCAGTGGAGTATCAGTTTGAGAGTTGTTGATGAAGACTATGAATTGTGAAAAAAGAAAAATAGCAAACGCATCGAGTTTTTCGTTTTCATGGAGTGTCGGGTTTATGCTTTATAGTAGAAAGAAATAAGGTATCGACTACTTCTACGAGTCGAAGATAACGACCGAAAATAAATGTTTATGTGCTATATATAAACTCTGGTTTCTATTTCAACTTGAGTGCAACAAATGCTTGATATGAACTCTCTGTATATGTGAGGATTTATATGTCTATAAATATTTGGGGAACTCCTCGTCATTGAATTTGGAGAATTGGGAAATAAAATCCATGAAAAACTCACTGGCAAATTCTTATTTTCGATCTGATTGGCTTTTCACAATTTCATTTTTTTCTGATTGGATTCACCCAATTTGATCAATGAAAAGAAACATAGGAAGAAGATGAGGGAGATTGGCAGAAGAAGATCCCAACCTCTCATAGTCACATCCAAAACATTCCGACATGTAGCAAATCAGCCTCATGAATTTTCGAAATGAAGCTGGATTCATCTCCACCACAGATTTGGCCAAAGCTGCAACTACCCTGATGGCCCAGAGGTCCTATGGCCATAGCCATTCAGAAATGGCAAGTTCTTCCTTTTGCAATTAGGCGGCATCTACCAAAGAAAGTATGTGAACTAGCGGCGGATCCAGGATATAAGAGAGCACTGGGTCGCATTTGAATAAAATATTAGATACCATAAAAAAAAATATAATAATATAGTTTTCATTACAATGTCAATTGTACAAGAAGATCTTTTAATTTAACAAATTCATCAATAATATAATCTCCATCCATACGGATAATATACTCTTTTTCAAAGAAAATAGCTAAATAATCAATGAGAAATTCATCGCTCATTTTGTTGAACAAATCAATGTTCATGTTCCATTGCTGAAAATATTCTCTCGATAGTAGTTGTTGAAACGGCTAGGTCAACACTAGACAAATCAACCAACAAATCAATTTGTATTGTGTGTCCATCCCGGTTTCCTCCACCTTCTCTAATAATTTTGCAAGAGAAATAACTTCATCTTCCTCACATGAGTAGTGCATTCTCCAAGAATGCATCTCATAGCCTTCAAAATCTCGAAGCTAAACTCTTGAGCAAGTTTGTAAATATTTTCTTCATCAAAACACCAGAAAGAACGGTTAGAATCTAGTGCCCCACTCAATTGAGGCAATTTAAATGATAAGTCAGCACGTTTGTAAATATTTTCTTAATCAAAAGAATGGAAAGAAAACCAGCTCTACGGGCTGCAAAGAAATCCATTTTGGGTTTGCCCGTCTCCTCGTTCTTGTTTTGTTTTGGGGGGATTGAGAAATTTTTTGAATTTTGCAAGGAAGGGTGTGCTTTAGTTTAAAGTTTTTATTTTATTTTAATGAAACTTTACACTTTTAGGTTTTCATGTCTTTTTTCAATTAAAATCATTTGAGATATAGAAAATTTAGTATAAATTTAGAGTGATGGTTTGGATACATTCATCTGAACCATTTTCATAGTTACACAAAATTCTATTATCAAATAAAACTAGACAGGATTTTAACTAGCACTGGACCAAATACCTAAATCGAAAAAATTTATAAGGACTAAATTAACTCTGGACCAATTTTTTTTCTTTAAGTCCTTTTATTTCTCCGTGGTGGTAATATATATATGAAAAGTCAAAAATAATACTCCTTTTTATCGCTAAAAAAACAATTTAACAATAAACTAATGCATGGATTCCAATGGGCTAACCGCTAATCATAAAATAAAAGAGTTGAATGGGCATGACCTACACGGGATTTGCCCATCAAGTAAAACAAATGAACATCATGGGTTTGTCATTCTAAAACAAGCTATTTTCTCTAGCATAATATATATTATGCTATTGTTTTATATCTTAGTGGCTAAAATATAATATATTTTAAAGTTATTCAATGGTTCAACCTCGACCAACCCAATTAGTCCAATTTTTATCATTTCAAATATATATTATGTAATTATTTGATATCATAATGATTAAATTATAGTGTATATTTTAGGGAATCGTTTGGTATTTGTTAGTGAAAAACTAAACATAAAGATCTATTTGGTTATTTTTAACATTAAAACGATCCTAAACATTTTCAGTTTCCTTTCGAAATTCTATAGTTTTATTCCCGAATCAGTGATGTGCAAATGGCGAATTGCAGTCATCTCTTTTCTTTCATTATTTTTTATTTTCAAATAGAAAGTTTAAAAGTAAAGAATAATTAGAGTTTGGCATGGGTCGGTCAAACATGCTGAATTTCAAGTTTTGGCTCGTTTTGATAAAGTCTAATTTATAATCACATGGTTCCCTGATACCCGATACAAATCTCAATCCAAACCAGTTTGGCAGGAGAGTCCGTGTTTACCACCATTTTCTAGGGATACAGGAACAGTGGTTCCTATCCCAAATTGTGTTGTTCATTCTTGATTACTTTAGATTTTATTATGGCTTGGCAAAAAACCAGAAAGCACAATGATGACAAGATGAAAGTTTTATAAAGCAAATTAATCGGCCAACGGGCCGAGTAAAAGCTAGCAACGATTGTGAGATGTTCATTTCCCGAAAATCAGCGAGATAGGCGATTTTTTATTCGATTTTCTGGACTTCGGTTTCAATAAAACTTACTCCACCTTATCATATTACCAGAAACAATATTGTTTCACAAGGTAACAGGTACTTGATGTTGGTTCATAAGGCTGATTTTTGAGTCGTTGCATCATTCATGTCTCTTTTCTACTAAAATTCACTATTTTGATCACGTGTTTCCCAAAAAAATATATACAACAATAAGCTATACACCCTATTACATTATCAAATTTCATACCTCACCTTCCTTCGGCCAAATGGCCGGGGCCCACGCTAGTTATTATTATACATCACAATCCATCTTTCTTTATTTTCTTTTTTCTAATCTAAACTCATGATTATCTAACTGTATTAGACTCGGTCAAACTGAGTTGAACCGATGTTGACGAGTTTTGAGTGAGAAGCAAGTTTAATTTAAACGCTCTTATAATTGAGGGGTTGGGTCAAGTGTGAATTTTTTTTTAACAACTCAGTCCGCTTTCCATCCGACCCCACCGTTCGTATGGTCGGACGATGGCTAAGAATTCGTAGTCGGATCTCAGATGGACTCTTTTCACGAGTGGGTGACGACCGGGACAAAGCACCTTATTTGATCTTCGTTCTCTTTATGTTTTGTTTCGTTTTGTTGTTTTGCTTTTTTTCTCTCTCTGTTCCAGTCTTGTCTTGTACATAAATTTAAGAATGCCTTCTTTTTTTTATTTTTATTATCGCTAGCTTGCTCTACTATTGGTTGAGCTGCTAGCAATTTTATTCAAATAAAATGTTTCATCATTCATCTTTTTTTAAAAAGAAAAACAATTGACCTTGTAAAAGAAGGTTGAATCCGGTGGTGACGAGTTTTGATTCAGGAGCGAGTTTTAACCGCTTTCGTAATTGAAGGGTTGGGTCGGGTGTGGATTTTATTAACAACTCGGTTGGCTTTTCATCCGAACCGTACCTAAAATATACAAACTAATCGACCCGGTCAAAGGTGGTTGAATCCGATGTTGACGAATTTTTGTTGAGGAGCGAGTGGAACCTTGTGTTGACAAGTTTTTGGTGGGGAGCGAGTTTAACATGATTTTCGAATTACGGGATTGGTGTAGATTTTGTTAAAAACTAGACCTGCTTCCTATCTGACCCACACCTAAAAAATAAAACTCGGGATTGAGTTTTACTTGCTTTTACGATTGGCGGGTTGGGCTGGTGCAGATTTTGTTAAAACTCGGCCTGCTTTCCATACGACCTGCACCTAAATACACAAAACAATCGACCCAACCAAAGCTAGTGTTGACGAATTTAGGTTTAGGAGCAAGTGGAACCTGCTGTTGATGAGTTTTTGGTCGGGCACGAGTTTTGGCTGATTTTCTAAATGAAGGATTGGTTCGGCTATGGATTTCGTTAAAAACTCGATGCGTTTTCCATCTCACCAGCACCCAAAAAATATATCAATGTCATTTTATGGACGAACCTCCTACCTAATTCGACACGATTAGAATGGGTTGAACTTGTTGTTGACAAGTTTGGGTCGGGAGCAAGTTATACCTGCTTTTGTGATTGCTGGGTTGGGTATGGTGTGATAAAACTCGAGTCGCTTTCCATCCGACTCGTACTAGAAAAAGAAATCTATGTCAAACTCTCAGTATAACTTACTCTCTTTACCTTCTGAAAATACATTTCTATTGTGAATTTGTGATATGATATAATAGATAGGGGTCGTTTGGAAGTTGCGATTGTTTTGTTGAGATTGTCATTATGCATGTATTGTTTACAATGCATCGTTTTATTGTTTTTTTAGCAGAAACAATACATGGATTGTTTCTGTAATGTGACAGAAACTATCACTCATTTTGAGTGATTGTTAGATCTCAACTTTTAGTTGTGATTGTTGAGATAGTTGAGTTGAGATTGTTTTGTCTAAGCTTTTAGCTGATGCAACATACACAATCACACATACCAAACGTTGTATTCTACAATGCATCAAATTCAACAATACATGTATAATATTATACATGCATTCTCAACAATACATCTATTTAACAATCACAATTTCCAAACGACCTCATAGTGTTTGACAACACATTTCTCATACCTTTTTTATTTTCTTTTATTTTTGATTTGATTTGATTTTTTTACACATCACAATCCATCTTTTTTTCTCTTAACCCAAACTTATTGGTATGCAACCTAATTTGACCGGTCAAATCGATTTGAACTCGACGTTGACAAGTTTTGAGTTGGAAGCACATTTATAAGTTTTATTGGGTTTAGTTGGGTGTGGATTTTGTTAAAAGATCGGTCGACTTTCCATCCTGCTCTAGACCCATCTTCTTTTCTCTCTTTCCACTTCCTAAACTCAACAGGCCAATAGACCAATATTTTACAAATCGTATTGTTGGTCATCAGTTGCATCAGAAATATCATCTATAGGCAAATCGATGACCAGTTTTAGCTGTTGAACCACAATTAAATTAGGCAAAATACACTTGTGTAGCCAAAACTTTCACGTTTGTGCCACTTATAGCCATTTTTGGCAAAATACCACTTATAGCCACTTCCGTCCAATTCTTTAACGCTGTTAACGTTAAGTATGATTGGGCAAACGGAGATGCTGACGTGGCAAACTCTTATCTTCAATTTTGTTTGTAAATATATTGTGGATTTATGAAATAAAAAAATTACAGAGTTAAAAGAACAACAAAACCCGCAAACACCATCTCCATCTACTGTCCCGTCAACAAAAATACCCAGAAGCCAAAATCCCCAAACTCATCCACCATGGGAGACGCCGGTGGTTACCTTCGTTTCTCTGGCTCCCTCGACCCTCAAGCCCAAGAGTTCATCCCGCGCCACGTCATCTCATCTCCGCCTCACCATCACCTCGCCTCGTCGTCCTTCCACCTCCCCTCCACAACCAATTCTTCTACGCACCTCCGCCGCCGCCTTCGTACGCCGCTGACAGCGGCGTCGAACTCCTCGGCTACCACCCCGACCTCCACCCATTTCAAAAAACAAGCAACTTTGGCGACTCCTCTATGCAATCCATAACAAGAAAAAGAAGATTCGGTTCAAGTCATGTGAAAACCCTTACCATGATCAAATCGAAGAGTTGCGGCAGTAGATTAACGATCAGGATGAGGAAGAACGGAAACAGACACATCACGTAGAAAACTCGATTCCGCAAACAAGAATTGAGATTGAATTCTAATCCATTCATGGTGAGTGGGCAAAATTAAGATTAGGTCAGACGCTTACCATCTCCTCTTCTTCTCCTTTTCCTGAAAGAACCCTTTGTTGAAGAATCAAAGCACAATTGACTATGGTGGAATCGAGTTCAAAAAGATTCAGAAGTTACGATCTTTTTCCCACGAGAATCCAGAAGGCTCTGCAAAGAGATGGCGACTTTCCGGGCTTGTGAGAAGAAGACTCGGATGTTTCAGGGATTGAGCGCGATTTAAGGTGGGATTGAGTGACGATTGAAGCGGAGGCTGAGCTTTGTTCACCGGCGCTCGCTCTTAGCCAGAGCAGTTCGCAATCGACACAGGACGTCGCGAAATCGAAATTGGCGGAGAATTGGGGAAATCAAAGATATGGGATGGGATGAGACCGGAGAAGAGAGGGCGTGAGGGAGATAGAAGAAATTGGGGGAAATTAAATTAATTTTTTTTATTAATATGACATGTAATTATTAAATAAATTTTAATTGTGACGTGTCACTTTTGGCTTATTTGGCGTTGACGTGTGCGCTGAGTTGGCGCCTAGTCAACAAACCGTCAAAGAAGTTGACGGCGTTAGTGACATCGTTAAAGTATCTAACGGAAATGGCTATATCTGGCACGCAACATCTTTAAAAAGTGGATATAAGTGGTATTTCGCCAAAAATGGCCATAAGTGGCACAAACGTGAAAGTTTTGGCTATACAAGTGTATTTAGCTATTAAATTACCATTTTTAGTACACAATATCTTTATCATTGACTTTGAGGCATAATTTTCAGTACAGTTTCACAAATCGTTGTTGAAGACCAAAGCTCTCTTCACCCGCACCAATCAACAAATAATAAAAATGTGGACTATCGTGGATTCCCATGTGGAAATGATTGCAGAATACCAAAAAAAAAAGAAAAAAACAGATCTAGAAAGCAAAATGGAATACGCGAAAATGTTGTCGGACTTGATTTTAACAGCTCATTTACCACATTCCGTACGTATCTCAGCTCTTCCAGGGAATATTGCCGATTGCATTCCGGTCGACAGTACTGAGGTTTAATTTCCTCGACGTTTCGGACTCGATCGTCAATGTCTTAGGGACAAGCGGCCAAGACTTCTTATCTACTTTCTGTCTTCTTCTTCTTCTTATTATTTTTTTATAGTCAATCAATCAATAAATAATAAAACCCCCAACATAATCGAAACTGAAATACCAAATTTTCTTCGTCGTTTTCTATCTTTCCAAACGGTTTCCCTATTCAGCCGCCCGCAATGCTTTTGAATTGATTCTTCAAACAAAATGTGGTATCTCGTGGATGCCCAATGTTGAAATGATTGCCGAATAATAAAAGCTAAAATAGTAAAAATTCGATCAAGAAGGCAAAATGGAATATTTTGCCACATTACGTACGTACGTATCTCAGCTGTCTTTCAGGGGAATATTTTGCCAGATTGCATTCCAGTCCACAGTGAGATTTCCTCAACGTTTCGAACTCTCGATCAGTATAAATTGATCGATCGATCAGCCAACAACAACATCCCTATATTTTCCATCAACTTTCAAATCAGATATACACAGAATAAAAAAAAAATGGTATCGTTGGCGGGGATCTTCGCTTCTACAGCGACATTCACAACAGTAATACTGTGCCAGCTGAATCAGCTAGTTCAACCATGTGGTGCTGATATTGTGATCCCCGGCGGCACCATCTGCGGCACCGATTACTACGACGGTAGCTATGTTGGGTGCGACGCGAATCGCTGCTGTAGCAACTATGGCTACTGCGGCGACGACCGCGTCCACTGTGTCACGGACTGTTGGAAGCAATGTCGCGAAGTTGATGGAGTTGATGGACAGCTTCTCTATAATATCAGTACCACCACCACCACCACCACCACGAACGTAGTTAATGCAACGCACAACGAATACTACGATGTCTCTACGACGACGACGATCAACGGCAGCTGGCCGGACGGTTCGTTGTTGCCGTCGTCATCATGTGCAACTTCACTCTCCGGCTTACCGCAGGCCCAACGTAACAAGTATGCTTTGGCTGCTTTCGGTCGTCCTCGTAATCGTACTGTTACTGCAACAACAGCAACTACCGCTGGCAGTACTTATTGTGGACGGTGCCTCAAGGTAATTAAAGTAGTAAACTGAAGTACTTGATCGCTGTGCATTAACTAATTCAAACAATATTTGGTTCAGTTAAGCATCCATGGATATATGTGTGTGTACATGTAGTTGATAAATTTGAAGACTGGAGTTGAAGCGAAGGTGCGAGTTGTTCACGAACGTAATGTGGAAGGCCTTGAATTGGGCAGTGACACTTTCAACAAGCTGCGTAGCTATGGCGCAGGAAGTGCTGGAGGAGATGACTATCATGATCATCATCACCACCTTGTCTTGAAGTACCAGTTCGAAAATTGCCAAGACTGAACAAAAGAATGACGACAACTGGAGGCGATTGAGGCACGAATTCCATCTTTTTTCTTTTATTACATGTTATACATCACAATCCATCTTTTTTTTTTTTATAACCCAACTCATGAGTATCCAAGACAAAGCGAGTTGAATCCGATGTTGACGAGTTTTGAGTGGGGAGCAAGTTTAAACGCTCTTATAATTGAGGGGTTGGGGTCGGGTGTGAATTTTGTTAACAACTTGGTCTGCTTTCCATCCGATGACCCTACCTAAAAAGCAAAACAATCGACCTTGTTAAAGCGGGTTGAATCCGGTGGTGAAGAGTTCTGAATCCGGAGCTAGCGAGTTTTCTCGGTTTTGTAATTGAAGGGTTGGGTCGGGTGTTTAATTTATTAACAATTCTCAGCTGGCTTTTCTTCCGACCCCCACCTAAAATACAAAACAATCGACCCGGTCAAAGGAGTTTGAATCCGGTGTTAACGAATTTTGGTTGGGAGCGAGTTGAGCTCGATGCTGAAGAGTTTTGAGTCGGAACCAAGTTTAAACGGTCTTATGATTATTGATGGGTTGGACGGGTGTTAATTTTGTTAAAATTAAGTTTGCTTTCCATCCGACATCCACCTAAAAAGCAAAACAATCGACATTGTACGTCAAAGTGGTTGAATCAGGTGTTGACGAGTTTTAATTCACGAGCGTGTTTTACCCGGTTTTGTAATGGATGGGTTGGATCGGATGTGGATTTTGTTAATAACTCGGTTGAGTTTCCATCCGGCCTACACCTAAAATACAAAACAATCAACATATTCGAAGCAGGTTGAATCCAATTTTGACGAATTTTGGTTCCTGAGCGAGTGCACTACAAGAATTTTGGTTTCAAAACAATGGTGCTATTTTTGTAAATTTTATGGACTGGGTGCTATTTTTGTAATTTTTTTTAAAAGTTGCTATTATTGGAAAATCACGAGATTATTTGCATCTAAAAGTCCTTTATTTATTTCTGTATATCTTTTGAAGCAAATAGATTATTTGCATCGGACGCTTCTGCCTCTAATTCATTTTAGAAGCAAATATAGATGCAAATAATATTTGTTTCAATTTGAGGAATTTGAGTCAAAATTTTTTTATTGCAATTCCACTTTAAAAAACTTATATTTTCTTTTCTTTGACAAATATTTTTGCTCCTATTACATTCCGAGACAATTATACTTGTTTCTAAAAGACATTGAATAAATATAAATATTTGTTTTGAAAGCAAAAACATTTCTTTTCTTTTATTTCAATTTCCATAATTTCGATTCAATTTTAATTTTACCTTCGATATGAGAAGTTTCGTTCATGTAAAATAAGAATGTTCTGAAAGTATCAACTTTCAATTAATAACATTTTAATACATTTATTCTTAAAATACATCAGTATATTGCTCATAAAAAACGTAAATACATTCGAGTACACATATATAATACATGTATTCTATGATATTTACTAAGCTAATCCTCCATCCCACGTTGGTGACACCACCACCAATAGACCACGATCAAGATCTTCTCCAAAATGTTGTTCTTCTCTTCCTCCTTTCTTCTTTACTGTCAATGCTTGTTCTGGAAAAACATGAGAGCTGAAACGTAGAATAAGAGAAAGGGAGAAGGAGGATGATGATTTTGGTTTCTAAATTTCTCTTTCTTTAAGTTAGGTTTTAGAGGCCGGGAAGAATGTGAGAGGGAAAAGGATAATTTTGGTTTCTAATTTTCTCCAATCTAATTCGACCAGTCAAAACGAGTCGAACTCGTTGATGAGTTTTAAGTCGAGAGCAAATTTATGCGCATAATTGGCGGGTTGAGTTCGATGTGGATTTTGCTATAAAATGGGTTGCTTTTCGTCCTACTCTAGACTCATCTTCTTTTCTCTCTTTCCTGTTGCTACACCCAACAGACCAATGTTTTAGAAATCCTACCGTTGGTCAGTCGTATCGAAAATATCATATGTGGACAAATTGATAACTTGTTTTGATGGTTGAACCACCATTAAATTATAATTTTAGTACAAAATATCTTATCATTGTCTTTGGGACATAATTTTCAGTACGCTTTCACAATTCTTGTTGGAGATGAAAGCTCTCTTCACCCGCACCAGCTTCACCATGCACACCCTCCTCGGCTAAGCCAATCAATAAATAATAAAAACTAACATAAACATGTTCGCATTCGCTTCGCGTCTGAGCGGGTACGTGATATTTTTAAAATTAATAGTATGAATTTTGACCCAAAAGTAAAGAACTTGTCATCTACAACTTTATCTAGTCGACGCAACGATGAACTTTAATAAGGGAGAAGAGTCGTCGTGCAAATGATTTCTATGTTTAAGTTGTAAGCACCTGAACTTTAATAAGGGAAAAGGGTTGTCGTGCAAATGATTTCTATGTTTAAATTGTAAACACCGGGTTCAAGTTGTTTGGATCATATTGAATAGGTGGATACCCATAGGTTTGGGTGCTCAACCAAAAGGAAAAAGATAAATGAAAAATAATAATGGGTAATAGATGTAGACCCGACGGATAATAGATGAACACATAGGTTATAGAATGAGAGAGTTGGATTAAAGAAGAACTTGAAACTTCCCAATCTGCACTTGAGCGAATTTGGGAGTCACTAATGAATAGTAACTCAAATATTAAGCTTTTATATATTAAAATAAAATTAACTAATAATTATATATTAATTAATAATGTGGTATATGGTGGATTGCCATGTGGGAATGATACATGGTTGCAGAATACAAAAAAATTCGATCAAGAAAGCAAAATGGAATAAGCAAAAAATGTTGCCGACTTGATTGTACCACATTACGTACGTATAGGTTTGGATGCTCAACCAAAAGGAAAAAGATAAATGAAAAATAATAAAGCGGATAAAGGTCAAAAACTTTACACAGTGAGCTCAACTCACCTTGACTGGTTTGAACCGAGTTTTTGATAATTCACACTCGGCTCAACTTGCCAATTCTAAAAGTAGATAAAACACACTCTCGATATAAAACTCGTTACCACTAGGTCTGGGTTCAATTGTCATTCTCATCCAAAGGAAAAGGAGAAATAAAAACCATTAAAGCGGACAAAACTTAGTCTCGATCCAAAACTCGTGCAACTCGCTTTGACCCGATCGAATCGAGTTCTTAACAAATTCACACTCGGCCCAACTTGCCAACTACAAAAGCGGATAAAAGTCGCTCTTGATACAATACTCGTCAATACCATGAGTTTGGATTCAATTTTCATTCTCAATGAAAGGGAAAAAATAGAAATTTAGAAATACTAATGTTAGAAGCACTGTTATTCCTTAGTGGTAAAGGGTGTTGCCACAAAGTACCTGAGTTTTGATGATAATATATACCAACTTATTCATAAAAAATGTTGGGTTCAAGTCGCTTTGACCTGGTCGAGTTATGTTAGATACCCATGAGTTTGAGTTCAATTGTCATGCTTAACCAAAAGGAGAAAGAGAAATAAGAAAACATTAAAGAATATGAAACTCGATCACAATACAAAACTCGACAACACACAGCAGATTTAGTATGAATTTTCAATAGCGGTCTTGGGACACGTTGGATGGGTACAACTTAGGATTCCACCAACAGTGTTTGGAGAAGGGTTGTGAATTAATTAATGGGCGAAGGCGAGGATTGTGCAATATAGATATGTTATGGATATTCGGTAGCTGTTGCGACATCTATTGTTCATTGATCTCGTCGTCGATAGTTTTTCGAGATGGGTTGCGAATTGGTGGGACAAAGCGATGATTTAGGTAAAAGGTGATGGACAAAATCCTAATTGATAATTGCTACAACGGGGGAATGAACAATAATAGATGAAAATTTAAGTAGACAATAACTACTATGGGAAACGTAATGGGTAATAGATGTAGACCCGACGGATAATAGATGAACACATAGGTTATAGAATGAGAGAGTTGGATTAAAGAAGAACTTGAAACTTCCCAATCTGCACTTGAGCGAATTTGGGAGTCACTAATGAATAGTAACTCAAATATTAAGCTTTTATATATTAAAATAAAATTAACTAATAATTATATATTAATTAATAATGTGGTATATGGTGGATTGCCATGTGGGAATGATACATGGTTGCAGAATACAAAAAAATTCGATCAAGAAAGCAACATGGAATAAGCAAAAAATGTTGCCGACTTGATTGTACCACATTACGTACGTATCCCAGCTATCTTTTCACTTCAGGGAATATTTTGCCGATTTGCATTCCACGTACGTACCGTGAGGTTTCCTTAACGTTTCGGACTCGATCATCAATGTCTTAACGGTAGCTGCATTTCTTCGTCGTCTGTGTGATCAGTATATAAGTTGATCGATCAACTTTCAAATCGGAATAAATAAATAATAATGGTATTGTTGGTTGCGATGTTCGCTTCTACAACAATAACATCAGTACCACGATGAATGTGGTGAATGCAACGCACAATCAATACTACGATCCGGCCGGAACGAAGAAGAAGACGATCATCATCAGTGGCTGGGAGGAGGATGATTGATGAGTACACGTTTCGGCCACCTAGGACTAGGGATGACAAATTATCCACCCATGAATAATTATACCCAAACTCAAGTAGACCCATTGATAATAGGTTGGGTAGGGGTGAAGTGCATATGGATTTGGGGGTTTATAGATGAGTTTGGGTTTGGAGCTTCCATAATCTAAATGGGTATGGGTTGGATATGAATATCCATTTACTTGAGGGTGTTTTAACTACACATGCATAAATTGGACCTATTTGCAAAACTTGAAAAGTTTAGGTACCAAAATGTAAGACCAAAAAAATTTAGGTACCAAAACGTAATTTTCCATCGATATTTTGAGGACTTATATGCACAAAAAAAAATTTAGGTACTAAATATGCATCTCTATTAAGTTTGGGTACCAAACTGTAATTTGTATTTGGGCATGGGTACAAACCATGGTAAAGGAAACCGTACCGGACATCATACCGGATTCCTTTCTGGTATGGTATTTTGTGGTACGACCGTGGTTCAACCGTTTTGTACCGGTAAATACCGTTTTTCACTATTGATAGAGAAATGAAATGCGATAGTATAAAAAATATAATCCATTTTCAACGTAGAAAAATAGCAAAATAATATTCTTTTTTAATTATTTTCCACATATTGGACGAGAATACGTAGAAATGAAGCTGAATCATAGACCAGGAAACCGAATCGTACCGGCCAGTTCAACCGGTTCAACCGGTCAAACCAAAAAAACCGGCCAGCACGGTAAAATCAGCACAGTCAGCCCACCGTACCGCTTTTGGACCAAGTTCCGGTTGAACTGGTTGAACCGGCCGGTACGATCCGGTTTCCTGGTCTATGGTACAAACCCAAATCCATTTGATATGAACCCAACTCAACCCAAAGTAAATGGGTATGGGTACAAACCCATCAAACTCTACCCATATCCATCTATTTGGATTTCATACCAATTGGGTTGGATAGTAAAAAACTCATGGGTATGGGCAAAGTTTACATCCCTACCTAGGACATTAAGCTATTTTTCATTATTATTATTGTTATTGTTAATTTAGGATATTCCTTTGGTTATTTGGGATTATTATTTCTTGTTAAGGAAGTTATTGTTTAGGAGTTGGTCTAGGATTAGTTTACCTTGTTCGGGAGGGAAAGGGTTTGTAGGATTATTCCTATAAATATGTACTTTGTCTCTACGTTTTAATCAGTCAAAGAAGAATAAACCAATATTTTAGTTTATTTTAGTTTTAGTTGTTACGATTACGCGATGGACGAACCGATCGTCCATCAATTGGTATCAGAGCTTGGTTCGACGGAACCGAGCTCTTACCAGCTCCCAGGGCAGACATCGTCGACGTTCAACCACCAACGTCGGGAAGAGGTCCTGCGCGCAACCACGATCCGCAACGACAAGGTGGATGGATCGCCTACCGAGGCGCCACCAACGAAGAAGCTAACCGTAGCTTTGCCATTCGAGATCCACGAACC